AGGGTTCGACATCATTCGAGAACCTCAATGCACTTTCGATGAACCCTGAGCCGCACGCACGGCAATAGCCCCTTGCCGCAGGTCCCCTTCCGCTCCTCCCCACTCCCGTTCGAGCTTGTCCATTCTGGGAGACCAGAGCTCTTGTACCTGTACAAGACCGCTTTCGGCCTGAGCAGAGGTTCTTTCACGTCCCTCTTTCCTCTTTGGCGTGGAGATGAAAGATTGAGTGCGGACCCTAATAATACTTAAAAGCACACTGTAACCACTTCGTACCTTGAGCACTACTGTACCTCGGTACTCAAGAGTACCTGAGACCTGAGAGCAACAGACCCTTGTCGTCTCTTAAGGCTGTGCCTGGGGTCGTTTCATCTCGTCGAACACACACGTGAGCAGGCGTCGATCTGGTATGAACCCTCGCCTTCAAATTACGAGGAATTCTTCAAGCCCGCGTCCGTCCACGCACTGGGGAGGCCTAGACTGAAGAGCGCGTCGATTCAGAGACAACAGAAAGAGGTTCCCCAAGACCGTCCTCGTCAAAATACTTTGGTTGAGAGGAACACGCTAGTGTTCAAACATCACAACAACCGCACAAGTTAATTACTATCGAGCCCATAGCTGCCGCTTCTTGCTTGGCTAGCTGGTGGCTATAAAGGCATATATGCCAGCTCTGCAAGTCACTTCGAAAATACACTCGACAGTGGATAAATCTCGGCGGATGAGGGCGCCAGGCGAAGGTGGCGAAGATCGTATCAGAACTGTCAGAGAAATCACTCGAGACGGTTAGTTTGCAACATGCAAGCCATGACAGATCCAGCTCGGAATAATAGAACGACTTGGGATGCTTCGTCTGTTGATTTCGATGAATGGATAGACTGATAGATCGATCGATTGAGCCCTGGCCAACTTACTTGACATCTTGAATCCAGAAATATTACGCTCTTTGGGACCCTCGCGTCAAAGTACCACTCCTGAAATGGAGACCCCTTCAGGAGGTATAATAATAGTCGAGATAACCCTCCTAGCTTGACCAGACACTTTGTTTGTAACGACGGCGTTACCTCCCTTCACCTTCCGCGGGGAGGGATGAATACCGGGATGAAGCCTGTTAACGAAGAGGGAGGGTGAATCAAATCTTCCAAGGGTCGGGGGCAGCGCCCGTCCGGCGTGGGCGCGGGCTCCCCGCCCCCCAGGATCAAACAATGCAAGGGCCAGGCATCTTGAGCACTTGATAATATTATTAATTCGCTTCTTCTTTTCCTCCTCCCTGCCTTTTTCATTCCCCCTCACGACTGCTCCGCTGTGACTTATCTCCGACATGATTGGGCCCTCCCCTTGATTTTTTTCTTTACTTTAAAATTCTTTTTCTTCTTTTCAGATTGCAAGATCGGCCCTGCCGTTTTCAAGGAGAATCAAAAGAACTATCCAAGTGCTAAGCCGAGAAAGAGCCCAAAGAAAGGAGTTGGGCGGCACACGAGTGCACGCCCCCACCCCCTTATTTTTTGTCTTTTTTCTTCTTCTTTTTCTTTCTGTTTTTCTTTTCTCTCCCCTAACACGGGACAGGCGGCATGCTTCTCATTCAAGGACCATAGAATAATAATGTCAATTTCACATGGATAACAATACAGGTTCTAGAAGCGACTCGTTCCTAATTCGCGAGGATCGCCATGTGTCAAGCCTAGATTTGAATGATGCCGCCTCCTAGCTCCCCCTTTTGAGCAGTTCCTCGCTCCGGAGGACAGCGGCATTGCCTTGCCTCAGCCCAGGACTTCGTGGATCCGGGGAGACATTAACAAGGCTAAGGATGGGCGCTGGAGGCAATGCTGGCGAAGCGTTCGGCTAGGCCGCGGTGTGCATCATTGATGTGTGCGTCGGACCCTTTGTTCTGCCCCCTTGGGTTCCGGTGAGCAAAGGTAAGATGAGATCGTCCCGACGCAAGGTGAAGGTCAGGGGAACGGGGATTCAAGGCGGCGGTCTGATAATTCATGTTCCTTCCTTCCTTCCTTCACTGCCCTTCTTGCCTTTGCTCGACGAAAGAAGAGCACATGCGAGGTCTGGAGCCATTTATTCCCTTCCCGTGGCTAAGCCATACCCCGTCCTTTGCCATGTTGTGTCACCGAGATCTCGGCGCGGCCTGTTATCCTCGTACCCAACAAGTCTACGTTTGACGAAACTCGCAATGTCCTCTTCTATCTTCCCTCCGAACTAAAGGCTTCATGGCATCTACGAAAGCCTTACTTGTAGAGTATCACACGATCGAGCGCAAACGAAACGGAAACACGCGATGCTACGTTCATCCAATAATCTAGGAAAGGAGGGGGACAGCATCGAAGAAGTTGGCGAGACAAGTCGGTGGGTTGATAGACTTGGGAATGTCGCGCAGGTGAGAAGGGAATGGACAGATCCCGCCAACCACCCCTTTGCCAACTTATGGGTTTATTTTTACCTTTTTCTTGCTCGTTCCCCGGGCGCTGGTGTTTGAAGACAAGGGTCGGGAGAGAAGGGGTGTGCGCATGGAGGGTCTCTGCCGGTGCGGTCTGAGCGGATGGCCCAACACAGCCTTGGAGACAGGAATGTTTCGGTGGCGTGTTTGCTGTTGTTGTTCAAAGTGCCGTCCTTCCTTTTTCTTTCGAGAAGCACGAGAAGCTCTAGATCTTCGCCTGGGGGTCATCACACTAGAGCCTGCCGGTTAGAGATGTGTGGGGTTTGCGAACCTAGGGCGAGGGACCGCTGGATGAGGGAAGAGGACATACCATCTCGATGTCATCTGCTCTGCTTGGGGAAGTGGTCCCCTCTGAACAGGTTTAGCATGCTTTTCTCATCAGCCCAGAATTACCGACCGATCTCGAGTATCAAGTTTAGTCTCAAGTTCAACTTCGAAGATCCCGTCGTCGCAGAGTAAACCGAGCAAGGAAGGGTCTTTAGCACAACTGAGGGCAGCTGCTCGAGGAACCGCATCAATTTCACGTTGAATCACTGCAGACAAAAACACTTTCGCCCATTACCAACATCCAGCCGACGTCGAGGAAATCACTGCCCACCAGCCTACTCTTTTTGATCGTGGGGTGAAACGCGAGGCGTACGTGTACTTTTCCCCTGCTTTTTTTTTTTTTCGCGTCCCGCAGTGCACGTATCACGCCGTCTCCACAGATGGATCCTGAATATTATTATTAGTAGCACCTTTCACGCCAGGGTCTCTGAGCGGAGAGATATCAAGGATGGCGTCGATAGCTTAAACAGAAGGTGTCGTACGTGCGACGACACCTAAATGCACGATACAAATTTTAAGGTCATGAGCCACTGGCTAGGACTTGCACGTAGCGACCTTCTGAAAACGGATAGTCTCATGTTAGATACCGCGCTGCTCGCCATCTATTAACGGGTCAATTCGAAACGGGCCATATCCCTTGGCGGGGGCTTGTTTCCACTTGCTCTCTCAACTCGTCCTTGCCATCAAGGTTCGCGGTGTCTAAGGTTGCCGCTGAGACTACACGACCGTTCCGTTGACCCCGGCGCTCCGACCAAACTCAACTTGACCCGAGGTCCACATCTCCGCCACCCCCCTCTCCCCCGGGCCCCACCATCGACTCTGCTTCTGGCTATATGCGCTGGGGATTTAATAGGGGTTCGACGGACTCAAATTTTTCACTTGGAGGGGTTCGATAAGGAACCAAAGAGGCAAAGGATAGGCCTAGAGGGTGTCTGAATAGTGCGGGTACATCGCCCTCAGCCTAACGGGGCTCCGGCTCGGTCAACGTTAATTCCCTCTCCGCCGGTCCGGTGTCTAGATTGCCGTCCTGGCCATGGCAGAATACGATGAACGAGGCCTCGGAAAGTTTGATTCTAGACCTAGCCGGCACATAAGCTGGAAGGTTTAGCTGCCAGTCCCTCCCGCTACCTGTGCTTAGCATTGCCCTGATTTCAGCACCATTTTCTCCTTCGAATATAGATGGAGATCTACGTCAGTATGAAGCTAATACTCAACACCCGAGGTGGAAGGAACATCTCCAAACTTCATCTATGCATGCCGTGATCTTCCGACTTGGAAGGCCGCTAAAAGGAAGCAAAAGGTTGTGAAGAAAGAGGCCATCTAGGAACGTTGAAGAAACTTGGGAGACCCAGGAACTACTGAGGTAGGCTCCGAAAGATTTTGGTTGCCTTAGCTTCGGTTGGATAGAGGCCGGGGAGCGGGGAAGGGGGAGGGGAGGGGAAGGGAAGAATGAGACAACCATGGTGAAGGGGAAAGCTAAAAGTGAGACAGCTTGCAGCTAGAGGCGTGGAGGCCGCGAAAGGTGCACTAAAACACGTCATGATCATGGATTAGGGGCGACGACAGAGGCTATTGCCCCTTCCACCCCTCCCATCGGATCATTGAAATCCACGCTACCGGGCCGACAACGCCACCGCGATGGCAACAAAGCCCACGCCCAAAGGCCCGGTGAAGATAAGAGTGGGCGGCGGAATACGATGGGGAGGGAAACTTGACGGAAAGAGGAGAGACAGCAAGGCGCGCTAGTCAAAAGCCATGGGAAATAAGGATAGTCAAACCTTGGCTTGAAGAAAGTTTTTCCTTCTTTCTTATAAAGTAAGGGGAAAGAGGAAAGCAAGTCACCAGAGTTAAGAGCAGAAAAAGGCAACATCTGGGCCGAGTGGGTACAAACTCAAGGGGAGGGAGTGACATTTCTAAGAAAGCAAATTTGGATTTCAATTCTAGTTCATGGTGGGGATATAACGTTTTGAGAGCAAGAAAGAGAGAGAGAGAGCGAAAAAAACAAAAGATTTGCAACCTAATGCAGTCCCGAAGCCAACCTTACACCCCTCAACCCTTGCAAGACGCCCAGCCCAATGCATTTTGTGTAAGATACAATACAGTTAATACGAAAGAGAGAGAAGTGGAGAGAACCAGATGACCGAGAAAGGGGGATCAGGAGAGGCACGCTGACCGACGTGCGAGATACCTCAGAACCCCACACGACAGGAAACAGACTCGATTCTCCTCACTTTTAGGGGATGGGAGGTGGCAGCATTTTGCCCGCGCCCGTATCCACCTTCTTGGCGGGAGGAGGTAGGGAGGGGATCTTGAACCCTCCGTTGGAAGAGGCCTGGCCGACTTGCGTAAAGGTACCGCCCTTGAACCAGCGGTCTTCGTCCGCTTTCCGCTTCCTGCTAAGCTCTTCGCGCACCTTGGGGTCCACCAACTCAAGGCCCTGGACCGGAGTAAATGTCAGGGATGAAGCGGTTCCGGCAGTGCCGCCGCCGCCGATAGTGCTCCCAACGCCTGATGCGCGCAGGCCCTTGCCCCTCAGGTCAATGTTGGAGCTGGCTTGGTTGAATCCGCGTAAGGACGAAGAGAGGCCGTTGAGGGGCGTGGCGCCGCCCCATCCCTTGTGCTTAGCGCTGAGCTTGGCCCTTGTACGTTGGTCAATTTGGAGCGCGCGGATTCGGCCGTCGTTGGCCTGTCCGATCATGCCGAGACCTGCCGTTCCATCGCCCGTGCCGTAGCCCACTTCAGCCTCTTCTTTCCCAAACGCCATTCTATTCTGTGCTTTGCGCAGGTCCGTCATGGCGGTGGCCTCCTTGGCCTTGCGCGCTCGCCTGCCTCCTCGCTTCTTGGAAGGCTTGTCGTCCGGCGCGGGAAGAGCGCGCTGTCCCTTGTTCGGGGGGCTCCGTCAACTTGTCGAGCCTCTCTAGACAGGCCGTCTTGAGTTGTTCTCCGATGGCTCCGCTGGCGCTTTCATGTATACGATCGACACGCGCCGCCATGACGAGTTTGGCCGAAACGATGCGCATGGCCTGCCTCTTAAGATCATTTGGTATGCCCCGAATCATGGGTGAGTGGTAAATGAAGCCCTGTTGCCGGATACCGACGTTGGTGGCTAGACCAGGGGTGGCCTGCCTTTTGGAACCCCAGGCGGCGATATTGCAGGCAGGCGTCTTAGAGAGACCCGTTAAACCGCCAGCGGCGTTGAGGAGTTGGGCGGCTGTCAGAGAGCCGATTAAGGCAGTGAGATTGGGGGCGAAGATGTTCATCCGCGACTGCACATATTCTGTGAGTGTGGCTTTGGCCTTGTCAAGAGACACAATCATCTCGCAGGCGCGCAGCACGCGGCCTAATTCGTCCTCGCTCATCTCATGACCCTTGGTCGTGGTCGCTTCAACAGTGACAATCATGAGCGACGGGCCATCTAAGACGGACCGTAGGGAGGTCTTGAGTGGGTTGTCGGTGGAGTTTTGTAGCTTCTTGATGCCATCGGCATCCATGGGTCCGTTTCCCAGGATGGCGACGACTTTTGCATACTCGAGAGGGTTACTGATGAGAGTTTCTAGCTCGGGGAATCTCGCAGAGTAATGGTCTCGGATGAATTTGTGCACCAGAACGATTTCGCTGTCGATGTGAGTAGAGAGGCCATTGGATTGGGTCAGAAGCTGGTATTCGGGATGATCCTCGACATTTCCGACAACATTTGTCTGTCCCTGAGATCTGCACCTTTCGATTTTCTAGAGAAAAAAATAATGGAACCAAAGTAGTTAGCTAAGACTGCGTTCGGAAAAGGAAAAAAATTGTAAACAAGTATCACTTGAAAGGGAAAAGAGAATCTAATGGGGCGGGAAGCTCACCTCAAGGACGGGAATTAGAGTATCCATCAACGTTGCCACACTTCGGACATCCTTGACAACGCCGAGCTTCATCTTTTCGACCTTGGCCTTGGCTTCTTCGGCGTCATCACCGAGGGCCTTTGCGCCATCCGCAGCATCTATCATTTCCTCATCTTCGTCGTCTTCCTCAACATCGCTCATGTCACCGAGGGTGGATTTGCGGCCCGCGTGCGCATTCTCTTCAGGCGCGTCATCATCGGCAACCTCTTCTTCATCGAAGTCTTCGAAATCCTGAAGCAGTTCGTCGGCGATCGTGGCCATGTTGGGCGCGTAAAGAGGAGAGAGGACTGTCGCTTGCTGGGGTTAGAACGAGCCAAAGGTCGTCGCCCGGCGATGCAAAGCGGGTTTGATGCAAGGGGAAAGGAGGGGAGGGAGAGGGGGCACTCGATCGATGGCAAAGTAAGGTCGAACAAGTGCGTTGACCTAAAGAGAGGCGTTAGTTTCACGAGGCTGAAATTTTGGCGTGGGCAACTTGCAGCTGCCTTGCAGTCAAATGGAGGTCTGTGCACACATACCCGCCTTTTCATTGGCTGTATCCGAACCGTGATCCACCGTCGACTTCTGCCATCTCATCCATCTAAACCACCCTTCTATTGATGGAAGTGATAAGTTTTCCACTATCACAATTGTCCAGTTCGCCATAGCACTTGGAGGATCCGCAGCACGGATGCTAAAACAGGGTCACAGCTACGCATCCGTCCCTTATCTTATGCGATCCCCCATCGTCACACACCCCGGCTTTTGGGATAATCACGAAGCTCAATCCAACCAGGCTCGTTAGCCTCGCCGAAGACACGACAGTAAACCCTCTAAAAAAGAGAAAGAGGTCACTCTCGTCCCCTTCTTCCCCCGTGGTCCTTCACCATTTGCGGCCATGGACGCGCCACGAGGACCTCCCAAGGTCAAAAATAAGGCCGCTGCGCCAATTCAGATTTCGGCCGAGCAGCTCTTGCGGGAAGCTGTCGACCGGCAAGAGGTTCCTATTCAAGCGCCGACGCAGCGATTTGCTGATCTCGAGGAACTACACGAGTACCAAGGTCGGAAACGAAAGGAATTTGAAGACTATATTCGAAGAAACCGCATCAACATCAACAATTGGACGAGATATGCAGCATGGGAGCTGGAGCAAAAGGAGTTTGCGCGCGCGCGCTCCATCTTTGAGCGAGCGCTGGATGTCATGCCCAATAATGTTGCTCTCTGGATTCGGTACATCGAGTCCGAGATGAAGTCGAGGAATATCAACCACGCGCGAAACCTACTCGACCGTGCCGTCACGATCCTTCCGCGCGTGGACAAGCTGTGGTACAAGTATGTGTACATGGAGGAGATGCTAGGCAATATCCCGGGCACACGGCAAGTGTTTGAGAGGTGGATGAAGTGGCAGCCTGATAAGGCGGCATGGAGCGCCTTTATCAAGCTCGAGAAGCGCTACGGTGAGTACGATCGGGCTCGGGATATCTTCCGGGCCTTCACCATGGTCCACCCTGAGCCGGAAAACTGGATCAAGTGGACGAGGTTCGAAGAGGAGTACGGCACAAGCGAGCTCGTGCGCGAAGTATTTGGGGAAGCTATCGAGGCCCTCGGGGATCAGTTTGTGTCGGAGAAGATCTTTTTGGCCTACGCGCGGTTTGAAGCCAAGCTCAAGGAGTACGAGCGGGCGCGGGCCATCTACAAGTATGCGCTCGACCACCTCCCTCGCTCGCAATCCATGACGCTGCACAAGGCGTATACAACGTTTGAGAAGCAATTTGGAGACCAGGATGGCATCGAAGACGTGATTCTATCGAAGCGCAGAGTGCACTACGAGAACCAGGTCAAGGAGAACTCCAAAAACTACGATGCCTGGATCGACTATGCGCGCCTGGAGGAGACGTCGGGCGACTTTGACAAGGTTCGAGATGTCTACGAGAGGGCGGTGGCGCAGATCCCGCCTACCCAGGAGAAGAGGCACTGGAGGCGCTACATCTATCTATGGATATTCTACGCCATTTGGGAGGAGGTGGAGGCCAAGGACGTTGTGCGGGCACGGGAGATTTACAAGGTGTGCCTACAACAGGTGATCCCGCACAAACACTTCACTTTTGCCAAAGTGTGGCTCCTCAAGGCCCACTTCGAGGTCCGCCAAGGCGACCTGACGGCGGCGCGTAAGGCACTCGGCCAAGCCATCGGGATGTGCCCCAAGGACCGGCTGTTTAGGGGTTATATCGAACTCGAGCTGAAGCTGTTTGAGTTTGTGAGGTGCCGCACGCTATACGAGAAGCACATCGAGTGGAACCCTGCCAACTGCCAGACATGGATCAAGTTTGCAGAGCTGGAACGTGGCCTGGACGACCTAGACCGCGCCAGGGCCATCTTCGAGCTCGCAGTCAACCAGCAGGTTCTCGACATGCCGGAGCTACTGTGGAAGGCGTACATTGACTGCGAGGAAGAGGAAGGCGAGTACGAGCGGGCACGAGAGTTGTATGAACGACTTCTGGAGAAGACAGACCACGTCAAGGTCTGGATCAGCTACGCGCATTTCGAAATCAATATACCAGACGAGGAGGAAGAGGAGGAAGAGGAAGAGGAAGGCGATGGTCGCCCCGTGAGCGAGGAGGCCAAGGCGCGGGCGCGCAAGGTGTTTGAGCGAGCTCACCGAACGATGCGAGATAGGGATCTCAAGGAGGAGAGGGTGACGCTTCTCAACGCTTGGCTTTCGTTTGAGCGCATCCATGGGACAGAGTCCGAGGTGGAGGGAGTGCAGAAACAGATGCCCCGCAGGGTCAAGCGGCGCAGGAAGCTCGAGGACGACACGTGGGAAGAATATGTGGACTATGTATTCCCGGCGGATGACCAGCAGCTCAAGAGCCTGTCCAACGTCATGGCCCTCGCAGCAAAGTGGAAGCAAAGCGGCGGGGCTGCGTCTTAGGATACAAACCCTCGTGCCGTGTTTGGGCGGGGGGAAAGGTGTAGTCCGATAGGGGTCACACCATGGGGGCAGCTAGAGAGTGGCGGGGGATGCAAACCGACGCAAGGCGGGCCATGTAAATTTGACGTAGAACGAAACAAAAGAAAAAGCGAGGCCAAATGTGAGAAAGGCCAGCTACGATCCAACCGAACCTTTTGCGCATGTAACTATCGTCGGCCGAAACAGGTCCATCGATGTGAGGACAACACGGAGGAGGCACATTTTGTGTATCGTGAAACTAGTTTCTGCTAGGTCTGTGAACCGAATCGCAGCCATGGATTGGCGTTGCGAGAGATAGTCCACAAGCACACCCGAAGAGAACACTTGAAGGGCATCAACCTTGTTGAAGCTATCGTCATCCACCAAGACCAAAGCATAGCAGCATAGCAGCATAGCAGCAATCACGGCATACTACATAGTCTACGAAGCATTTCTTGTTGCACCATGGTGAAACTTGGCCGGGCTGGCTGCCTTCTCCGAGTGTTCGTGTTAGCACAACAATGACAAGGGGAGGCTATTCCGAGCAAGTCGGATGGGGCATGTATATTAGTTCACTTCCACAAAGATAGAAAAGAGGTTTTGTTCCCCCTCCCCCAAAAAAGAAAAGAAAGAAAGAAGCGAAGACAAGGGACCGACGCTCGGTTCTAAACGGACCATTGAGACCCCTTTAGCAATCAACAAGAGTCGCGATCTCGATCTCGATCTCTTGGCCGTTTTTCCCGTCCCGCGTAGTCTTGTGCCCTGGAAGTGCCCCCGGTTGATCCACTAACCACGTATTAGTGAGAGGGCAGGCCCGGGACCGAAAATGACATATCGTCGAGAGACGATTGGGAAACGATCGGCATCGCGCGGGGCCTAGGTTTTCCATCTTCTTTCCTTCATTCTTTGTTTCTTCTTCGCTGCCTCTCTTTGCGCATGTGGCCGGCCCTCTCCCCTTTCCTCCAGTTCTGCCTCTCGAGCCCCCTTTATCTCTTTTCTTTTCTTTTTCTTTTTCTTTTCTTGCGCCGGAGTTGAGCTTTTGCCCCTGCGCCCTTTCAACGTCTTTTTGGTCTCCTCCGGGCTTTCCAGGCCGCTGCTATGTCACACCGCCCCCGCCCGCCCGCCGGTGACTGGTTAGCGCTACCTGTCGAATAGACGCAAAAGCTGGAACGACCGGGTCACCGAGACGCATCATGAAATCATACCCCCTTAGGCCCCTTGGTCTCCCTCTCCCACCCACTCACCCGAAAGGCCCCTCCTCCATTTCTGCCTTTTTCTTTGTTTTTTTCTTTTCTTTAGCCAACCCTTCAATCAGGCCCGGGGCCTAACTCAAGCCATCCCCCGCCCTTCCCCCGGATATCTCAGTGCCGCCCGCGTCTGGCGTGGACGTCCTCCCCTCGGTCCTCCTTTGTCTAATCCCCTCTGCTGCCCAACACCCTCCCCCGCCTTCTCTCTTTTTCGCTCACGTCCCACATATGCTCCCCCTTCATGCGTCATCGAGCCGGGGGTGGGGCTCCTTCAGCATTCCTCGCCAAAACAGCGCAGGACCCATGATATGACGACGTGTAAGTCCTCCCCCACACCTCCGTCAAAGGAAAGAAGATGAACAAAAAAAAAAAAAAAAAAAGGAATAAAACAATAAAGCCACCTCGTCAGTGTGTGAAACGAGACGCAAGCAAGAACCCTCCCAACATATTTAAATTGAAAAGTCACAAACTAGGCCAAAGATCCACGCATCGTACCGGGTGCCGAATCCCGGAAAGGCGCGGCTGATTGGTCTCATTCCATCAGCTTCTCTTCTTCCTTTTTCCCTCTCACGTTTCCCCAAGAGCCGGAACCGCGGCGCAGGTTACAACGTCAATAAATTTCATAACGATTCAATAGAAGGACTATATAACCACGTCACTTCCCGACCTCCCCTCCCGCCACTTGGCCCTCTTCTACTTTCTGTCCTCTTCCCTTCTGCCTCCGCTCTCTGCTACCTCAAAAAATTGAGACAGCTTCCCTTATTCTCCTGATAAATCTCAGTCTCGATTCCATACCGGCTCACAAGAAACCAACAAAGGGAACCTCCAAAGGTCGCGAAAAAGGACAAGAAAAAGAAAATAAGAAAAACTACCCTAATCGGCTGATATGTGAGAAGAAGAGATTGAAAAAATAAGAAACCAAGAAAAAACCATTCCTTCCAGGTACGATGCCCATAACCCTTCGCGAGCCAACCGTCCTTCTTCTCAGCGGATACTTCTAGTTTCGACGATCTGTAACAAGAAATAGGTGAATTAGTAAGTGGTTCCTTGGGTTGCTAGAGTTTTCCCCTTTGCAAGAACGGCTAGAGCAAGGTAGAGAGCAAGGCGGAGTGAGACGAGGAGAATGACGAGGAAGGAGAGCTGTATGTGAACAAGGGGGCGCGGAGGGTGAAGAACGGACAAACGTCCAGCAACACCCAGGAGACTGTCCGAGCCTGTGTCCCACTAGAACGTAGCTTGAAGTGAAGTGAACCCATCCGTAGAAACAGACTGAAGAAAACAAGAAAGACAAGAAAGAACCCTCCTCCCAGTGACACCGGAACAAAGAAAAGACGGTGAACAAGTACAAGCCCAAAAGAAAAGAAACAAGACCCTTCCAAAGATGACCACCTCGACGAGGCTGGACAAACATGACCAGTCGTATTTCGCGTGTATAGCTGTACAATCAACAAGGAGAGCCAGTGATACCGTGAAACTTGTCTAACAGAAACCGAGATGCGATTTTTTTCTTTTCCCCAAAAGTCCGGTCTCTTCAAAAACCGTTTTCCAGAAGAGCCACCACGCTTGTGTCGGACGTAGACCCCAAACCTAAACATACATATATCCTGCCACATGTCATCGTGTGTCTCATTAGTAGGGGCCGCGTGTATCCAAGCCCCATCGTGATCGTGATACACCCAAAGGAAAAACAACAAAGGAGATGAAGTGAACAGAAAGAAGGAAAAAACCCAGACATGACGTGTCGTGTCAAGCACAACATGGGGTCGGAAACCAAAAGGGAAAAAAGAAAATGGAGGGGCAAGTGAAAAGGGAAAGATGGGTGATGCCGCGCGGCGCAGCGGTCCAACTAGAACTTGGGGGCGGGGGATTTTGTTTTTCTTGGCTTGGGGCTGCATTCTCTCCTTCACCACGTGCCCCTCTGCACGCTCGGTGCCCGCCGGTATCCAGGCACCGACGTCGTGCGATAGGCCGGCACGGGCTGGCCGTACCGCGCAGGCTCGTAGTGGCGGAACGGGGCCGCCGACTCGCTCCTGCGGGCGCCGTAACCAGATCCGTCGCCGTCGCTCGACGACAGCCAGTCCTCGACCCTGTGACGCGAGCGCGGAGGCGAGGTGCCTCCCCGGAGAGGCGCCTCTGGCGCTCCACCCGCCTCTGGTGGCGCCTCTCCTTCTCTTGCCTAAAAGCCTTGCACTCGTGCGACGTGCTCTGGGCGGCCTTGAGCTCGGCCAGCGCGCCCTTGACACCGAGGGCGGCTAGCCCAATCTTGGCCGTGTCCTTGAGCAGGGCCTTGGACTGCAGCTCATGCGCCTTCTCCTCGGTGATGCGACCCTCCCGCAACGCCTTCTTCTGCTTGATCCGCTTTCCCATGTTCTCGTACACCCCATGCGCCGCATGAATGGTGGCCACGGCCGCGAGGCCGGACGTGATGATTTGCTTACCTCGTAACTTCTTGGCCCGTCGCTCGTCGTCCGACGAGTCGCCCAGGTCCGTGCTGGAGCCCGCGTCAGATCGCGCGCCCTGCTGCGCCGCGAAGACCGGTAGCGGTCGTCCGCGCCGTAGTCATCGTCGTGACGGCGAGAGCCTCGGTCATCCCTGTCTCTGTGGGAGGAGCGGCGGTAGCTGTCGTCGTCATCATCATCATCATCATACCGATTGCGGCGGCGACGCGAGCCCCGGGAGTCATCGTAGTCGCTCCTCCGTCCCGGCGGTCGCGGTCGTCCACGGGGTCATTGCCCAGGCCTAGCTTGGCCAAGCCGCGGCGAGCCGAGTCCACGACACTGCGGCTGCGGCTGCGGCGACGATCGTCGGGCGATCGGCTTCGACCCTGCTGTCCTCTCGCGCGTCGATGGCCTTTTAGCGCCGAAAGCGGCGAGACCAGCGGAAGCCAGGGCGGCGAGACCGCTGCTTCCGCCACCGCCTCCCCCTGTTCTCAGATCGAGATCGAACTCGCGATCGAGAACGGCTGCGGCCGGTTTTCTCGTCCTCTTCAATGTTGCTCTTGGACCCGTGTAGGACGCGGTTGCCCAACAGGCCGCCAATGACGGACTCGGCAATGTTTCTCTTGTTGTGCTTGTCGTCGTCCTGGGCACCGCCGATGGCTCCGGCTCCGATGGCGGCGGTGACGACGCGCTTGGCCTTTTCACCCTTCCAGCCGCCGGGCTCTTGGCGATGCGGAACGCCTCGGTGGCGCCCGCAAGGAGGGAGGCCATGGCGGCCTTCTGCATCTTGTTCATGCTGTGGGCACGCGAGCGCGTGGACCTCGCGCTGTCTCTCGAGTTGCTGCGACCACGGCGGCTCCGATCGTCACGGTTCTTGTCGTCGCCGCCGCCGCCCGTGAGGGCCTTCATGGCAGCGCCGAGGCTAGTGACGCCCAGGGCGCTCTCGAGGAATTTCTTGTGGCCCTTTTTGGCGGGCGGATCATCATCCGAGTCGGAATAATAGTATTCTTGGACCCTTCCGTCGCGGCCGCGATGAACGACGTGAGTGCTCTTATGCTCAGGCTTGACGAGTGTTTGTTGTAGAACTCGGCGCCCTGGTACCCAGCGACGGCACCGGCGGCACCGAGGGCAGCCGAATGAATGTAGTTCCTCTGGATCCGGGCCTCGTCGTCGTCTTCTTTGGTCGTAGCGGCGCGGCGATCATAAAACTCCTTGCCACCCACAGCCAGGGCAGCACCAGCGACGGCGGCGATGATTTTCTCCTGGCGACTCAGGACTCGTCGACGGCGCTTTTCCTCGGCCTCAAAATACGAGTCCGCATAGCCGCCCTTGTGGCTGCCACGAGATCGCTGATGGTCGCGCTCGCGGTAGTCGTCCTCGTAGTATCCCGGCTCGGCGGAGCGGGTACGGCGGGCATCCCGCATGTAAGGATCCGGATATGCTCGCTCAACGGCGAGGGCATCGATGTCCTCTCTGTGCGTGGGTACTAATTCGCGAGAGGTGGGGTAGACTTTGGTGTAAGTTTCCCGGACCTCCCGTTGTTCGCTATGGCGATGACGGCGGTCGCGGTCGCGGTCCCAGTCACGATCGCGGTCATCGTGGCGAGTGCGCGGGGATTCGTAGGGTTCGTAGGCGGACATGGCTGTATTCGATATTCAAGCCGTTCTTCCCCGACAACTAAAGCGTCGTTTCAATAAAAGCTTGTTTTCTGGTCTCCTGTTCAAGGTTTGTTTGTTCCTGGACGGATCGAGGAGAGGGTGGGCCGCCTCGTACTCAAAGCTGAAAGGGCTTGTTTAGAGTTCGACCGGTCCTTTGGTGATGGTGAAATGGCGAGAATGTGGACAATGTGGCGCTAGAATTAAGATGTTGGCTTGGAGATGGATTTAAAACCACGCCAAGCACACACATAAAAAAAAGGGAACAAGTTCTTGGATTGGGAAAGGAAGGGAGAAGGAAGAGGGAGTGTTGAAAAAGAGTCAGCCAACCCAGCCGGCGAGCCAGGGAAGGAGGGGGAGGGGTTGGTGTGCACCGCACCCGAACAGGTCAATGACATGGAGTGATCGATGACGGTGGTGGAGGGGAACGTGGAAAAAGCCCTGGCGCCTGGCCAGGCCCTTGGTTTGGGAGAGTGTGGCGTCACTGGTTGCAAGGGTCATGGCTGGCCTCTTTGCCTCTCTTCAAACATTGCGTGTACTTGGCCTGCGCCGTGGCCCAGAACCGCAATGGTGGGGCGAACGACTGCCGACAGAAGCGTCTGCTCCAATGCAAAGCATCCATCACTCCAAGTACAAGTGTTGACGTAGATACTTGCATACTGTTGTATTTCTGCACGTTGCTTGCTGTGCCCCAAGTGCCCCTGCTTGTACTTCGCGGACGATGTGAACCTAGCGTTGACGGATGGTGCATTGATCACTGAGAAATCTCTCTTTTGCCAGTCCAGTGCGAACTTGCGCACTTTCAGAATGATAATAAGATTCCAGCCCTCTCAATACCGTGACAAGGCGCCAGGAAGAAAATAGTACGAGAAAGAAAAGAAAAGAAGAATAAAATTATCCACAAAAGAAACTCCCCCAAAACGTCTCCAGACAAAGCGAAAAAGAACAACAAAGAAACAAAGGGGGAGCCAACTTAGTCCCGCTGAACGGTCGGTGGTGGCAGCAGCCGACATCAGGTGAGCACTCGACAAGAGGGTCCGCTGGTCTCGCTGTCTCGTTCTCGCCGTTCGAACGCGAGATCTATCCATACATGGATTTTGAGGAGGCTGAGGGACTTCAGGAAGAGGGAGAGGGTACTGGAAGAGAGGAGGGGACGACGGGCGCCCCGCTTCAATGCTTCTAGAGGCAAAGAAAGGACAGGGCTGACAAGTTTCCGTGAAACAACCCTGGTCTTGTTGTCTCGGTCGATGCCGAGCTAATGCCTGTCGTTTGTCGTTTGAGGGATGGGTGACCAAAACCAACATGAACCCGATGCTGTGCGCGTGTACAGCTGTGCCCCTTCGTGTGTGTTGCCGTCCTCCTCGCTACTCTTTTTATTTTTTTATTTTTTTATTTTTTTATTTTTTACTGTACGATCTTTGTAGTCTTGGTGAAGGAATATTGAAAAGAGTCATAGATATATTTCGAAAAGCACTGCCCTGCGATAACGACCCTACGACCCAAACGCCGTCCATGGAGATGCTTCATAGTGATGGCCTCTATTAATCCATTTGGTTCTGGCCCATCATTGTCACTCCTTGGGTTTCCCTATAATGTTTGCTCCAAGGTCGAAACCTCCCGCTCACAGAAGAAGAAACCTCCCAATCAGCCAACCTCTGATGGGGACATGGAATTTCCTCACATTACCGCCCCAATATTATCGTGTAGCAGCCGTGCACGTCAGTATCCGTTACTGCGTAGCCAAAGGGTATTTGATATCACCAAAGGTGCCTTCTTCCTCCTTGTCCCCCAAAGTTCCACATCGAGCCCTCTATTGTAATTGACCCTTCCCCGTGTACTCTTCAATGTTAATGCGTCCCTCGTTGTGCAGATCCGCCTTAAAGAACAGAATTCGCGATCCTCCCGGTGCCTAGAACTGCGAGCGTCCCAGCCAAGCGGGGCTGTGCGTGGCCACTGTCCACCGCTCACAGATCCCTCCCCAGGGACACGGATTTGCCCGATACCCAGAAGAAATCCCACTGGAATAGATGAATCTAGGTCTGGACTTAACCAATGCTTGCAAGCTCACGCTTTTCAAATGACTAGGCCGCTGCTGATGAAGCTGCGGAGGAATGAGCCGCACAAGAATTAGCCCGTTTAACGTCTCGGTCTCGCCACTCCGCAGTCGGGCCCGAAAATTACAGAGGCCAAGCAAACAATTCGATGTTGGTTCTGCCCTGTGAGGCCTCACCCCCCTCTGCCTCTCTCTCATTGATCAACTTCTACCCTCAATGAGTGTAGTGTTGCTGCGCTTGAGGCCCTTCCGTCATGCAAGCACCACCAGATCGAGTGACAAAACAATCAAAGGGAAAAGGTCGGAGAAAAGAACCAAGAGAGGGCTAGACACCAAACCCCTCCACGCCGCCTCATTTTCCCAGACCGTCCGCCTCGTCCTTCCCGACGCCCAGGGTCGCGCTGCAGGTGTCTCGCTCCCCAGGCCCTGATGCCAAGAGCGAGCACGACCCTTGAAGCTAGACTGGAAATGGAGATAGAAAAATAAGGAAGAGGAGAGAGAGAGAGAGAAAGAGAAATCTTTCTAGACGGTAATCTCTTCTTCATCCAAAAGCGAAGGAGGCAACTTCATCCCCCATCCCACATCCAAGAACGCACCCGTAAGGCTAGAACTAGCCTCATAAGGCCGCTTCTGCCCAAGGAGTAAGGCAGGCAACCACCCTACTTTTGTCCAAGGAGATCGGGAAATGCTCGAAACGGCGCGGCCCAACGACCCCTCATACGTAAACCTTTATCACACTATCCTCTACCGCCAGAGACTCTCTTCCTCCTTCCTCCAGCTTCTGTTCCCCTACCCAATGTCATCATTACCGTCATCGCTATTATCCCCACAAGTTTCACTGCGACTCGCATCTCCAATCTCACCCCCTCTTCAAATTTGCTCTTTGGCTCGCCGTGGGTGCCCCCTACCAACCCGCTTCCCGGGCGAGTAAGGAAGTGCCACGAGGGTTCCCGCTGGCTGCTGGCCCGAGAAAGAACGGAGGGGGCATGCAAAGAGACCTCTTCGTCTTGATGCAGAAAAAGAAGAAAAGAATAATAAGAAAACCCCCAAGACCATCATCATCATGCGATGCTCCCCACTCAACCCCCGCTGCCCTCCCCGGGAACAAACCCCCCAAAAGGGAAGAAAACAAGATTTTAGAAGCTTGAGAGAATGCCCGTCGACGTTCTGTGATGTCCTGCTCAATGCATGTCTTGTCCTGTCCGGAGCTCGGATGGCTGCAATGGGTGGACGTTGGAAGCGGTCACGTCCCCTAGTCTGCAAAACATCGGAACTGGGAGCCAAAATGGCGGAGGCTGCCGAGGTGGGGGTATGACCGGACCTGGTGCCCATGATGTCATCAGAACAATGCACGCAGCACAGCACCCACGAGAAAGCTTTCAAATCCCTCCTTCCCTCAAAAGGAAGAAAAGGATCAATTGTATGCTGGTCACCATACCAAGTGCTAGTCTAACCTACTATAGGTTTCGAGAGCTCGAGAAAGAGAAAATATTAAAACAGCTTTTCTTCGTTATTCTTTCCCTCTAGTTTATTTTTTGTTCTTTATTACTTGGTAGAAAAATGAGGCCGCAACCGATTTTTATCTTTTTCCATGCCCTGCTACTCATACATGCAATGAAGAAAACTCTCCATGATAGTTTTTTGAATCGAAGAAAAAGGGAAAAAAACCTTCAGAAGAAGAACTAATGATGATGGATGAAAAAAAAAAAAAACGCGGAATGGAAGCAAGAAAACAAAAACGCAAAAATGCGTGTTGGAACTGGGGCACAAAGAGGCGATCAAAAAAAAAAAAAGGAAAAGAAAACCCTCCCCTACGCCGTTGTTTGGGCCGTCTTTTTGAGTGTGCGCTGTGTGAAGATGAAGCAAAAGAAAGATGAAGGTAAAAAGAAAGTGTAAGACGAGTCTAAGTTCGTGGCCATCCACATCGTCGAGCCTCATTCCCCTTGGTAACATTCACCTTCCGTTCCCCGCAGCTTTGGTGTCCGCCTCGTCACTGTATCTGAAGAAGGAGAAAGAGTGCTCGCGGAGGACCTTGGACTTGAAGCACTCAATGGAAACTGGCCTCTCGTAATGACGCGAGATGGGATCGAGTTACGGAACCCGTGAGACCGAGACCGAGCCATGTCTTCCGAGTTGAAGGGGCTTCGGTGCAGACCTCTGAAGCAAAAGATAGACGCTCAATGGCTGCACATGGTTGTAGGAGTATTGGTACACCACCCATGTCCTGCCTTGGCCTTGCCCTGCCAGCAGCTAAGAAAATCAACGTGCAGGCGCCATCTGACCCTTGCAGTTGGCTAAACAGGCTACAGGTAGGTCGTTATTGGGGTCGTCAAGTAGTCATCCCCCTCCGTAGAAGCCTCCTGAAGATTTGTTAGGTCTTGTCATCGGCGACTGTTTTAGAAGGAGAACCAAGGCGGCCATGCCTGACAGGGCCTTATGGGGCCACCGCCTCAGAAACGAGGTCCCCGAAAGAATAAGGGATGAAATGAAATAGCTTTGGTGCAACGACGGTGCCACGGACGCCGATTATTCTCGATGGGGCCTGATAAAAGACACCTTCGGGAGATTTTCTGGAAAAAAGTACGACGACGATGACGACGTCAGAAGTAATGATGAAAAAAAGCAGGAAAAACGAGACAACTTTTGTTGTAGCTCAGACGACCCGACATGCGTCTGATATTATTGTCTGGTGTAATCGATACCAACGAGGGTAAAAGCAAAGGGAAAAGGAGCGCGCCAGGCCATCGAGCAGGACCTAGCAGTCCATTGGAACAATCTCTTCGCAAGAAACCAAAGCATGCTCCGCGCTTTTCATATGTTCAGTCCCCCTCTTCAAAGAGAGTCGCTTGATTGACACCCGTAGTGAGGCGTCCTCTGTCGACAGCCCGCTCACGTCACCCACAGCACCCACTCAAGATCAAGAAAAATCTAGCTTAATCTAGGATTCTTGAGCGGCAACGTTGGCGTTGGAAGCGTCCTGAGGCCTGATGTTGGCTTCCTCTTCCGACTTTTCGTTAGGCGTGTGGGCTGCGCTATCAGAGCCAGCAAAAGAGCCATCTCCAGCGCCGGCGCGGGGCGAGAACTCAGCCACGGTAGGCTTCAAAACCGTATCGCGACTAGTGGCGATGCTGCCCTTGGCTGGCGGGTAGCTGTTGACATGTTCTCCGGCATTGCCGTTGAGAAACGGCTCGCCTTGACTTCGCCAAAGGCTCCGTAGTGATTCATCGCCGGGCCGTTTGGATGGAAGTTGCCGGGAACCATGTTGGGGTGAACAGGATACTGTTGTTGGCCAGGGTGGAAAAAGTTCACCGGGCCATCATTTTGAGCAGCCTCATTCCTCTCGGACATAGGGAGGACCCAGTGTATGGGGTTGTTGACGGTTCGGAGACGCTCGATTCCGTCCTCCGTGCCAACAACTAGCTCGACATCCCGCGAGGCCAAACACGCTTGACGGACATAGTTCAAGGGCTCGCCGAGACCTTGCAAAGGCCGCTTACCCGATTGAAGCCCGCGACAAGCGACAGAGGGGCGAAACCTTGCGAATCCATGTTCTTACGCAAGAAAATGTCACGGCAAAGGTTCTGGATGGAAAAGTACCAGCTCAGCTGGGTGGAGAGTGCGGAGACCAGGTAAGGATCGACGTAAAAGGTTTGGGGAGGGGTTTGGGGGTAGCTCATGACCGATGCGCCGTGGAAAGTGTGGTCGTAGCTCACGACAGCAGGCTGGGCATGCCTACCAGGCCCGTTGTTGGATGACGCAGCGCCGCGTGACGGACCGGAGCCGCCACGACCACCGCGGCCACCCCGGGTTGCGGAGGGCCCAAAGGACTGGTTGAATTGATTCTGACGCACAGGAGGGCTATAGGGGTTTTGGCGAACAGCCCCATTCGAAGGATAGCCGTTGAATGAGGAATGCTGCGAGTTAAGTTGAGACGAGGATCCATGGTAATTGCCACGGTTTCGGGGACCTCCTCGGGTGCGCTCGCCTCGTGTGTCGTGTTTCTCGCGACCGTGCTCCTACAATCAGAACCCGTTAGCATCACAATCGGAACTTGTCCCTAACACATGGAAAGGGGCCTAATCAAGACCTGGAGAGTTAAAAGGAAAGCTAGTGAAGTGTGTGGTGGCTTACGTTGGATGACTGATCCTTGGATTTGTTTGTGCCGGGGACCGAGTGTTTGCGTTGCTCGCGTGTGGTGGGTGCATCGACAGATCCACGCTTCGTGGGCATGGGAGGAACGGAGCTACCTCGGGGATGGGTAGGGCCTTCTCGAGCAGCCTCGCGAGTCTCACCGTTAGCCTTCGCGGTGGCCGCGGGAGCACCGGAGCTACCCTTCTCGCCATCTTTCGTGGCGCTGGCAGCGTGTCCGCCTCGGGTGGTTCCCTCTCGCCCACCGCGGGCACCGCCCCTGGGGCGGGCACCCTTGTGCTGTGGAAGAGGGGTTTGGAAGTTGACAGTGGGGACAAAATCCATCTTGACCCAGTCCTTCTTGCCATTCTGCTTCGCCTTCAGGCCAGCGGGGTCGTCGGAAAGAGTAGGCTTTTCAACCTTCTCGAAGTCGATAGCTTTGTCAATAGACTTGCGCTTCTCCTCCTTAGACACTGTGTTGGGAGTGGGCCACGAGGCAACATCGTCACTGGGAGTGGCATCCGTGGCGCGGCGGGCATCATTCTTGGTGAAGCCGTTCTTGCGCGCAGCCTCGCCATCACCACCCTTTCTGGGTTGGGGGCGCTGCCTGTAGAGTTCTCGCTCGAGGCTTTCTGGCTGCTGCCAGTTTGGGAGGCGCCACCCTTGCGAACGTTGGAGTGTGTCGCATTGGTAGGTACCGGAGCAGAGGGTTTCACGGGCTGAGCGTTGCCAGTCTGCTGAACCTTTGCCATTTGGGCATCGCGTCTTTGATGCCAGGGGTTAACAGTGGGGATGGGAGCCTCAAAAGCTCAACCTTGGGGGAGGAGTTTCCTTGACGGTCTCGGCCTCTTCCGAGGATGCCTTGTCACTTGAGTCTGCGCCATTTGTGGCGGTTTTCGACTTCTTCTCTCTCCTATTTCTCTTGTTATCCGCGCCGGAAGATGTGGGTCGCGATTGGGTCGGTCGTCGACCGGGTCCCTGAGATCTAGCACCCTTTACGCTTCGCTGAGCCGAAAGCTCGGAGCTGGTATCATCGTCTCGCCTAGAGTCACCGGACGAGGTTCCCAACGAAGGGGCGGTATCATTTTGCGTTGTGCAACTGGCATCGGAAACGCTGGGTGCCGTCGCAGCGGCAATGCTGTTCATTTTAGCTTCCTGAATGGCTTGGAAGCCGTCTGGGCGGGCGTCGGTAGGGAGAGCAGCAGGCTCGGGGACGTCGCCGTCAGGGGAATTCTTGAGAGTAATATCCTGGGGTCCTGTAGAAGGGGACTCGGGAGCAGCGGAGGTTATAGGGGTAGACGGTGTTGATGTCGACGAAACTTTTGGCCCTTTGCAGCTTGGGCGTAAGAAAATGGGGCGGTCGCGGTCGGCATTTTGGATGTCGAAAGTTCAGGAAGGACAGAGAACTTGGGTGCAAGTTCGCCTGAAGAAAGAAATGAAGAAGGAAAAAAACAATTGGGAGATGCCACCAAATACTGTGATGAGTCGACTACCTTTTGACAGTCGGGTAGACGTCTGCTAGAGAGGGTTTGGGCGCGAAAGAATCGGCAGTCCACTCCCCGTGATCCCCTCTAAGAGGTTGTCCGGAGAGGTGCTTCGAACCTCCCCGCACTCCGTCGACAGACGAGGAAAACCAATCGGTTAGAGGGCTATTGTAGCCTCTGTTCTCCGATTTATCGGACAGTCGTATATGAGTAAGTCGAAGGGCGATTGGGGTTCGTCGTTCTAGATACGGCGAGATGACGCTTGGGCTGGTCCGAGCCGGCGTCAAGGCAACGCAGGAAACTGATGCAGACAGAGGGGCTAAACAGGTTGAAGCCTACGGCGAAGAGAAGGCGAGGTAATAAGATCTGTTAAGATCTATTGATGTTGGACCTCGCTGCAACTGATCGACAGGCGGTGGATAAAGAAGGGAAGAAAAAAATTGAATCGCTGTGTGGGTGTGATGAGGAAGGAGAAAATTGAGATGGTTCTGTTTGGGAAACGGAGGTGTGGAAGAGGAGAGGGCAAAACATAAAAAAAAAAAAAAATTATGAACGATATTCGGCTGATGGGGAAGGAGGAGACACTAGCACGGAGTACTAGTCAACCCTCCGAAGGAAGGGAAAATCTGGTGTACCTGGTTCCCACTCCAGCCGACAGCTCCGGATTGGATAGCCCCAGGTTACAGCAGTGTGACAGCTCTCCAATTCAGAGATGTAGAAGCCGAGTTGTTGTTTCCGTTAATAACTCCTTCCTCGTACACCTAAATATTATAGAGGGCAAGAGGAGAAGAAAAGAAGAAAGGGATGAGGAAAAGATGATGAGCGACAAGTTAGTTTGCGTTGATGAACATTCAAAAGGGGAGGTTTGGCAGGGTGCTAAGGAAGGGGATGGGGCGGGTTGAGAAAATGTGAGTTGACCATGTGCTAGTAGTATGTGGCATCCACCCATTCAACACCAAAAGAGAAAAAAAAAAAAAAAAAAACTGCATAAGAAGAGTCTTGGGCCGGTACTTCACACTCGAACGGTGGATTAGAGGAATATACTCTGTAGTAGAGTAAAAGTGGGTACAGTACTGAGAATTGAGGTGTCTGAGGTGGACCACACCTGGACACACTGGATCAATTGAAGAGAGGACAACGGCCAGACAAGTTGGGGTTCATTATTAGTCATTGGTTCATCGGCTTCAGCACTGTTCAGCGCTCCTTGCGTCTCATCAATTGAACTGCTGTTTGTACCTCGCCGCCAGTGTCTCCCGGCATGAGGGCATTGGTAGAGTCGGCTATTAGGCTTCGACTTGGCCTTGACCTCAAGTCATTCATCGTAATATTACGCACGGGTACGGGCAGCACTGGTCATGGTTTTCTTTTTCTAGCTTCCTTCCAGCCCCTCAGACACCACTAGGTCTAGATGGAACCTCATCACGAGATCCGGGGTTTCCTGGCTGTCTTTGGGATCATGTTGGGAGAGCCATCCATGTATCGGAAGAAAGAAGTTCCCGAAAAGCAATGCTGGCCTGCAATTACCGACCGCGCTGGAGCTTTTAGAGCGCGCTGTTCGCCACTCTGCAGCGCCCCCATAGTGTAGATCCTGACACCTTCCAGCGCAACTTAATGTTTGCTGACAAGACACCCATCAGCCTTTGATCAATGATCCGTTCTTTTTCTTTTATTCTTTTTCAGCACCCTTGCCCCTGCGAAAACAGCACACACTGCTGGCAATCACGACGAAATGTCGAGCATCTTTCACTTTTGATGGATCGTATCGGTGGAAGGGGGATGGATTGCTGCTGCCGCCGGACTAGCCCCACCAAGGAAGTACCTCGGGCCCGTTCTACGCACCACCCGACAGTATTACGCTGTGCTCTTCCCACTTGAGCTCCACTAATTCTAAATGGGGGTCGAGAAAGATCAATGATGCATCATCCGATGGACTGAGGCACTCTGAGAAGAACCTATGAGCTCTGCATCGCGAAAGATGAAAGGGGGCGTGACCCTGAATATGATTATGGGACCCTCGGATCGATCTGAAGGGTACGTAGGGACCAAAGGAAACAGGCTACTACCGTTTGGCTTTGTCTGCACGACCTTCGTCCCAGAGGTTAAGAATCAATTGATATTATACTCTAGCTTTTCTAGCCGCACATTAACCAAATGAAAGTACTATTGCCCGTTGGCACAGTCGTAACAGAGCATGTCACGGGAATTGACCTGCAAGTTGGAAACAGAACCTAGCAAACTTGCCTAAAAATAATAACATGAAGGCAGGAGGAGCTCGACAGATCCATGAGAAAGCGCCTCACTCAGGTTCCAAGGTCGGTGTCTGGTGGCAGTAACTTTTTTCCCCTCTGAGAAAAGAGGTCTTGCTCCAATTTGCCGTTTGTGACCGCTCTAAGCCCCAAACTTGTAATTTTCTCTCGGGCTGCCTAGAGAAAATCGAACTAAACATACATTGATAGGTACCGATTAATGCATTGGCGCCGTTGAAGCTCCCGAGATGCAATATTGAGTATGCTATGATGCGAGAAACTTGGTGGGAGAAGTGGAGAGGGGGACCACTCCTCTTTGGCAACTCACCTCGGCACATGCTAGCCCGTGCTCGAGCTGGCCCGAACTGAGGTGTCTCTTTCCACGGATGTATTAATCAAAGAGGAATCTTACCTCGTATGTGTTTTCTCGAAAGATAAGCGGGCTTTCAGGGCTATGAACTCTCTTCCCCAGTTGCAATACGGATGGAGCCGCGATACGCTGAAACTCTTCGACGTTGGCTGAGGTGATCCCTGGCACCTCGGATATCAGCAATGATGGATTCGGCTTTGAGGGACTTGCAAGAGCAACCGGATAGCCGGGGCTTGGTATGGATTGGTTAGTGCTACAAGGGAGCAATCTCCTCCAACATCAAAAATAATATGGTATCGAGTCATTATGGGAAGGGAAGGAACATCACTTGGTAGGTGGGTGGGATCGCAGTCTGACGCCACAAACCCTTTTTCCTTTCGCTACACCATGGAGGAGGGAGGGGAATTAGGAGCGCTGGTGTTCTGAACCTGCCATAGAGGCCCGTCACCAGTAATACCAGACCATAATCCTGCTCGATGAGTGACGCTTAACCGCTGGAGCCAGCCCTAAGAAAGGCACTGCATTGCTCATGATTTCTGTGATTGGTAGGGAATGTCAAGGTGACCCAATTCCCGTTGATTCCATTCCCTGGGCCCGCACAAGGTCGAATTGATCAAATATTCACTGGGGCCAAAGAAAAGTCTCCAAGAAATGGTACAACCTGAATAGTATGTGGAACTGTACACCCCACCCTAAGAAGAAAGCACGGGAGGAAAAGCGCCCCGTTTATCAGCTATAGCGCGGTAACTGCGAAGGAGAATATCTGATCGATTGATCCATTCCATTCAACGTGCATTCAATAATGTACAACTTCAGTGCAGCCATGCATGGACTTGACGAAAGGATTGACTTTAGGTTGCTGATACACTGATCCGCCCTCGTGTGCAGCTGACTTCACGCCCATCATAGAGGCACAGCCATTATAGAAGCACTCTCTGAAACCAGCAAGGTAATGCCGAGCTATAGGCTTCGCGATGATATAAGCTCGAATTCAAGAGCGATGATGTCGGTTAGAGAAAGGACACGGTGAATCAAAAAGAAGCAAAAGAAGAAGAAAAACCTAAAGACACGGCCCATCGTTAACCAGAATGCAAGTAATCAATTGATCTCATTGATGTGTCTAAAGTGTGGCTCAAGTGAAAACCTGGGGCTGGATCAAGTTGACAAGAGCATATTTGATTCTTTCAGTACTCGAGTACATGTCGAACCTTCACCATGCGTCCAAAACCTTTCGCTCCTTCGCTGGCTCCGGCCAAGCGGGAAGGCACTGGACGGAAAGCGGTTGCCTAGGTCCACATACCCTTGACTTTTTCTCGGATCACACGCCTGCCCTTTCCTCCCTTTTCCGATTCGATAATACTCCAAGAAATGAGGGAAGGAATGGACCCAAATGATAAGGATAGAGCCTAATACTGTTCGACACTCGAAACCTTTTGTTGACCCAGTGGTGTTCTAACTCAATAACTCAATAGGAGAGAGTCGTCTATCCCTATAGTGAGCGAAGAGTCTAAAATGCGCATGTGTCTAGACCTCATGTCGGAACAGGGATCAAATGCTCCAAACGCGCACGTTGACGGGCTTTCTCGGAAAGGCTCAATTACTTGCAGTGGTTCACTTTTACACGCAGAGTTTTCCTCGGCTGGGCCTTCTCCCACCCCGCGCCCGCGGCAGCCCCCTGGCAAGCTCAGTGTGGGATTAATAACTCAGATTCAAGGGCCTTTTCCGTGGAAGGCCATGGCGGCATTCTATCGAGGTAATAGGTAGGTGACAGTGACAGTGACATAAAAAAATGCAGCTCCTAATGGAACGGAGCCCAGACCTTTGTTTCCCTCGGTCCTTTGGCGGGCGAGAGATGTTTTGGCCTTTGTTGAAAATTTTATTGCCGGGCAGGAGAGATGACAGTAGCCAGAAGAGAGCCATCATATCTTGTTCGAGATCACTTATCAAGGGGATTTTTCTAAGAAATTTTATACCTTTATCCGTTGGATCTTAGCTTGATATATCCTTGCTTGGCTGTAACTGTAACTGCCACCCATCTCATGAATGACAAGCCCATTGTTAGGGATTGCTTTGAACGGGCGCTAGAGACACCAAGGCCACGCGTGCCTCTCTTCACAGGCCGCCGAATTCTCCAAGATGAAGTTGAAATAGATAAAAATAAAATTAGATATACCTCAAAATCAAAAGCGGGGAGGGTCGCGGTCGCCGGTCTGCGCAAGTTGCGCTGCGATTAGGTGGTCTCGGACGGGAGAAGAGGAGACAGGGCAAGACTAGCCCACCAGCATATAATATTGTCGGATCAATTGATGCGCTCAAAAATGCCAAGCCATTCCTCGGACATCTACATCTGGGGCCAGCCAAGCCAGACGCCATTTGTCGATCCTTCAATAGAGAAGTGTTTGACAGTGATCCGCTCCTCCCACACTCAGGCCTTCCGCCCGGCTTGGTCCCACATCCGTTCTCGACGTGATAGATATATCAATGTAAATATCGCCTCTATGCCTTGGGAACAGAATGTTGTGTGGCTTGATACCTGGTAGGATAGGAAGGCAAAAAGCATAGGAGTGGACGCGGGAGGCCCCGGGGGACACAAGCAGTAATACGGGAGCCTGGTGAGGACCGCCTTAGGCAGGGTTAAACAAGAGAGGGCCTAGTGAGGACTGGTTAAAACCTGTTCGGCGCGCGTCAATCCTCCAACAGAGTGGCTGCCTCGCCATGCGTTTGGCCATTGCGATCGATTATGCTTTGCGTCTAGCCGTGTTGCGCTGTGTGCAATGAAGGGGCCTTTACCCCCTCCCCGAAACTAGCTAGTCGAGCCGAGACTCGCCTTTTGCCTCTGCGAGCCTTCGGGCATCAACCTTGTCCCTTCAACCAGCAGCCTTCCGTCACTCCTCACCTTTGGCCGTAATCTAAGATCTTCAAGTAACCTTTAGGGAAGTGGCGCAGTTACCGACTTCCAAAGCGAAATGTAAGGCAGTGCTATATTTTTCAAGGCCTTCGATGCCCAAGTTCCAGTGCCTGTCATCCAAGTGAAAATCACCATCCCTATCAAGCTTGAAGGGCTAGCACCTCGAGCTCGAGTAACCGTCGCTGCGGGGGCGGTGCACGGCTGGCGTTATCACAGCCCCGGTATCGCGGCTCTGACACAGGCAGACACTGGACTGGCCGAGAGATGAAGCTTCTTTACAACCACTAACACCTGGAAGCAATGTGGCATGCATGCATGCATGCCCTCTCGGAAGCGAGTATGCACTCGACTCGAAAGACCCAAGCACACGCACTTCTGAACGTCAGCGAAGATCGCTACGTTGGGCTGCAGGTCGTTGAGATGTATACCCCTCCGCGTTTGCAGAGATAAAAGATATTCTGACGACGCGACGAGGGTGTAATGTACCCCGTTGTCGTGGCTCTGAATCCCGCCTGGACCTTGGTTGTATAGCTGACGTGCCGGCTGGAACACACATGGCCGAGCACGCCTACAGACAATCTCAGGACCATATCCAACCAAACTCAACGAGAGGTAAGCGCAAGGCACCCGATAGTACGGCGCACTTTGATGCGGAGAAAAAGGAGGGAACAGGAAATTCCCCGACCTCTTTCGGGCTTTGGGGCAATTGCGACAACTAGACATCGTCTCGGTGTGGCCCAAGGCTACTGAGCTGGGGTCTCGCGCCATACTGGTGAGAAGAGTCAGAGGCCCTTGACCCGGACCCTCATGGCAATATATAGAATTCTGTCAGCCTCATTTAACAAGTAACTCGCAATAGATATACATAGACCAGGCAATCCGAACTCTGTTGCTATATCTGGGCAAACTCTTGTTGTAAAACACTGATATACATAATACATATCTCTCTTTCCGCTTTCCAAGCGCAACCGACGTTGCGTCTGAGGGGTAGAGCAGGGGCTACCAACAAGTAATGAGGGGGCGAAAAAGTTGACGCTTCTTTCACCAATACGATTACATTTACAAATAGGTTCGTTGTCGACCACGTCTGACGGGGTTTGCCGGGCAAGTGAGGAACCCTTCATCACTAGCTACAGACCCCAGCTCTCTACTTACCCCAGCATCCAGGACGTTGCCTGGCGAGTCCCATAGCTTGCGGCAATGCGTAGGCCTGCAGATCCCATCGGAAAGTAGCTGACGAGATACCATATCAAGCAGACGATCTGGACAATGGCGGAGATGAGGGTGAGGAGAGTGCTGTGAAGCTATGCGGACGGACACCCCAAGTCAGCGCTGATTCTGCTAGGCAAGTACGCAGGGGGTACGCGGTTGTGCCGATAACACATTGATCATTGTTGGATGTGGGCAAAGGACTTACACCAAGAGAGAAGTAGAATGTGAGGAAAATGGATCCTACGTAGGCGGCGGTAAATGGTAGTCGGGTGCCCGAAATGAGATGCTGGAAGTATGCCATCGGGCCCATGACGGCGGCGAAAGACGCCATGAAGAGAATAGATCCGAGAGTCCATCTGCGATTGAATATTGCGTATTAGAAACGTAATTCCATTCCGGATCAGGCGCTATCCTGAGGCTCAACCCATCACAAGGGCTTATTCGATCCGGTGCGGTTCTATCTAGACATGTCACGCGAGGGCAGGCCTGCCATGCGGGCGGGCAGTCGCAGCTGAGGGGATAGAGGGCCTGCGAGCCGTAAGGCGAGGAGGGACTACCTCCCAAGGCGTCACGGCGGGATTTCCTCAGCTGGCGGCAGACACCTAGACAGACGCTTGTCCGATTATGGTGCATTGCCGGAGCCAAAAGTCTGCGCGGGCCAGAACAACACCGGCAGAGAGGGCGAGAGTAAACATCTGCGCATTGAAATCGGCGATTGGACGGGGAATGAGGTGGGTAGGAAAGCTTTCGTGACCCTTGTAATCCGCCCAAAGAACGAGAATAGCACTTACAGAATGACAAACTTTCTCGGTCTCGTGGCTAGGATGGGAAGGAGAGAAAATCCGATAACGAAGCAAGCAATGGCAGCCAGGTTGCACACCGCAAAGATCATTAATCGGTCCCAGCGGCTCACTGCGAGGCGAAGGGGTCTAGTTAGCCTCAAGTCATTTGGAGGATGAAGAGAAAGCAGGGGGCCATGTAAAGCGAAGAAGAAGAAGGGGGCGTGTGTGGAAGGGGTGATAATTTGTGTTCACATGGGAAGCTAGAACGACGTGCAGATGCACACATGTCCATCTGCAAGGGTCCCGAGAATCACAGCAAATGGCCTTGTTAAAAGAGGAGCAGGAGGGAGGGCAAGGAGGGAAAGGGATAGAAACGACGAAAAGAGTCTGTGACTTACGGGCAAGCCAGCCTTCCTCTTCCTCACGTCTGGTCGGGGCGGGCAGAGGGGCACCTGCGCTTTCGGTTGTTGGAAGCTGCACATAGCCTCCGCCCCCAAAAGGGTTGAGTGACCTGAGCGAGGACAGGAGGCCACTCTGCTGGGAAGTGTTGACGGGAAGGTCGGGATCCCGCCTACTCCAACCCAGAGAACTGATCGAGTCCGTGAAAGAAGAGGATGCCATCTCCTTGACTCGACGTTATAGTTACGTCACTACCCGGCAGATCGCTGCAAGGGTTGCTTTCGCAAGCGACGGTATTATTAGATATCGTGGGGTGGGAGCGAGGTGAGCACTTGCGCCCAGTCTCAGATATGTACGGGATGACCTCTGCGACTGAGGGGGCGGTACTAGAGAAGGTTGCGCGCGAGAAGTATGCAGGACCCTTGATTCGCTAGATCGACAAGTCTTCGGATGCGGTATGACCCCGAATATTAGTCGAGGTGGGAGAGAGACGTGAGTGGGTACCACGGTGGGTGGTGTTGTCGGCGAGCAGGCCGGAAGGTGAAGGTTATGGTGTGCCGGAAGAGGCTTGGCTGCTCCACAGTACGGAGGGTCAGCAGAGTAGATTTGGATTTAACAGGTGGCCCTACACGAGCCGGGGGTTTTGAAGAAGAGAGAAGAATGCTCGCGGACGACATGCAAGGCACCGGGTTAATGAACAGGAAGGCAGCCTAGCAACAACGACTGGCCGCGTCGTCCCCTTACCTACAAGGTCAAGGCAATGACGTGAATTATACGTCCTGTACGTGTCCACCTGAGTACAGCGGCTGCAGGAGAAAGCGCAGGAATGAGGATATGCACCAACTTGGAGGGTCGCCGGATGCCCGGAAAGGCTGGAGAGCGAAGCCTGCTGCAGCACTGGTCGGGTTGCTGTTGCGGTGGTGGGTTGGAGGGCGCGGGATGAGCTTTCGTCGGGAAACCGGCGGTCGTATTTGGGAGTTATCTGCCGGAGGGTTGGGTAATATTAGATGGCAATGGTGGGAGAGAGGCGGTCTGTTAGCTGGGGCGAAATGTTTTGCGATCGAGTGGCTACGGCACCAAACGTTGGAGGATGCGCAACCAGGCTCGGTTCGAGACCAGGGTGTGGTTGATGATTGTGTCGTTGATGGTGGTGTGGCTTGGGGGTCACAGTACGTAAGAATCCAAGGCGTTCATGGCAGGGGTCATCGAGTTTCTGTGGCTCATCGCAACCAACGGAGGAGCTTGGTTGGCCAGCCTGCTGAAAACGAAGCCGCTAGTGGCCTGAGACGTTGAAGAGCTCAGCACCTTGATTGCCTGAGTCTATCAAATGCGGCCCTGGTGTGGGAGTTGTTGCCATCCATGGATGAATCCCGACCTCGCGCACGAGCCACCAAAAGTACCCAAGTACCCTCCTGCCTCTGTCTGTTTGGGACGACGAAACGAGCACATGATTGGCGGCATGTCTCACATGAGGTCTTCTATAGTGCTATAAGAGCTCCCCACGCACTGTAGCTTGGGAAACCTGGCCGAGGATTGAAGGGGGAAGCTCGAAAGCAGGAAACCCAGAAATCGGGCATGGATATCCAGAATCGAAAAGTTGGAATCCCATCTCCGACACCGCTACAGGATGCAGTATCGCATCTATCCATGATCCAGATGATATGGAAAATGTACATGGCCCGGAAGCAGGCATTTCGAAACCCTGATCTTGGCCGTCTTTTCTTCAAGGCGAGGGGAGTTCGATGATTGAAGGCCACCCTCTTCGAAGTTTACGACTCGATGTCTGGGGAAGGGGGCTGCTTCCTCTTGCTCACGATTTCGCTTGACGTGTGAGGGTGGGGCTTGAAGAAGCGTAGGCATAAGAATGAGCAAGCTTCATGCTGACGAGCGGCACCCAACTCAATCTACGCCGCAAGCGCTGCAAGTAATACGGCTGCCGCTCGCCGCTCACCCTGGATTCCTGCCAGTTGGGATTTGGTCCCCTCAAGCTGGCCCCTCCCATCCCCCACCGCCCCCTGTCCTCCCCGCAGCTTCTTGACCGATGCCGCGCTTCCTCCCAGAAGAGGGTTTAGACTCGCGATATCAAGGAAGATCCCGTGAGGTTCACCTTCCCACAGGGCTATAGCGCATCACCTGGTATTGGTTCTGCCGGTCTGTACTGTGTGAATGGCTGAAGGAGCAATTCTCGAGAGTAATACTCCGAGCATTATGCTTCTCATGTGCATCGTGTCACGGAAGGGGCCATGACAGGCAATGATCGAAGCAAAGTATACAGTGGGACATAACCGCCAGCGCTAGTCCTTCCTCGTCGTGATGCACACCCTTAACTTTCCGAGCTCATACCACCTGCCTGAGGTCGCAGCCGGCGTGCATCTCCAGGGTTAAGTGCTCCAATAAGGTGTGAGGCGAACTCCCCAAACCAGTGGTTTGACGCTCCCATGTACGAAGTCGGAGGCGCATTGCCTCTTATCCCTGGCAGGAGGCACCGCTCGCTCTAGAAGGGTATCATTGGGCGGTTGCCGCGATATCATCATTGAAGGCCTCACTATCTACGAGGTACGAAGTATGTCGAGGTCGCCTACAGAAAAAAACGCTGTTGGTGGGAATAGTATCAACACTTTGTGGGTAGAAGACAAATCCCAGCCTTTCAACCAGTCCTTCGTCCTTCTCTAGACCGGATTCAGGATCGGGCCTCCCCGCTTTGGATGCGCGGATACCATCTCGCGGCCCGTGGTTTACGATCCACCTACATACTAGTTGGTTGTTGAGGGTTCTGGCACTGAAAGAATACGGACTCACACCTCGAAACCTGGCGAGAACAAAACTCCAAGAACGAGAGAGAACCAGGGTGATGTGTGACATGCCGATATGGCTGGCCTCGTCAACGTTGCGCCGGCGGGCGTGGTGGGGTCTCCTTGCTGCTGCCGTCTCCATGGCGGTGACGGCATCCCGATTCTCAATACACAGTCGCGATGGCTGCCCTCGTCGACAGGCCTCTGTCGGGGAATGCCTCGGGAATCTCTGATGTTTTCAAAAACCGGTCTGGTCACGGGTTCCGTTTCCTTCACCCTCCCACACGAAAACAGAAACCCGATTTCGAGGCTGTTTCGTCCACAGTCGGCTGCTAAGGGTTGCTACAAGGGCATCCCCACCACCCATCTAGGAGAAGGAGGTCAAGAGGACGTGGAAATGACCCATGGCAGTGTTCTAGATGTCCGGTTTAGGATAGAGGGTATGGAAAAGGTGGGGATAATATTCGAGAGGTGATCGAGATTATCTAGACCTAACGCCAGCATATGGGTTACTAAAAACATAGATAGATCAAAGCTTTCTTCGTAATATTAGTCTGTGACCCTCATTTGGATAAGAGCCTTGCAGAAAATCCTACAATGACCTTGGAATAAGTGTGCCGAGCTAGGTGACAGGACGGTTGTATTAGAGGCCTTGCTGGAAAAATGTCGACCGCACCACCCCATCCGGAGCTTCCACTCCACATTCTAACACCCCTCCTCTTTCGAAGCGGCCCCAAGCATTTTCTAAAGTGGCATTCCTGCTGTATGCTTATTGTTGTTTTCTCCTCTCTCACTTCTCACACTGACCGCTCTGCCAGTTTGGTAATACCCCGCACTTCAAGCCAGCCGTGGCGTTGGCACAACATTGATGGCAAGACAAGCGCGGGACGGGCACCACCCGGGGACTTTTTGTCCAAGGTCGCAAGTCCTCCTTCACTAATTCACTAAGGCCTGGAGGACAGAGTCGCTCGAGCACACGCCTCGAGGATGCGAGCGCGTCTATTGAAAACGACGAGCTCTGGTCCTTGGCCTTCATGCCCGACAGGTGCGACCGATGGATGGCTGGGGAGGAACTGGCCCACTGTGGATATCAGGTTGGGCTAAGTGATCGACAATTGGCATGCACTGCTTCACTATCTTGTTGGTGAGTACTTTTCGAACTCACATATTAGTCTGCACGGGATGGTTCGTAGTTCGCTTTCTCCTCACATTTGACTGGCCAGCCGGGCGGCATTTGGCCGATCAAGAGCACGGAACGTGGGATACTCATCAATCCCGCAGTCGGCCGCCTGCCCCAACTGCCTAGCTGGGAATTCCTTGATTAAAGCCACAACCCCAACCCGGGAGGCTGTACCTATTAAAAGAAACATGCGTGGGAGCGGAATAGAAACCATGTATCGAGATTGAGAGGAACAATCAGCCATGAAGAGAAGCAGGGTTGGATGGGGGAATGCTCGAATTGTGGTATCCGTGCAGCCTGACCCGCGATGTTTCGGTCCCTCTTCGAGGCCTTTACTAATGCTTCGTTACTTTCCTTGCCTGTGGCGGAGATCGGTGTTGCCTAAATCAGCACGATCAACTCAAAGACTTAGAAGAGGGAAGAAGGACGCGGAACCCCAGGCTGGCCGGTGGCGGGCGTGCTGCGAGCATGGATGCTGTGGTGTGGTGGACTCAGTACATTGAGGTAATCAATACAATTGACCAATGGATCCATCATCGATCTACAATCAGAGAAATAGCTCTGCCACTGTGGCTTTGTCTTACGGGCTTTCTCTCAAGGAAGTGGTCGAGACCCGCTGGTTTGAGCCCTGGGATTGATGAGCTGTTCGTATCTCGCTGCAGCTTCCCACAGGCATCGATATGCTTGGCCTGCGCTGTTAATGATGCCCCACCAAACCCCCACCGAACCACGGACATTGCCTTTGGTACCGGCACGGAAAATGAGTCCCACTTACTCGATCCTATCGTGCTTGCGAGCCAGCATGGGAAACAGGAAACCCGAGAGGAGGTTTCGGTCAACAACAAATTGATCTCTCAAAACTTGGTACGGGGAGTCACTATCCCTTACATGTAGGCTGAGGATGGAAATAGCGACAGAACCCCCTCTCTCTCTCCTTTCTCGTCGGCGTGTCATACCCTCCCAGCGCCTCACTAATTAGCTAGAAGCCGGCTTTCATACACCAATGTGGTAGCGAACTCGCTTCGGTGGTCCCCATCCTCCCATTCTACATTCCGTCCATATGCTGACCGGCTAACGGTCACCAGCGCTCTTGTTACTGTGGGGAAAGCTCGTCGAGGGATGAGAGCATACCAGCACTAGCACACCGCACCAAGGAGACCCGGGCAAGCCTTTATTCTGTTTGATAAATGGCGAGGCAATCTTGCGGTGTGCGATGACTTTGATTAATTGAGCGAGGATGGATGACGAATGTGGGGTCTGATTCTGCCACCCAACCAACGGAGCGCCTCACCTCTTCGTTTGGGTGAACTCATTCTCATCGTATGTGTGGTTGCCTCAAGAACTACGCCACTAACTCGACGCGACAATAGACGAACTGAGAGCTTCCACATTGCAGACCCAGCCGGCCCATGTTTGCCCTTTCCTGGTTCCCCATTTCGCCTCTCTCTCACTCTCTCTCTCTCCCCATCCACCTCGCTTTTCGGGAGTCGTAGACTCATTACTTCTGGTCCATAGTCGAACTCCCCTCTTTTCCAAGGCCTCATTGCATCTTCGCATTTGATACCTCGTTCCCTTGCATCCGGGATCTCCTTTGCTCCCTTGTCACCACTTCGTATCTTGTAGCCACGCATTCCCTCGCACACATATCGGGGTACTTGTCTTGCATACATTCTGGTAACCTCCACTTTGAGGTTGCCCCTCACAATCCGGTGCCTGCCTTTATTTTCCTTTTCTTTCTTTTACCTATACCAAGTCCTTGGCTCGTTGTGCAGGTATTCCCTCTCGGAGGTCTCCGTAGCTGCGTTTCCTGCCAATTCCTCGGAGGCTTGGGGTGGGGAGTACAGGTTATGGATAACCACTCGTCCAAAGGCTGGTTTCCACAGCTTAACCTCAGCCGCGAGTTCCGCCACGCCACTTCGTTGATTTCCTCCAAGTTCCACAGTGCTTGTGTTCGAGTCATACTCGGCTCCCGCGGGATTGGGCTTGCCGCAGCGTTCTTCCTCGCAAGTCTGGTTCTCACTCGCGAGGCGGCGACATCCATGAATAACTCCCACGGTGCCCCGTTCCTCTTCGTAATAGGCATTTTGTTGTCTACAATAAAGTGTCTTTGTCCGATTAGTGTCGATGCCATTTGTGCACTGTATTGCTTCGAAAAGAGGCTCGTTCCGTTTCGAACCCGCCGACTGGGCTGCTGCCCTCCCAGTCCCTTGAGCCTGCTGTGCTGAAGAAGCCTGGTATCCCCTATAGCGCCTGCCATATATCACACCCCTCCCCAACCACACCCCACACCCACCTTTGTCCCTTCCTGCTCATCCTTGCCGGTCGCCTGCCAAAGCATGTTGCTCTCCCTCCCCCTCCCCCTCCTTCCCCCTCCTAACCCTCACCCACACCACTGGTTCCCCTCCCTCCTTCCCCTGTGTCGCACTGCTCGGTGGAGCTTTCTCTCGCAACTTGGCTTCCGCAGGACGCACTTCCAAGTTGGAGGGAGACAAAAGTACAAGCCAAGCTCACCTCCTCGCTCCCGTCTCAGAGTAGACCTGCCAAATATTGATCCATCTGGTAGGCGGGTATCGTGTCGAGGCTGGGTTCAGACCAGTCCTGTTTGTACAAATATCTAATTCGGAAGCCGCCCACACACCGGGCTGACTTCCTCAACCTTCTCTCCTTCTCCCTCTCTTCATTTACCCCCAATAGTCATAATTCTCAACCGAAATTTGCGTCCTCGACGATTTCAACGCTTCTGAGTGGTCTGAGACAGATTTGCAAAGGTCCAAGGTACGCATTGTCTGCACCGGCCGCCCGGCCCATCATCTTTCCCCAGCCATCCCGCCGCAAAGCTCGGACAGTCCTCGAGTGCGCGCCCAAGGGCACCAACCGAGACAAGGGGCGCTAAATGGTGCTGGTTCCACTAACAAGGGGACTCGAATTCTTCTAGTTGTTTTCTCCTCAGCAGGAAGACCAAGCGACGCTTGACCGCCCCCAGCCCAACTCTTTTTCTACATAAGCATCCCCGTACCTACTTTGCCTTTCCCAATAACTAAAACCGATTCGCTCGAACCCCTCCACTTCCGACACCGCAAATTCACGCAGACAGAACCACATTTCATCGTCAACCACGCTGCCGGCCTTTGTTGGCTTCTCACCAACTCAACCTGGAAATTACTCCTCGACTTCTCCCATTCAACAACCTCTATTTGCCAACCCGCCTTTCGCCCGCTTCACCTTCCGCGATTGCGCGTTGCAACTTCACAACCTCATCATCTCTTTTTCAATTACGGTACGTTCTTTATAGGAGTTGGAGTTGTACCTGCTCTCCTATAGTTTCCCCTCTACCCAAGCCTCATCGCGCATCAGGCTGCCACTTGCCACTCCTGTTTCCCTGAGGATAGTTCCAGGCGACTTTGCGTCGCTATTTCTTGTCGCTATCACTCCACTCCTAATTTACCGTCATCTTTTGCCCTCGCCTCAATCCTCTCTTCATGACAAGCACTCGCTAACGCACACCCCTCTTTCGTTGTGGTAAGCAGCTTATTAAACAACCCGACAGGCGACCATCCGTCGCCCTTCAGCGACAGTTAGGCGATACCGACACCGACTCTTCTGAAGCGGCACTCGAACTTATCAGGCAAACAAGTCTTTTCTAGCGCACATCCTCTAGGAAGAATGACTCAACAAGGCTTCGGCCATTTTGGCGGAGCCCACGGTGGTGGGGGTATTGACCCCAATGATCTTCTCTCCGGAAGCTACAACAACTACCCCAACGCATACCCTCTGGATCTGGCGGTGCCTCAAGCGCCCTATTCGGAGATGATGAACTCCTGGATAGTTTGGGTAGCCCGGCAGACCAGCCTGGCCTCCTAGATCACGGCCAAGGTTTTGGCAACATGGGAGACATGGGCGTGGGCTTCCACCAGGGGGTTTATCAAAACAGCTCAGGGATCCCCATCGACCAGCATGTAAATGGCTTCTCTAATACCCCGGACGGCGAACCCATCCATAGCCCTTACGTTCATAGCTTCGGGGAAGCCAGTTCCGCCAAGTTCACCACCCCATTCAGTCTCCCATGTCCGGCTATTCTGGTTCACCATTAGCATCCGAGCTGAACCCCGATGACCCAAACTACCTCAAGGCGAGGGCACAACTTTCGCAATCTATGCAACGCAAGGCGTCTAATCCCCGCAGCCCAATGACGCCCAAGACGACGACGATCCATGCTGGCTTTGGACCGCAACCCATTCGGACCAGCGGGCTCGCTGACAAATCCCCATCCGGGCAATGGATGCCAACACCCGGCGGAAGCATTCAGTCTTATACATCGGGCTTCTCCTCTCCTATTCAGCAAGGTCTCGTCCCTATCAATGAGGTTATGATGAAAGGCGGCACTTCGATGCCTGCAAAGCTCGGCGTTGCGCCCAATGCAGTTTCCTCTCAGGAAATGAAGAGGAAGAGGAGGCGGGAGTCCCACAACCTCGTTGAGCGTCGTCGTCGTGACAATATCAATGAGAGAATTCAGGATTTGAGCCGCTTAGTTCCTGGGCACCGACTTGAAGACGAAAAATCCGAAAGATGATCCAGAACGGAACCCCCTTGTCACCCACCCTCGGTGTCTCCGGCGGCACCAACCAAGCCACATCAGGCCTTGCAGGCCCAGGGGCCCGGAGAGCCGCCGGTGCCGGTAACATCACCACAGGTCTTCCCCTCGAGGAAAAGGATAAAGGCCCTAATAAAGGGGATATCCTGAATGGTGCCGTGAGCTGGACCCGTGATCTTATGTGGATGCTTCACCTCAAACTTCAGCAACAAGAGGAACTGATGAATTGCATTGCCGAGCTTGGTGGACAGTTCCCGTTTGAATTAACGGAGGACGAAAAGCGCATGCAGACAGAACTCATGGATGCTATGTCGAAGAATGAAGCCATCCCCTTCAGCTACACTAGGACTGCCGGCTCTGGTCTTCGTGTTCCGCAGCACACGGACTACAGGGGCGCTCCTATCGGCTCTAATCGGGGCAATGGCGACAATTCAGTGAGCCCCGATAATGGCGGGCTTGGTGATGTTGGCGACCCATCGCAGTTTTGGCACGATCCCGAGGATGACCGCAGTGGGAACAACTCGATCAATTTCAAGGAGGAAGACGAGTACGACATGGATCTCACACAATAAATTCCGATTGTTTCAACCACTGCCTCGGTCTATGTCGGGCTCTTCCCTGTTTTTGCCTCTTTCTATCGGTCATTCGTCTTGATACCCATATCATGTTGTTCCAACATATACCCATCATACATTCTCATACAACCTAGAGCTCTCGACTCGTCATTGGCTACACCTCCAACCTTCCACAGCTGCCTTTCGTGGATAAAGTGGTAGGCGGCGCCCTTTTCATTTGTCTTCTTCTAAGGGTCTAGATGGTGAACTGGCGCTCTGTCAGGTCACAGCTGGGTCCAGAATATAGTTGAGCTCCGTTGTCTCTCAGCATCAGAAGGCAACGTCATCTTGGCGACCTTTGCTGTTGGATGCTGCTTTTCACTATCACCGCTAGGAGATATCCAAAGGAGCGGAGAAGACCCTTCTGATTATTTGTTCTTTCTTCCATATCCGTCGGTTTCTTTCTTTCTTTCCTTTTTTTTTTTTTTTTTTTTTGGCTTGTCTAACTGCTCTTCCGCATCAATATGTTTAATTCGCCCATCTTTCCCCCTCATTTCCCTCCTAGGTAGCTTGTCTTTCCTTCGTGCTAGGTTACTACCAATGTGATACCTGAGGCGTTTTGGCTTGGGTCACAGCATGGATTGCTCGATTCACCTCATGTTTTCCTTCCTGTGCAACCTTCAAGAAACCATATTCTGTGTCCTACGCGCTTCTGCCTGAAGTGTTTGCAGTCTGGGGTTTTCTAGGTTTGCACGGCTGTCGTTGGGTTGCGATTCGGTTTCCTACGGAGTTTGGTTTTTCTTTTTGCCCACATTTTGGTGCATTAGGGCGGGCGGTACGGTTTTCCGCTATAGCTCCTCGGTTGAAGCATTTTCATGGTATTCAACGTTTGCGAGGGGCGCATGCGGGCGAAGTGGAAGGATACCCCGTCGTGGGAGACTTCGAGTCTCATCATGGCTTCTACGCACTGTTTTTAGGGCTCTAGTTCTTTGCTTTCATCATTATTTTTCCTAACAGAATTGGTTGCTATAGGCCCTATTTGGGCATCGAATACTTTGAATCACCACTTGCACCTCATTCTCGTGCCGCCCTCTTAATTAACGTAATCCCAAGTCTTGCAAAATTGATCCAACGTCCTTCTCACATGCGGCAAGTAAGTAAGTGTGCCGCATTCTGGGGTCGAAAGCATTGATACTGGGCTACCTCCCTGTTAGCTCACCGGGTACATGTATACATACTATGCCGTTAGGACCAGGAAGACAAAAAACGACCAAAGAAACCAGAGACCAAGAACGATAAACTCTAAACCCGCTCACTACCAATGTCTCACACAAAGCAGGTATTCGCTCATAGCAGTTAGCAGGGTCCAGACCTCCTTACGCTTCATGTCCTCCTGCAACGCGATCCGTTCAAGGGCAGAGTGCCCGTCGAAGTACCTCAAAAGCGCTGCCAGGCAGCGGCAGTCTTGTCGTCGGCAAAGCGGCGCCCGATGGCGTCGAGGTAAAGGAGTCCCTGCCGGTAGCGCGGCCAGCCTCAAGAATGATGTAAGGCTCCAAGCGGGCAAGGTGCGGCGCATCGTTGGTGGAAGGGGAAGCGGACGGAGCCGGGACAGGTTTTCTAGCGTGCGCCGTAGCCTTCTCGGCGGCTTCACGCTGGGCCTTTGTAGCCATGCGCTCGAGGCGCGCTTTTTCCGCAATTTGCTCCGTCACTGTCGTGGGGAGTGGGAGCTGGCGGAAGGCGTGCTAGAGGTTGACGTAGGGAGGCCGTTGCCGTCGTCGCCACAGACGCGGATGCGGACGCAGATATGGTGGCGGCGGTGGCAGCGGCGGCGGCGGTGGTAGAGTCTGCCGCTACGATCGTTGTAGATAGAGGCGGAGAGTCGGACGAGCGAGAGAGGTCCGAGCTTGCAGTGGGTAGAGAAGAGGTGGAGGCTTCGGTGCCGGACAAGGTGGTTTGAGTACTGAGGGCCGGGACGGGAACAGGTGGGTGGGAGATGATCGTGCCGGCCGAGGGGGCTGGGGGCCATCTTTGGTGCCAGATGGCGAGGAGGAGGCGCTCTTGGTGCCCGGGGGTGTGGACGACTTGGGTCCGCGGAGCTCGTCCGCCTCCAGCTGGTGCTGGACTTCGTAGATAATCTCGGGCCACACGACGACGTAGGCAAAGGTGCAGAGCTGAGTGACCCAGCCGCCGCGCATGAGCCAGGCGAGCATGGCGAGGTAGGTTGGGCGGTGGGCCTTGCTGGGGCAGAATGTCTTGTAGGGGCGGGGTGCGTAGGAGAGCTCGGCAAGGAAGTTGGTGAGGGGCGGGGCGAGGGGAAGGTGCGGGCCCACTGCTGGGAAGCCCGGGGTAGGAGCCCGAGGTTGCAGTTGGGGGACATGATGTACACGTCGCGGGCGTGCAGGGGCGGGATGGCGATGGCGCGGCGCCAGGCGGTGAAATGCTGGGCGTACTTGCGGACCTGGCTGAGGCTCAGGATGTTGCTCTGGCTGATTTGGTAGAGCCTAGGATTTCAAAAGGGTTAGGTAAACCGGGTAGGAGTTCTCGAAGACGGGGGCCGGCCACTGCAAGTTTACGCAAATGCGACAACAGGTAGAGGAGGGGAGGAGGGGGAGGTGCGGATAGGACATAGGCCCTGTCCACCACCTTGGCAAGTATGAGGAGGGAGGGGTTACTTACGACATGGTGGGTTTACAAAGCCGGACAAATTCGACCATGGCAATAGTAGTCGGGTCCAGGTCAACTTGGAGTTGCGAAATGATCTTCTTTTCTCCATCCATAAGAAGGAGGCCAAACTTTTTGGCTAGGAGCTCATACTCCTCGTATGCCTCCTCGGGGTTACGGGGTTTGCCGAGGTGAGCCATAGGCCGTGTTGGGCGGTTTCCGTATCTGGGCCAACGTCATTGATGTAAAAGGGGACAGGAATCTGCATGGACGGATTGAGAGGGCCGTTGGCAGTGTCGAGTTGGAAGCTGACGATGCGGTTCAGCGACAGGGACTGGTATATCTCCTGTATGGATGCCGCTAAAGACGAGGCGTCAAGAATCTCCTTCCATAACAGCTGCATCGGCGTTTCTAAATATCCCTTGTCAGCATGTATTGCGTATGAATGTGTGCAGGAAGAGGAGCAGGGACACGGGAGGGAGTTGCTCGGGGATTCAAACTTACTATTCTCACGAGCCTTGTCTTTCAGCCTGATGATTTGCTTCGACTCCTTCCAAACAAAGTCGCTACGCTGCTGACAGTACTTGTAGGCCTTGTTCACCTTCTTTGTGATGTGGGTGTAGATGACGTGGACGAGGTCGTTGACTTCGTGCGTTTTGGGGTTCAAGATGAAGACAACATTGAACATGGTCATGGAACTGACCTTTTCCTCCTCGTCGGCGGCTGGCTGCTTGAGCTCAGAAGCGCTGAGGGGGCCTCCTCCGGGACAGGCGCGGGAGCCTGGTCATTTCCGGTCCTAGACGAAGAGTCCAGGTCCCGCAAGTTCGCAGAGGAGTCGACCCTCTTCGACTGGGACTTTGACCTGCCCTTCTTCTTGGTCTTTTTCCAAATGCCATTTTCGGGCACATGAACGGGGCAGGAAACCAGATACAGGGAGTCGAGGAGACTTGGAACAGCCTCTTGTGGTAAGGGCGGCCGGGGCTGAGGAGGGTGGCCAGGTCGCCGGCGGGGAAGCCGGCGACGGACGCCCAGGGGTCGCTGTCTGCGAGCCCGAGTTGGAGATGAGGCGGTCCTCGCGGCCGCGGCCGGGATGGAAGCCCTGGCCCTGGGGCTGGTGCGAGCGCTCAGGTTTCAAGAGGCGCTCGAGGAGGATGTCGTCCTGGGCGAGGCCTTCGTCGAGCGAGTCGGCGGAAGCTTGGCCGATGGGTTCGGACGCTATCTCGGGCGGGTAGTGAAAGACGAGGCTGGGTCCATCGCGGGTACGGTTGACCACCAGGGCTACACCCACCAGGTTCGAGGGGTTAGGGAGGACGGGGAGGGACATGGCGATTGGGGGTTGCCGACTGGGATATCGCGCGTTAGGCGACTGGGGGATGAAGCCAATTGCACCGCCGAAAGAAGGAATCGGCAATCCGGGATGGGGCTGATGGGTCACACGGGGTGGATATGGAGGCTTCCCCGATGAGCGCAAAGGGGGAGCACCCTATGGAACCGCAGTATTCCAGGGAAGGCGTATTAGGTATGTCCGGGTTGGCTGTTGCTCATCCCCCAGCTCACATCACTGGGGGCATTCAAAAACGCGGAGCCGAGTCCCGAGCCAAGCGACGTTTGTCCTGGGGTACGGGCGTGATGTGGAGGCAGAAAGGGAATATCTCGTCTCGGGTAATCAAGCCGTCGCAAGGCCCAGTCCCAATGGGCTTGACTTGTATGCTTTCTCTTCTTTTCTTGATATTTTCTCTTGATATTTTCTCTTTCCCTGCTTTCTCTTTCCCGGTGCGTTCTCTTCTCCTCGCTTCTGCTAAGCTCAAAGCTCAAAGCTCAAAGCCAATGAGGTGCGTGATCGATTAGTGGCAGGACCGTGTCGGGCGGTTCCTCTGCTGGAGGCTGCGATAAGCTTAAGTCATCAATAATAGAATAATCATGCAAGAATCAGGTTAAATTCTAGCTACAAAGAGTATTTACTAAACCGGAAATCACCACACGACCCCTGGCGTGGGGTAAGGCTTTCGCCCCACGCGATGCGACGGCCAAAAAGCGACTCAAGATGAATCTTGAAAGGAAAATAACTCGCAAGCACCCACCAGCATTGGCAAAGCTTGCAAGACACAACCAGGGTCTATGTACAACTGACCTCCGAAATTCATATTCTAAACCTTGACCTCTTTCCAGCCGGCTCTCGATATGAAATGCTCACAGTTAGGAGACGTGTGATATAGAGGTAGGTAGAAAGCCTTCCAAGGAAATCCTACGCGAGGTGCAGCCGAACGCCTTCTATTCTCCGGCCATGTATGTCGGTGCGTCGCTCCTCGGGCCTCGCACGAGCGTCGAGACGAGGGGAGTGTTTGGTCACGAAACCAGCGGTCTAGCATGCGTTTATGGTTGCATTTCATCCATCAGAGCGGAATCGGTGTTGCAACTGGCGCAAACAGCAACCCTACGGATCCAATTGATATCTTTAGGACCTATGTAGCAGCATGTGCCCAAGGCTGGCCCTAATCAGAGCCAATATTGATGAGAGATGTGGGTTGATTAGCACCTCGCGCTAGCAACCCATGCTTGCCCTGCACACACAGACCAGCCTGTTGCTCGAAATACTGCCGGGGTTTGCGGACGAATCTTCTCGTCTTCTTCTAGGCAGGCGGAGATATGCATTCTAGTTCATTTTGGAGTGGGTGGCAAAAGAAGCAAAGTCGGCCAGAAGAAAAGAAGGGAAGAGATGGGGAGAGGGCTAAGAAAACTTCTAAAAGAGCCCCCTTAATACCTCTCCCCACCTTTCTAAACTACCCCTCGGTGATGCCCCCAGCCCGTCGAAGCACGGGTCGAAATGCCGTGCCATAACCCCTCAGGGTCTTTTCTCTCCCACCCGGATTCCTCAGAACTACTCCCTTTTCGGAGAGGGCTGACCTCCACGCGTCAACTGGTGTCACTCAACGCCTTCCTGGCGTTTCCCAACACGGAGACTTGACTGTTGCTCACCAGGGCATACACAGTAATAATACACACCTCTTTTTTATTTATTTTTGCCATCGCTTTCACCCACATTCCTAGTGGGGAGACCCCGATTTTCATCATTGATGACGGCATCGATTCCAGGATAGAGGGAGGAATTTTGATGCGACCAGACTGTCAAAGGTCGCCCTTGAAGGCCATCGTACTGAGACAGCCCAGAATATTTGAAGCTACCACGCACCCGTCTCTTGAATTCAACAATCACTTCACTTGTATGTAGAGGGAAGGAACTCGGGCCCAATCCAATTTGCCTCACCTCGCCGAGCTCGCTTCTCGACTTTCCCGATTTTCCCTCCGCTTTCCCCTACGCACTGATTATTTCCCTTCAATCTCCGCAAAATCTCCTCTGGCCAACCTTCTCAACCTTTCAAACTTTTACCGCCCCCTCTCCGCTTCTCGCCCTGTTCCTCTTCCACTTTCATAGTTCCCCTATCACCATTTCCGCCCTAATTGGTTCCGCTTTTCAACAACTTATCCAGTCCTAGCGTAAACAACGGGAGGCTCTTCGAGCTGGGAAAGTGGGACTGTCGACCCGCATTTCGCACCTTCGACAAGTGGCCCAGGAGCAGACACCTTGTGCTAAGGCAGGCGCGAACGAACTTTCCTTTCACATGCCTCTAGACCATATTCCAGATTTGGGGTACTTGTCATTGTAATGTAATTCTGCCCTTTCAACAAGTCCCTGTCTCGTCCCTTTTCTCCCTCAAATCTGTCTTCGACTCCCAACCCCTTCGGTTACACGAACTCTCCTATTCCTTCCCTGTCTCCCCGTCCCTACCCTACCAGGTGTCTCTTAGACTTTTCCACACTCTTTACCCCATTTCTTAATATCCCCCTTCTCTTGAGGAGTCTCTCGTACATTTCTTCTCTCTGACTGTCCCTCAAGTCCTAGAATCGGTTGCTTTGGCCAGCCAGCGACTTGGTGATACTAGCATCAAGACCAGGAAAGGAAGTTGATCGTGTGCTTCCAGGACGAGAGTGGCTTGGTTCAACCTGATTCATCTCCAGCCTATTTTGCATCTCTCAAGTCCTACGAATCATAAGCGGTCGCTATCCACTTCAAGCCCTGCTCACTCTTGCTCTCTTTCATCGCACGCTCTTTTAGAGTCTGGCAGGGACGGGTGTTGCGCGTGCGTCTTCACCCTTTCTACCTCCCTCTTTCTTGTTTTTTGACGTTTTCAACTCGACCATAGATGAAAGTGATCTTCTCGTGCTAGCATATCAGTGACGCCGGCAATTTTGAAGCCATTGGGAAGACGCCTGGGCAAAAATTCATGCGCAGAGAGCTCTAACAACATCTCAACTCTCACTGGCCCGGTCCATCCACGTGGTTGAATTCGTTCGCCAGCTCATCATTTCCGGTTTTGAAACTATCAACGACTTAGTCGTGAATCCCTATCATAACTATCATCGCCAAACGAATTGCCTGTTTTTATTTTATTATTTTTGTGGTAAAGTGGACTTGTCGACTTGAATTGCGACAAAATGGCAGCCTTAAACAACGGGATATCAGATGGTACCGCATCCAACGGCCTAATCAATGGCCAGCCGCGTGTCCGTCTTCTCCCGCTTTCATATGACGGCCATAACTCAGAGGAATCGGCGAGGCAGCTCATTTACGCCATCTTGCCAGAATGGAATAGCCCAGATGCCAATGTCAAGTTCGTCAAGTGTACCGACGGTATCACCAACACGCTTCTCAAGGTGATAAATCAAGTTCCCGGTGTGTCCCCCGACGAAGTAGACCGGGACGCCGTCCTCCTCCGCGCCTACGGCCATGGTACCCACGTCATCATCGACCGCCAGCGCGAGGCAGAAAACCACGAACTTCTCATGGCTCACGGCCTGGCCCCGAACTCCTCGCCCGCTTTCAAAATGGTATGCTTTACCGCTATATTCGTGGAACTGTGACGAGTACAGAGGACCTCAGAAACCCCGACATCTACAGGCCTGTCGCCAGGAGGCTTGCCGAGTGGCATGCGACAATCCCCTGCATACCCTCGACTCCATCTCCTCACGCCAACGGGAGCGGAGAAAGTGAAGCTTCGAGAAGGCGCGCGTCCATCGACGGGGCCGCTCCCGGAAAGCCCGCACCTAACATGTGGACAGTAATGCAGAAGTGGATCTACGCGCTGCCAACCGAGACAGAGCAACAGCGCAAGCGACAGATCACGCTGCAGACAGAGCTTAACGAGCTCATAAAGAAGCTGAGCCAACGGCCTGGTCTGGGAGAGAACGGGGTAAGTTGTGTTTCCTTGATGGCTTTGAGTTGTGTGGTAACTCTCTCTAATTTTCAACGTCTGACGGAAATAGCTTGTCTTTGCCCATTGCGATCTCTTGCATGGCAACATCATCATACAACCCAAGGGGACATCTGAGCCCAAAACTACTGAAGGTAATATTGTCAGCTTCATCGATTATGAGTATGCCGCCCCCTCACCCGCCGCATTCGACATCGCAAACCACTTTGCCGAGTGGGCTGGTTTTGAGTGCAGATATGACCAGCTTCCCACCAAGTCAGAAAGACTCGACTTTATCCACCATTACATAGAATCCTACTTTTCGTTCACCAAGGATGCTTCCACGGAGATAGATCAGGAGGCTCAGAAACTAGCCGAAGAGGTTGACGTCTATCGAGGCATCCCGGGCTTCTATTGGGGTATCTGGGCTCTCATCCAGGCCGTCATATCTGAAATTGACTTTGACTACGCCAACTACGCCGAGCTACGCCTAGGGAATACTGGGCCTGGAAGGCCGAGGCAGACGGCACCCGTACATCCCAAGGATCTGAGATGCCCTTGCGTGAGAAGAGGTGGGCAGAGTCCTAGACGCTTTCTTCAAAAACAGACGATAATGGAAGGAGGATGGCCGGAAAGTGACCAACCCCGACGGTGACACCGCGAGAGACGGCAACGATTTGTGTGGCTGCAAAGTTGCGGTCGTCACTTGAAGTCCGCCGCGAACCCCTCCCCTTAGTGAGGGCTCCCTTAGTATCTCCCCGCCCCGAGTTAGGGCGAGGGAGTTTGCGTGAGGTTGCCTTCCTCGTTCCTCCGCATACACTCTAGACATTTTTCTTATCTCCGTTTCCTTTCACCATGTTCTTTTTATTCTCTTTCAGGGCATCTACACACAATGAGGACAAGAAACAAAACAACTTCTTGTAGATATGAGGCATTAGAACGGCGTTCTGAGGCATGTATTCAACATTCATGTGCTGGCAGGCAGAGGGATATCCCCTCCGTAAGGGTGAGCGACCGTTTACTCTCGAGGCCTCAGCCGGGCATTTAACATGTTTACTTTTAATGGGTCTTTTTCCCCCATTCTTTTCTTATCCTACTCTGATCCTCCATTTCTTCCCTTCCCTTGTTCCCTTTTCTTACTTGTAAAGCGACAATGGAGAGGGACAGGAGGATCGTCTTCTTGTTAGTTAGCTATCCTTTGCCCTCTTGGCTCTCCCATCAGAAGCTCGGTATCTCCCCTGCTCTTCTTTCCTTTACACAAAAGAGAACCGAGAAATAGAAGGATGGTATAGGTAGCAAGATTATGAAAACTGAAAAAGCTTGTAACCCAAGTGTCTACACTATATCTTGCATAGAACACTTGCGTCCAATCTGCCACCACCCATGGCGAGGAAAAAGAAGGTAGGGAAAAAAACCAAAAATAGGCGGTTTCCTCTCTCCCTTTAGCTCTTGAGCTTTAATAATGTCTCGCATTCATAGCCCCGTGCTTTACATGACCTCGGCGCGCCGCCGGAAGGCGTTTTTAAGGACGGGTCGACGTTGAAAAGGTGGAAATCTTGTGGCTTGCCGTCAAGAGAGCCAGCCAACCCCACCTCTCGCTTACCAGAGACGAACACTTCCCTCTCTGACGCGCGAACTATTCGTTTATGGGGCCGGAGGGAAGTGGGTAAAGAGGCGCAGCTGGCGCCGTTACGGTTGAGGAATGCTTCCAGAGAGGGGAGGATGGGTCATGTCATGCTGAAGCACAAAGGGAGGGGGAAGATTGAGGCTGAAAAAAAAAAGGAAAAAAAGGATGATTAGCAGTCGCCGCCAGAAGTGTTCGGCGCATCGTGCTGCAGGAGGAGAGGGCGTCAAGTGTACGGCATAGAAAGAGATGCGACAATGCATTCCCAGCTAGATGAATCGGGAGGGGGCTGGATCATTGCGAGGAGTAGCATAATGATGTACGCCTGGCGAAGCGCGCGCGACGTCCGACACTCGTCGTCAGACGTGGCCTGGCTAGCCTCTGCATCCTTTTCCTGCCCTTGCGCCCCCAAGGTCCCGAGACGACCCGTCAACGCTGTGTCTCGATCTGGGTGCGCTTCAGCTCGTCTTTGGGAGCGCATCGACCTGGCCACCCCACCCCTCACCAACGCCTTCGCTCACCTTGCTCTCTCGGGCGAGTGCCCTTGAGATTCGTGATGGTTCCCGTATCGCGACGCTTGAGCCTTATGAGCTGGTTAAAAGATATATATCTCTCGTGTTTGCTACGCTTGACGGTTCGATTCGGCCTCGTTTTCGTCGTGTTCGTCCGACTCCCCGTTGCCCTTATCTTGTTCTCCACTTCTCTCTCAGCTCTCGCGACCACCCTCCCGCCGTCCTCATCGACCCCCAGCTCGCTCAGCAAACGTCTTTGCCTGCCCCGAAGGAGGCGGACGACCCATGGACCCTAAGCCAAGACCTCCGCAGTGTAGGAAACGAGTTGGTTCCCCCTTGCCTTTCAGCGTCCCGCCCTCTGGGCCCCGCCAACAGGGGAATTGTTGGGAATTGAACGACATCAAGTGGCTTGCATGGGGGTACCGAGTCGGTTGTTAATATCAAAAACCGAGAGGTAGGGTTAGTTCGACGTCCATAGGCATACAGCATACAACATAGTGTCGGCTAGTGTGAAAATAATGGAGAAAGACAAGAAAGACAAGAAAAAAAGAAAGAAGAAAAAAAAAAAGAAAGAGGGGCGGCGCCGCCCATCCCCTCCCCCAGCTCTCGCAAATACGCGGCGCAGACCCAAGGCGGGCTCAGCAACGGCGCCTTGCGCGGATCCCTGCTGAACGACAAGAGCTTGCTCATCATCTTTGCTCGGGCATCGGCCTTACCCTGCCCCGTGCTCCTCAAGCTTGATGATCAAAAGACCATGCACTTGCACTAGATCAGACGAAGCTTTGGGAGGAGGGTCGAGAGCTTCGGACATTCTCGAGAGGAGGGGCATGGGGAAGGGGCTTTCTCATTTTCTTTTCAGCTCAAGACCCTCGGGCACCCAGGTCAAGTTGTATCACCTAATATCGCGAATGATAGAAGCGCTCATTGCTGGCAATCGCGAGCTGCTGTGAATGCGCGCAAATCAGTAGCTCAGGCAGGGATATATGCTTGTGTTCGCTGCCTCGCGGCACGGTCAAGTGTTCGAGATGGATAGAAGCCCTTTCTCGGGGCTCAAAGCTCTCTGTGTGGATTGAAGGTTTTGGCGCATGAAGGAACCAAAAAGGAAGATGCACTAATAATGCAGCATCTCTACATTACGCAGGACATCTCCCGAGCATAGCTGTGGTGTGGCGCCTCTGAACAAATCCAAATCGAGGCCCCTCTCCCCTTGCCCCCAGATAGAGAGAGAAAAAGAAAAAGAAAAAGAAAAAAAGAAAGGAGAGGGGCAACCAACGGGCAGGGTCAATGGCTTGCCAGCCTGGCCATGGTGGGGTTTCGGTGGACAACTGGTGTAGTGCCGTGCAGTGCAGGGTGTAATCAGCGCTTGGGAGAAGCACGATTCCAGAGAGGGAAGCCCACCCCCAAAGAGGAAAAGGACTCATTGCGCTGGCAGTGCTGATGCTCTCCATAGGGCTTGGTCGCACCCCCACAGCTCCCCTTGGCTATTTTGCTTCCAATTTTAGTCACACCTAGTTGTTTCAGTCTCATGTTTTCATTTTGTTTTCTTTGCCCACCCCCTCTTTCGTCCGCATTTGCTTTTTCCAGGTGCAAGGCCCTTCTTCAGGGATCTGTTTCATATCTGCTCAAGACAGGTTAGCAGAGAACGGAGGCTTTTTTGGGGTTTTAATTCTACTCCTTTGTGGAGAGGGGAGAGGGTAGGGGTAAGGGGAGGGGTACGATTGACGAATTGGAGCTTGTGGCTCCGAATGATTCTGGGGCAAGGGCCACTCAATCGCTACTCTTTTTCTTTTGCTTGGGACACCGCTCATCCACTGCGGATTACCCTTGCACGATCGAGATGCTGGGGAGGATGCTCTCCAAAAGGGCGGACCAGTGCGGGAAGCCCGGCTTATCGGTTTGTTGATCAACGACAAGCACAAGTAATTTTGCCAGCGGCTGGCCGGTGTGCTGCCCTTCGCTGCCTGCACCTAGCGTGCACTAGATATCGAAGCAGGGGCCAGAGCCTTGGGGCTAGGCTCAACTGGCGGAGTTGGAAGGACCTGAATGCAGACGAGATGCAGACTACTGTACGTCCCTTCCTCCTCGGTTAGGCAAGTGAAGCCAGCACCAGGCAGGCCACCGCTTACTTCCCGACTTTGTATTGTCGGAACGGGGCGAAAACGCCCATTAACAAGCATATACGGGTATAATACGCGCCTCTGGAGACCGGTCCTGTGGTTTAAACTAGAAGAAGAAGGGGATGGGCAACAAAGTGAACAAAGGGAGTTCAAAGGTAGAAAGTGGCTATTAGTTACCACTCTAGAGTTCCGGCGCGGAGGATCCACTGAGCAGACAGACGGACGGTGGCGCATTTGCATAATATCGTAGAAACCGCCCGTTATCAGATCAATGTTCCCAACTTCTCCTCATGGCAGCACCAGGGGGCGCCCGTGTGTTTAGCGGGAATGCAGTATTACAAGTACATCAATAAAAATCCGTGAGAGCAAATACCTGGTTGAGCCCCAGCATCCCTTGGGGAGTGAGCAGCAAGAGGTCATGAGAACTTGCAACGGAAGCATTATTCCTGGTTCTTGCCGCGTCCATAGATAATAGGCCGATAGCATCAGAAAGGGGGTGGTGCCCAAGCTTGCATCGACGCACTCCAGGCCAAAGGGCGTGGGGTTGACCAACCCCTCAGAAGGAACAAGAAGCTGACCACCACAAAGGACGGGGAAGGTGATATAAACATGATTACTTGTCACCCCCAACAACGGCTTCAAGAAGGCGCGAGCATTCGAGCAGGGGCGGATGGGCGGCGTACAGTTTAGCCGCTTCGTCTGTCGAGAATGGATAACGGAAAGTGAGGGGATGAAGGTCCTTCTCTTCCGCCTTTATTCGCTTCCCGTTGGCGACAATAATGTGAAGAATTTCGTCACCAGCCGGGGTAACTAACCGGACCTGGGATCAATGACATTGATGCAACCGAGTTTCTGTCACATCGGGTCATGTTGCGGGTTTTCTGGTCAGGGTAGTTGATATTAAGGGTAAAACGCGGCGTGCGCCAAGGTTGCCACCAGCCGTCCACACTCCTCTCCCACGCATGTACATTGTGCTTCGCGCACGTGCTGGTCTGGGATGCTGGGGACAATTGTCAGCCTGCACCACCCGCTAAATTAGCCCGTTGCCAGAGAGTGGAGGCGAGTCGCGTCTCCCGGGGAGGGCGGAGCGAAGGCGTCGAGTTTACACGCTTGTGGACATGTCAAGGGTGAGCTAGGAAATAAGGACCGGGGAAGGTCGGGCTTCCTTCGGGGCCCACGTTGGCTCCGGAAAAGAAAAGAAAAGAAAAGAAAAGAAAAGAAAAGAAAAGAAAAGAAAAGAAAAGAAAAGAAAAGAAAGCAAGAAAGAAAGGGAAAGAAAGGGCAAAAGGGCAAGGGGCAACAATTTCATGCAAAGAAGGGGAAAATGTATACACTAGTTAGCAGCATCATCGCCACGCGCTCACCACTTCCTCCACGTGCCATTATCGAGGCAGCACAAATTGACGCGGGTGGGTGAGATGCGGTGTTAACGAGAGAAAAAGTTCAAGATCACCTTGACCACGCCAGCCGACAGTAGGGTTTACTGGAAATGGTTATTGTTTCCATCAAGACCCGGATTGTAGTGGGGGCTAACGCGCGATCTGCGCTACACCACACTGGTCTTGAATGCCGATTGGTAGATGTTCGAGGTTCTTGAGCGGACCAAAGAACTACGAGAATGAGGGTGACAAGAAAATAAAACTACAGATGAGCTCTAGAAGTTTTTTCTTTCTTCTTTTTCTTTTTCTCTGTCTGGCACCCTATTCCTAATATAAGGGGGATAGCAAAGCCCGGCGGAAGAGCAAGACAATCTCTAGCAAGGGGAGTGCGGGCAAAGGGCGGTCGATGTGATGGCGGCGGCATCGAGCAAGCTGCTCCTATCTTCAGTTAGAGTGAGAGTGTTTCTTCTGAGGCCTTCCCGGTCCGGGCCCTGCCAGTCGCAGAGAGGGGCAAGAGGGGCTTTAGCCATGAGGGGCGGGTTAGAGTTGGGAACAAGCTGGTGAGAAGGGTGGAGAAGCATGCGCGACAGAGCCTCTAGAGGGTGTCACGAGCGAGGGCACGTCAAGCTGTCTCATCCAATGATTAAGTTCGCTGGACGATGTCGAGATTCGATCGGCCTTAGAGCTGACTCAAGGTTGGTTGATTGAGGCGAGATGGGGGTTGACGACTTGTGGACGCGCCATGCGGACCCGACATGGGGGTTGAGTGTTGTCAACTGGAAAGCATACTCTGTACGAAGTAGTATAATATCTCAGCCCGGTGGAGGTGATGCAAAGCAAAGTTTCTGGGGACTGGAAGAATACCTACACTACCTGTTCCAGATTGATGCCGACTTGTAGTTTGTAATAAGCCTGGTCGGTGACAGGGAAGAGATGACGAGGCGCCTCTAGCAGAATCGCAAGCGATGTCTCTCGCTGTCGCCTGTGACTGGTGAGAACATGGGGAAGCTTTCATGTCGCTCCTACCCTACTGCGTCGATGTTGCATTCAGCAGGTATCCTTTCTTGGAGGCTCTTGCCTCCTCTCTGACATTGTTTACGGATACATGTCTAGTACTTGAGGCAGCCTTCCTCGTATACCTGCTGCTTGTACCGCCCGCCGGTGGGAAGGCGACTTTCGCGTACATGGCCACTTGCGTCGTGGTGCTCCGATCTCCTCCGTGCATCCGATATTAGTTTCCCAGACTGATAGGATTAGAGGGGAGCAGAGGCTCTGCGAGGGAATCGCGCCTCGTTCGGGACGCGACTTTTGACTGGCCCTTCTTTGCCTGGCCTTTGACGGAAGATACCACTGTCCGGGGTACCTGGTTGTCGGCGGTTCGCCAATGGAGCGCTCACGATGGCCTGATGACGAGAATCTTTGGTCCTGCTGGGAGCAGGGTAGCATTTTGCAACAATCGATTCCATTCCGTGTCTGTGTTGATGCCTGGCCCGGCTCCAGCTCGCACGCTAGGCTGGAAGAGGGAAACGATCCAGAGGGAGGCGGACGAATCGACGACAACCATCTTCCTCCCCCAAGTCACGAGCAAACAAGCACCTGGAAGCATGTCCCGGATTCCCTCAAGTTCAAGCTACCGGTGGGCCACAGGGCACACGCGATGGAGTGGGAGGGCTGCACTGGGATGCAGAGTGGGCAGAGTGCCGACATGCCATCGTCAGCTTGAGAACGCAAGTGACGGACGGGGCTCGAAAGCGGAGTGCTTCGGACCAGTCAATCTCGAGGCTCGGGATTCAGCGCAATAATAATGCCGAGCTGTGGAAGAAGCATGAAAACCGGGGAGGTTTGGCTGGGGTACCCAACTCCTGCAGGAGCAGAACCCTCTTTTTTCTTCTCTTTTTTTTTATTCTCCCTCTTCTTTTGTTCTTCTTTTCCCTTTTTATTGATTATTTGGCATTTGGCTTTCACTTGTCAAGCATCCCTAGTTGAAAGTGTAGCGCATACGACGTGTGTAGGCTAACGGAGGTGTGCCCAATGTACCATGACTGGTCGTCGACATTAAAAAAGCCTTTAACGGCGCCCCGTCTCGTGGCTGACATCCTCCCCGCTTGCTAGCTCGAGCAAGCTCGCCTCTCGTACATGTAGGTGGATGAAGAGAAGAGGATCGAAAAAAGAAAAGAAAGGCGTAAAAGAAGCAAAGGGAAGGTCGGCCATCGACGATGTAAGGCTTCTCGAAATTTCCCTCCTCCTCGTTAGGAACAATCTAGCCCACCTACCCTCTCCGCCTGGCAACAACACACGCTTGGTATATACCAAAAGAAGCTCTCTCAACACGTTGTTTCCGGCCCCCTCCCATTCCCTCTTTTAACCCGAAAATCCGGGCCATAGGAGAGGAGGGTCGGATGGGTGGCATGTTGATTGCTTGGAGAGAGCCTCCCGTAAAAGTAAACGTACACTAGACAGCCACTAAGACTCATGCTCGGCAGTTTAGCTCACGGGATACGAACCTCTTGTTCGGAGAGATGATGATACCTTCAGGGAAAGTCTTTGATCGATCTTTGAGGGCACCGCCGTCATTCCCACCTACTCGGACCACCCCCAGGCCCAGCTCTCTCTATCATTGCTTGGCTGTTGAGGCAACTTTTTTCTCTGTCTGGGGCTCTGCGTCTTTTGCAGGAAGTTGCAAGTCATGGTTAAACCGGCGTGGAATTGGAGTAATACAAGTAAAGAGTACAAATATCTCGCTCGAGCCTGAGAACGCGAGGCTCCACCCCAAGAGAGGCTGCCCCATGGAGCAGTCTAGACCCGAGCAGCTTGGACGGATCAAGAGGTGATTGGCCAAAACGCCCTTGCTCTCCCGTCCAAGTACTGGCTACCTTGGGTCCAATCTGACCTCGAAGTCATTGATGGAAGCCCGCGCAGGCATTGTGAATCTTGAATAGAGCACAGCCGAAGCCGTCGTGGCCGGGATGGCTTGCGCACAAACAAAATCCCAACCGACCTTTGACCTCATCTAAAACTTATATTGTCCACGGCAGGGAAAGCTCGTCGAGCTGGATTGTTTTTCCTCCTCCATGGCCCGAATCGGAAATCAAATCCTCATGCTTAATCCCCTCTCTAATTGTGTTCTTTTTGTTTTCTGGTTTGCGAGAGCCCTCTTGTTTTCCTTTTCCTCCCCTTCCTCGTCAAGCATACATTTTCGCCAACTCGCTAAACCCGCAGGACAAGGTTTTTCCACTGTTCATTATTACTCGAGTGGATAATGAGAATGTCGGCACGGCTGAAAAAGGATGGATGATAATAATTCATGGTGATCGTAGTTGTGGATGGGGCCGCTTGCGGATGCAAAGGACTGATGCAGCTTCGTGGGGCCCATAAAAAACTAGGCAGGAGCTAAAATGGAAAATCGAAGGTTCTTGAGTTTGGTCAACCCCTGGGATGGGGGCATACAGCTCCCACGGCGGTTTTTTGGTTGGTTTTTAGTCTTGGGCTCTCCCACTGAGATCTGATGGGGCCCTTTTCTCAAACAATAATCCCGCGGCCCACATATTTGGTACCGCGTTCGTTCAGTTTGAGGTTGGGCGTGGACGTTTGGGGAATGGGGACCGGCGAAACGAGTGTCATCGGTGGGGTTCCAGATAACTGGGCGGGCTACTGGGGCTGTGCTGATCTCGCGGTCTCGACTACAAACGCCGACCAGCGACTTGGTGTTCGACGCCGCTCTCGCTACATTGGATGTACTCTATGATGTCTATTACGTGCCGGGTCCCAAACAGCGCACACCAATACACACCAAGCATATTCATTCCACGTAGGCGCGGGATAGTAGGACCGGCCCTTTGGGCGGACTACACTAGCTTGCAACCCCCTTCCCCTTGATGGGAGATGGAGGACATTGGCTCCCGACGTGAAATCAAATTGACTGCTACGCGACCCACGGATGCATTACAAGCAAATTCTAACATGCCTTATCCTCGGACAGTACTCTGATATGGGAAAGCACGGTGCCACATAGGCATATTACTCATATTACACGCTCCAGCCCTGTCCACGAGCTGGCCTCATCGACTTGACCGCTGGTGGGCACAGTGTCGGTCTGGGATGGGCAGGAACCCTTGTCTGATTGCAACAGCGGACTTTCGATGAAGGAAGCAAGGCATCAAAAGATCGCGGGAAGGAGGTACTTGGTGACCACTCCCCCTGAGCGAAGAGAAGGCTTGGGACGTGTGGTATACACGACCTAATATACATTCCATGGCGGTGGAGAGGTATTGACTGGACCTGGTATCCTCGTTCTTACTTCGGCCTCTGAGATTGCTGTACCATGGATGCAGTCATGGAGCTTTTGCTGATGCCTCCATTGTGCCATTTCCCAGGCGGCCGTCGTGAGATCAGGAAAGCACAGTACGCGCTCCGAGGGTTGCACGTGCGAGCTCTCATCGATCCACTTTTAAAGTGAAGCGTAATTAAGATAATAGCGCTGAGGTCGCATCAATCTTTTTTCTCTCTTTCTTTCTCGAGGCTGGTGTGGTGCTTGAGTACTACTCCAATCGTCATTCAAGTGTGCCTCTTTCTCCCCAGCACGCTCGGCGAGTGTATCCCTCGGGCTTTCAGCGCGCCGGGAGCAGAACTTACCATTGTGTATATATCACACAGCTGGCTTTGCTGCTTTCGAGGAGATGTTTGAACGAAGTCACCCTATGCTAGGCCGTCTACCGCGTCCACCGCGCCCCTTCCCATCTCTCTGCCCGGCCACCCATGTGTAGAGGCGAAATCAACCCCACAGGCTCGAATAAGAATTTGAACAGCGCTGGGGTGGTAAGCAGAGAGAGAGAGAGAGAGAGAGACCGAATGGCGATAGTAACTGTGACTTCCAGGGCACGCAAGTGTTGCACCAATAATACTATTCCCCGTGCTATACAAGACAGAAGGAACCTGCACAGTGTAATGCCGGGTTCGTTAAGAAGCCGGGACTTTCACCAAGCTGGAATTGTGCTAGGTATCGCTTTGCACCACATCCTAGGCATGTTGGACATTGATCCCAGAGTTTCTTCCCCCGGGTCCCCATTGCCATGGAGCCAGGCGGTTCCACGTTGTAGCCCCCTTGGGGCTAGTGTACTCGACCTCCATGTCAAACCCATCAGGCCGTAGCCAAGCCCCACCTGCTCAATTTTCAACCCCTTGTCCTGGCTGCTCACGTCCAATGGCTCATTTACTCACCCGGCGCCAGTTTTAATGCTACACGGGGCTGCCACTTGTACCACGACTTCCGGATGACAGCTCGTACTCCCGGTAGACTCTGAAGGCGTCGAGAGAGGGGCCCTCTCAGGCCTCTCTCCCTGAAGTTCAGAAAGCTTTTGTAGGCTTCGTGGGTAATTCCCGACCCAACTTTTATCAGTAGAGTTGTTGATCGTACTCGTACCCCCTCCCCCGTTACTTTGGCCATCAGGGGAAAGCGCGAGTTCACTTCCCAATGTGTGGAGGGTACAATCGGCCGAGGAAGGTACCACACGCCCTGGTCTAAAGAAAGAACAACCGGGGAGTAGTGAGAAAGAAGAAAAAAAAAAAGAAAAGGGAAAAAAGGGAAAAATAAATATAATTGGGCCTGTTCGAGGGGTATACGGACTACGGCTTCCAGCCAAAGAGACCTCAGGAGGAGATTGCCGCAGGGACTAGAAGAAAGAGACCAAAGAAAAGCCGGCCGTTGTGTTTTCCCAACCCGAGCTCTTCAACCTCCATAGCTCCCTCATTCGAAGCTGTCGCCAGGTTCGATCTCTTGGAGTGATCGGGATCTCTGCGAACTTTGGCAAAGCATCCCTTCACGAGCAGACAGCATCACTTGAGACGAACGCAAAGATTTTTTGGACAGCGGAAACACTGAGCGATGAGATCCTCCCAACCGTCAGCATTTGGTCGCGTATAGAATCGGAGAGCTTGCTCTTCACCTCCACTCATTTTTATCTTATTTTCTTTTTTGGAATACCCTTTTGGCTTTCTTTGCTCTTTTCTTCTTCTATTCTTCTTCTTCTTTCCCCTTTGATTTTCTTTCTCACCCCCACGAGTTCTTTTTCGCGGCGGAGCGTTTCGGGAGGGCTGATAGGAATCCAAAGGACCTCGATACCCCGAGCACCAAACTGTCGCCTCTCGCTTGCTCTCCTTCTTTCGGCGTTCTCCTCATTTAGTTGACGAGACACAGCGCGGCTCATCGACGGATAGGACTGGAAGACTTGCGTGCGCGAGGCCTGAATCGGATTCGAACGGATCGGTTTTGTCGTGACCATTCTTTCATATTGAAGATATTCGCCGACTTGTTCTGCGCCGTGCACGCCGCCGTCCCCCGTCTTCGAACGACACGACGTCCCACCAGCAGTGGCTTGTATTGTCATGACAGCAACAACAACTAGGTTTTCTGATCTTCACGACGAGCGAAAGGGCCCACGACACGACGTCCCAGTCAGTGATAGCCGAACTGGGCATGGCGGCCGAGTCCCAGGCGTTATCTCAACCCGATGTGGGTGCTGAGTCCGCCATCAAACGCTTGCTGAACCGCCAGGCGCAACTTGCCGATCAGCAAGCCGAAGTCCAGGCTCAGCTCGCCGCCTTGCTTCCCACAAAATATGGATCGAATATCAAGCTCGAGTTGCTGATGCTTCGGCACAAGCTGCATGCCTTGCGCGCCTACGCCGCTTTACACGGTACGCCTCCTCATTTACATGCCTTTTGCGCGATCTTGCCCATTGTCAGACTGTTTAGCCTGTCCTACCAAACTATAGGATTTTGATCCTTTACTGTGAGAGCGATGACATTCTTGCCTCATATCCTTTGTTTTCTTTCTCTCTCTCTTTTTTTTTTTTTTTTTTTTTTTTGGCTTTGCGCTCCCACCCAAACCCGGCCTGTCGTGTTGGCTAACCAAACACACCGCTTGCTAGAAGTGCCGTCGAACCCACCTCCTTTATCCGAGGCGGAGGAAGCCCGATACCTACAGTATCAGTGCGAATGTATCGAAGCGGCCATTGTGAGGAACGGTAGGTGTCCTTCATCTCTTCTCCATGGTTGACTAACGCCCGTGTTGCGCATCCGCACTGGAGCTGTTCTATGCCGCCACCCCCTCGTCATGCTCGTCGATTCGAGGGGTGCAAAGCCTATCCCAGCGCCCTTTATAATAAGACACTACCCTCTAACAAGGCACTCTATCGAATACTTAGGCATAAATCTATGGGATCCGTTCTTGGTCGAGTCTTTGAAGCGCCTCATACCCGATGATACGCCCGAGGCCTACGCGAGTTGGTGGTTAGACAAGAACGTTGCCGAAAACGACCCAGCCTTCCGCAGTAGCAAAATTCGAGACGCCGTCCCCCAGAGTTCGCAAGGCACTCGTGCCTCGTACAAGTGCTTGGATGAGAACTGCATCCACTATGTGTATGGTTTTCACACCCAAGACGACCGAGACCACCACGTACGGGAGCATACACTTGCCGCATCTCGCGACAGTGGACTAATCCCCTCGATCACAAACACGCCCACGCTCACATTTCCGGACAATGCTTCGTCAAGGTCCTACGGCGGAGACACGCCTCGACGATCCTCCAATTTCCAACTACCAAAGCCTCCAGTGCCTACCCCTTTGCGATCGCTGAGCATCCCTAGCCAGTTGAGCGATAGCGAGCGTAAGGATTCCTTTGCCAGCGCTTCGTTTCCAACCGATAGTTTCACGCGACAACGAAGTTTTACGGAAGCCGATGTCGACCCTTTACTCCCACCACTCAGGTTTAGCAGGGCCGGGCAGTCTAGACTGCAGTCGATTGGGGAGCTCAAGCTCCCAAGCACAAATGGGCCTTGCCTGCGGTGTACCGTGATGAATCTCGCAGTAATTATCTTCCTTCTTTGCGAAGCCCCATCCGATCATGTGCGCGCATTCTAACAAGCGATATAGTGTGACTCGAATGATGTCTGCCACTTCTGCCGTTCGCAAAGCGGCCTGGGTGACTCGGAATTTTGGAATGTGTTAGGTTGTCGGCGACCACCATTGTCGCAGTTCACATCGTTGATGTTGCCTGGTAAGAGCGCATAACGACCCCTGATGACGGAAGTTGAAGATATGTTCGTCCCTCTTGTCACTGACACGGACGACTTTGCGTAGCCCCCGTTTCCCCAAACAGCCTCATACGGCGTCGATGCCACCCGCCGATCAACGCCGCTTGCTAAACCAACACCTCGAACTCACCTGCAATCTCGCCCCGAATTTCCTCCATTTCATTCGCGATTGCCTGGACTACGACGATACTTTCTGGTCGAGTGACGAGGACGTGGCGAGTAGACTGGCCTTGGCTCATAACGCTCCGGCGGCAACCAGCGCCATCGTGATCGGTACCTTTATGGGAAGCTGGAGCGCCACAGATACGGCCCTCATGTTCACTGACCTTCTTGACTCTAGCAGACGGGCCCTTGGCTTTCAGCACCGAGAGTCGGAGGAGGTTGCGGTGCCTTTGCTACATCGAGCAAAGGTTCTGATGAGAGAAGTGCTCTACTACGATATGCAGCAGACCGAACCTATTCTCACCCCTTCGTCTGCTCCGCGCCACCACCGAACCGCGCCACCGCCTCCGGGAGCGGTTGATTTAGAGAGGCAGCACCGACTCCTTCACGAAGCGCTCACCGAATACTTGCATGCGTTCGAGCACGCTGTTCTGAGAACCGGGACACCCGATGTCCGGACATCACTAGCCGGACTACTTTCCTTGTGCATATTTAGCGCTGCGAGGACAATTCTTATCGATATCGCCTCCTCGGCCCGGCCGCACACGTCACATTCGACTTGGGACCGCATGGGAGCGCCAGCGCTCAATGCAGTGTACAAGGCCCTTGTGAGCCTATATATTTGGTCTTGTCCTCGTGTCCTCGACGAGGCCCCGCTGATCTGTCGGAACCGGAAAGGGAAGCCGTCAGACTAATTAGCAAAGCAGTGAAGAGAGACGACTGGGGCCAGTTCAATATCACATCTACAAGCGACTTCCTTCTAAGGTTAGGGACGGGCGATGCAGACGGGGAGCTGGGACCAAAGTACTTTGGCTTTATCAGGCCCCGCGCGCCTGCGCGTGCTGGACCGCAGATGCTACCTCCTCTGCTCAAGATCACCGACGACATCCGAAAACCTGCAGCGGACTCGAGAGAGGGTACATTAGACAATTGGCACCCAGCATCCGCGCCGGTTCTAGAGGGAGGCAACCACGATTATCCCATGAAGGACGTGCCCGATCACATCATGTCATCCCCACAATCTATGGAGCCTGGGATAGCAAGGCGACACACGGTAGGGGAAAGCCCGGGCTACGCGCGCGGCGCCGTTCGAATTGGACCCCTTATGCCCGGCGGCCGCATGCGCCCATCTTACCAGCGCCCGCCTCTGCGACGAGTCTACTGCACCAAGTGTAATGAGTATCCCGAAGGTTTCCGTGGCGAACATGAGCTGCGTCGTCATACCGAATCTAAGCACGCTTCCCTCGTCAAGAGGTGGATTTGCATCGAGCCCGAGTCCGCGAACTCCTCCTCCCCGCGGCCAGCGGTACCATTGTCGAAATGCAAGGCCTGCGTAACTCAAAAGCGGTACGGCGCCTACTACAATGCGGCGGCTCACCTCCGGAGAGCACACTTCAACCCTAACCGAGGAGGCAAAGCCAGCGGCGATTGGCCACCCATGACCGCGTTGAAAGATTGGATGAGGGAGGTTCGGCAGTCGGTAGATGTGCACGACAACGACTCGTCCAGTGGTGGTGAGGAGGGCGATTTTAAGACGGGGCCACCGGACTATTACCAAGGATTACCGCCGCCGCTATCTCAGCAGCCACTACTTGGGCCAGAGCCTCCGAGGCTGGCTCCCGTTCTCGCTCCGATCGCTGGACATGGCCTTGGCCCCATCCCTACGCTCACCGCTTCGCCCGCGGGCCACCATCAGATGCCAGGGCCGGGCGATATGGCCCTATCGACGCATAGCAGCCCGGCGGCAAAGACGCCCGAGAACCGCAGCCGGTGCCCACACCCAGACTGCGGGCGGGTGTTTAAAGATCTAGCAGCGCATATGCTGACACACCAGGAAGAGCGGCCCGAAAAGTGTCCGATCGAGACGTGCGAGTACCACATCAAGGGGTTTGCTAGGAAATACGACAAAAATCGGCACGCGCTCACCCATTACCGTGGCACCATGGTCTGCCCCTTCTGCCCAGGAGCAGGGACAAGTTTCGAAAAGGCGTTCAACAGGGCGGATGTGTTCAAGAGGCACTTGACGTCGGTCCACAATGTTGAGCAGGCACCGCCCAATAGTCGACGGGTGGTTATCGCCGGGCCAAGCGATGGAAAAGCGGACGCCAAGTGCTCCATCTGCCAGAGCACTTTTACTACGGCGCAAGAGTTTTACGAGCATCTCGACGACTGTGTTCTCAACGAAATCGTCCCTGGAGGATCCAAGTCAAGTCGGGAGCCAGAAGGCTTCAAGACTCCAATGGCATCCCCAGGAAAGAGAAAATCTCCATCCCATGAGATGTCGTCCTCGTTCGTCTCCAAGATGTCACCCCCTCTCGATAGGATGGAGGAGTGATATCTTCCATCCTCTAGCGTTTCGACTGAAACAAAGAACTGAGGAACAACATGAAACAGCAAAACCGGAAAAAACGCGCACGATGTGATGAGATATGACCGGTATCTCGTTTTTTTCTCTTTTTCAAAGGGGACCAAGGCGGAGACCAAGCCCTTCCTCAGGTCAACTCTGATTTCAAATCTCCTCATTACCCCTTGCTCCACCACGTCTTTTTTTTTCTTCTTTTTTTTTTCTGAATTTCTCTTCATTTTCCTCCCGAATCTTCTCCCCCTCTCCTTCTCTCCTTCTCATGCCGAACCAACTTGCCCTGGTTCCTCCTTTTTTTTTTTCCACATTTCCTCTTCTTGATGCATACAGGTAGATCCTATGTCCTTTCTTCGTTTCTTCTCTGGCGGTAACAGCAGACTTATACCCCCTGTGTTTTGCATCTTTTATATACTTGCAGGGCTCTTTCTCTTGTGGAGCTTCTGGGGACGGCGGAATTCGACTATCATGCACCATGCTCTCATGCACACATCCTCTCTCTTTCTTTTTTTTTCTTTCCCACTTGTCTTATCCATTCAACTTCATGTTTCTTGTTACTGGAGGCTTCTTCTGTACCCCTGAAACACCTTTCTTCTCTGATACCTGGTGTGGGTTTTGTCCCTGTCCAATATTCTTTTTCTTCCCTCGCCACCCCCGGTTTTCTGGCACCAAACCTATCCTCTATCCCATTTAGTGTCAGGCGAGGAAAAGGAAGCCGAGGGTGGGTTTCTTACCCTTTATTATGTCTATATATATGTGTGCGTATAGTTAGTGAGGGTTTCTCCCCTCCTGGCTAAGGACTGGAAGAAGCCTTTTTTTCTCCCACCCCTATCTTCATCTTCTCTTATACTCTTCTTCTTCTTTCTTCTCACCTTGATTTTCTCTTCTCATCACCCTCAGGGACACTTCTTTTCTCTCCATTTTCTGTCAAAGGGCGGCTACACCGGGACAGCAACACCTAGCTAGACAGGCCACCATACCCAGGTCTTTTTTTTTTTTGAGTCATGTAGCCGAAAAATTCGGATATCTAGGATAGGATGGAAGAATTGATATCCTCTTGCTCGATTTTGAAGGGCTCGCCCACCTTTGCGCGGCTTTGCGCTTTTGACTTTATCTGTGAAATAGTGGTGAGCATACCAGGATGAAGCAGCATGACGAGAATTCGGATACTCATAACCCCCTGACACCACCATTTCTGTGCGTGTGTAAGAGATTCTTGGACACTATGTAGTATGTAGTCGGTGGCGCAAGAGGACGTCTGCAGCGGAGAGTACACGCGGGTTCAGGGGCAACGGCAGCACGAGCACGAGAGAGAGCTAAGATTATAGGGACAACGAGGTTGGAAGAGCACATGAGAAGTGGGGGTTCACTGTAAAGACGAGAGAGTAAACGGGAAACGTCTGGGGTATCAATATCATCTCAATTCTTGAATTGGCAATTAGGTTAATAGGCGGGCCCATCTCTCTTTCCCCCTAATTCGCATTTATACGCTCATGTCTTCATCCCTCGGCGTTTCCAGGACCAACAACACCACATCCCAATGCTTAAGAAGGCCGGCGGCAGCGAGCAAAAAACAACTAGGAAATTTGGGAAGAAAAGAAAGAAAAGAAAAGCAAAGGAAAGAAACCTCCATACAAGGACCGCCCCAGAGACAGAAGAAAATTGGCGTTGGAGGCCGATACGAGAAAAAGAGGGAGAGATGAGAAAAAGAAAAGGAAAAAAAAAAGGAAAGAGGAGAGAGTTGCGGCTAGTGTGCATACAAAGCGAAGAAGCACATTCCAAAACGAGTTTATCCTTTTCAAAGGAGGGGGACTCGTAGGCGCAAGAAAGAAAAGAAAGTAGTTAAAAAAGGAAGAAGAAAGGGATAAAAACCACATCGTTGTCTACATGAGCCTGATCGGGATGATGCCATCCTCCTCCTCCGAATCGCCCATGGGCTTCCTCGCGTAGCCGCTCAACATGCGCCATCCCGCGCCACACTTCCTACCCTCCTCGACAATGGCGTTGGTGCCGACAAGACACTTGCCAGCCTCGCAGACCGCCTCGCCCGAGGTCACGGTATCGCAGAGGCGGAGTTCGCCGGCGACCTTTCGACCTCGCAGCGGAGCAGCCACCTCTCCCAGGACAGGGAGCCGACGAGGCCGGCGACGGAGGCGATATCGTCCGAGGTACCAGAGGGCGAGGCGATAGCCTGAAGCTGGTGGGTCACGGGTTCCGTGCCGTCGGCGTTGGGGCGGAGGGCGGACGAGGCGCCGGCCGCCTTGGAGCCGGGGGTGATGCGGGGACCGACGGGGAGGAAAGTCCAGGTGCGGCGGGCGGAGACGAAGCCGGCGCGCGCGAGGCGGGAGAGGAAGAGCTTGGTGGGGACGGGTCGTAGCCGAGGCGGGAGAGGGTGAAGCCGAACTCGACGGACTTGGCGAGGCCGAGCGGGCCGGCCTTCATGATGTCGGCGTCCATGAGGGCAAAGTCGAGGTAGCCGCCGGGCTTGAGCACGCGCATGCACTCGCGGAGGCACGTCTCCCACTCATCCTCGCCGTTCTCGCCCGTGTATTTGAGGATGCTGTGAAGCTCGCGGGCCGAGACGAGGTCAAAGTGGTTGTCCGGGAAGGGTAGGCTCGTCAACTTGTTGACCGAGACCTGGCGGTGGTTGGGGGCCGCGCACGTTGCAGTTGGACATTTGGCGAATGGACTTGGTCGTCACCGTGTAGACCTTGGCGTTGGGGTACTGCAGCGAAATGTGCCACGCCCAGTCGCACATGACTTGTCCGCCCAGGTCTAGGATGCGCGGCTTGTCCTTGTGGCTGGAGCGCAGCATCGGGTTCGTGCTTAGACGCATCAGCTTCCTGCCCACGGGCGCCATGACGAGCCTGCCCCCGTTCAAGAGCTTCACACCCGCCACGTGCCACATGTTCATCACCATTTGCGCCAGCGCCTCGGATTCCCTGTCCTGGCGAAGCCTCTCGGGGTCCTCGACAATGACATCATCGCCCCGCGCGACGTTGGTCGAGAGCCGCTTCTTGGCGGATTGGGGCACCACGCTGAGCTGGTACTTGCCGAGAAGTTGGCTACGATGCTTGGCCGGGAGCGAGATGCGCTGGGACTGGAGAGCCTCGTAGCGGGGCACACGGCTCACAAAGGCGTCGTAGTCGCGGGAGCGGATCACGTAGTCCTGAAAGGCGCGGTAGTAGGCCGACTCGTTTTGGGAGAGAAACTCGGGGATCTTGCAGGGAACGGCAGGCGCCGCCACAGGCTTGTCAATGGCTTCGGAAAACCGAACCGTCTTCTTCTTGGGCGGAGTTTCGACGTTGCTATCAAGGCCCGCGGGCGTCATCTCCGAGCTAGGCATGGGAGGTGACTTGGACGCGATGGAGACGCCGTCGAGAGCGTCCTTGGGGGAACAGTGGGTCCGCGATCAGCCCCGCTGCCGGGGAGGACGGCGGCATCCGGGGAAATGACGCGCTTGAGATAGAGATCCTGGGCCACCAGCCACGACTCGGTGCGGTCGAGGTTGGCAAGCGCGACCTGCTGCTGCATGCGCGCATAGGTGGGATCGCAATCGCTGACAATCTCGGTCGGCTCCACGTCGTCTTCGCTCGCCGGGGCTGCCGTGACGGTGGATCCGGTTGAATCAAACGTCGCCGTCTGGGGAGTGGGTGCCACGATGGGACGCGCGGTCGGCACGTCGTCCTCATCCACGATATCGTCCCTGATTTCCACAATTTGCTCAATGAGATCGGCCCCGTTGGAGGTTAGGGACAAGGAGGTAGAGGGCCTGGGCGGGGAGGGGGAAGCTCCCCGGCGATGATGCCCATGAGAGAGGCTTGCCCAACCTGCTGTGCCTGCTTGGGAGGAGGGGGAGGAAGCGGGAAGGCAGGAATCTCGGACCGGTTCCAGGGCAACTTGTAAAACTGCTCTGCGGTGGTGGAGGTGGGAGGCGCGGTATCCGGGGCGAGAGAGTCCCAGGTGCGCCTCGTGCGAGGTGAGAGCTCGGCGAAAAAGCCACCGGGAGAAGGAATGTCAAGCTTGGACAGCTCCAGCATGCTCGCGCGGGACGCCGCGGCCGGAGAGGAGGAAAGGTCACCAGAGTCGGCCTGTTGAAGATGGGTAAAGTTGGCGAGAAGCCGCAAGCCCTGCTGCTGCATCTGCATTTCCGGAAGGGTACCCTCGGGGAGCTCAAAAACTTGGCTCTCGGCTGTGGTGGTGCTCTTCGTCAAACGTGCGGTCGTCGCCGGCGAGGGCGTGCAGGGTCGCAAGCGCACCGGGCTGGAGCTGGACGCCGGACCACTCATCGTGGCAGTCGCCGTCAACGCTCCCCATGACGGGAGTGGGCGGGGCCGACATCTGAGCCATTTGCTCGGATGTCAAGCTTCCGTCCAGCGAGGGGGCGCGCTGGGAATGTGAGCAGTTTGCTGGGATTGCAAAAACTTGATGGCGTCAGGGGAATGGTAGCCGAGAGGGTGGGCGTGGGACCCATTGGCGTCATGGACTTCTTCACATCGATCTCGGCCTGGCGGCCAGAAGGGATAGCCAATTTCGGTAGGGAGCGGCGGTTGGCCTGGCGGGGAGAAGGTAGGCCTCCCGACCTCACACGGATGGCGGATTGCCTCTGGAGCGAATTAGGCCTCGACGCAGCGGTGCTATTTTGGCTACGGCGGCGATTGTTTTCTTCCTCTAGACCCTCGTACATGTCTTCAAACTCGGTGCTGTCCGTCATGACGCTGCTGCGCTGGTACCACGGATTGAGTTGGGGCAGCTGCTCTCGGAAGCAGTGTCGTCGTCGTGCGAGTATTGGTCGACCGAGTAAGATGAAGGCGATGAGGGTAGGTTGGGCATCTCGAGGAAATGGGTTCCACGCGGCGTGGGAAAGCCCCTTGGCGTGGGGAAATGGTCGCTTTGGGGAGACAGCCAAGCTTGGATCTTCATGTCGTTTCTCTTGGACTTGAAGCCGCTCTCGCTCTGCTGCTGTATTTGGGCTGGCTGCTGCTGCTGCTGCTGTTGTTGTTGTTGTTGTTGTTGATGGTGATGTTGTGAATTCCGATGCTCGACCTCCTCAATTATGGTATTAAGGCCCTTTTGGGCGCGGCGACGATCCTGCGAGGCCTGCCCGGGCTCGTATCGGGTGGATGGGAGAATATAAAGATTGGACATGGTTGCGACTCTGTTGGCACTGGCGTGCAAGTGAGCACGAGAGCCAAAATTGGAAAAAAGGAATAACAAGGCGCAGCCTGTAGCGAGTCGTCCAGGTTGAGGGGGCCGGATTAACAGAAGTTGTGTCTAGTCGATCTCCTCTCCCGCTCAAAGGGATTGAAGATTTGCGCCCGGCGCGTGTACCAGAGAAGTGGAAGAGAAAAAGAAAAAAGAAATAGGAAGGCCTCGATCAACGACAGCGGTCTACTACTCTATATTCCGGGAGCGCCAATGAACATCACAAACCTCTTGACTAGCAAAGGGAAAAGGAAAAGCACACTCGGCACACACGGAAGTAAAGAGAAGGAAAGATGAGAATGAGAATTACAACCCGGAAATAGAAAAAGAAGAAAGGGAAGAAAGAAAAAGAAGAGAGAATAGCTTCAAGCTGGGTCAGTCATAAGGTCAAGTCCAAAGGGGAGCACGGAGGGGGAATGGAGGGAAGTGGCTCAGTATTAAAGCCAAGATGACATGACGAGTGACATGATGGGAGATTTAGCGCAGGTGAGCAGAGACCAGTAGCAAGGCGGGCAAAGGCGCTCGTCAAGGGTGTATTTTTGGGGTAACAAGTAAGTAGTATTGATCTAGAGTCCTGCGTGGCGCATCGAGGTGGATGGCGACCACCGCAGCAGCAAGGTGATGGAATACCCAGGGCAGGGATCAAGACGTGGCTTGGAGAGGGGGCGAACGAGAGCGGGCGACAACTCTTGTGTACACGCTCAGAGTAAAGAAGACGAGGGGGTGCGAGCAGGAAATCGTGGCGTGTAGCCAATATGTCAATATGTGATGGACGGCATTAGACGCGGAGCAAGTGGTCGACGTCGGCTAACTCGACAGAGCAGGAACCGGAAAAAGGAAAAGAAAAAGAAGAGGGACAAGGGCTGGGCCCGTTTTCGGAAGAGACGACAATACGAATCCATCAATCGTCCCCGCCTGGTTGCCGTTGCCGCCGCCATTGGGCTGAAAGGAAGGCAAAGTGCCTTTGGCATCAGTTTCGTTGCGTGCTCTTTGTCCCAACCGTCAACCGATGCAGTCGACGGAACGGCTTTCAAGCGTTGATCCAATCAAAAGTCATCTCTAAGCACCGGAGGCTCCAGTTGAGAATTCTTTGCTGCGAAGTTCAGGCTCACGGCGCACTCGCGTCCAGCAGCGCAGCAGAACGAGAAACACGCTGTGGGCAAAGGCAAAAAGGTGGGGTGGAGCTGGTCGTGAAGCGCGCGCGAAGCAAAAGGTCTCACTCTTGTACCTCCACTCGAGAAAAATGGTGGAGAAGGACTTTTGGAGAACTACGCTCCAAGCCTGCACCTACCACAATCCGTCCAATCATGCAGCAGTGTGCATTGGAGCGTCGGCGCTTAACCCCCGCGCCGCTCCATGACTGGTCCACACTCTCATCCGATCTTGCAACGTCCCTTCCCTCACGTACGTCAAGTGGTCAGTTGCAACCGCTGGGCGCTCTTCCCCGTTTTCCTATTTGCCCTGTTCAGCTGCACCGCTCGTTCGGGCAACTTGATTGTATCTCAAACCATTGGCTGATATGTCAAATTATCATCAACCCCAAAGCTTCATACCTTTATTTGATTCGGCGGGCACTGCTGGGATCTGGATCTTAGTCTTGATAGCTGTGAACCGTAACCTATTTACCGTTCTTCCCATACCCCCCCATACCCGGGTTTCTCACTAGGAAACGCGGTCTAGACGATCCACATGGAGAAGGGAGTCATTGTTTCTTCTGCCTAGTGCAGACTCCCATTTCCTCAAGCGTTCCATCGTCGCGATTCTTCATGCGACTGCGACCGCGGGCTTACACCACTGGCCTCCAGCCGCCCACTACGAGACCTCATGCGGCCACCCCCAGGCCGCCAAGGCAAAGATGACAATAGAGACAAGATCGAATACCCTCTCATAGAAGAACAGGTATTAGCAGAACCACACAAGAAGAACGGTCCGGTATTGAATAGTTCGGTCGCACGAGTGGCTTTGTCATGCCGGAGCACCCGGCTTGAAGCAACAACGGCTATCCCCACCGTATCTGTAAGTAGGTGTGGCTCGTTGAGGCGCCCAAGATGTGATATCGAACCAAGACCCTGTCAATATTACCTCGAAATCGATAGATCTCCACCCTCGTCAATCCTCTCCCCGTCCATCGTGAATGCAAGGCACCCGGCGGGAAGAATTCAAAAGCAGAATACCCTGCCTACTTAGCCGCTTCCCTGGCCCTTCTCCTAAGCTTTCGCCATGGCATACTGCGGTTTATCTCCACCCATGAGTTGGTTCCATGGATTCAATCCGCTTGAAGAACGGGGAAAACCCCTTCCGAATAGTGGAGAGACCAAGGCACCATATACATCCTTGCTACACACGACGCCTCTGACGATAGTTTACCATAACTCCACTAATATTGCCTACCTCTTCGCGCCCGCTCCGCCCCCAACACCTTTTTTCCGGTAGTAAACGCCAGGCACCGAACGAGGGAGTCGAGTATTGAACCATGTCCATCTCGGGAATATCCATCTTCTCGCCCCCCGGGGCAAAGATGACCAAAACGCGGTGGTTCGTCTCCCATATATCGGTTCCTATTGACTCTCCCCTGGGCAGTTTTCATTGTCAAATCTTTCCCCTGACTTCACCCCTTGATCCCACAACGCAAGGCAATCTTCAATGGAAAAAAACACATTATTCCTCGGCCGAGACGCTGTTGCTATTTCAAGCGCCGACGATCTCATGCTTTGGCCTCAGAGTGCGGTCAGAGCCAGACCCGTTTTCGTGGCCCCAACAACATCACCTTGCGTCAGAAACCCCATTTGACCCTATGAGGGGAAGGGGGAGGTGGGATTAAAAGAGGGTTAAAAAACATAGAGAAAAGCCCGATTGCTCAACATTCAATTCACCAAGCTACGGAATCTGTGTTTTTTGCTCACCAGCTCTACTCATACCACAGGCCCCACAGGGTGTTAGGCCAACGGAGGTCGCCACCTGGCTGGCAGCGCAAAGAGACGATGGACCCCACAAGCTTACGATTCCGACCCGCCAGGAACCACGACCTTGGCACTAGCCCGTAATCCTAGCTTAGTCAATGAACACTGATAAGTAAGCAAGAGCTACCCTTCCTCGTGAGCTATCCTTTAAGATAGTGATCACAAGCAGAACCAAGGGTAAGCGATTACGAGCAGTAGACAAGGGTAGACTAGATATAAAGGGAAGGAATCCCTTACTAGCTAGAGAGAAGAAACCAACCCTTTTACTACCTTACATCAGATACCATAGCTTCCATCGTGACTATTGTATCTTGTAAGAAAGTGATACCTAGCGACCCTTGAGGATTGGTAACCCTCGCAGCGACCGAGTGATCACACGATCACTCCAGAGATACCACTATCTCTCCAACGGCTTCCTGACAGCTCGGTTGTCAGCAAGCCAGTTGGCGCGACCTTTGTCGTAACACAGGGGGTGCTCTCCACCCTATTACAAATACCACCCTAAAACAAAATCAAACTTATAAGATAAAGATTAGTATCTAATTATAGAGGAAAATATAAATAAAGAAGTGATAATATAGGAATATTCTAGATTTTTAGCTCTATTTATTACTAATATTATTAATATTTATATTTAAGTTTTAAAATAAGTTTAGGTTATTTTTTAACCTTTAAAACTCTATATAATAAGCTTCTAAGTTAAATTCTTTAAAAATATGATAAATTTATAAATTAGATTAATAAATAGAAGGAAAAGACTATTTACTAATAGCCATTTCCTAGAATATATTATATAATAATAACTATTTTTAAAAATAAGTTTAGTATTCTTTAGTATTTTATAGTAATATAAATTATTTAAAAATATCTACTATTTATTTATATATAGTAATATACCATATTTACTACCCCCTCTAATATCTAAGAAAAATAAGTAAGATTAGGTGAGTTATATACTTTTTAATAAACTACTATACTAGTAGTAAATATGGGTTTGTTTTAGGGTGGAGAGCACGAGTATTGGACGTCCTCGTCACCAACACCAGGACCAAAAAGATAGTCCTGCATACATGTACTTTTGAAACCGTTTTCCATGGCATCAATACAAAAATGGGCGAGAGGCCTTCTGCGCCGCGCCTCATGGGTCCCTTTACGTTTTCCGACGACTGGCTTTGAAGTCATCCCCGCGACAGAATTACTCGGAGAGGAACAGTTCGACGAGTTCAAGACGGGCAACTACTACCCAGTCAACGTTGGAGACCTCTTTGCCTCGGACAAGTACCAAGTCGTCGGCAAGTTAGGATTTGGGTCAACCTCGACAGTCTGGCTCGCCCGGAATCTTCAGTATGTTCTCCCCCTTTAAATATGTACACCATATCAACTAAACACAAGCAGGGAGCATGATTATATCACTTTGAAGATCTTCGCGCGGGATCATGGAGACACATGTAGGGACGAATTTAAAACCTACCAAATTATCGACAAGGCAAACCCTGCCCACCCAGGACACCGGCACGTGAGAACCGCCCTGGACACATTCACCATCGGCCGGCCCGGAGGGGATCACCAGTGCATCGTCCAACAGCCCATGTGGGACAGCTGGAAGGACCTACTCCTGCGAAACCCGACGGGTCGCTTCTCCGAGGCGCTACTCAAGGGGGCCTACAATATCTCCTCCGCGCCCTCGATTACCTACACACCGAGTGCAAGCTCGTCCACACAGGTGCGTTGTGGACGTCACCTTTATGTGGCGACGTCACATCTAACATGGGCGGGGAAACAGACATTAAAGCCGACAACATCCTGCATGCCATCGTAGACAAGGGGATCCTTGAGGCCTTTGTTAACGAAGAGATGGAGAGCCCCTCGCCGCGCAAATTCGTCGACGGCAGCCCAGTCTACATGTCCCGACGCTTTGGTCTACCTAAGGACTTTGGCAGGGTCATTCTCAGCGACTTTGGGTCCACGGTGAGAGGGGATTTAAAGCGAAACCACGACGCGCAACCAGATGTGTACCGGTCGCCCGAGGTGATGATCAAGGCCGCGTGGAGCTACCCCATCGACATCTGGAACGTCGGCGCCATGATCTGGGATGTGTTTGAGGGCGGTCACTTGTTCCACGGACAGGACCCCACCGACAAGGGATATACGACCCGCGCGCACCTCGCCGAAGTCATCGGATTGCTGGGGCCACCGCCCTTAGATCTGCTCGAGCGTGGGGTCCGGAGTAGGGAGTTCTTTTCGGAAGATGGTAAATTGATTTTTTTTTCTTTTCGGGGACGCTTAAATGATAGATGAATTGTGCTGACGATCACAGGCCGGTGGATTGCAGATGTCCCAATCCCTCAGGGGAATAGCCTAGAAAATGTCGAGCGCGTCCTCTCGGGGAGGAACAAGGCCATGTTCCTCGACTTCGTGAGGGGAATGCTGGCGTGGAGACCTGAGGACCGCAAGACGGCACGAGAGCTACTCGAGGACCCGTGGTTGAACACCTCGGAAATATCAGATTAGACTCGCTGACCGAGGCACGCCATCGCGGCATTTGGGAGGTTTGCGAAGCTGTCCGCGGCGTGCTGTTCAGGGACGTCTGGAGAGGCTGTAGGGGCGCATGGAGTGGAGCAGGTGGTGGAGTCCTGAGTTTATGTACTATAAGATGGGGTATAGGCGGTGGAGTAAGTGGAGGACAAAAATAATAAATCAAGGTGGATGTATATTCTGTAGTGAATTGCGTGGGAGGTGACTTATCGATCTATGTTTTTGAACTTTTTGGGTCCCCGACTTGGCGAGATACCTTTACCCTGGGGTGAGCAGGAGCCACAGACTTCGTCGCTTGTCCCTCGTGGGATGGCGCTTTCACTGGCGCTCTTCCACCCTCCCTTTACCCCTCCTCGCTGCTCTCTGCAAGGAACCACCACCAGAACAGTAGCCAACCATGGGCTGGTGATGAGCGACAGCCAGGCATGGGCTGCCTAAAAACAGAACAGGCCGCGTCCCCATATCCCTCCGGAGCACGCCCGGGTCGTGACCACCCCTCCCTCTCACAAGACCTACGAGCTCGCTCTCCCTTCTACATTGAATGGATCGATCAATCGTTACATCGCGTTGACGACCGTCCCATTAAGCCGTGACTAAAAGAGTCGGAGCAGGGCGATAAAGTCCCGTCAAAGCCGAAAATCATTGATCTGATGTCTTCTTTCTCGAGAGAATTAGAGGAGAATACGTGCCATGGCTTCAGAGCATTCCTAGCTTCCGGACCTAAACGTCGTTATCGGCACGGCGATCCACCCATTCGTATATACTCGGTAAGCGCCGTCCCTTTCGTCTTCCCCTATTCCCCCTAGCGCCCCCTGAGTTCCTCGTTAGTACAGTGTTTCTTTGGTGTCAGAAGGCTACAATAGATGTAGAGCGGAGCGCATGTTTACAGGCCCGCGAGGTTGCTCTTGTTTCATCATTTCGAGCCAACATCTCATGTGGAAAGGCGTGTTTGCGCAGCTTAACCCCCTCTCCGCTTTCCGGCCAAAATGTCATGAAATGGTATGTATCAAAGTCGGTGTGGGGACACCGATGGCCATTTAGATCGGCCATCTCGTGAAGTGAACCCGCTAGTCGAATACGTAACAATGAAGGCGAATGGAGGGGGAGGGGTGGGTGGGGGAAGGCGCGTAAGCTGGAGAGGGATAAAGGAATGGAGCAGATCGCGAATGTAAGAAAACGAAGAATCACTATCATTCCATTCCATTGTGAACCGCCCGTGGTATCATTGCCGTAATGCGAACCTGTCTGTTCCTCCCTCTTCTCTACACTGTCCATCTCCTCGAGAAAAGAGTCCTTGATAGTCGTGCCTGCTCCTTACCCAAAGATGAAGAAGAAAGAAAAAGAAGCAAGTAAGAAGAAAAGGAAAGAAAAAAGAAAAGAGAAAGTCGGTCGTTTCATCGGGAGCGGGGGTTGCGCTCAATTGGTTACCACATCAACAATCTCGAGGCCTCCATTATCAGGATTGTAGACAATTCTCCTCTCCTCAACCGCCATGCGCATGTCCGCGCTGAGCACTGTTTTTCGCCCGTGAGGGCGCCCACTCAAAGCCCTCCTTCATCCACTTCCATCGGAGGTAAGCCCTGAGTTCTTTATCTTGTGGGAGAACTCGCATCCACTCGGGTTGGAACTCGGGCTCCCGTCCTCCTCCATCCCAGTCTACCGCCTTTCCCAACAACTCGTCTCTGCAAAAATACGCCAGCTATCAATGGCGTATCGCCCTTGAGTCAGATGGCCAATCTCCCACGCGTCCTCGCCGTAGACACTACCCGTTCGTTTCATCGCTAAATCAGCCTCGGACGCGGATGCTCTTGGTGGCGAATCCACATCCGCCAATTGTCTCAAATCCGCGCCCGGGCTTGCTAGCAGTGGTGAATCCTTTGCTTCCCCTTCTGTGACGCTGCACAAAGGATAATTCTTCACCTTGAACCTCGCACCGGCCTTCGGCGGCTGCCTAACCCAACCCTCCGCGTACCGTTGTATGGCCGCTACGCGAATCGTTGACAGGCCAAGATGCCGAATCATTTCCGTGAGCTCATCGGCGTTGGCCTTATCCGCAAGCATCCCGGGTGTCGGGAAGCGCCGCATAACCCTGTGAAATGTTGGGATAGCGGCGGTGCCTTTCGTTTTGACCAGGAAAGTAACGGCGATGAGGAGCCGGAAGGGATCATGAGCCAGCTGTTCCTGAATAAGGCCAAAGGATGCCGCTGTCAGCGGTGGGAATGGGATGCACGAAACCGTGCCCCGCCGAGGCCGCCGACCCGTAAGCTGTGATTGTGTGGCTTTAGCATTTCTCTCTGCAAAGTAAGGTGAGCGTGAGTTACGCCGTTGCCTAAGCCTACCTTGGTGGAAGTTGATCCCGAAATTCAAGGGATCCAGTTCATCCATGTGGCCTCCTCATCATCGTCATCATGTCTGCCATGACGGTAGTCTTCGTGGTCGTGGAGGAGGGCTAGGTTAGGGTCAATCATATTCGCCGGAACAGCCGTGTAGTCACCCCCATTTCGGAATACTGATGAAGAAAGCTTTCTGGCTCGTGGTCTTCTTCGTCGTCATCACCTTGCCACGATGCCAGGTTTGGATCAATCATCATAGGTGCGACATCGTCATGGAGACCGGGCGTCTGGCCCGCGCTAGTAGAATCATGGCTGCTATTGATGCCGCTATGGCTGGGGACATTCGTTGCTAAGCGGCGGGTGTCATTACTGTTTCCGTGTGAGTTATGGCTAGGATAAGAGTCGCCGCCTGGTCGTCCCTGAAACGAAGGGCTATTGCGGGCTAGCTGGTGCTGGCTGGTGGCGTAGTGTACGGAAGATGCCGAAGGCAAAGTGGGAGGGCAACAGCCAATGATGGAGTAGGCGCGCCGTTAGTGACGGTAGGTTGATTGCTCCAGAGATGAGGCTGTATCGTGGCTGGCTTCCTTGCTGTCCCTTGCTGCCACGCTTGATGGCTTTGTGAATGGGCGCCTTCAGATGGCTGATTGAGGCTGGTGGCTGGTGAGGTAGACTTGAGTAGGGACCTGGCGAGTATACCCAAAGGGCATCTGTGACAGCCCATGGGCGGGTGGGGTCATACGCTTGTCCCTGTGGAGGATCCATCTAGTCTAGAGGACTGAAGAAGTGAATCTAAGAACGAAGGGCCTGAGGACGCGAGGTAGCGTCGTATTTGCAGCCTGTGAAAATGTTGGAAATGTTGGTCAAGGTCCTGAGATGACCTGGAGTTCGGTTGCCAGGTAGACAGGAGGTGGCCAGGTTAGAGAAGAAGAGGAAGGGTAAAGGTGGAAGATAGTAGTGACGCGCTTTAAACGTCAGTACCAGATGAATAGGAAGCAACAAAGAGCACTCTAGCTCATCGTCTGAGAGTGAGAGGTCTAGATATTCTTCACAAGGTTAGAGCTGTCTTTGATGAATAGGAAATGTCGGTTTCCTGACTCCACGAATATGATTGAAGAGAGCAATAAAGAAAGTAGGGATAACGCGTGGAAGTGGGATTTGTGGTATGAGATGATAAGCGAGAGTGAGGTGAGAGACTTCAACTTCTAGCCCAGAATAAAACTTGTGGGATGTGGCTTTTCTTTTTCTTTTCCTTTCTCCGTTCCATCATGAACACACACCACAACCCTAACAAGAGCTCAAGTTGCTCCTGCTCTAAGCTGGAGCTTGCCCGCCAGAGTTGTCACATCACATTGGCCATAGCCCTGACAGCGCTCCAGCCTCTGACGGCCCAATGCGCCTTCCGCTGCCGAACCTCATCCAAGCTCATTCCTTCTCGTTTTCATAAACGCGAGCTGGGGCAAGGATTCACGAAGCGCTTCGCTACCCTTTATTCAGGCGAGAAGCGCGCCGTCGGAGTGGGCAAGTCTCCATCAGGGGAAAACACCGCGACAGCGACCTCGAGGAGGTGGAAACGATGAAAGCCGATGAGAGCTTTCCATACACAACATACCTTTATTGGTGAAGAATGGCTAAAAGCTACGCCTAATCCAGCATGACAGATAGACCTTTCCGCGCATCCAGAGGTTCGTGGGAGCAGGCGAAAGCATTCGCGTTAGGCGTGGCGTGTCCTCGCGGTTGCCGCCATCGGGATATCTTGGGGAAATTAAGAGTGAGGATAGGCGATTTTGGGGAGGTTGGAGAGGAGTCGGGCAACACCAGCGAAAACGCGGCCCCGATAATTCAGCACTTCTCGAGACAAAGATGAATTAACAACGTGAGATCCAGGTACAAGACCATCACAGAACCGCCATAATGGCCATGATTAGACGCAACCCGAGCGAGGTAGAGGGTAATTTGAACCTCTTTTCTGTGATGCCGAGATGGGAAGCACCTCCAAGAAGCTGGGGAATCTTATAAGCGAGAGCGGTCACGTGCATGTGATATGACACTAATCCATTTATGGAAGGAACCCCCATCTCCTCGGGGAGGGGCAGGTGACAGGAAAAATGTTGGCAGGTGGCGGCTCATTGGTCGTGATGGACTGGAGTCGCGACCGCCCAGCAAGCCCAAAAGGGCTCAAGCAGAGAATAATCTAACGAAGGTGACTTTTCCCCGGTGAGCGGTTCCGTCGGCATGGCTGGTGCATGGCTGAGGTGAGCTTAGCGAGACTTGTACCTCGTACTATCTTGCCACGAATGAGGAGTGTGGGCGAGACTCTGACGGCCAAGGTCGACCGATGTCATCACCTCATACAGTGTAAAAATAAAAAATTGCCATAGTTTCCCAAGACATCGCTCAACTGGATTCCCCATCGACGCTGGTGTGTACTGTAGGCCAGAATAAGCAGAGCGGACAGTTTACGAGACCAGTTAGATTAGGTGTTGACAAAGGAGAGGACTTGGGAGAATCGGCGACGAGGTATCTCCTGAGATTGAGATTGGGGTGCACTAACAAAGCTACATGCTGGTCCAATGGGATTGTGTTAGAAGTCGTCATTCCGGCTGTTCCTTCCTCTGGAGCCACTCACCCACACCTGCACCACCTGCGCCAACCCCACCGACTCGAAGGTCCCATGGTTTGGTGTGTGTACAGTGTGCAGACAGGCAATGGCCGGACCCGAGTAGTAATATTCTCCACCTCCCACGCTCTGCCTTCCTGTCGCTCCGTCTATCTCCGCTAGAACTTTCGAACACTCTCCTTCTTCCTTCAACTCACCCATCCGATTTCCGAATCTCCCCTCAAATCCCACCCTTAGTTAACGCACACCGCGCGAACAGCACCGCAAGCGGTTTTAACAATTAATTTCGACATATACTATCAGTCGAGAGATGAGTAGTCGCGGCGGTAAACTCGCCCCAGAAGTGAACCGGTATGTGATTACTGTGTCGCCCAGCGCGTCGATTGAGTCGACCCTACGGGCTCGTTGATCCGATGCGAAGAAGTCGTCGATTGAGCGCCTGGCGGAAATCAATGCCAAGCCATCATCACTTGTCGACACCCCGACTTTCTCTTCATCGATTTTTCCCCTGGCATCTTATTGAGTGTTCGCTTATACTAACCATATTCTTGTTGTCGCCAGAGCTCTGTTCGTTAAGAACTTGAGGTATCCTTGCCCCGTATCTCCGACCAAGCCACATTTTAATTCCTTCCTCACCGTGATATCACGCCCTCAAACATCATCCATTACTTGACTCTAACCGTTCCAATTTTAGCTACAACGTAACTCCCGAAGAGTTATTTGATCTCTTCGGCAAGTTTGGCCCGATTCGGTATGCATTATCCGTCAAATTGCGAAGTTTTGAGAGCGTGTTGCGTATATGATCCATGACTGACAGGCGTTTCCCCTCATCCAGGCAAGTTCGACAGGGCATTGCCAATAACACAAAGGCACCGCCTTCGTTGTCTATGAAGACGTAATGGATGCAAAGCAGGCTTGCGACAAGCTAAATGGATTTAACTTCCAGAACCGATACCTCGTTGGTATGTGAGATGACACTCTGGCGCGTGCAAATGCGCCTCTCCCCCACCAGACATTATCCCCCCGCCGATCCTCGAGCAATACACATTCACTCAAATACCTCTTCACGATGGATGCTAGCAGCCTAGGAAGGGACAGGTTCAAAAAAAAAAAAAAAAAACCCCTTAGAATCGGCATCGTTGCTTACTTCTTGCTCGCCCACAGTATTATACCACCAGCCCGAGAAGATGCTCAAGTCAAGAGAGGACATCGAAGCCCGCCGCGAATCTTTAGCTCAGCTCAAAAGCAACATGGCATCGATTGACAATTAGACGGGTCTGCGGACCGGCGTCGCGGCAATCAATCGACCGCAGCCCCGTCTCCATCATCTTCATCTTCGAATGAAACGCGTCCTAGGGATCCGAAGACGATTCTACGAAAGGACAAGCCGATGACCAGTGGACACGCGCGTCGTACTGTCGTGCGCTTTGCTGATGGCCTACGATCTGGTCTTCAAACTTGCGCATGACGAGACAGTGAACCATGGCAGTGAAACGCCATTGGAAATCTTGGCGTCTAGTACTAAACCGTTGTTGCTCCTGTATCAAGAGCGAAAACTCGCTCTTTTGATATGGATAGCCCCTATTCGATAGGATTGGGAACGGTTTGGACATGTACGCCAGGTGCTGTCAGAACCGGAGAGGGATCCCGGTTCTAAACGATCCTTTGACACAATGTCACTGTCAAAACTTCTCCCCACTTGATTCCTGTTTTCATGATTCCAATCATGCTTATTGTTCTCTTCGGTCGTGTTGCCTTTTATCATTCATTCTCACCCTCGTTTTATTTTTATTTTTCGTCGTTTTATCTTTCAAACATTCACTGAAATGAAACTGCAACGATCCTGTACGAATGGCGAAGGATATTCATGACTAGGTGTTGCAAGGCTTTTTCGAGGATCAAGAACCACCCAATGTATTGATGCTGTAGAACAGAGGGAACAGAGGGATTTTGGATGAAGCGCTCATCCAATCCCGACGTATGAGATTGATTTTCTGATTCCGTCTGTGGTCGTATGCTGGCTAGTTCTGTGCGTTCATTTCTTCCACCTTGAATCTCTACAGTGTCTTCTCCTTGCTGTGCTTCATAGTAGAGCTGTCCATGGATGTTTGCGTGAAATCCGCCAACTTTTGGGCCGCGACAAAGGTTGACGTATCATCGTGCTCGACGGGAGATCGACCCCTCTCTTGAAAGAAGAGTACGTCTCCTCGGAGGCTCCGGATCTAGTTTCCAACTCGTCCATGTAACTCGTCCTGGCTAGAGGACAGCCGGGCCATCCCACCGCAAGGGGCCGATACTAGGCATATTCCTCATATCGTAGTGCTTTGTTTTCGGAAGAGAATCATTAGTTAATCACAGAGGGGTATTGACGGAGTTCAGCTCCTCCCTACCTAGGGTGAGCCATCGTATTCAACCTTCACGAGATGATCCCGCTCAGCCCGCAAACGTTTCTCTTTCATTTCCTTCCCTTCCCCTCTCACAACTCGCTTCTACAAACACGCACACACACACGCTCAGACGACCACAAAAGCAGCGAGGATGTCCGTATAGCGATGGCGAAGGGGAGCAAGCGAGAAGTAGCGTGACAGGCGTTTCTCTAAACAATACGACGATGTGCAACCACGCAGTTTCAAACGAGAGAGAGAACACGAGAGAGAGAGAGAGAGGGAAGAAATGGGATAACATGTCTATCTCTTCACAATGGCCAATGATCCGTACCTTGCGATCTCCAGGATGGCAACAGAACAGGTGACGCAAGAAGCATCACGCTCTTCTATGCCTACCCTTCCGAACCCCTGACATTGGCGGGCGTCTCGCTCATCACGCTATAGAAAAAACCATATGGATATGATATAAAAAGAAACGCGCAAACCAAACCCCTTCCCAAGTCGGGCAAGAGTTCAAAAAAAAAAGGACACGGTCATTCGCCTTCTCCGAAAAGGCGAGGGAGGATGACAACAGAGGCGACACAGCATCCATACTCCCAGCAGCCTAGCATATAGACAAATGGGAAGGAGCAGGGAGAAGGAGGACTAAGGAATGGGAAAAAACCGAAACCGAGTTTACCCTGATCTTGCTCGCCATTTTCCATCCGTCATACTTTGCGTTGGCGGTTCCAGGCTTCGTAACCATTGGCCAGGCCCAACATGATGTAGATTTACAAAAAAGAAAAAGAGAAAATGATAAAAGTGCCCAAAAATCGCAACCCGGCCACCCCACGACGCTTCTCTACCTCGGCGCCTCACGGGTTTCATGAAGTACGCCGGCTACTCCCCCATGTCATCAACACCAGCTCGCCCAGTGAGCTATACAAAGCAGCGTGGCCCAGCAGTGCTCCCCATTGTTCTTGGGGCATTCATCTGTTTAATACACCTTCTTCTTCTCATCGATGGAGAATTGGCCGGGGCCGCTGTTGACAAGGAGGAGAAGACCACCGACGATGGAGAGGATCTGGAAGAAGTCGTACTTGGCAAAGTCCTTGTGGGGGTGGAGTTCGGATAGCTAAGAGGGAGAAGGGCACGTTAGCCAACAAAGGTCATGTGTTGTCCGCAACCCGAACAAAATAGCGCTACTTACGGTCCAGAAGTTGTTGACGAGGACATTGAAGATGCTGAGAATGACGACGAGAAGGGTGGCGCTGAACTTGGCCTTGAAGCCGACAACAACCATGATGCAGGCAAGAGCACCGAGGGAGGAGACAAAGACCCTCCAGAGGGACCACTGGCCAGAGAAGACGAAGCCGATGAAGAGGAAGATGAGAAGGACGCGGCCAGCAAGCTGGAAGTACATCCTCCTATCCTTCTCATCAATTTGGGGAAGACCGGCAAAGGCCTTAGTCTTGCGCACCCACGAGTCGGAGAGAACCATGAGAAGACCGCCAATGACGGAGAGGTTCCTGAGGAAGAAGTTGAGATCGAAGATGAGACCGTATCCGAGAGCCTGGATGACGACAACGGCCATGAGGCCAGCTACAGCGTAGTCGGAGTGCTTGCGCATGATCACGAGGGTAGAGCAAACGCTCATGGCGATCATGTTGACGAGAAGAAAGAGGTGAGTGAGGCCGTTGGGAACTATGCAGCGAGTCAGGTTAGTCGGGAATGCCCCAAAGAACAGGATGCCCAACTCTCGCCACCACGTATTCCCTCTACGGGAAGACACGGGCTGCAGGCCTGTGATGGCCTGGCTCTCTGGCATCGAGAATACAGGAAAACACAAGATAGTATATAGGACGTACTGCGGCGGAAATCGTGGAGATAAATGAGCTGGTCGTTCCATTGGGTGAAGATGCGAAGGGTATCCTCGAGGAAGGTGACGACGATAAGGAAACGGCCAATGGCAGGAAGGAAGCTGTAAACAGCGGCCAGGTTAGCGACGCAAATTGGGCGTGAGAGCTTATCCATCGCCCTTTCAATCATCTTCGAAGCTTCAGAAGCGTCCTTGGAGGCGTTGGGTGGTGACCTGTGAGGCATCGACTCAAGACCCGCCCAGCCACCTCCAAAGCACACACGGCTTCTCGGGACAAAAGGGGCAAGATAGCTATGGAGAGATATCGACGTACGGCTTGATGGGCTCGCTAGCTCTATCGAGGAGATCCTCAATCTTACTCGTCTGCGCCCGAATGGCATCGAGGGCACTCGAATCGTCTCCGGAAGAGTTAGAGGCGCCATACTGAGGGCCGACGCCCATGCCGTAGGAAGGACCTCGCGATGTCATGGTGTGAAGCGTAACTTTGGATGTCGACGCGGCAAGGGAGCGAAAGGGGAAAAAAGAAAAAGAAAAAGGAGGGAAAAGGAGAGAAGGGAAAGAGAGGTGACGATGAGAGGAAAGAGAAGAAAAGAAACTAAAAAGAAAAAAGGGCTCTCTCTGGCTGTCAAAGATGTCGACTGTGTCGGACGAAGGATATTGGTTTTTTTGTCGAGAAGGAGAGAAACTTTCAGGCCGGCTGCTTGCAAGGAGGGGGTGTGGCCGGTGTTGGGACAGGTGTTATTTTCGATGCGCGAGAGGGGTGGGCCGAGAGGCTTAAAAGGCTGGCGGAGCTCTCTAAATGGCAAATGCTTGAACCAGCACGGTAACGCCGCCGCTAGATGAGCCTCGTAGAATAGCTGCCGCAAGGGGAAGTAGAAGGAGGATTATCCTATAAAATAGAAAGAAGATGCTTTGAATGGAGAAGAAGAAGGGCGTGGCGTGCTCGGTGGGATTGTCTTGTTGTTTTCTTTATCAGGAGGGGAGAAACACAGATCGTGAAGCCGAGGAAGGGGCTTTTGCCGTTGATGATTCTGTACACTCCACTACACTACTTGAGCAAGGAGACAGCAGAGACACTGGGAAGAATGACCTGGCATTTGAATCACAGTGGGAAGTTCTGGATGGAGTGGATCCAAGCAAGGCGAATAGTTGAGGAACCATTGGCCGGTTTGATGCAGGGGTTTACACTTGCAACCGGGCAGACCGGGGTCGGGGACAGCGCCCCGTACGGTACTTGGCAGAGAGTTGAGGTATCAAGGGGAGCAGAGACCATAAGTAAAACGGGTCACACCTCGGCGAAGGAGAATCTTCAAAGCAGGTTCTCTCCTTTTGAGGTCCTCCGCTTCGACTTTCGGCCCCCCTCAGTTGAGGCCAGACTGGAGGTTTCTTTCTCGTTCGAGAGAGAGAGAGAGAACATTGATCGCCATGGACGTACCCACAACGGGTGCGCTTGACTGGGCTAAGCCAGCGAGCCAATGGCAGGGCTAGGCCTCGGAGCTTTGCTGTGGCTGGCTTCTGACATGACCAGGTACATTGAACAGGTGTGATCCAGCTCGGCCTTCAATGTTCGCAACAGTAGCCCCAGCTGCCCAGCACAAGAACATCCACCATTGATCTCCTATTCAATCGAGGCACTCCCAAAAAGGCGAAAAGGTGGCAAGCAACGCCCCTTGTTCCTTTTGTTCGATATTGATCTATTACCGACCGAATCAACCGGGATCAATATCGATGTCAGGGCAGGCCGAGGAGTAAATTGGGCCCTCAAGCTGCATCCACTGCGCAACTGTGTCCTTTCACAAGCCAGACCCCGTGATGCGCGTCGACGGGAGTGGAGTTTAAAAGAGCAACACTGTATATAGTTGCTGCCGGGTTCGCATTAAGCCAGTCACCCGGCTAGCACCAGGTACAGAGACTGTCCCGTAGAATATTGAACTGAAGCGATCGCACCCGGGTCAGGTGCCCAAGGGGAGATACAATGGATACAGCATTCAACGCACCATTCCCCGATCGTTAAGCCAAGAGGGTAAGGAGGTTATGTAGGTTCATGCCAGCTTGGGATGTACCTTTGCTCGCCGCCGCTAATTTCATTAAAGCAATCATGGGTAAAGGTTATTTTATTATAAGAACCATCCTCTCACTTCTTCGCGGGGCGGCGCCCCCACAAGGATAGAGATTGCTTCATTATGAATGGGCGCCAGAGGTTTTGGTGTCGCGATTCTATACATTCAAAGTATTTTTGATTACAGTAAAACAGCGCTCCACAGATCCACACAAGAAAGGAGCTCTGACAATTTCGAATAAAGGTTCAATGTGTCCATTCGAGAGAGTTGGAGGGAGGATCGGCGGGGCTGGGCTATGGACCGACCGCCACAATCAACGGCAATTAGCCACATTGGTGAGAACGAGCAGCGACTACCTGAGTGGCCGAGGCGACTTAATGACCCTTGGAGGCCAGTCAGCTCGTGCACACTATTGCTGATGGACGCTCGGGGCGCCACGATTTGTGGCAGCACCGGATCCTGAATCCCAGTGCTGCGAACTGAAACGTCAACCACGTCCATCCCAACATCGGACTGGTTCCTCGAAGCCAGAATTTCTTCTCCAAGACGCGGAAGGGACCAAAGCGCCGTCGATCCCGGAAGTGATGGAATGAACAAACCAACCCCTTAGGGCTTTTTTTTTTCTTTATTTTTCTCCTTCTTTCCGGCACTCTTCTCTCTTGACCCAAAGCTGAGAGTGACCGGTGATGGGCACATCGTAGACAAGTGTTAAAACATGTTAGAATCGTCCCAAGTCGGACGTTTTCGCTCGTGTAGCTTACCTAAGACCTAAAGCTCACAAGCTGACCCGAACGGATCCAGAGGAGTTCTTGCTATCTGATTCACAGCTGGCCGCGGTCTTAGGGAGAGCTGAATGGTAGGGTTGGGCAGAGAGACACGCCGAACAGCGCTGGCCTAGGGCTGGAGCAGGGCAGTGCTGAGGAATGTGGTAATCCCGACATCTATGGAACGCATGGATGTTTCGATCCACGATCCACGCTAAAAGGCGGCTCTCTTGAAGGGGAGAGAGGACACACATCAGCGAAAAACCCAAGTGAATGGAGAGCGAGCACGGGTCCGGAGAAACTCGCTGCCAGCAGCCCGTTTTCCTTATCCCGGGCTACGGCCCAACCACAAGATATCGGGCTCTCCAAACATATACGACGGATCCATCCGTCCATGACTCCCCGCCGATTGCCCATGGCCAGCTCCCGAGCCACACACACGAAGTTCAGCTTCTATTAAGCGTATCCGAGGAAAATAGACTCTCAACCCCCCCGGTCCTTGAGCCTGCAAAGCACCGCAACGACACAGATGGACCACCCCCTTCGCCACACTTCGAAGGCATCCAGAAAAACTCCGCCGCGTGCCCGCAGAGGATTTCGTGAACAAGCAAGCTCCCCTCAGGCCGCACTTGGTGTATCACGGGCGCTTAAGATGCCAGTGGGCTTGCGCCAAAATCTGGCCTAGCCTTAATAGCCTCTTTTTCCCCAAAAGCCCCCGCCCCCTTCCTCTCCCCCCGCAGATCCCACCCTCCCTCTCACCCGGTCACGGCATCTCCTCCGAACACTTCTAAATTTGGCACGTCTGACACCCACCCTAAGCACCAACGAATAGCGTAATTGTTCCTCGTACCTTGTCCGTTACTTTTCTGGTGAAGGTTCGCATTCCATGCATACCATTTGATGACAATAGAACCCACCCAGCCCATGACAGGTTTCTTGCTTTCTCGTGTTTTGCGCCTAAAGGATCTTTGTTGTCTTTTGCCCTGGCTCCCATCGCGAGGAAGCGTATTCACAGGCCCAATTGTAGCGTAATTCCTACTTCGTTCCGTCATGGTCGGGCTGGCTCAAGGGATGACTAAAGATGACAACAGGCTAGAGACTCGTAATGGAATCTCTTTCTGGCGAGTTTCAACGACTGTCTTCGTTGGTATTCGCAACAGAAACAATCAGCCCGTATTCTGTAGGCAAGTGTTTCCATGACCGAGGAGTATCTCAGTGGCGCCGCCAAAGCTTTCTCCTCAGTCATAAGCTCTGGGCGACAAGGAGCTAAAGACATCGTCATGTTGATATGATAGTAGATTAAAAAGATAACCAGTGCATTTATATACTTGTAAAGGCAACACACATGAAAATATAGGCCATTATCAAAGAACGTTCCCAGGGTGCCCAGAAAAAGAGAAGAAAAAACAATCCACATCGCCGTCCCAGAAACCCGCAATGCCAGTAAAGTGTAATGAGAAAAAGGGACCGGAAATAAAGGTGCGTTTGGGTCAGGATGGAAGACCCAAGAGGGATAAGGGCGCGAAGAGCCCGTCTCGTCTCATTATGACCGGTCCCGCGCGCCGCCTCAAACGCCTCCCACCGGTCCCCCCGCTCGTTTTTGTTGACTCCAACTCGTCCGAAGAAAGGCCTTGGTTTTATCCCTTCTGTCATCCTTTCTTCGTCGATAGTGCTTGATGAACGAGTGATATATAAAGATAAAATATAAAAAGGCAGAAGATGAAAAAGGAAAGAGAAGACCATCTACAGTTTGCCACATCCTCTTTGCCTCTCGCGCCCTCTGTGAGCCATGGCAACAATCAATAGGTTACCGGCTTGACCGGAAACCCGCCTCGTTACCTTGCGCCCATGAGAAACGGTCCGCTCTGTTATCGGCTTGTGTGCTGGCAGGTAGTTCGACGGGTGCTTCTTGTACGGGCGCCTCGTAGTGCACTTGCTGGTATTGTCCGCTAATACACGCCATGTTAGCATTGCCCGTCTATGCTTTGAAGCACATGCAGAATTCACCACTCCTCGCTGTATTTCCCCTCTTCCGGCGCGCCAGAAGAGAAGAAACCAGGAACGGGGATAGAAAGAAAAGGCTTACCCATCGACCGTGGTCCCAGTCACGTTGGGCACCACAAAGCCCCCGTATCCCGGGCTTCCCACTGTTCCGCTCCACCTTTCCGTCGTCATAGTCATGGGCGTCATCGCGGGTTTGTGCTCCGAGGTGGGAGAGAAGGGCGAGCTAGGGGCATGTTCGCTGCCGCTGCTGCCGCCGCCGCATCGCCACCAGCGGGCGCGCCAGCTCCCATGCTCTTTCGGTAGGCACGATCCATTCCGCCATTGCGACCACAGTAATAGATGAGACCAGCCGCGCCGAGAAGAACCGCAGCGCCGCCAATGGCAATACCGGCGATGGCGCCGGAGGAGAGGCCGTGGCTGTGAGACGAGTTATTGTCGCTGTTGGAGCCGCTTTTATCGCCGGAGGAGCTTCCGGAATCGTCTCCGTCATAGCCGCCCTTGATGTCGTCGGGCTTCTCCGACTCGGAAGGCCAGTCGTCTCCGGGGATGAGCTCGAACTCGGCGTGCTCTACAAACTCGAGGTGGCCGGCGAGGGTTTGGTTTTTGTTCTAGGACGGATCGAACGTTAGTACACTCCACGAAAGAAAGCACCTCGTGATCTAAAACCTTGATGGAGTGCCAAAACGAGATTGTTTGAACCTACAGGGTTGATAACGCCAATCATGTGCTTGTCCATGCACGATCCCTTGGCGCCGCAGTAGAAGAAGATCGGTTCCGTATCGTTGATCTTGAGGTTGAAGACGGGGCTCTAGATAAGAGAAAGGTGTCGAGATTAGTAGACTGAAGGGCTACCACAACCAAAAGGTTGCTCATAAAGGGGAAAAGAAGAGGGAGCTTACATCTTCCGAAATTCCGCTCATGATGTGGGGGCCGTCGTAGAAGCCCTCCTTGTTCTCACCAACGAGCTCGTAAGGGATGCAGCCATACTCATAGTTGGCCCGGATGACGGAGTGGTCCGGAGGGTAGAACTTGAAAGCTAGAAAGGACATCGCCTAATTAGTATCCCGCATTTCGTGATATTGTACAAAAGTACGAGGGGGATAAACACTTGGAAACCTACCAACTGTGTCGCCGGGCTTCGCAAACGTCTCGTTTGGCGTAAATTTGAATCCCGACTAAGAATCACGGCCCCTGTTAGTAAACCCGGAAGAGAGGAAGAGAGAGAATTCTCAAAGTGCCTTACCCAGCCCACTCGGATAGTATGTGTTGTAGGTTCCGAGCTTTCAGACTCCGAAGGTGTAGGTGGTTCCGTGGTGGTCTGGGAAAGCGCGCCCACGGCCAAGAGGCCGAGTGTCGCCGTCAGGTAGCGCAACATGGCTCCGATACTATGTTTGCGATCGCTGTTTCCTGAGAAGATGCGTACGGAAAGAACAGCCAACTCGTCGAAAGGGTGTAACCCGATCCTCCAATGATATCAATCGGGTCGAATTTGTGTAGTTGGTTTCTCTCGTCTTTCTATTACACGATCGAAGAGCTGCGTCTTGTTTATGCTGGCTTCCTGGGTATTGATCGTATGGTGAGGAGTCAAATCCGAAGAGCTGTGTGTAAGCTGAGGAGCTTTTGAGGACGCAACAGGGTGGGAACGGCCCAACAGGTGATCGAGATAAGTAGAAGCACGATTCCTAGAACAAGACTAAAACCTTATGGCCTAGACTCTCATGGAAAGGAGGAAACTGATTCAGCTCTGCCAACAAAGGGAGAGGTCGGATGGGGTGGGAAGAAGAGGAGAGGAGAAAAAGAGAACCGAGTCCTTGACTTTCAAGATGTGGAAAAAAAAAGAGAGAAAACTTGTCAAGCGGACGGGAACCGGCAAGACATCAAAGTTAAAAAAGGGGACCAAGAAGGGAAGACGGAAACTTTTGTCCTGTCTTCTTTTACGCGGGGTGTACCGGAGGGGGGATGGGCACGCAGCGTGTCTACCGGGGCCAAGGGACGTGGACAATACCCGAGCGGACTAGGGGCGGAAGATGATATATTGGGACCAGAGGTGGTAAGGTGGTGACGGTGGGATCAAGGTACTATATTCGTGCTGACGGCCAATATGCAGTGATACGGCCAGTTGGTGGAGGTCATGGACGGAGGAGGGGGCAAGGACCCAAGGGAGGGGGTGGAGGATGGTGAGATCGTGGACGGCACCCAGTCCGCGTTGAATAGCCTGGCCGAAGCCTCTCTCTACGCCCCCTCCTTCGCCGCCGGTGCTGCTCAATGAGGGGGCTGTACCTATGAGAGGTGCGCCATGAAGAAGGTGGGAATACAATCAGGAAGGCGTTGACTGGGGCTGTGATGACAGAGCAGAGCTTCTCTCGAGTCTTACGGCATTGGGAGAGCTCTATTAAGGGAGACGGGTGTCTCCGGACGGACATGTCAAGAAAAGCTACTAGTGTCGATCTCTCCCATCAATCCTCACCCCTTCCTTGAAAGGATCTCATGTTCAATCTCGTTCAGGCTGGGGAAGCCTCGTGTTTTTCGCTGTGGCGTGCTCCTTCCTGGCCATGGCCATGGATGATGATCATCCTGCGCTCGAGGGCTTGCACGCCTGGGAGCCTGATCCGGAACAGATGCCGAAAGATGGAAAGAAAAAAAAAAAAGGAAAGAAAAGGAAAAGAAACATGCGCAATAGGAAAGGGCAGTACGGAAGCAAAGGAGAAAATAATAGAAGGAACGGATGGGGAAATGGCCTGGGGCTAGACCACCGGTTATTGAGAGGAAGAGTACATGGAGTACCCCATCGATACGATACTTACATGGTCGACGAATGGCCAAATTGATCAATGACAAAAAGAGGGGTGGTCAAGAAGGGACTTTGCATGGTAAACATTGATCGATCAATGCCTCAACTTGGTCTTTACTCCCTTCTAGCATCCTAGCGGGGAGGCACAGACATTGGCCTCTCTATCGGATTTCCTTGGCTTGTGTATCGATTGATGGGGAATAGATTATTGCCGCCGTTTTGGAGGCGAAGCGGGTATACTTCTCAAAACTGCTTGCGGAATATAGCCCCAAGCCTATCTATCCATTCCCCAAGCATATGCACGGAGCACAACATTTCTCCAAACACGAACAGCGCTGGGTGTCAGTTCGTTGGAAGGTTGGGAGGGTTTCCTTTTTCTTTTCTTTTTGGCTTGTTTTTATCTTGCTCTCATGGCTTCATAGATGCAAGTCGCATTCGCAAAGGATGACGATAATAATAGTAGGGAAGAATGAAAGCGGAACGTCAAACACAGCAATGAGCACAGCCAAGGGCCAAGCCAAGTTCCGCAGCGGCTTGAATCTAACTCGATATTGCCTAGCCATCGCCTGGCTCTGGGCGCAGGGTTTTGTCCGCCGCGCCTCCGCTGGCTACTGGAAAACCCATCCAAGCGAAGTAAGTTGGACAGAGAGAGGGACGGAGAGAGGGAAAAAGAGGAAAAGAGACAGCGGTGGAGCATCCACTGACAAGAAAACGACGGTGTACATTGCCTGGCGCAATGTTGGCATTGGTGTTGGGCAGGGGGTGTGGAAGTGGGGGTGTGCAGTTAATTGCTGATGCTTTCAACGTGCTCTCAGGGGATCGACGGCAGCTTCAACCCGGCTCCCTTCCTTCCCTCTCTCGCTTGACCCAGAATTTGGTACATTATGTCGCCCTCGCAGCAGCAGCATAATGCAAGATATCAGAGATTCGTGCGCACATGTTGGGGAGGCACTCACTTCAATAGACGCGAGTTTGTTGAAGGCTGGAATCACCAGATCTTGGTTAGTGCCTGCGTCCACAAGCGGTCGTCGTTGTGGCCGGGATGGGGAGACGGGTTGCATCGTTGGGACACGGCCTAAGAACGCTAAGCTGTGTGGATGCTATCTCCAAAGAAGAAAGGACTGAGTTGGTTAGTATTCGGTGGCGAGCCGGAAGGGCAAGTCTTTCCCAGGTGTTATTAAGGGCTGGGGCAAACGCTAGACAGAGAACCCGTTATTGCTTGCTCCGGATATGATCGCCTCCACGTCTTGATTCAACCTGAAAGGTGTACAGGTGATATCAAGGGTACACGATGTGGATTGGGGGTAGTTTCGCCTGCGAGAAACCCTCTCACCAGCGATACCCTCAACTATAAACATGATAGAGCGAGGCCTTGAATAGCTCCATCTGACTGATGCGACTGACGCGATGACAAATGGGTCAGCTTTTGATGAAATAGATCAAATTGATGCCGACGGCGAATTCCTCCCCCATTTCCGTTGTTTTCAATTTCTTTGGCCGCATTAATTCCGGTCGCAGGCCAGGACGAGGTCTTGGGAGCGGCGAGCAATTTTCTTTCTGTCGGGTTACCCGGCCTCGTTTAACCCGCCGGCAGAATGGAAGAGCACTGTATCTAAAGCGCCTCCCCGTCAATCGACTTGGTCAACTTGCCTTCCAGATGGAGGGCGACAAAGGGAACATTAGAAAACAAGGGCGAATCGTGACATGCTGAAGCAACGACATGAGCGTCGCGCCTGGGACATCACAGCGCCTTCTCCAGGGCCGAGCACTTATCAAAGGAGGGACGACGCACAGTCTTGAGGATTCCAGAGCCTCGCATGAGCTTTAGTTGACCGTGGCGCGTGCGATTCCGACTTTGCAGCGATGCCAAATGGTGCCTTGGCATCCTGCCTGTGAGGTTATGGATAAGATCACAAAAGTCGGCGGCGGGAAAGAACGACGTGCGGACCAAGCAGAGAGCTAGCTACTGTATAAAGGGATGGATACTCTTCAGTGCTCTCTTGGCCATCTTTGCTCCCTCCATCCCGCACTCATCCATTGTAGACGGGACTCTCAAGTTCTCTTGCATTGCTTGCTACCCGTACGCGCCTTCTCGGCAGCAGCTCGGGTCACACAAAAGTGTTCATGCTACCTCGTACCTTCCCCCTCTCTCGTCTTTCCCCCAAAATTTCCCAAAAAGTCACAAAACGGCTCAAGTAGATTGTACTTTCCGTTGCACACAGTCCAGAGAGGAATTGGTCAATCCTCCTCTTGCGACACTGTTGCGCCTTATCTTCCCTACGTTCTTGCTTTGGGGATTCCTTGAAGCATGCTTGGCATCTATGGATCCTGTTCTTCTTCATAGTCATTCGTGGTCCAAGTACCACCAGTGCTCTCTTCGCGCATGGCCCGGTTGCCTCGTTTGGAGGGGTCGCCGAAGAAGGCAATGTCGATACCTTCCCGAAAGAGAAACAAACCTTCTTCGCACATCTAACCAACCGCAGCGGAATCAAAGCCAGCGATGGCAGAGCGGGGGCCTTTTACCAACACCTGCTGGCTGTCACCACCCATAGAAATCTCCTAGTGTCAAGCTGAGGTGCCAAGTTAGGAAACCAGGGCGTCGAGCTAAGGTTGGCCATCCAGAGCCCTCGTTCAGGTATCTTAGCTTCAGGCATCGAGGGCTTTCAGTGTTGCTTGGTCGAGGCCAAAGAAGGAAAGAGGAAAAGCTTGTTTTCCCAAGTTTCGTCCCCACCCCCTTTCAAGTGGTGACGAGCCAGCCAACAGCCAAGCCAGCCCAGCCCAGCCCTACCGGATCCGCCACTATTTGACAACCTCCGTTAGCGCGCAACGTGATTGACTAGAGAGCACTTGAGTTAATGGGGTTGTAATAGTGGGGAGCCTCTCGCCACCCGACCTAAGCCTATTCAACGTTAATCCTTTTCCGTGCGGGGGCGATAACTGTCTGAGGTTGTTGAAGAAATGGTCACTCGACAGCCATGGGGAGGAAGAAGCGGACATTGAAGATGATGGGAAACTCCTCAGGATGCGAGATACCTCTCCCATGCTATCTTTACTATACGCCGATGCACGCTAGGCCCCGTCCGGTGTAGGGTTTACCATCAGTCCGGGGCGTCCACTTTGCATTTTCCCTATCCCTGTCAGCCTTGAAGCTCCAACTAAACTTTGCTTTGCTCCCTTGACAAAACTTGCCAAAACTAATTTGACACCCGACTTCACCCACTCTCCCTCCCCTCCGCCTTAGACCAAGAATGATGATCTCTCGACAAGGCCTGAGTGGGGCGGAGGATCCGACAAGGGTGTCATTTGTGATGGGATCCGTGCTTGGAGCTGGATTGTTTCCTTTGGTCCTCGAGATGAGGGTACGGAGGGTACAGAGGGGAGAGAAAACAATGCTCAAAGGACCCTCGCATTCTCACCAACCAAGCGTGCAGTTGAAAGGCTCGTGGTAATAGTAGAATGGCACTGTGGCATGTCCCGACAACGTGGCATATCTGATGATTCCCGAAGAACCTGGGCGGCGGTGCCAATTGGACTGTCCATTGTGCTATTATGTATTATTATGCAAGGCCGGAGAAGGACGAGGATTGGGTCCCTCCTCTGAGGTAGGTTGGATTTGGATTTGAAGGAAAGACACGCTTGGTGGTCGTGAAATCCGAGGACAAGCCATCGTGTCTACCCGAGGAGGCGAGGTTTTCATTGCGCCTCGAACATGAAGGGAAACGGGCTTCCGGATTGCTTGTCCTCTGTTTTTGTCTTTCTTCTTCCTTTTCCATCTTCTTTTGGGCCAATCTATTGACCCTAGAGCCTGGTTGAAGCTTGAAAATCAAGAAACAGGATTAATGCTCGGCCAAACCGCATCTTCCCTCCGCTTGGGAAGTGGAGAGCTTCGCATCCCTTCAGCGCCACATTACCTCGTACAAGTACGATCAACAACCTCCCCATCAAACGCCATCCCTCAGCCCGTGAGGTGAGGGGTCTGGAGAGAAGCACGGCCAGCTGCTCCGGCCCCCAAACCTTTTCGCCCTAGAGCAAGAGTAGGAACAGTTGTTCGCTGGGCGCGGGCTCCTTCCACACCACCGACCTTCCAGTTTTATAGTTTCTTTTGGAGGGTGGATCAAGAAACCTGTTCCACCTTACTGTGATTTGACGGTGAAGGCTGGCCCAGCTAGCCGTGGCTGTCGTGCATGGCGCCGACTTTGGGGACTAGATGGCCAACCTGTGCGTACACGGACTGGTATGCCGGCTGGGTGTAGCCTTGCCAAAACGAGACGCAAGAAGCGATCAAGAACGTCAATCGATAGGGTGCTGAAAAGAAAAAAGGTGCAGAAATCCAAGCTAAAAAGAAAAAGCCATGCGGTCTAAGATGGCCAGTCCCAAAGCATGGAAATCAACACCGGGAAATACTTGTAGAAAGGAAACCTTGGAAATGTCCTTGAAGGTTCCCAGAACCGACACGAACCGGGGCCCGGATTTCCAGAATCCTTCCCCGCCGTTCCTCCTCTCAACGTGGATTTTCGCCAATCTGACAAAGATACCCCAAAATCTTACGCTTCCTTCCATGGCCAACTCCGCCCTTTTTCCTCCTCGTAACAACAGGGCAAGGCAAATGGGAGAGGGGAGGAAAAAAGGGGTAGGGAACAAGGTCCCGCCGTTCGCGACCTGGCGGGCCAGGACCTGGGAGCTGGGACAAGACCGACCGGCACCAAGGTACATCCGTGAGGCTGGCCCAGCTAGTGCTGACGGATGCTTCATTTACCAATGTGACGGACCAAGAGCAAACGTCTCACCGTACTTCGTAGTTTCTCCTCTTCTCTGGCTCGTTCTATTCGCCGAGAAAAGGAAGAAGGCAAGAAAGTAAACGGAGGCATAAAGGGAGGCTCGGGCTAGGGGCCTCCTTGTCCTCGTCCAACTCAACATACCCCCTGGATCGCGCGTGTTCGCAGCATTCCGCCGGAATAGCCGTTCGGTCATTGCGTTTCTTTCTTGTTCGCTTTGGATCATGCAGCCTGCTCGTTATCGATGGTGCGGTGTGCAGGATGAGCAGCTCTTCCTTTGGGAAGGAGGAACGAGGAGCCCTGGAGGATGCTGGGTGGCTTGCAATCTCAGCTACCTTGGCCTTCGCTTCAAGGGCCTTGTCGTTCTTGAGCTCAAAAGACATTTACTGCAGCCCGGTGCCTTCTCTCTGGGTAGCAAGGGTCATTATTTAGTCCTGTCCCTCTGCAGGCTGACCGTAAACTTATGCAACAAGACCCGAGCTCCCTCAAGGTTAGAACATCACGGATCGCGAAGCTTGAGGTCCCGCGATGTTATGTGTTCGTAACCCAAACACATCAATTGATAAAGGGAGAAGAAGTAGGATCTAAAAACAGCAGCCCTTTATTGCCGTGCTTTGCTGCGATTTGATCTATTTGGCAATTCTTTGCCGAGGTATACGTATGTCTTTTGTTTACTCTAACAGCCCGAGCTTGCCCTCCAAAATCGAATCCTTGGTATCTCTGAATAGTTACACGGGGAAAGAGGAAAGGAAAGGAAAAAGAAAAAGAAGTAGGCTAGAAAAAGAGGAAAGATGGTGAGAAAGAGGGCAACTGGAAGAGACAAAGGATAGATGACTGAGAACACGCAGAGTCTTCTGCTTAGTTTTAGCCACAGCTCCCCATTTTATTGTGTCTTCGTTTTGGGAGTCTTATTCAACAGCCCGCTGTCGACGGCCAACCTTGCCACACACCAAACGTAGCAAATCAAGAACCCCGCGGCGCCGATGCCAACATTTGCTACTACCCACAGGTCGGGCTTGGACGGCGGCGTCTGCACAAAGGCGTTGACGGCGTGCCAGACCGCCATAGCGGCGTAAAAGGCCAGGTGTGTAATGCGAGTCCCCCACTTGAGCCACGCCGACTGGGGGAGGTCGGAGAAGTAGACGCCGACCGAGGTGGGTGGCAGGCCGAGGAGGTAGGCCCACAGGAAAGTGAGCACGGCGTAGGGGACGCGGAGGTCCACGCGCGAGAGAAGGGGGTACATGGTCCAGCAACCCAGGATGTTGGCGAAGCCGACCCAGGCGCGCGTGTCCTTGGACATGCCGTGCTTGCCGGCCAAGAGGAGCGTCATCGGCATCAGCGGGAGGAGCACGCTCTTCTCGTGGACCTGGTAGCTGAAGAGGAAGAAGCCCCAGGCGGTAGCGGCGAAGCCGAGAGGGAGGAGCGTCTTATTCGGACGGAGAAACAGGATGAGGTTCGGGGGATGATGGCGGCGAGGGTCGTCACGAGGGATGCCTTTTGTAGGATAGCTGACGGGAATTTGCGGAGCTTGATAACAACATTGAGAGCACACCAAAAGTTGGCAACCTTGTCCTCGAAGAGACCGCGCGCAAAGGGGAAGACGCGGTGTACCATCTGGACCAATTGCTCTACGACAGGGTAGTAGAAGGACTCGGTATCGAGGTAATCAGTGAGCCAGGCGAAGATGGGGAGGGGCGGGGAGGCCCGAGGAAATCGGGCCGGGCCACAATCCCTTGGCCCGTCTCATACATCGTGCCTAGGATGATGGGCAGGACGAGGAGAGCAAAGGCAATAAGGGTAGCTGTGGCGATACCCATCAGCCTCTGGATATTGAGACGGGGGTCACACAGCTGCCGAGTAGGTAGCTGAAGATAGCAAAGGCGTAGTACAACGCCATCTGCTTGAACCCAAGGGCGGCCACGAAAAACACCGCCGCCCACATGTAGCGCTCGGCAAGGAGGCTCGACATGCTGGCGAGCACAAACCCGAGCATGACGGTATTGTACTGGAAGTGAACGTGGTCGATGAGGATGGTGGCCGGCTGCATCAGGAAGGCGGTAAGCGCCAAGGACATGCTCCACGCGGAAACGCCATTCAGCCTGCTATAGCGACGAACGAAAATAACAGTGGCGGGGATGAATATGAGGTATTCCGATACGATGACGGTCGCGCGCATGAAGATCTTGAGGGTCGGGTCGTCCGATCCCCTCGAGGTGAAGAGGGCGAACCACGCTGGGTTGATTATGTTGCCAATCTTTCCGCAGATCCAGCTATGGTATGCCGTCAGGGAGGATAGTCGAGGCCCCACCAAAGGAGGTCGTGGAAATACCACTGCGAAATAGGGAGGTGTGCCGTGATCTCCATCCAGTGTCGCTGAGCTTCGTAGTCGCCAAAGAGGGGAGGCCGGTGAAATCCTATATGGGGAAACGCAACGTGATTAGCACCGGATAGATTTATCCTTGTTTCTGTCTGATAATGAACGAGAGGCAGTGTCTGAGCTCTCACGCGAGCTACCAGGGACACGACGTACCGGAATATCCCCAGAGGCCTGCCGCCCACCTAAACAGACCAGCAACCATGAGGATGAGCGGAAGCACCTCCCATTGCGATACCGAACTTCTAGCCGGCCACAGGAAAGACGCCAGAGGAAACGCCGGGGCGCGAACCAAAGCCTCCGATTTGGATAGCTTGCCCTGGTCGAGCCTGGGCCGGCGTCGCGGCTTGTGCGGCGAAGGAGGAGGGCGAGCCATGGTCAAAACTGCCGAGCGGAAGTACAAAGCAGTTCTGTTTTCAATCGCTCGGTAATTGGGCGCCTGGGCTTTCTACTCTTTCGTTTTGGACTTATTTGACGACGAATTGGGCGCTGCGGATGGCCGATGAACTTTGGGGGCCTTTTTCTACCTGGCCATTTTGACAAGGTTTAGGATTGAACGTCGAGGTCGGCCAAACTTATGTCATCAGGGGAAAAGTTGGGGATTGCACTGATATTTGTTCCGAAGAGCTTTGGCGGCCCCAGGCCATTCGAGCCTATCACGTGGCTCGAAATCCAGCCTACATAGTACATTCAATGGATCATTCAACTTGAGCGGCCCCTTGAGTCCGAAAGCTAATAAATAGCTTGTATGTAGTTGTGCACTCTCCAATATATCGGGGTTCAAAAGGCTTCATATGACTTGAACCAATACCTCGGTACAGTCGGGGACTTTGTAGCTGGAGGGGAAACAGGAGAATCTTTCTTTAGTGAATTATCGTACAGCTGAAGAACTGGTCTTAGAACCCTTGCCGTCGCGTAAGGCTTCTGCTCTTGGCAGGCCCTTGTCTGTCAGCAAAGGGAAGCGCAATGGAGCTCGTCCAAAACATGCGGGGCACATCACCAGGACTGGCCCTGGAACAATTGGTGACGACAGCGGGGCAAAGGTCAAGCCAAGCCAAGCTCCTCAATATTACCAAGCTCTCAGCCTTGAACTCAGTTTACGAATTATCAAATTCTTCACCTGATTTCAGCGACGCGGCTTCACAGGTACCTCCTTCACACACACATACATACACAGAAAGAGAGCGAGAGAAAGAGAGAGAGAGAATACTACCGTCGCTCTTCGCTGTACATGCCCTTTGACTGGGATCCCCCACCACAGCCCACCATGCCTTTCCCATTCACCTTACCGACGACCTCGTCGTTTTCCTTCTCATCCATCTACACGTCGCCCACCCATCCCTCCCTCCCGCAATGCTCCAGCACCCCCGGGGCGTCGTCCGCGACACTTTAAAGAAGCACAAGCGGCTCCCGCCCTCCGCCCAATCCCCTAACATTCCTACCGTGATCTCCAGCATTACCTCCTACCTCCCCTACATCCTTGCCGTCGACTACGGCCTCCGGCCCGACTCCACCGCCATTTGCATTGAAGCTGGGCCCACCGAGCTTGCCATCGAATGGCGGCCCACTCTCACAGACGCCTCCATCCCCGGCCGCGAGGCCCCTAGAGTCAAGATCCGGTCCTTGGACCAGGAAGTCTCCTTCGTGCTCTTGACCCTCGCCAACGCCCACACCCTCCTCGCTCGGGCCGCCCTGCACCCGCTGTACCTCACCACCTCTGCCAACGTGGGGACCACGGAGCGCACAGCGGCCATCAAGCCGCCACGAGGTCGCTCCTGGACGCGGCTTCCGTCTGCGAGTACGCCGCGACCCGCGCCGAGAAGCAAACCGTCAAGAGGCCCGTCCCTTGCGTCGACGTAGCCCCTCCACTATTCGCGGCCTTGGTGCCCTTGCTCTCGCCGAGGCCACTCTCCTTGCCGTGCTCAAGGACGACCCTTACCCGGCCATCGTCTCCAAGGACCGGAACGAGAACGACAAGGAGTGGATGTACAAGGCTCCCGACATCCCCAAGGTCCGCGCTCACCTCTTTGCTCGCCTGTGCCTTGCCGCCGCCGAGCATTCCGCCCGCGCTGCTGCCCAACTCAACACGTCCGCCCCTCCACCATGGCCGGCAAGATTGACGCTGACCTGCTTCGCTACGTCGAGGACCTGCGTCGCACTAGTCGCGCCAAGGCCTGCCGATTCTTTGCCGTTGACGCCGATCTTGGTAGCCAGACCGGTACAGCCATCGCCTGGCTCAACGCTGGTCTGCAGGAGCTCGGTGTTGAGCCCAAGGATGACAAGAGGAGCTTCGGCTTGAGCAAGCTGAAGCGAGAATGGAGCGACAAGAGGGAGGATAAAAGGGTAGAGAGGGAGACTCACTGGGGCGCTGATGCTGGGAGGTTAGAGGAAACAAGGGTCATCAACATGCTCTCCGAGAAATGGAACAAGATGAACGACACGGTAAGCCTACCTTATCTATCTATGGCCATTTGCGGCCACTCTCTACATCTTATCCCAGGAGAAGGCGTTCTTGGCTAACTCTAGGTTTTGTGAAACCAACAAAACATCAAGATACTCACGCAATCCGTCCCCCAACCGGTTCTTTACTGGCAAAGATGCCCACCGGTCGCGAGATCCACACCGTCCCACCATTCCAGCCCCCAACCCTCGATAGAGCCGGCCTCGAGGCTATGCGCGCCCCACCCACCGCCCAAACCGACGAGTTCGACGGCGACATGCCCAGCTCCGACGACGAGTCGGCCCAGACCCTCGTAGGCGCGTATCCCGAATCCTCTGCGACGCCAGGGAGATCAGGGAGCGCTAGCGTTGGGTACTACTAAAAATCGCCGGGAGCTGGAGTAATTATCTTGGGTGCGGATTAAGGGCTGACTAGCTCAGGAATTCTCATCGTCGCTGCTTCCCCCGATGTCCATGTCTATTTGGGCACGCTCTTGCCTTGACATCATGCTCTTCTGCCACAAAAGTCGCGGGGGTAATCTTAGAGAGGGTCATGATTCAATTCTACATTCTATGGAGCAACGTGGCTGTATAGTTCAACCTTCAATGGCATCCGCCCATATATCAAACTCCGCATCCCCGCCGCCGCCCTCGGCCTGCCCCGTTGATGGCCGCCCCTCGCTGCCGTCCGTCTCTATCCCGTTTGCGTTCCTCTCGTACGCCTCCCTGATGATCGCGACTTCGAGGCCATCAAATTCGCTAAACGTATCCCGATGTGCCTCGATCTCATCCACCTCCATCTCGTCGAGGAGCCTCGCGCGCTCCGTTCCCACGGCCTGGTACCACCTCGAGCCCGCCTTGGCCCTCGCTTTGAGCTCCCGCTCCTGAACCACAAAGGCTTCCTCTTGTCTCAGGCGCCGCGTGGAAAGAAGTTCGTCCCGAAGACCTCGCTCTTCGTCTGCGGTAAACCGCGCCGCCTCGATTTCCTCGTCGCGCCATTTCTTCCAGGCGCTGTGCTGTTCGTCGAGGCGCGCGCGGAGCACTTGCATCGCCTTTTCGACCTCAGCATCGGCAATGACGGCCGGAGCCTGCATGTCATTCTTCCACTGAGAATAAAAGGCGATGAGGCGAACATGGTACTCGTCCTCCACAGCGCGCTCAAGCTCCACACGGGCGCCGTACTCTCTCGCCAGACTGACTTCTAGCTCAGAGTGGCGCGCCGATATAAGGGCTTCCAGGTCCTGGACCTCGGTCTCTGCATCTCTCTCCCGTTTGCACCGCTCTTCTGCGCGCTGCTCGTCAAACTTGCGCCGATCCTCGACAATGTCAAAGTCCAAAATGTCACGCTGACGATCTTGCAAATCCGAGAGAATCCCACGCAGGTCGCGGAAATTCGAGTACACTCCTTGCTGCCTCTCCTCCTCACGACGGATGCGACTAAGAATCTCCTTCTTCCTACGGTCCGCGTCTTCACGCTCCTGCTTCATGATCTGTTCAATGGCTTCGAGGGCTTCCTCGAGCTCAAGTTGCTCGACCTGCCGTAGGGCGGCCTGCAACTCTGTTTCATCGATTGCTTCCCTCTCCAGCCTTTCCTGGCGTCGCTGTGTTGCCGCCTCCTTAAGCGCGGTAAGTTGCGCCATCGTGCAGCCGCACGTCCGCCACTCTCGAGTACAGACGTAGCAAAATTGGTAGCCGCAGCGGCACGTCATGTGCTGGCACGCAGACTGGTGCTCAACCAGAGCGCGGCATCTTCCGCACCGCTTCCAGCCTTCCTCCTGCGCCAGCTCATTAGTTCGCTGAAGGTCCCAGTCTTGGGGGCAGTCAGCGGCGTGGGCCGGACCTCGGCAGAATGAGCAGGTCTCATGACCGGCCGGACAACGCGCTATGGAGGTGCCGCCTTCGACCTGGTTGGGAGGAATCCAGACAGCGCACTCTGGCGTGCTGCAGTAGATGCGCTCTCCTATTGGAGTTCTCCATTCGAGAGCGCGTGTCTCGAAAGTTGTCCGGATATCGCTTTGAATGTACTGGTAAATAGTTTGAAAGGGGATTTCGTTCAGGCAACATTTCGCTGGCCATTGCTGTTCGTTTTGAAGCGCAGTGGAGATGAGACGGGTGAAGCAGTCGCGGCAATAGTAGTGGCAGGGCGCTTTGATCATCTCCTTCGGATCGAAATCGTCGAAACAAGAGATGCATTCTCTAGAGAGCCTGTCAGCTATATGCACATACATCACCAAGTGGAAGGCTGCAATGGGAAAACAAAACTGAATGACTTACATTGTGCCTGCATTCTCCTCGGCGTTTTCCGCCACAGTCCCTGATGTCGTCTTGGCCCCTTCCGCGCCTGCTTCCCCCTATCCCTGAAATCTCTTTTCCTTTTCCCTTGCCTAAGCCATCAGGCGTAGGATGATAGTAATTCGGACCTGTGATGGAGTGAACGATGAACGATCCGGGAGCGGCGTAACCCTTTGTCTTGGAGTGCTTCTTCTGAAGCAGAGCGGCAATTGCGCCGAGCTGCCGTAACCTCGTGTCCTTGTTGCTCTTAAAAGTCATGATACTCTGCGCATCATCGTCATCTTGTTCGGATTTGCGCTTCATGAATTTTGAGGCGCCCGTGGCGCTCGACTCCCCCTTTCACCGGCGCCCATCCGGTTAAGAATACGAGATAGGTTATACTTGTGGCGCCTGTGGCCGTTTGCCGGGCCTGCCTTGGATTCGCTCAGCTCCGAGCTTGACCTCGAGCGCGGTGTCTTGGCGGCGGCCTCGTCCTCGGCCTCGGCTATCGGTTTCGCGGTTTGCGGAGGGTTAGGATTATTGGGAGATAGTATTGCCCGCCTTCGCCATTCAGAGCGCCTTCGGTCAGCCCACGCCTCGCCCTCTCCGCCGCGGCCTCTTCCTCGTCTCGTTTCCTCTTCTCGTCCTCTTCCGCGCGCGCTCTCTCCACCTCGGCAGCTCGGTTTCGAACGTTTTCGATGGAGACATTGATGAGGTCGAGAATCGTCTGGGAGTTGATGTGGGGGCTTGCGAGAGACAGTTGGGAGGGGGTACCGTGCCCATGAGTACTCGTCCTCAACAGCTTCGGCAGCGGTCTCGACGGCTTTTCCCTTGTCTACACTACATGTAGGCTGGGTTTCTGTGTTTTCGTCATGAGCATCTTCTACTTGGTTTTGACAAGTAGCTTCTGCCTCGTCTGTTTCTTCAGTCTGGTCTTGAACTGGATTGGTACTAGACGTCTCGGACGACAAACTAGGTATGGGGGCGGGGGTGGATGGGCTGTGCGGATTCTCAAATCTCTCCTGCCCTACTTCTGGAGGTATGGGCAGAGGTGGGAGTGGCCATTCATCCCATGCGGGAGTTCGATATGTTTTTTGAGTCTGAGGTGAGTGTGTCTTTGGCTCTCCTACCGGGAGGATGGAAACGACGGTATCCATAACTCCAGGACGGAGGCCCTCGTCATGGGCAGATGACTGGATGGCAATAGTCTCCGTGGCGCTCGCCATGCTCACTCGCAGGCTTAGAGCCCAATCGAAAATGACGCGCCCAAGGCAGAGAAGCAGGCCTTGTATTCAACGTCTTGTCCAACCTTCCCCGTATAACTAATTAGGGCGTACGGCTGCGGAAACTTGGGATGCGTGAGAATCTCGAAGTTATACGTAGACTCCCACGTGCTCGGTTCGAAGGGGTCTCGGTGGTCGTGTAGTTGGATAATCGATTTCGAACCTGGTGGTATCGACTGTTCGTGCAGCTTGGCAGGGGCCGGCTTCTTTCACTAAGATCCTGAGAAGAGATGGGGGAATAGAACAGCAAGGGAAGGAGAAAGAAAGAATTGAAGAAGAAGAAGTCTTAGTATTACTAGATAGGTACACAATATGTCAAAGAGAATCCCTGAAGCCTTGCGATCAAGCTGTCCTTGAGCCTGATGCGGGCAGTTTCAACCTTGGCTGGATATCTTGTTAGTGTTAGTGGCGGGGAAAGCCCAGCTGTCACGCCTTGAAACGATAGGCCGTGGTTTCTCAAAGCTATCGAGGCCCGCTCAACCCCCGGACGGAAGAGGCCTAGCTCCTAGGCAGACCCATCCTCACGCTCGGCTCGGGTCCCCGCGGGGTCACAGGCGACACGGAGGGTATTGGCGAGGTGTCGCTTCAGCGCTCCTGCAGCTAATCTGGCCCCACAAACAATTACCATTGAAAATATCTGGATCAATTCTCAGCCCCCAAGCCTCGCTCTAGCGGCGGTTGTTAGCCTCTGTTTCAGTGAGCACCTGCGTGTGGCTTCGCCACGACAGGCTCTCTCCTTGACACTAGCACGCTCTGGGTAAACCAGCAAATTGGTTCTGCAGTGCCCGCACGGGTGGGGATTGTCCACTTCTGCGGAATTTAACTTCCAAGGACGACGGACTAGGCTGTTTTGGGGGTTGGGTTGGGTGATGTGATGCGAGGCCGCTGACACTAAATTTAGGCCTAAGAGCGTGCCTCGAACAATTGAGGCGCGACGGCACCGCGGTGGCACGAGAATGGCCACCGAGGAGGTACAGAGTGCATCTGGTTCGAGCTAGGCACACACTGGTGGCTGTACCCTGTCGCATTCCTTGGTTTCCGCTTTTGGCCTGTCAGCACACTCGACGAATCTGTCCGAAGGCATATTGCGCACAAGAAGGCCGCTGCGGCCGGCGATAAACCCCGACCAGGTGATACATGTAGTGTTATCAACACATTTTCAATCGAGGGCAGGTGCAAATGAGACAGTGTGCCCTCAGTTGGGGAAAGGGGAAGGGGTGGTGACGTTGAAATGGGTGTGCAGGAGAGCGATGGGAAAGAGCTATCCTCACCATCCTACTTAGCGTGATTTTCGATGCCAAAGACCAACTTGGACAAAATTACAGGGTATTGATAAGGACTGCTTTTTCCTTCTATTTTTGGTTCTGGTCTCGCTGTTTGGGATCACCGACGGACGGGTTGGCCCATCCATGTCACAACTCCCATTTTCCATGCTCCAAGCTGAATCCTGCGAACAATGATGGACGATTCTTCAACCCCGTTGCTACTCTGATGGTTGATTACGCCTTTGAAAAAACGACTGTTTTCGAAACTCTGCCCCCGCTCCCCCATGGATTCCATGATTTATTGAATCAATTTTTACCAGGTGTAGCCTTGGAATTCGGAAATTTGACCTAGTAGCATCCCGAATTTTGGTACTATGAACGTGGTTTCTCAAAGAGACTGATAACAGAGCTCTCAGGTCACGAAGGGCCCCTGCGAAGCAAAGGCTCCATCGCTGACACGGCGCGGCCCATTATCTCGACCAGCCTTGGCTTGAAGGAATTTAAAATCATCCGTACCACAAAATGTCCCAATGCCAGGTCCCAGCCCACCGTTGCGGAATCTGAGTTCGTTTGCCAACTGCCGCTTTCCCATCAAAACGGATGTGCCGGGGGCAGCATCTCACCGTCCCCATCTTCCAGCGAGCAGAGCGAGGCCTGGCTGCTGGCTGGCCGCTGGTGATGGTACCAAATATTCAGTCCCCTTGCCTGGGTGCTCTTGATGGCTCGGTTGTGGGCCAATGCGTCTGCTCCAACCCAATCCTCAGCTGTTTCTGGTTCGGGGAAAGCGATCTTCAGTCATTCTCTCTATCATGCTCTCATTTCATCTAGGATTCAGAAATGAAGCTGTTCTGACAGGCCCACGTTTCGGCCCCCGTCCCTCGTGCAAATTGTCAAGACAACCTCATTCATTGCATCATCTGGACCGCTCTGTTTCGAGTGTATGACTGGGGAAGCAAAAGGTGAGGGAGAAGTTGGCCTGGGACCTGGCTTCCTTGCTTGCTCTTCAAAGGATGATATAGCCCTCATCTCCTGACAGGCCGCCAACCTCGGGGGCTTGTATGAAACAGGAACTTGTCCGTCAGTGGTGACCAGTGGAAGGTTTCCAAGCCACGAGTCAACGGCGCTAGGGCTCCGGGCTTGTGTTCCGGCCGCGAGACCCCGGACCTAACAAAAACTACGCCCTCATTCGATGGGGTTGGAGAATTTGCGTCCATCCTTGCTCAAAACGTGGCCAAGCAAGCAAGCATGGCGGGCGATGCCTTGCCCATCACATCACTCAGGAAGAACCCTGTGTTAACCGCTCATACGAGGAGGGCGTGACATTTTGCAAGATCGATTTTATGAATGCATTTTTTTCCTTCTCAAAACATCTCCTGTCAACGCGTCTGAAGCTGGTGGCGGCCAATCTGCTTGCTCCATGTAACCAAGCCGACGATCTTGTGTGAGAGAGGGAGTCATATGCGAAACTGGAAGGCGAGAAAAATGGAGACGGAAAACGGAATATTGAAAAAGATGGATGATACCCCCATCGAAAACACCACGGGCTAGAATACCACGCGACGACGCCTCCATTCATAGAGCACCGTCCGCGTTGCATTGGCCAAAGAATCGCCGAAAGAGCTCGAACCGGATTTGCATTGCAGCTCAGCTCGACTTTGGGATCTGGCAAGCTCCTGATTTGTAGGCCAACGAACGAGTGAGCCCCCAACATCTATTACTGGGTCCATTCGTATCTCATGGCCTCACCGGCTCTCGGGGACAGGACCCGGCCCAAAATTCGCCCCCATCGCTGGCTCAAATAGGGCGTAGTATGTGACGGGTCCAAGGTCTTCCCCTCTCATGTCCTTTCGTTCTTGGTCCCCTGCTTCACAGAGCAAACCGATTGTTTTGTTTTCCCCCAACCTTTCGGACTATGACCATTGATGGATAGAGCGAAGGGCACACCATAGTTTTCCTGCTCTGGCCAACAGGTACGAGGTTGCGAGGGCTTGTAGACAGACGGCTAACCATAGCTTCATCTGCGATGCCATCATCTTGGATTCAAGAAATCAAGCTCTCTCTCACACCCTGTCCCTAGTCCCTGGATCTGGACGTGGGATGGCCTGCCCAAAATGGACATCCGCGCGACATCTTCCATAGTTCCCCGACTGGCACCCCCGTTCGCCAAAACCCGGGTGGGAAGATTGACCACACACACGTAATACCGGACCCGCGGATGGGCCCACTCGATACGACGTCAACTCCAGGACATGGCTCTTTTTTTTTTTTTCTCCCCTTCTCATCGATATTTCTTTATCTAAAGACATCCTGGATGAAACTCACGTCCGGGGAGAAGAAATATAGGGCAAGGCAAGGAAGAGGAAAAAATTTTTCACTCTTCGCTCCGAGCTTGAGCATGGACGGATGCTATGGATGTCACAGCTCGCCAGCCTTTCGTCCCCCATCTCTCGTCCCCCACTTCTCCTCTCCTTGACCTGTCATTTCCCAGTCCCATTGTTCTACAGCATAGAGCCTTACTTGCCTAGCCCAACATCCAAATCGCCTGTCACTATGATGGGTGAAGTGGGACTCTTCGATCTCAACGAAGATCTTTTGAGGGAACGGGTTGAGCGAGATATATACGGGGGCACCGTCCCTTGGAGTCGAGCGCGATTGGGTCGTGCTTGGTATCACATGTAGTCGCCACGTCTCAAGCAGCGCCTTAGCATGGAGGAAGCGACTAGAGTCTGAACAGGGGCAAGGGGCCAAAAACGTGTTACCGTGTAGTAATAGTCTCTTGACGACTCTCCTTGCCTTGCGTTTCCGGGTAATCCTTGTCGATAACTCACCATCGCCCAAGGCTAATGGCCCGTCCCGTTCGACGGGGAGGCAAGGCCATGCTCCCGGATTTACTGGAAATACGGCTTGCGCCTTGTCGTCATTGACCATAAGGATACTGAGATTCCCGTTGTGTTGTTCAAAGTCTTCCCGCCTAGCGTGCATTTAAAAAGGGCGGGCCGCAGACACCTAGCCGGCATTGCAATGCGATATCTCTACTCTCGGAAGGACTAGTCGTTGTGAAAGCAGGTCGATTATCGCCCGTTTTGGCTTTCCGTCCCGTTCCCGGAATTCTGTTGCCGCCATCCTTTACACAACCAACCGCATCTAACTCTTCTACAGCTGTTGTTTTTGTGTTTATAGCGATAAGCTTGCCTCTTGGATATCCTACAGCTGGCCAACGTTATTCATACACGTCTTTGTCGCTCATAATCACCTCTCAGCATTTCACTACACCCGTTCTCGTGTTCTTTCAAGACTCCTTGTTCTCTGGCTCTGCGCCTCCGGCCTCTTTCATCCCTTGCAGCCAAGGTGAACCTCTGGGAGTGCGCCATCCACTTAGATTTCGCCTCGCCCTTTCTTTTCTTCTTCCAAGCCACGAGATACTGGATCGTGGGCTTTGATCAAAGGGCGATTAGACTCCTTTCTTGGTGGCTCCGTACAGCCGATATATATATATATATATATATATATATATCCTCACCAACCTTGGATATCAACACGTCTTTACATTTCTCACTTCTCAAACATAGCGTCTGGAAAACTCCTATCCAATCCAACCTATTCGACCTCCAAACAGACCCAGACCTAATACGATGGACCCCCACCGCCTACCACCGTACCTCCGACCACGTCAATGGCGAACAAGTTCTGCGACCACTACTCGTCGCATCACTGCACCAACATCGTGTCTGCTGGCCAGAAGCTATGCGCGGCTTGTGCCATTGGCCAGTGCTAGATCAGAGCACACCAATACGCGCTCTACGCTATACATGTACACCGCGCGCCCGACCCCTCGGGTTTCGTGCCCCACAGTCCCCGGCGCGAGCGGCCAGGACGTGCGCGGCTTGCGCGACTCTTATCCTGAAACTAGGTGTTCTTCACCAACATAGACGAGAAATTCGGGGGCGTTTCCTGTTATTCTTTTCTATTTTCTATTTCCTTTCTTGAATGAGGAGACTATGTCAGGGGCGGTGACGAAGACAAAAGAGGTGCTCCCAACTCAAGCCTTTTTTTCTTTTTTTTTCTCTCCCATTTGGGGGATGAGGGGTTACGACCTACATCGTTTTTAAGCCCCGTGAGGGAGATGGCCCAGCAATGATGCGGTACGCGTCTGGGAGAAACACTACTGGGGCGCTGATGGGTGAATGACTTAGACACTCAGGAATGGTGTTCTCCAAAAGGTTTAATTGAGGAAGGGTAAAAACCCGAAGAACCAGACGGCACGGCAGTTGGAGGGGAATCGCTGGGTTTGGGTGGTGACTGAGACATGGCCTACCCGACGAATCTTGAGGGTTTCTCTCTTCATTCGCGAGTGATTTTCTCAGTCTCCCTCCTCCCGGGCCCCCTTTTTCTCGGCCTCTTGGCAAGATCGGCTTCCTTAGTTTGGTTTCTTGCGGTTTCTTTTGTTCTCTTTATGTATTTCGGAAAAGGAGGGGCTCACTCTGGAAGGATATCAAGGATGTGTCGGACTTTTGGGACTCTTCGTTTTGCTTTTTCTTTCTCTTTCTTCCCGCCAAGGATGTTCTTATAACTCGGAGAGATGGGATGGCAGTTTTCGTTTCTTTTTTTCATTCTCTGTTCTTTATGGGAGTGGGCGCATTCTTGTTCTAGATGCTTGTGATAGACGCTTGTCATAGGTGGAAATGGCGCAGCCCAAGGGTATCGTTTTGCAGAGTCGTTGATGGTGCTGTCTTGTAAGTCTTGGCTCCGATGTAATGGCGCGCGTGTATTTTTTTAATTGAACATAAGAAATAGTTTGCAGGTAGTGCTAAGCGGGTGATGTTTCGCGCGTCACTATTGGAAACAAGGTGAATGAGAAAGGCATCTTCTTCGCAGGCCAATTCATCGGGCCGGCCGACACCGGGCACCGGAGGCTTCACCTCCGTCTACAATCTCTCTTTTGTTGCATCACAAATGACCAAGTGCATTTCGAATCAAGGGTGGGGAGACGGAAACGGCGACAACGCCAATGATCATTTCAAGTGTAAGCGAAGTGAAGAAGAAAAAAAAAAGTATGTACAAATGGTCCAGGGCTGAAGGTCGCGAGGGTTTTTGATTTCACCCTCCCTTCTTCTCGTGCTGAGACAAGCTCTCACCCGAAGCGCGTCATCACGTCGAGAGTCTCTTCAAACAGCGACAGAGACATGCGACAAGGCAAGTTCCCCATCCCGATGCTGAATTCCGTTCGGGGGGGTCAGCAAGCCGGATCGGGGGATAAAAGGGTATCACGAGCTCTGTGGGCTGCCCTAGTGTTTCCCAAGCGCAGAGTGTGTGATATAGTTCATTCAAGAGAATCGAAGAAAACAAAAAATGCTGATTGTGATTCAACTCTCCGTCTAAAAAGGGTGAAAAAGGACAAAAAGCGCAAATGAATTCCCACCCGTCACGCCCCTGGTTCATGTCTCCGAGCTCGAAGCCCCAAGATGGAAAAGAAGAAGAAGTGAAAAAATAGGCACAAATGAAAAAGAAATAAGCCATCGTGTCATCGTTCCCATGAAAGAATAAACGGCGGGAAAGGATGGAGGGGTATCCGCGCAAAAAAAAAGAACACTTCTCTTTTTCGCCGTTCCGTCTTTCTTCTCTCTCTCTACCTCTCTCTTTCCTCCCTCAAAAACGCCTAGTTGACTCCTGACAAGTGCACGACCTGCACCTTGCTCTTTGCTGCCATGCGGAAATCAACTCCGTGGCCCTCATCGCAAAAGCCTAGCCATGTTTGTCTTTTTTTTGGCGGAGGTTTCTAGTTGAGAGTGACGAGGCCGAGGAGGGCAGCGGCGAAGAGAAGGCCACCCTGGACAGCGACGGAGCTGGAGCCAGAGATGGGAGGGTTATCGACGGGACCGGTGGGCTCGGAATCGACGATGGAGGTCTGGGTGACGATGACGGGGGCTTGGAGCCGGTGGGGTGGACAACGGTGGCGTTGTTGGAGGGGAGGACGATGGACGAGCTGGGCTCCTCGGAGGGCTCAGGGGTCTCGGTGCTGCGAATGGGGCAGTCGGGAACCTCGGGACCGCACGAGGTGAGGGTGACGGTCTGGGTGAGGGTGGTGGTGGCGGTCAGGGTGGTGGTCGTGTCGGGCTCGGTCGCGACGACGACGGAGGCGCAGAGGGCCAGGACGCTGAGGATGGCGGACTTGTACATTTTGTCTGGGGGTTTAGGTTTCCGGGTATCAAAAATTGATAGTTTACTTGGACGGAGGCTTTCGCGGGTGGGAAGATCCGGGTAAGGTCGATCAGAGATGCAAAAGAACGGGAAAACCGGGAATCGGGTTCGGATGAACGAAGCTTATGCTGTTTCTTGGCTTATTTAGGGGAAAAATAAGAAGAAAAAAAGAATGGACAGCAAAGGCAAAAGAGAGCGAGTGTATGCGAAGAAGCGAAGGCGCTTGCAAGGCTTGAGATGTTTTTTTAAAGGAGTGACTGGACGATCTGACGATGTCGAACTGGGTTGGTTGAAGGGGGAAAAAAGGGAAGAAGAAGAAGAGGAGAGACTCTCTTGGGGGTAGTTGCGCGCTTTTGGGGTGCCATTTCCTTTGTATTGGGAGTGGAGAAAAGACTTGGGATTTGGCCCTGGCTGCGGTGGGACTGGGGTGTCGTGGCTATGTACCGGTACATGGGGACAGTTGAAGAGAGGGTTTTGGATCGTGTAAGTCGCTGTTGGCTGGCCTATCATGCGGGCCCTGCCAACACACAAGGACCGCTGGCCGCCCTGTTGGCCATGGGCAAGGGGGGCCAAGGGGCGTGTGGAGGACTCGCCCACTTCAATGTTCACAGTTGTCTTCCTGGGGGCGGGTCTCTTTCTTCCCCTCGCCCTTCGAAACATGCTCTCTTGCGATCAATTGCTTTTCTTGTTCCTTTTTTCTTCTTCTTCCGTCTTCCTTGATCGCAGCACCTCACGCTTGTAGCCGAGAGAAAAGAGGGGTTACGGAGAGTAAAAGGTGATTGAAGAGAGGGGGTCTTGCGTCTCCAGCGTGGGACGGGAATAGATTGTTTGCAGCACGCCGGCACCCAGGATTGCGTCCTCGTGTCGGCAAAGCCAGGCTTTTTTCTTCTCTTTTTTCTGTGTTCTCTTTATCCAAAGATTCGGAAAAGCTGGGAAGCGGTGGGTGGGTGCCTCGTTTGAATTGCGCGATAAGAGTAGAGATTAGCTTCCAGTTCGCCAACACGAACAAATCAAAGAAACCGGGCCCATCTCAATCACGTTTAGGCTTCCCGAGCCAAGTGGCGACAGACTTCGCCTTTCTTTTGCCTCGATTTCCTCTTCTCTCTTTGCTTTCCCTTTCCGAACAAGCCTGTGCCGAAAACAGCAGTTTTTGGTCCATATCCACTCTACCACTCCACTCCACAGGCACAAGCGGATTTGGCACGACACCTTTTTTCTTCGTGCTCGTTGGAATTCGCCACCGCGAAACCACGGGTGGCCCTTGCATAAACGCAAAAGAACGAAAAAAGCCAAGAGCGGTGATTGGCTCAGGGGAACGAAAGTTGTGGCACTGGCAGGCGCCTTGGCCCCGCTTTTCAGGCACAGTCTGCAGATTGCACATTGCGAGCCCCATTCGCTTTTCCTTTTTCCGTTCTTTGCGCCTTCCTTTGGCCAGGCACCGCCAGGTACGGTGTAGCACAGTTTGACGATTTGACCGCGCGCACGATGCGTGGAGACGGGGAGGGGAGGAGTCGGAAGGGATGGGGCATTTCTCTCTCGTTGAACCTGCTGCTTGATTTCCTAGCCGATTTCCCTAATTTGGTCTTCTATTTAAAAACAATTTTGGCCTTTTTTTTTTTTTTTTTTTATATTGTAGATACACCATCAACTTTGCAGCGCATCTGGTTTCCTCAACAATCACCCAATGCACTTTCAATGGCAACGTACGAGTCACCAATCGAAATGATGTTGGCGGATCCCATTCCCGTCCAGGATTGTCCACCATCGATGTTGGACCTGGTGCGCTTTGTACCGGTACCGTCGTCGAATCCCGTCTGATTGTGCCCAGGACCATGTCCCCCGGGCACCAATTCCTTGTGCTGCACACGATTGGCCTAGCGCCGGCTAGTTTGCGTAGCGCATTTCTGCAAGACTCTCCGATGCGAAATCGCCATCAAATGGAGACTTTTGGAACTAGCCCCCAAAAGACTTCATGTTCGTACCCTCTATCCTCTGATGTCCGTACCGCTATTTACGGCCCAAGCCTGGTGGAAATGGGACGAGAGCTTGGCGAATTTCGTTGTCTGGGCAGGTCCAACCCCCCTCCATTCTCCGACGATCCTTTCCCCTCTCCGCGTCAGTTTCTTCGCTAGAGGAAAAAGGGAAAATGCTCGACCATCAATCTTGTTTTCTGGGAAGATGCAATCGCTATCGCGTGGCCAACGAGCTCGTGCTTCTCCCTCGAGTGAGACGATAAACAAAAGTCGTTCGGAGGGACTCTTCGAAGTCGACTATTTCGAACCCTCCAGCTCATAATAAGCAATGGTCTAGGGTTGACATTATTAGGACCCTTGCCAGCAACATTGGAGGAACCACGACAATCTCCATCCCTCGAGCCACCGTCACAAATGCTCGACGAGCTCTCAGGGGGCCATGGTTCACTACCACTTCGGGTCTCCTCGCTGCCCTTGTCTACGCATCAATCCATCTCGTGTCGTAAGCAGAGTTGGTCCTTGCGTCAACCGAACCCCATGGTTTAGAGATGATATGAAAGGGGAGGTCCGTCCCCGCTGGCCGTTGCGCAAGCAAGCCATCACACTCATCTCTACCCATGACTCCAATGGGCCAGGCCAGCCTGCTAATAGCTATTTTCCCTGCCATCCCTTGCCGTCCCTGGAAGTCTTTGAAATTTCGGCAAGGAGCCCTGATTATCCACCACTACTCCAGACTAGCCCTCCTTGCCCGCCGAGATGAGAACGAGAGCCCCTTGAATAAGATGCTCATCTTGCATCAGGGAAGCACTGCGCAGGGAAAACAAACAGTGCAGCAAGAGGAAACCTAGCGCAGGATAGGTCGGTGGGTCTACGTGTCTGACGAAACCCAACCCAGTATTGGAGTGGGAAGTCGTTTTTATGGTCATGAGGGAACATAGCCAATCCCCTTATCGCAACCCTGTCTGTCAATGACTGACCAAGGGGATGGCGAAGCGGCAAGGCAAAGGCAAGGGATGACTTTGTACCTCGGTACACTACACGAATTGCCTGCAAAAACTCAATGTTGCAGCCAGCTTCGTCCGAAGAGCCCAACTGTTCTTTCCTTGGGCCAGCCAGCCCATCGTCGGATGCCACCTCACCTCACACCTCACACCTCACACCCTCTGCGCTCGGAACCTGCATCATTAGCGGCCCTCGGCAAGGTTTGTGGCACACAACCACGGCACCGCGCAACGTTTTCCTCGTGTTCCTGCAGCGCATCTTGCGCATGTCGTGGCCGCGAGCCTGACCTTGTTTTTCTCGTTGCATTTCCCAAGATAATATCGCGGTGACTGCAAAAACAGAAGAGATTGAGCGGGTTTAGAGAATTGAAGCGGGCCGGATCAGATGCTGGATCTGGGATTCAAGATGAGAGAGCCTAGGCGAAATTTCGAGGATGGAGTTCATAAAGCATGGCATGGGTGCTGAAACGATTGGGAATTTCAAGTGCCCTTCTTGTTGATGAGCCCTGGCGGCCGGTGGGGGCACGAGCCAGGGCATCCCTCCAGTGCTGTCCCCCTCTCTTCAGACAACGCTCTGGCACAACACTCTGTCTGGCCGGAAATGAGAAACGGGCCTCCGCTGTTTGGGCTGTCCGGTCGGACACGCGAGACGACTGACAAGGTGTGGCGTTCAGGGAGGGTGCAGGTCTCCCTCTCCACTATGCTGTAGTACCCTGACTTGTTGTAATATACCTGTGACGTGAAGACCGCCACCATCTCGAGATCTGAGACCTAGTAAGATCCTTCTCAGACATGGAGATGGGTGACAACACAGCACAGAGCTGATATTGCAGAGTTCCCTTGCCGCGACGGACCCTGCAGCGACGCCGAACAGATAATCGGTGAAGGCGGGCATGGTATCGAGATGGGTACAACGTTCAAACCGACTTGATAGACTAAAGGCAAGCAATGCTTGCCATGAATGCCTCGGTCGTTCAAAGCTCCAACGCTTCCTTGTTCGACAAAGCGAGAGACCAAACCAAAGAATGGATTCTTTTAGCGTGGGGAGACAATTGACGAGGTCTAGCGAGCTAGAACTTGGTAGGTGTATGTCGAATCGCGCTCATGATATTACATGTACATGTAGCGCATGAAGTGAAAGAAAAGCCCCCGTCTTCGATAAGATAATACACTGCAATGTCTATGAGCCCGCACCCCACAAGATGACTCGGTTCATTATCCTCGAAGCTATTCGGTCATGAACGCTCATTTTACTGTGTGGGGACCACAATTTAGTCCAGCGCCAGCCGTTGTGGAGCTTTTAGCATAGTGAATTGATGGGGGTGATGAGGACCGGCGTGGTTCCCTGGTGAGTTGGTGGGCACCGAGAAGAAGCAAAGCGCTGTGCTGCTATCTATCCACAAGATCTTTACCCGTTTTTTTCTTTCTTTCTTTTTCTCATGGCGAGACACTGAACGCCTCGATAACTTGTGCTATGCCGTACACACCAGCAGAAATTCCGCGTCGAGGGGTATAGAGTCTGCTGGGAGCACATTGATTGATGCGGGGCTTTTACTCTTCTCTACTCTATTACCTCGTTGACATTGTGACGTTTTTACGAGGGAGATGGGAGTATCTTTTTTTTTTTCCTTCCCGGAGCTGCGTTCCGCGGGCTTTTGCGCGCCGAAGGGGGAGGGGGAAGGTTGGTGCCGGGACGGAACGGGAGTGGTTGCCGTCCACGGGCGGGCTGCCGGGGTTTACACGTAAAAGTAGCTCCCACCCGGCTCGCTTACTTCTTACTAGAGCGCACCCGCATTGTGTCCAGGTCTGAGTTTTGGGGGCTGTTTTTTGTTTCTTTCTCCCTCGTGGTGTGTATGATGATGCCAAAAGTTTGATGACGTTGGACCCCGCGATCCGCATTGACGCCGAGGGTTCGGGACGGGGTCTACGAAGGTGCCATCCGCGAGACGGTAGTACGACTGACCACCCCTTGAAAAACAATTGAAGATGTTGGGCAAAGCCAAATCTGAATAAACAAAAAGAATGGAGGCAAGGAAATGGATGTCGTCATAGGGGTTCTTCAAATGCGCTCTGTTCAACGGATAGTTGACGTACCTGAAGCCCGCAGTTGGATCCGACGCGCAAACCCAAGCGACGGGGAGGTAAAAACTGGAGCACTTGAACCCCTAGACGATTCAATGCCGGGGCTTTTCGATGTTCCTTTTGCAACAACCCGCCGTGTTGGGCCCGCTGCGTAAGCCGATCATGACATTTACCAGTTGACTGGCGCCTCTGGAGTGTGTAACGTGCTATAATCAACCCTCGCTGCTGGGCCAGGTTTATCTACGCTCTTGTGTTGTCTCTCCCAAAAAGACAGCGAGCCTCTATCCGCTGAGTACATGTAGCAGTTGAGGAAGTAGAGGTCTCTAGAGCACTTCATTTACTTCGCATCTTGTTTGATGTTTGGGCTTAAAAAGATAATAGAACATCACCAGCAGACTGGTGGTGCACAGCACAGCACACACACTTGAAGATGTTACCCCGCCCCCGCCTTCGCAAACCAAGCTCATACGCGGAACCCCCTTTTTTCGTGCCAGTCAAAGGGTTTCGCCCACCTGGCAAAGTAATATGTAGTTGCCCCCTCTTCCCTTGCCCAAAAGAACGTCACAGGCAACTCAATTCATCGCGTCAAGCTCTAGCCTTTCTCCAAACCCCTGCTCTCATTGTGCATTCTGTTTGCTTGTGGCGAAACGAAAACACTGCCCAAACGGGGGAGAGACACGCAAAGAAATACAGCGGGCCGTGACACTAGTCAGCTTCTGGCCGCGGGCAGATCACATAGATCGAACCACCCCGCAGTCCCCCCTTATCGATACCCGCATCCACATCCACACATCCACGCACGCACACGTACACGCACCGCATACAACACCGACCCCACGCGAGCACATCTTGCTCCCTACGATCGATTCCACGTCATTCACTCTCGTCTACGCCAGCTTGGTCTTTCGAGGAAACCCCTTTGATTTTCCTTTTTTTCTCTCTTTTTTCCCCTCCCTTTCTTTCTCTCTCAATTCTCATTCATCTCTACGTTACGCCTGAGCTACAGCTCCCCATCACCATGATTCCCCTCAGAACCACCTTCTCCACCGACCCCGCCCTCTGGATCTTCACCTCGCTCACCGCGGGCTCGTCTCACATCGTGACCGCCACTTCGAGACTCGAAACGATTCTACGGGCGAACAAGGTCCCCTTCAAAGCTGTCGACATTGCCACCGATGAGAAGGCCAGGATGCTCTGGGGCAGGCGCGCGGGCAAGGATGCGGGCGGGAGGGTGAGGAAGCTCCCGGGCCTCGTACAGGAGGGCCTAGTTCTTGGGGTAAGTGATCATGGATAGAGAGTGGTGGGCTTGAAACAAGAAAGAAAAGAAGAAAAGAAAAATCGTGCGAGCAGTGTGCTGGGAAAGAGAGAATGTCGCTAACGAGGGGACCCCCTCCTTCCCTTTCCACAGGACATTGTCGAGATTGAAGAATGGAACGAATACGGAGAGCTCAAGCAAAACGTCAAAATCTTCTACGACGACTTCACCATCCCCCATCAGCCAGGCGCCCCCGCCTCCCAAGCCCGCGCCGGCCGTTACCAAGCCCGCGCCTGCCGCGCCGCCCCTTCCAGCCGCCACGTCCGCCGCGGGCCCCGTCAAGGACGCTCCCAAGCCTGTGCCCACGGCGTCGTCTTCCGCCGCGCCCGCCACGGTCCTACCGATCCACTCCATTGCCGACGAGGCGGCCAAGAAGGCCAAGGAAATGCGGCTGCAGAGCTTGCGGGACAAGGTGTACGGGAAAGACGGAGCCAAGGCGAAGGAGGCCAACGAGAAGGCAGGTGAGAAGGCCGACGAAGAGAAGAAGGAGGTGACACCCAAGGCGGAGGAGAAGAAACCGGAGGAGAAGCCTGTGGCGCAGAGCAAGAAGGAGGAAGAGGACGAAGACGAGGAGGAAGACGAGGAGGAAGACGAGGATGACGACGAGGATGATGAAGAAGACGATGACGACAAGGTAGCTACAAAGGGAGTAACGAAAAAGTCGGCCGAGGATCTTCCGCCACTCAAGCCGACAGCGTCTGCGTCGACCACGTCGTCAATCTCGTCAAGCCCACGGGCCTCCAGTCCCCCACCTCGGCGGCGTGGAAGGACTCGAACCCCGAAAGCCTCCGCGAAATGGTGCAGTCGCCCACGTCGACGAGCTGGAAGACTTCGCGCGTGGAGCCGCCCATGACTTCGCTTCACGGATCCCTCATCGAAAACGCATCCGAGGAAGAGATTGCCGAGATTGAGCGGCAGGAGACTATCGAGGAGGATCCCGAAAAGGAGGACGAGCTGGCCAAGGAGGACGAGGAGATTGAGAAGGAGAGGAGGAAGAGTCTGATTTCGAGCTAGACGAGGACGAGACGGACTAAGCCATGACCATGCGATTGAAAGTTTACCGTTGTTAGCTTTTTTTTCCTTTTTTTTTTCTTCTTCTGAAATATCCTGATTTCAATTGAAACCCGAAACCGTTGTATTCTTGTGGTTTCCAGTATTTTATCAACTATTTACGATACTTTTGTTCGCTTCTCCGCACCTTTCCTGCTCCACAAGCGTTCCCCTTCTACTTGGATATTGAAAATGACTTGACATGGAGGCAAGGGGGCTTTTTAACGGGCGAACAGGGGAATGATGCAAGGTAGGCCCAGAGACAAGAAACCAAATCTCCTCGGTATGGCCGTCCGGCAGCCTCCTTCTAAGGTGTATGCGTTTAGACTGCAGAGTTGCATTGATATGTCGTGTCACCACCACATCAATCCGTCGCGCGCGCAACTAGGCGCGCCTACCGAGGGCGGGCTCCCTCGGTGGCACACTCTGATAAAACTGAGGGAGGTAGACTTGTCCCTTTTTCTTCTCTTTTCCTCTCTTTTTTCGATTTCCTCTTTCTTTTTACGAATGACCGACAATGGCCCTGGGCTGGTAGAGCTCCTCGAGGTACTTGATCTCCCCTCGGTGAGGGACTTGGTCGAAGCAGCGGCGGCCTCCTCGATGCGAGCGACGCTGCTGAAGCCAACAATGGGGCTGGCGACGCGGCCCTGGATCCAAGCGAGGGCGACGTGGGACATGGGCCAGGCGCGCTTCTCGGCAATCTCCTGGACGCGGCGGATGATGGCGCGATCGACGTCGGAGGAGCCGTGGGCGGCGGGGTTATTCTCGCGCTCGAGGCCGCTGCGCGGGTGGAGCCGAAGTCGGCGGGGGCGCGGGCGAGGTGGCCGCGGCAGAGGGGGCCCAGGGGATCAAGCCGACGCCGGTGTCGTCGCAGAAGCGGTTCATCTCGCGCTCCTCCTCGCGGTAGAGGAGGTTGTAGTGGTTCTGCATGCTGACGAATTTGGTCCAGCCGCGGGACTCGGCGACGAACTGGAGGCGGGCGAACTCGGTGGCCCACATGGAGGAGGCACCGATGTAGCGGACTTTACCGGACTGGACGAGGTCGTGGAGGGCGCGCATGGTTTCTTCGGGGGCACGGAGCGGTCGAGGCGGTGGATTTGGAGGAGGTCGATGTACGGGGTGCCGAGGCGGCGGAGGGAGGCGTCGACTTGGTTGAAGATGGCGAGGCGGGATTGGCCGTATTGGTTGGGGTATTCTTTGGATTGGGAGAAGAGGTCTTGTTGTTGCCATTGGATGGATTCTGGGGGAGGAGAGAAAGTTGTGCTGTTAGTCGAGGAGAGAGAGAAAGAAAGAGAAGGAAAGAGAGAGAGGACTTACGGGCATCCTCGCCGACGGCCCAGTGGAGCTTGGTCATGATGACCACCTTGTGGCGGGGATGTTGTATTTCTCGAGGGCCTTGCCGATGATTTCCTCAGACTTGCCGTTGGAGTACATGTTGGCCGTGTCCCAGGTGTTGACGCCCATCTTGTAAGCGGCCTCGAGGAGAGGGAGAGCCTAGATAGTACGGTCACGAAGGTTAGGAACCAGAGTACAAGACACAAAGCGAAAAGAGAGTGCAAAGAGAGAGATAGAGAGAGAGAGAGAGAGAGACGTACGGCTTCCTCGTCAATGACCCAGGGCTGCCATTGAGGGTCGCCAAAGCTCATGCACCCAAAGATGGGCACCGACACGCGCAGCCCGCTGTTGCCGAGCTGGCGGTACGTGGCCTTGGTGTCCTGGACGGACTTGAGGAGAGCTTCGGAGGGAGGCATGGCGATTCTTGGTCTTTTTCTTCCGTCTGCGCAAAAAAAGGTTGAGAGTTGGGCAAAACAACTGGTGAGAGTAGGGGACGGGTGGGAATTGGTGCAAGACGGAGTAGGGAGACAAAACTTGGGCTAGCTTTGGGGGAGACGTTGCTCATATATAATTTCCTCGAGCTATCTAACCCTCTTCGTTTTTCCATCCCCGCGCGTGCTCGAGCTCCTGCGAGTACTACGCAGCTTCAAAGTTTGGATCGGACTGTGGGGTAAAAAGGGCCGGCGGCAGGGAGAGGGAGGGGGAAGAGGGGGATGCTTCGGTTTCGGAAGCTCGTGAGTCTGCATGACGTGCGCGGGGGTCTTTTATTTCTTTATTTCCTCTTGCTACACCATCATTGAGGAACAGGGCCCTTTCTGGAATGGGAGAGTATGAGCGCTGTACTGACCTCCATCTGCTATGTGTTTGCCTTTCTTTGAGGGGCTCCTCGGATTCTTCCTCCCATCTCGCGGCGGGGTCTTCCGTCCCGGGATCCCGAAAATGGACGTCTCAATCGAGGCGAGACGGCAGTCAAAGGGGCAGGGACGAATGTATATGCGAATGTATATGTTTGGGTGGCACTGTTACAAGAAAAAAAAAAGAACTACCGATCGCTAGAGTGGGATTGGTGGAAGCTCTCCCCATTCTCGTCGTGCTATGCTTCCGAGAGGAGTTCAATGAACAAGGTTGAGTCTAGTCTTCTTCAACCTGCATAGCTAACCATCCCCACCTCTCAAAAACACTCGTCCGGAGATAGGGCAAAATCTGTTTCCTCCGTCCCACTCTTTTATCCGCTTCTCAAGTGGACGATTCTCAAGTACGGCTGGGGAAAGGAGGTGAGGGAGGCATTCTGTTTTGCGCATGGCGTGATATGGTGCGTTCTGAAGCTATTCCAAGCTCGGCAGGGACGATTGCGGGGGCCGGGGGCAAGGTTGGGTTGGTAGTCCTCTCGCAAGAGTCGTGCGTCTCTGGTTGGAAAGGCCCTAGGTTTCCTCGGTGGTGGTCAAGGTGATATCAAAGACGAAGCATCATTCATAGGCATATTGGTGTAAAAATGGAGCAAGAGGACCGTTGCCGAAAGGACAATCTCTCTCGACTTGCAAATGGATCCATGGATGCATAAATAGAACCAAATGTATTGGGATAATGATAACCTTCTAATGGTGAAACCAACTACTTCGTTACACTCCCTGTCCTCATCAAAGACACGAGCCCCGTCTCCTTCTCTAGCGAGGGTGATGTACAAGATAACTAAAAGAAAAAGGAAAGATGATGGAAAAAAAAAGAAAAGCAGTCGACAAAGGAAAACATGCAGACCGTGAAACCAACCAACCCTTCCACAAATACTAAACATAATCAACCAAGGAAACCCTTGGTTCCTCACCCTCAATAAAGCCCGTCATCATCACTGGCAGTCCCCTCTTGGAACCCAGCCACGGCCTTGCCCTTACCCTTCGACCTCCCATTCACGCGGCCAAACTCCTCCGGCCCGTCAGACACCCCATTCCCATTCTCCCCGGCCCCGTCCTCCCCGTCGCGCAAGAACCCCGGGCCCGCCACCGCCTTGCCCTTGCCCTTGCCCTTGCCACTCCCGCCGTACTGGTCCTCGTCACCGTCCGTCGCCACGGCTTTCCCCTTGCCCTTGCCCTTGTCCTCCGCCTTGCCCTTTCCCTTGGCCTCGCCCGGCGCCCGCTCGCCCTCGAAGCTCTTCCTCACCCTCTCGTAGTGCGCCAGCTCGCCTGCGCTCACGCTGGGCACGAGCTCCCGTTGCGCTTCGAGGAAGTCGGCCTCCGTCACCTGCACCGCCAGGTCCTCCTCCGTCGCCAGGTGGTCAAAAAGTACGCCGTCGACACCATTCGACCGCCCGCGCCCGCCGCCACCGCGTTGGCCGCTGCTACCCGCGTGTCCACGTGCAACGCCTGCCGCGTGACCGCCTTGAGCATCGCGTCCGAGCAGAGGGCGTAAAAGTCGGCACCCGTGTACGTATACGGGAGCTGGCTCGCCACATTGGAGAGGGAAACGGATGGGTGGAGGGCGAATCTGTGTGGTTAGGTAGTAGTGTTAGCAAGGTGATACTTGAAGAAAAAAAAAAAAGGGCACGAGGGGAGTGGCAACGTACTTTCGAGTCAGCGCCTCGAGAATCGTAGTCTGCTTATCACGCGTATCCGACACCCCCAAGTAGAGCAGCTTATCAAACCGCCCCGGTCGCAGCAGCGCCTGGTCCAGTAGATCCGGCCTATTGGTCGCCCCAATGACAAAGACCCCGCCCGCGTCGTCGTCGCCGCCCGACATGCCGTCCAGCTCCGCGAGCAGCTGCGACACGATGCGGTCCATGACGCCGCCGCTGTCGCCCTGGTTGCCGCGCTTGGGCGCCACCGAGTCGAGCTCGTCGAAGAAGACGACGCACGGCCGCGCGTCGCGCGCCCGCTGGAACACCCGCCGCACGTTGGCCTCGGACTCGCCAATGTACATGTTGAGCAGCTCCGGGCCCTTGACGCTGAGGAAGTTGAGGCTGTACTCGGTCGCGATCGCCTTGGCCAGCAGCGTCTTGCCCGTCCCCGGCGGCCCGTAAAGAGGATGCCCGACCGCTTCTTCATGCCCTTGGCGAAGAGCTCCGGCCGCTCCAGCGGCAGCTGGATCGTCTCCGTGATGGCGTCCTTGACGTTGTTGAGCCCGCCCACGTCGTCCCACGTCACGCTCGGGATCTTGGGCGCCCCGATCGCGTCGGAAAAGTTCTTGCGCACCGCGTCCACCGCCGCGTCAAAGTCCTCCTTGACCAGGCACCGCGAAAACGGGCCCCCGCCACCTGCACGTCCCGCACAGACACGGGCAGCGCCAGCGGCTCGGCGTCGCCCTCGCCTCTGTCACTCGCTCCAGCCGCGACTGCTGCGCGATGACCGCCCGGTCCACCACGTCCACGAGGTCGCCCGCTACCAGCGCCGCCGTCTTGAGCGCAATGTTGCCCAGGTCCACCGCAGGGTCGATGCTGACCCCGCGATCGTTGATCACGCTCCGCAGGATGCCCTCCCTCTCGCCCTCGTCCGGCGCTCGCATCTCCAGCTCGTGCGTAAACATGCCCCGGATCGTGTCGGGGATTTTGTCCACCTCGCTCGTCGTCGCGATGAGTACCCGCACGCTCTGCAGCACCTCCTTGAGCGAGGTCGCGATCCGCTCCGCCGTCAACGTCTCAATGTGCCGCACTAACAGCGCGCAGCAGTCGGGCCCGCAGCCAATCGCCCGATCCGCCCTGGTCGTCAGGTACGCCTCCGTCTTGACGTCGCCTCCGCTGCCGCCCGACTCGCTGAGAATGTCGTAGCAGTCAATCGCGTACGAGTGGATGCCGATATCCGCGCACGCCTCCTCCGCCACCGTCGCCTTTCCAATGTCGCGATGCGTCGACACGAGGAGGATGGCGACCGGCGGCATCTTGAGATGGATCGCCCTTTGGCTCGTGGCCGTCGCAATCAGCTCCCGGAGCTGCCGCCGGACAGGCGACACGTACCGAACCTCGGGCTCGGGCAGGGACGAGGCCGACGGCGCATCCGGCAGAGGCTTCGCGGCCTTCTTCAGGCCTAGGTAATACTGCCAATTGCTATCCTTGGTCCCCGGCACCCGGCTCGTCTCGAAGCCCGATACGTTGAGCATGACCGACAGACTGTCCACGCTAGCGACCGAGCCCCAGAGGTCTTCGGCGTCGTTGTGCTCGCTGTCGTCCGCCCCGGACACCCGGATATAGTCGACCTTGAACCACGCGACGGCGGTGACCGCCGCCCCGGCGCTCGGCCCTTGGCCGTCGTGCTGAGCGCCATGACGTCGTCCACCTCGGTACCCGTCGCGCTCTCCTGCATCGCCCTGCCAAGGCGAGTATCCACGGGGATGGCCAGGAGGTCGCCCGTGCGTAGGAGCCGGATCTTGCGCGCAAAGTAGCGCTTGATGCCGCCGAGCACCGCCGTCTGGTACGCTCGTTCGGTGGTGACAGGCGACTTGACCTGGTGGATGCGAATGTCCCGCGCGTCGGGCGGGCGCGAGGCATTCGTAAACTTGGGCAGCGTGCCCTTGCCATGGTATGATCCGCGCTTGATGGCGGAAATGCGCACAAACGATGCGCCGTCGAGGTTTGCCTGGAGGATGGGGGATACGTAGGCCGAGGGGCTTGTGGGTTTCTGGATCTGGGAGTCGAAGAACGAGGGGCGGCGATCGCCCGGTCGCTGGGAGCTGGGAATCCTGGTCATGGGCCGGCGCGAGTGGCTCTCGGGAGGCTGTATACCCTGACGGGACGCCAGTTGGACTCCTCCGCCTCGGTGTGGTTGAAGCTGCCGAGGCCGAAAGCGCCAAATCCGTTGGCGGGTGGCTCCTCCGAGGCCTCGATGCGGACCCAATCGCCGGAGAAGCAGCCAATCTTGGAGAGAGCTGATGTCGACGTACACGCGGGCCTCCTCGTCGTCCTCGGGTGCGGGCTTCGGGTGTAGCAGGTCGTCGGAGATGGGCGCCATGAGCCCGTGGGTCTTGAACAGGCGTCCCCGCTGCCGGTCGGGACGGGCGGTGGTGGCGGTGAAGTTGGAGAAGACGGAGCCGGGCGTGCTGATGCCGTTGGTCCGCCTGCCGCGGCCCACGGTCGTGGGCGTGCCAGGCTGCATGGTCGAGCCCGCTGGCGTAAGTGGGTGGGAGAGCGGGGGCCTGCAGCGAAATCATGTCATCCATGGAGTCGTCCGAGAGTTCGTCCTCTTCGTCGTGGCTAACACCCGTATCGTCAGACTCAGCCTCAGTCACCGAGACGAAGCCATCCGTCTGAGCGTCCGTCTTGTAGCGCTCCTCGGCAGCGGAGTAGAACTCGTTGCCCGTGTCCTCTTCGTCGTCCTCTCGCACGTCACCGAGCGAGCGGCTCGAGGAATCGCGGGGCGGGCGTGCTTCGGCGCATGTATCCTGCCCCGGCTCAGGATGATCTTGGTGTTGGGCGAGAGTATGCCCTGGGAGACGGGCTCGCACAGGAGGATCTCGCCCGGGTTGGGGGATATGGGTCACCGGGTGAGGCGGCAGGGGCAGGGAAAGAGGTCGCCCGTGTGGATGACCTTGAGCCCGCCGAGGGCGACCCGCAAGGCCGTCTCGAGCGGCGGCTGGTTGGGCGTCGCCGCGCCTTTACCCTTGGCCATGGCGCGGTCCCTGTAAAGGTACCCTCGCCATTCTCGAGGCGCTTCGTGAGTTCGCTCTCGAGCTTGACGTAGACGGTATCTAGCTCGAGGGCGACGACGTCGAGCGCCAGGATATCGATGCCGCTCCGGATGTGGCTCGAGAGTTTCGAGGGCGCAACCTTTTGTAGGGTTTTCGCAAAGGTTTGCAGGGCGGACGAGGAAGGGGAGAACTGGATCGTGGAGGCCGAGGTATCGGTCGACCGGATGACGGGGACAATGGCCCAGGGCGTGTCGGCTGCCGAAGAGTTGGGCGTCCAAGGAGTGATGGCGATGTGGAAAATGGTAGGCTCGGCATCGTCTTCGTTGTCCGCGGGGTCTGTAGGCCAACAAGAAAAACCATTAGATCGAAGAGTTAACAAGCACGGCGGGTGGGGGAAGTGGTTTGGGAACAGGGCGAGGACAGCTCAGCCAGACCGAGCTGGAGGGGAAGGAAGGATGGGGACTCTTGACTGACCGGCATGACACCGAGGAAATAGCTCCTTGAAGAGATCATCAGAAATATATCCGACATCTCCTTTCACATGATCCGGCAAGACGAGGCGCGTTGCCACGGGCGTCTTGTCCTCCTTTCTCCTCCTCGCGCGTCGCTTTTGCGCGACAGACGGTGCCGCCATTATGTTCGGTTGTGGGCCGAGTTTACTGTTGCGTAGATGGTTGGAACGAGACAAGGGCGACGGCTGGAAAAAGAACTAGGCACTCTTGGTAGCCGAGGGAGCAACCATCGCCAGCGATGCGGAAAACTAAAGGTGGCTTGGTGTGGAAGAGCAACTAGGAAACGTCGTGGTGGCCGCGATGAACAACCAAATGAAAATATTACAAATTTCCTCTTTTTCTTTCTGGCAGCTTGTCAATTTCGATATTCGTTCTTGAGGATTGAGAGAGTGTGTGTGAGTTGATGTCTCGGGGGACAGTTCGTGGTGACCAAAAGAGTTCACGGAATGCAAGTCAATTTGCAAGCGAAACATTTGTCCCGAGGTGAAGTACCAGTTTCGGCGTAGCCCTTTTTAGGGGTGGCCCCAACTCTAAGCTCCGTGATGCCGCGCCGAAAACACGCAGTGCAGCCAATGGGTTTTCAATTGAGCCTCGGCAGAGCACGGTAAGGGTCAACCACACGCACAGGGCACAGAGAGCGGGGATTTGGGGATGAGATGAGGGGGACGGCACCAAAGGGAAGGAACCAAACGCATGGTTCCCTTAGTCATAACACAGAGGCAGCACTACAAGCTTGTGATATGTGGCGGGACTGTGGCTTGGGAGCGGATGACTGTGGGTAAATAACGGGTCAGTCTGAGTGAGTGGACTACTTAACAGTGACAGACCTCTCTAAAGATCCCAACAACACAAGAACATCATCCGATGTAGTATAGTGGTTAGTATACTGCGCTTTCATCAAAAGGCACCGCAGGGGCCGGGGTTCGATTCCCCGCATCGGAGCTTCTTTTATTCTTTTTATTTTTTTCTCTTTCTTTTCCCGCTTCCTTCTAATTATGGTCTTTTTTGCTTTCAAGAGCTGGGAAATAATAAAAGGCAGGCAGTGTATTTCGTTTTATCTTGTACTAATATACACCTATGATACTAGAGCGGTGTTGCCACCTGAGAAAGAAGCTAGCAAATATGAGGGTATCACAAAGTCTCTTTTCCTTCCACGCTCTCTCCCTCCTTCCTTCCTTAACTTCTGGCTCTCCCATTCCTTCCTTCCTTGACTTCTGACACAGCCTTATGGCAATACGCATCCATCTAGAAGACAAGGTAGGGCATCCATAACAGAAAAAAAAACAGACCATCTACCTGGCCTCCAAGGAACTTCACCTCTTTTCCCCCTTTCCTCCTCCTGCACCCTCCTCTTCCAAGTCTTGAAAAGCTCCTTGGTCACCTCGAGCGTGACCGAGGTACCAGGCTTCCCCACCACGCCACCATTATTCTCCAGAATGGCCTGGCACTTGATGACAAACTGCTCGTGCACCAAGGGTTCCGAAGTAAAGGCGTCAAACGGTGCCTCCCTCAGCGGAATGCGCCGGGCGTGGAATTGGAGAGCGACCGGGAGCGCCGCGCCCGAGCTCTCCAAGTGCAGAACGGCCTCGGCCTCGCTCACGAGCGCAAAGTAAATCAAAAACGGCATCTTGAGCCTGGAGCTGCCAACGAGAAAAGCGGTCGGCCCGCCGAGGTAGTCGGTAAAGGCGTATTGCTGCCCGTCCCACGTGGCGTCGGGGACGCTTCCAAAGTGGGTGACGAAGAGGGCGTCGGAGCTGGGTGGAGAATGCCGCAGGTTACTCAGTCTCAGGACGGAGCCGTTGACGCAGGCGCCATGGTCCACGAGGGTGCAGTCTTCCGACTGGATCTCCTTGCCCTTTTCGGACACGGGGGCAGGTGCTGGATCACGGCTTGCAGGTTACACACCATGCCCGGGTGGAGAGTCACGCCGCGGATTCGTAGGGCGCCGCGGTTGCCCTTGGCCGGAAGGGTTGGTACGGAGGCGGACCGGAGGATATACCACGTGCGAAAGTATGCCGGCGCCATGTATTCCCTCCGAAAGGGGATCCGGCAGTGGTTGGCCATGGCAAGGCGACGGACAGAGTTCGTTGCCGATTCGATAGTGTTTAACTTGCTTCTGACGAGAAGGATGGCGATGCGGTCCTGCTGGGTCGACCGCCTGCTAGCCTCCTTTTCTCGGCAAATGTGCAGTTTAGGGCGGCAGAATATACCTCGTACGAGCCGAGGAGAGCCTCCAAGTACTCGTGAGTTTCGGGATAATAAGACGTCCCCTCAAACGGAAGCGAGATCCTTAGCCCTCGCCTCGTCATGGCAGCGGGCTCCCCGAGCTCTGCATGCGTGCACACCACGTCGGCGCAGGCCGCGAAATCCAGAGGGAATGGGCAAAGATGCCAGTGAGGGCGCCCGCGCGAGGGTCCTCCTCCTCCACCGTCCACGCAAAGAGGGTGTTATCGTCGCGATCCCTCAGAATCTCCTCTTGCAGGCGCGCAAACGCCTTGGGACCCTCGCCGTACAGCGGTGCCATGTTCACGCCGAAGAGACCGATGAGGCAGTAGGCGACGTCTTCCTCGAAGGTGCACTGCCTCCTAGAGGCCCAGCTGAACCTCTGCGCGACGCTATAGGCATCGGAGCGCGACTCGTCGCCAAGGACGTCCTCGGGCACGCCGGTGACCTGGCTTAGAGCGTGATTGAGAAGCTCCGAGTCCATCTTGAGGGCGGCGTGGCGGTCGGAGCAGAGCTTCCAGCCGATGAAACCCCAGGTCCGGTTGTAGAACTTGACGTTGGGGCTTGCGATTAGCTCCTGCAGGGTCCAGCCCCTGGTGAACCACCGGCTGGTGCAGAACTCGCCGTAAGGATCCGCGACGGCGGTGTCGGAGACGTCGGCGAGGTACGCGTAGCAGATTTCCGAGTTCTTGTACCACTTGTACATGGAGTTGATGGCCTCCGACAGCTCCGCGCTGCTTGTCTTGTCGATGCAGCAGGTGTCGATCCAGAGCCACTCCAGGTCATCCTCCATGGCCTGCTTGCATGCAAAAGCGATCTTTGCGAAGCCATCTTTTTTCGGGAGCGAGTCGGGACTCTGCATTTCCCAAAAGGTCACTTCGTCCTGTTCCCATGTGTGCGAGAGAATGGCATATGGCGGGACGGAGCCGTAGGGAAAGTCTTGCACCATGTACGTGCGGACATCGATGAGCTTCATTTTTAAACCTCTTCGCGCAAGACTTATCGTTTTGTTAATATGACCGAGGCACGGAATTGACACCCGGGCGAAACATCAGGTGTTATTGTCTATTTGACTCGGTTAGACGAGGAGGATACGGCCATCGATGCGGCTTTCCATATATTTGTATCGGCTCTAGACTTGGCATCCCCAAGTAATGCGGGCAACTAATCGGCCCATCTTTCCATATAGCAACCTATGAGGATGGTCGGGCCTAGTCCTCGCTCGCTTTCCTTGAGGTGGCTTAGATTCGCAGCCTCTCCCCTCGCCTACATGTAGGTTTCGAGGAGGCTGTTCTCAAAAATCATCCATGTAAGGCCCGAGTTCTCGGAATCACAAAGGGGATTAATTGACTAAAAGGATAGAAATCGGAAAAGATTTCTAATTGATCCATCCCCGCAGGTAGTCTTTTCGAGGCAGTCTTTTCCATCTGCTTGCAATTCTGGGCTGTGGTTACAACGGACCATTTCTAAGGTTCTGTTCCTTGTAACCCCACGCGAATCCCCAAAGAAGAGACCCCAACTCACGCGAAGCCCCACTCCACGTTGTCACCCCCACAAGCACATGCTTGACAGCGCAGGGACAAGCAAAAAAAAAAAAAAAAAAAAAGCGACCACGCTCGGACTGCACGCAACGGCGCGCACCTGTGACATCATAGCGTCCCCCGGCCTTGGTCTCGACACCCCGAGAGAGGAAACCAGTCGACGCGATGTGCGATGTGCCTGCCGGAAGAACCGGTTACCGTCAAGCGTGATCCTTGCAGGCAAGCATGCCTCGAACGGAGATATTTGACTGGTCGCTGAGGCCACCGATCGATCAACGGACGCCTGTCAGTTGCGATCTGTAATGCTATTGATCCTGCGAGGAGGGGACGAGGGTGGGGAGAAGAGGGGAGGTCCCCCAATGCGCCCGAGGGACTGGAGGTTTTGGTCCGAGGGCGAGAATAGTCCGCTCTCGTCCATCTCTCCTGTTCAAACTAGAGCATCGTTATCCACAAAACATGATTTCCCTGGAAGAGTTGGGGAGGAGAAGGCTGGCCACGAGAAGGGGACTAAAAGAAGGAACGCGGGTATATTACGAACACCGCGCCCTCGGCCGGCCGCAGAGTTTGTTCCTCCTGTCAAAAGAAAACCAAATGACAAAAAAGGTTTATGGCGCTCTGGTTTACACTTTGGGTCCGCCCTCCGACTATCTGCTATTTCCCGCTCGAGACATCCATGGATCAAAGTAACTTCTGAACGCCAGGCACCAAAACAAGCCACTAGCGCCAGGTTTCCATCCCTTGAACGCTTATCTCTCTCATATCCCGCCCCTCTGTTGCTCTGGGCTGTGTTCAAAATCCTCCCTTTCGTTCCTTGGTTTGACGTGATCTGTCCTAGACAGCGTTTCTTTGGTGTCCGGACGCGGAGGACGCATCTCTGATGAATGCTTTGAAAATTGATGCATACTTGTGTTGGTCCTTTTGCCGCCATATTAACCTGAGCGTTTGATTAGCCTTGTTTACCTCTTTTGTTTAAACAATCATGTCTTCTCGCCACCGCACTGCCGGGACTGGGGCAGCGACGCAGCTCGAAGCTCCATCCTCATTTTCAAACCGCAATGGCGACGTGCTACTTCAACCTCGAACGTTGGGGGTGTCTATGGATCGTGGGGAGGGCGATTCCCAGACCTCAACTTTGGTGAGGACCGAGGAATTGCTTGTGCAGCGGCCGAGTGATCCGGGTGAGCCGAGCGAGGCGGCCCGGAACGACGTGGGCGCCAATTCCCGGCTAGACGGAGGGCAACGGTCAGGGTCCCCGAGCAGATTGAGCAACAACTTGAAAGGCGCAGAACAGACGATTCGGCGCAGCAAACCGCCGAGACGAGCCACCACAAGGCAACGCTATCCACCTCCACCAACGCCCTTTTCCCTCCTTTACTCGCGTGGCCCGAACCATCCGGACGCTCAACCCTCGTATATCTGGGTTATCGCATCGTCTCATTCGTCCTTAGCCTCGCCTTTCTCGCCGTCGTTGTCCTCGGCGCCCTATTTACGAGCATCCCTCTCATTCTCGCCAAAATCGTGGGCCGCATACTCCAGCGAGGCATCGTGGCCGAAGTGAAACGGCCGTTCCACGACGAAGAAGTACGAAGACGAGAAAAGAGAAGAAAGGAGGATGAAGCTTGGGAACAGCGGAAATCACGCGGCGAGACCGCGCCCGACAAGGAAAAGGCCAAAGAAGGCGAGTTCACGCCGACCGAAGGTGGCCCGGACCCAATTGTGTGTGATATCGGCTACTACGCGAGGCGAGTTGGGTTGGACGTGGAAGAGTTTGACGTCGAAACCGAAGACGGCTTCATAATAGCGCTGTGGCACGTCTACGACCCCGCAGATCCGTGTGGCTCCGCGCGAAAGGAAGGCGAGGGCTCCGCCGCCAGCGCGAAGCCGAGGTCCAACCAGAAGCCCAAGTTCCCCGTTCTGCTCATCCACGGGCTTCTCCAGAGCGCGGGCGCGTACTGCGTCAACGACGACGACTCGCTTGCCTTTTACCTCTGCAAAGCCGGCTACGATGTTTGGCTAGGGAACAACCGATGCGGGTTTGCGCCGCGACACAAGACGCTCTCCTACGCGGACCCGAGGCTCTGGTGCTGGAATATTCGACACATGGGGGTCATGGATCTCCACGGGCTGACGACGACTGTCCTCGAAAAGACAGGGTTCGCCAAGCTCGGTCTTGTGTGCCACTCGCAGGGCACGACGCAGACCTTTGTAGCTCTGGCCAAGGAACAGCGGCCTGAGCTCGGGGAGAAGCTTACGGTGTTTTGCGCGCTCGCGCCGGCGGCGTACGCGGGCCCGCTCATTGGCAAAATGTACTTTAAATTCATGCGGGTCATCTCCCCGCCATGTTCCAGCTCATGTTTGGTATCCACGCCTTTATCCCTTTTATGATGACGATGCACGGGGTGATGCCCCGCGCGTGTACGGGTGGCTCGGGTACAAGGTCTTTTCCTTTCTGTTCAACTGGACCGACGACCGGTGGGAGCGGGACCTGCGCGACCGCATGTTCCAGTTCGCGCCCGTGTACGTCAGCGCCGAGACCATGAGCTGGTGGCTGGGCCGCCACGGCTTCGCCAAGCACAAGTGCATCCTCTCCACCAAGGACATTGTCCGCGCCGAGGAAAAAGTAGACATGGAGCTCGACGGCTTCGCGCAGGGCAACCGCGAAATCGCCGCCCTCGGCGCCGCGCCCGAGAGCGCGACCCTCCAGAGGGCCGTCGAGGTGTGTCGCCGCAAGCCCCGCGGCGCCACGGCGTGGTACGACGACCGCGCGCCCCCTTTGCCCTGTGGGTGGCGGGCGACGACGACCTCGTGGACGGCAGAAAGCTGCTGGCCCGCTTCGAGAGGGGCCGCGAGCCCTTTGTTCGCGTCGTTCACAGCAAGGTCGTGCCCGGCTACGAGCACCTCGACGTCATTTGGGCCATGGACGCCGTGGACCAGGTTTTTGTCGAGGTGAGGGAGGTGCTGTGGAAGACGTGCGATGTTAGGGATCGGTGCCGCGTCCCTGTGGGGTGCGAGGATGTCGAGGAGTGGGTGCCGCCTCCGCGGCCGGGGAGGATGGGGAGGTGGACGAGAGCCAGTCGAGTAGTAGTAGTAGCGGTAGCGGCAGCGATTAAAGATTTCCTTTTTGGTGAGGGCGGTTCTTTCTACGGCGTGTCTGATATAGCGTGGCGTTGGGGAGAGAGGTAGCAGGTTCCTTGCAAGAAGGGAGCATGCGGCATGAACAAATGGATTGTTTTAATCGCCTTTCTGCGTCTATCTTTTGTCATTTTATTCATTACCAGTCTCCATAAGCATCAAGCTGAGGTCTAGCATTAGCATTTGAACAATATCCGCGTCTGTGTACATTGGTTTTGGAAACGTTTATCAACAAATACGCTGGCGCCTCTCTGCTCGCACAATAGATGGCCGCAAAGCGCGAAGCTTATCCTGCTTTCGCCCAGAGTGCCGAGTGCCGAGTGCTGTCTTTTCGACATCTATGAAGAGAGGAAGACCGAATAAGAAAGAGAGGCGGTATCTACAAGGCTCGGTAAAACCAAATTATATCCTCGCACTATGCCGCAATGTGGCATCGTCTACAACTTGAGATGATTCGAGCCCATGGAGGCTGAGCATTGCCTCTTCGAGCCTTTCGGCCCATTATCATAGCTAAGTTGGGCTCGGAAGGGGGTCGATGAGATGAACGCCAAACCCCGGCAGCGGCTTCAATGATGGAAAAGAGCACCCTTCCTTGTGCTCTTATCCGAGTTTTGTCCGCCCGATCCGCTCGGGGACCTGGCAACGCAAGCCGCCCTCGTGACAGCGTGGGCGGCAATGAGGGGAGTGACTGCAGACTGCGGTTTTCGATGGAGCACATTGCCATCAGATCATGGGAATTTGAGCTTCCCATTTTTTCCCCTCTGGGCGGAAGCCATCTGGTTAACTGGTGTAACAATGACACAAGATGTGCGAACGCTCTGTTTGCTAGGAACCTCAGGACCCTATGACTACGGACTGGATGGATCCATCTATCCACCATGTATTACGGCGTTTGGTGTTTGTCCACGCGAAAGGTCTTGCTGCCTCGCTACATCAAGCCACGAATTTCTTTAATCCTCGATATCTAACAGGGCTGGGCAGCCTAAAACCCCGTAAGGTTTGTTGGGTATGGGTCACCCTTCCTTGAGAGATTGAGCTTCTCCTCCGGAGCGTCTGTTTGGCCTGATAAAGGGAAGAGGGGATACCGAGGTAGAGAAAGGGAGAGAGAAGAAAGTTTGGGGGTACCCACTGTTCCCCAGCATCTAATGGATGCCATGTGCGGTGCTTTGCTTTTTCCTTGCTCTTTACAAGGGCGTTTGGACACGGCTGAGGGTGTGAGGGGAGGGGAAGGGTTGAAAGGTTGGTGTGCTCATGTTTGACTTTGGTGCAACCTCGACTAAAAACATGGAAAAAGCTGAGGGTTCTCGATGCAGGAATCAGTTTGCGATCGATCCCTTTCTTTCTTTATTACTATTATTTTTTATCCATGTTTTATATCTTAATTTTTCTTTCCTCTTCTATTCCGTTCTTTTTCCCGGGAGGCGCCACCGAACGGGCTGGCTATCTTGCATGTACTGCTCATAGTATTAATGGCCGTCTTGGCTTTTCCGAGCGTGCACCCTTTCGATATCTTGTCTTCAGTCACAGTGCGCTGCTTGCGGCCAGAGGCGTTCACGCTGAGAGGTGCCGCAAATGAACTACTGCACTGGGTGTACATGGAGTCGATGGGAGATTCAGCCGCCTCGGGCATTAGCAGACCGAGACGGCGACTAGCGTGCCTCGGGTTCTTTCTTCCTTCGCGTTCCTCCTTCCCTCCTTGCCTGTCATTCTCTCCTTCACATCCCTAACATCGAGAATAACAGGACCTGCAAATGTATGGAATATGGACATTGTCATGGGCCACAGATCCGAGTTCTTGTCTGGATCTGGAGATGCATGAGCCACACTCGATGGGACGGGGTCTCGCATGCTAGAGGTTGAATACCTGGAGGTTCCCCCTTGAGGACAGTTGATCTGCATCTTATTGGAACTCGCGAATGACGCGGTTCGGCTTTGTCACATATTCTTTCTCACTTTCTTATTTCTGAAGAATGACAACGCCGAAACTTATCAATGCAACCATTTACCCAAGCTCTTCAGTACGCGATGCTGATACCTACCCGAGGTCAAAGTCACTACGGCGATATGCTACTGGTAGGATCTTGATCATGAAGGGACATTGTAGGTGTCTTTCAAATTGCACAAGATCCTACATGTAGCGCGTTACAGCCCCTCTCCCTCCCCCTCCCCCGTCCCCTTGAAGTTTCTGGCGTCGACATGGAGTCGAGCCCACGTTTTCTCTGGGGGCGAAAAAAAAAAAAAAAAAAAAAAAGAAAAAAACACAAGCAAAACAGCTTCATGATGAGACTGGAAGAGTGGGGAGTGGAGAGTGGAGGGTGGAGGGTGATCCAAAAGCTTGGCTTGGGGGAGGTACGCGTGGATTGGAATGAAACGTCCCGTGGGGGAGCGGGTGGTGTAAATAGACTTTTCTGCTTGGGGGCACTCCCAAGACTCCCTCTCTTTTCTTTCGTTTCCCTTGTCATTATATCAAGCCGTCCCCCGATCTTCAAGCTTGTTCCAAGTTTTCTGGTGGTTTTGTGAAGCTCCGGGATGGGACATCTCCAAGAATCATTGGTGGAAGCTGGAAAAGCACGGGGCAAGTGGCGACGGTCTGTCTTCCTGCCTGGACTCAGGCTCTGCCATGCCCGGCGCCCTCCCAAAAAATTCAACCTGGGGGCCAGGCGGGACCATATGCCCAACGGCCGCGAGGCCTGCTGAATCCGAGGTGAATTGTCTGATCGAGATCCCTCAAGCGATGGTGGCCAAAATGGCCACGCAAAGTTCAAGTCTCAGTTTCAGTGTTTCGCTAGTGGGGCTCCTCCCCCATTTCGGGCCTATGGCTTGCTCAACGCAACCCCATCAGTGTCGCACCGAGCTTTCGTCTCATCATGGATGGTCTACATGTACCTGCCAGGAAGATCAACGCTGAGGGTCGCCTGATAGGAACCATGATTGTGACGAGGCCCTCCTTGTCTCGACTTGACATCTGGTCCTTCTATGCTGATGGCCACCTAGTATTAACCCGCCGCCCGTCATGGCTTGGAGGATGGAAACTGCAACTGCTGGTCGGACGACTCTGGCCACTCTGCGAGCAAAGGGAGCGCGGGGGAACGCCCTTTCGTGGACGCGATCCCACGCCCGCATCATTAATCGGCTTAAACGCCCCCAATCGCGCGCAAGCGATTGATGCCGAGCTCGGCTGGCGACAGCTTCTTTTGCGAGGCGAGCGGCCAATCGTGATTGTTTTCGGCAGGTGCATGCCATTCGGATGTTGTCCATGCTGGCTTACCCCCGGTCGACGGGTGTTTGGTGTGCGACCAAAGGGTCGACCAGCGTTTTGTGATTCCCGCTGTCTTTCCATCCAAGATGAAATCGGAACGACATAATTATCAGAATGCTTCCCATGTGTGATTCGAAATTTTTGAGATTCCATCCACTTCTCTTGTTGTTATGGATCGGTGGTAATCGGCTGGGGTAGAATATTTGTTTTTTTCTTTCTTTTTTCTCCTCTCCCCCTTCCCATTCCGTGCAACGTGTACATGCAAGTAGAAACATAATACGATGAATATATATCTGCGTGCAGCGCGCTGCGGGTCTTGATGCTGCGAGTTGGTTGTCGCGTCCTGGTCGGCGGCGGCCAACTCCGGTTCAGAGGTGTGTGCTGGCTGGGTGGACAATCCCGCCCGGCAGCATCAGCCATGGCGGATACAAAGTTACTTCGCAGCCTGCGCTTCAATTTTCCATGTCCTGGGCAGCGATGTGGGTATATTGATGGATATCGATTGATGGACCGGTTTCTCTTTCTGTGGACAATGCAACTTAATATGTGGGCCTAACGGTTGGGAGTGTGTGCTAACTTGAGGGTGCAGTCCACATTCCTCTCCATATGCTCCGGAATTGAACCAACTACCATCTTTCCCTTCGATCTGATCGAGCATCAGGACAGAGAGGTGGGAGGGAGGATGGACAGATAATGGAGCGCCAAGGGGGGAGCGATACCACTGAAAAGTTCCTTCCGCCCCTCCGTGCACTCAATCCCGTGCGCACGTAGCTCTAACGAACGCTAGCGAAAATTCAACACGCACTAAATCGCTGGATCGATGGAGCTACCAGGCAGGCTCCCTCACACTGATTGATGGCCGTCGTCAGCTCGTGCTCGTCTGCTGCTTGTGTTTGAGCAGGCTTGGCTTGAAAGGCCAAAGGGAGGGAGCGGCTGGATGTACCAAGGGACCAGTGTTGTTTGTACCTCGATGGATGTAGCTCAGCACTCCACGGCTTGTTTGGAAAAAGAAAAAAAGTGCAGCAGCGAACTTTGAACTGCTGCTTGGTGCTGCAACTGATTTGAGGTGCAACAGCCGTTCCTGACCAATCATCTGCTCCACCCCAAACATCTCTCTCCCATTGCCACTTAACCTCGAAACCTTGCTCCCCCAAAACTCCACGAGTCGAGCCTTCCATTACGAATCCCGATCAATTGTTGTCGGCCGACACTTTACTCCATCAACGTCGACCCTTCCCTTTTCGTCTCCTTCCCTCTCTCTTGATCACGACAACGAACGAAGAAAAGGGCTTGCGATTTTTCCAATCTTATTCTTTTTTTCTCCTCCCCAAACGAAGAGGCTTCCATCTCTCCTAGGTCGCCGCGCATCAACCCACTCATGATTCGCCATTCCATGGCCTTTTGATCAACGCCGCTGCCTCGCACTTTGCCTGGCGGAGGAAGCGGCTCAAACAACGACGCCATTTTGTTTCCCTACATTCTTCTCTTCTTCCTCCCCTTTTATCTCTATTTCTCTCTTCTCTCTTATTTCTCTGGGGCAAGGCCCATAGTGGAGCTCATCGTTTTCGTCTCCGTCTTTCGTACTAAGCTGGGTGGCTTTTTTCGACCTCTTGCAGAGCTGTACAGTAATTTTGATTTCACGAGTCCATCGCCGCTTCACCCACTCGACTTCTTCATCTCTCTCTCCCTTCTCTTCCTCCTCCCTGTTCTACTTCTTCCGCCGATCTTCATTTGTCGCGTCTTGTTTCCGCTACACACCCGATTCGACGACAGAAACTTCGACGACCGGACAATCGACGACGGGGAACCCGAAGACGGGAAAATCGTCGAAATGGCTACCGAAACCTCGCCCCGAACGGTTCGCTTCTCTAACGCCGAGGAGGACCCCCGACCAGATAAATCCAAGACGCCGCGGCCCTCATCCGTAATACTTGAGCGTCCTAGTGACCATGTCGATGAATATATTGACCCTCCCCACCGTCCCCTCGGTTCCCAGGAGGATCTGACCAGCTTGGCCCGCTATGCCGAATCCGCTGGCGTACCTACCCCCAAGGCGACCCTCGCTCCTCCCGTCAACGGCGGCTTGAGGAGTACGAGGAGTAGTGCCTCGGATGGAGATGGTCAGCTCTACACTAATGGAAGCGGGACCCCAAGGCCCGCACGACCGACCGGTCCTGCGAGGACGCCCTCTAGCACATATGCTCCCGTGCGCCGCCCGCTTCAAGGGAACCCGTCATTTAGCGAACACCCGCGCTCGTCCTCCAAAACCCGCAGAGGAGATCGATTTAGGGATCGAGCCTACCTGCAGAGGATACGCCAAGATTTCAACAGCGAATACTTCAATTCCTACTCGAATAGCTCCTCCACCACCACTCACGGCGATTCCGATTCCGAAGGTGAGACCCCTTCCTCCGAAGGGCCATTTGACGAGCGAAACGAAGAAATCATCATGTTTTACGGCAATGACGACATGCAACCCACCGAAGAGGACGTCAAGGACCCCGCCAGCCGAGAGCGTCTGGAGTGGCATGGCATGCTCGAGGCCGTGTTAACCGGCGACGTCGTCAAGCAAGAGAAGAAGCGGCTAATCAACTCGACCGACCGAACGGACGGCAAGGCCCTACACCAAAGCGAGGAGCTGTGGCTTGGAATCCGGTCCAGGGTTTGCGGCCGTCATCTACCGGTGCAGAGGAGGATGGTGGAGGACGCTCGATCAGCTCTCGACCGTATCCTTGACGATGTTGTCAATTTCCAGATCAAGGGCGAGAGCGAGGCCGGCAAGCCACCCCACGAGCAAGTTAAGAGCATCGTTGCGGAGATTGAAAAGTGCGACAACTATTATCCTTCTTGGTCCGTCCTCGTCCGGAACCACAAGACGGCCGAGTCGCCTGGCTTCGTCGAGGCTTACGGCGCCATCATGGCGTGGCACAACACAAACGAGCTCATCAACACCGAGTTGTCCATCCTCAAGAAGTGGGTGGGCAATGAGGACCTCGACTTCACCAGGGCCAAGGAGCGCTTGCCCTCGACCTCCTCGCTCAACGACGAACCTTCATTCCTTGACCGCCTGATGAAGGAGGACGGTTTGAGAACCCTTTACTCCGAGGAGGACGATACCGAAAGGCACGGCGTCGACGATTCTCGTCGTGGCCTAGAAGTCATGGATCAGCGCATGGCTGGCGATCTTGACCCTCACCCTCTACCCGAACTTGAGCGAGTCGGCATGCACTACATGCGCCGCGGCACGGACGGCAAGAACAAGAGGGACAAGGGCATGTTTGTCCGCATCTCGAGTGTTATTCGCAAGTCGAAGCGGACCCTGATTGAAAACTACCCCGCCTTCCAGAAGCGCCACCTCCCGCCCTACATCGAAGAACTTCTCACGCTCATCAGCTTCCCCTCCCGCCTAGTCGAGGAGATTATTAGGGTCCGCCTCGCCTACGCTAGGAGGGCCAAGGAGACGGCGCAGCAGAACCCCTAATGCTCGACCAGATGATCTCTCAGTTCCAACTCATCCTCAAGCTAGCCATCCGCATCAAGCAGGAATATGTGGCCATTTCGCAACCAGAGCCAGGTTGGGACCTCCCGCCGTGTATCGACGAGTCCTTTGACCAGGTCGTGCTCGAAGCGCTCAAGTACTACTTCAAGATGCTCAACTGGAAGCTCAGCGGCAACAAGAACACGTTCAAGGAAGCTGAGCTGTTGTTCCAGGAGTGGGACTTTGGCAATCACGTGGGCGGCCACCTGCAAAACGGTGATATCGAGGTGGCGGAACAATTTAGCTCGCTCACGTACAAGGCGTTTAACCGTCTCAGTCAGACGTTTGAGAAGGAACTACAGGTCAAGGCCAAGGAGAGCTCGGCGGAGCTGAGCAAGCGGTACAAGGCGTGCCTCGACTCTGTCCGGGTGAGGCAGAGGATGTTGCAGCGCTTCTCCCGCATGCTGGGAGAGAACTATGAGACGGCGTCTGATATGAGCATTTCGTTTCAGCCGGAAAAGGTGCGGAACCTCTACGACAGACTCATCGAGACGGGCCATTTCCGGGTCGAGGTGCCGCATTTCGAAAAGCACGGCGTCTTCCTGATCGCCTCTCGGTCTCTGCAGTACCGACATGACGACATCCAAACCCTCCTCACCGTCACCTCCATGGACCAGTTCGCCGACGAGGACGGCACGCACCCATATGTGTTGCTGATCCGACCCGAAAACCCGCCAGACTGGTTCGGCGACACGATCCAGCTCCGGGTGCGGGAGCAGAGCATCGACCTCAAGCGAGGGTACGTGCGGCTCTGCGCGTCGGGTTCGCTCGGCCGGCTGGAGGACACGAGAAGAATATTCTTGGACACGCTGGATATGCACCTGGACCTCGTGGTGGAGCAGCGATCCAACATCCACAAGGTCAACTCGCGGCTGACGGAGACAAGAAAGGTGGCGTACAAGCTCTCCAACACATTCATGGATAGCGTGGAGACGATTCGGCGGCAAACGAAAAACAAAGACTGCCAGGAGCTGGTGCAGACGTGCTTCGTCTTCGCGACAGAGTTTGGGCAGCGCTCGCTTATGTACCTGGACAGCAACCGGAAGCAGATGAATATGCTGAAGCTGACGAAACTGGCCCTGGACTGGGTGTCGTTTGTCACGGACGACTGCGTGGCGTCGGACAAGCGCACGTTTCGATGGGCGGTGCTGGCACTCGAGTTCGCCATGGTCATGACCGGAGGGAGGCATATCCTGGCGCTAGGCGAGGATGAGTACTCGAAGTTGCGGACCAAGGTGTCGGGGTGCATGGCGGTGCTCATTTCGCACTTCGACGTGATGGGGGCGCGGTCGATGCTGGCGGCCAAGGCGGAGAAGGAGCGGAGCATCGAGACGCTCATGGGCCAGATCAAGAAGGTGGACCAGAATAGGCTGCAGAACGACAAGGAGGCGGCCAACATCACGCTGGAGCACCGACTAGCCGCCCTGGAAGAGGTGGACGATGTGCGGCGGCAGACAGACGCGGCGCGGTCGGCGACGGGGCGGGTGCTGGAGACGACCAACGAGGTGGACCGATCGCTCGCCTACCTGTCGGCCTCGGCCACGTACGTGACGATGCGTTGGCAGCAAGGCAGCTTTATCGGCGGGGGTACGTTTGGCAATGTGTACGCGGCTATGAACCTGGACTCGGGTCAGCTCATGGCGGTCAAGGAGATTCGACTTCAGGACCCCAAGCTCATCCCGGCCATTGCGGGCCAAATCAAGGACGAGATGGGAGTGCTCGAGATGCTGGACCACCCCAACGTCGTGTCATATTTTGGCATCGAGGTGCATCGAGACCGCGTCTACATCTTTATGGAGTACTGCCAAAACGGCTCGCTCGCCAACCTATTGGAGCATGGCCGCATCGAGGACGAGCAGGTCATCATGGTGTACGCGTTGCAGCTACTCGAGGGACTCGCTTACCTTCACGAGAGCGGCATCGTGCACCGCGATATCAAGCCAGAAAGTGAGTCATTCCAATCCCTACGTCTTCCCTTGACCTCGTCGGCTATCCCGCGTCACCAATTTTCAAATGCCTCACCTGAAGTAAGAACAAGGATAGAGAGCTAACCTCTTTCGACTTTTTTAAAACAGATATCCTTCTCGACCATAACGGCATCATCAAGTATGTCGACTTTGGTGCGGCCAAGGTTATTGCTAGGCAGGGCCGCACGTTGGTCAACGATCTTAAGTCGACGAAGCCCAACAAGTCGATGACGGGCACGCCCATGTACATGTCGCCCGAGGTGATCAAGGGCGAGAATCCGGGACGGGGCGGCGCAGGGGACATTTGGAGCTTGGGATGCGTGATTTTGGAGATGGCGACAGGACGCAGGCCATGGGCCAACCTGGACAACGAGTGGGCCATCATGTATAACATTGCGCAGGGCAACCCTCCGCAGCTACCGTCGACGGACCAGCTGAGCCCCGAGGGCATCGACTTTTGAACAAGTGCTTCGCGCGCGACCCGGCCAAGCGGGCGACGGCGATTGAGCTCCTGGGTCACGACTGGATGATGGCGATTCGACACCGCGTGATGGAGCCGGCGACGCCGAGCGATGCGGGGTCGACGCAGTCGGGGTCGTCGCAGACCACGCCGGGCACGGCTTCCCTGGGTAGCAATGGGACGAAGCTGGCAGCGATAGACGGCTTCTACTAGGGCACGAAGCAGCAGCAGCAGCTACCGCGGCAGTCTCAGCAATCCCCTCAGCAATCCCCGCAGCAATCACCGCAGCAATCACCGCAGAAATCCCAGCAGGCAACTCAGCAGCATCAGCCTCAGCACCAGCACCAGCACCAGCACCAGCACCAGCAGCATCCACGTGGGGGTCGAAAGGGGCCGAGACGAAGCACGGGCAGTGAAGAGTTGCAGCCTGTGGAGGAAGAGGTGGAAAAGGAAAAGGAAGAGGAAGAAAAGGATGCAGACAAGAAGACGGCGAGCGAGGATGGTGTGCCTTCTGCGTCTGGTGCGGCAGTAGCTGAAAGTCCTCGCCCAGCCCCAGCCCCTGCGAGGATTCCTAACGATTGTTGCGCTGCGATGACCTGCTACGGATACTACGAACCGGACGATATCGGTTCTCCTTAACCTTATTATGACGACGCCAGACGGTGACCACGGCGTCGGCTTCTACCACGTTTTCTTATACATACACGATACACGATATAAGAAGGGGAGGGTGGATGGTTGGCCCCAACATGAACAGCCGTCCCGCTTGCCATAGCGGGACGGCATCATCTCTTCTCTCTCTCTTTTTTCTTTTCTTTTCTTTTTTCCCGTTCTCTCGGACCAACCGCCACCGCCCTCCTCGTCACTATTTCCTACCTTTACCACCTCTTTCCCGCTTACTCCTGATTGTTTTGATAATTCAACGGCTCATTGCCATAATCTCATTTGTTTATCTGTTTCTTGTTACATCCCTCATCAACAACTGGGAATCCGTCCTTGAAAACAACCAAGGAAAGGCTGGTTACTGGTTTCACAGACGATTCGGTCGCGAATACCCCCAATTTTCTAATCGTTTTCTTTCTTGTTATCCAAGTTTCTCCCCTTTCCCCCTACATCTTTTCTTGTATTTTTCTCCTCTTCACCCTTTCTATGCCGCCGCAACCCCCTCTATCTCTTACAGCATACGGAACCACAGAGATTGAGGGAAATACGCCTTGTTCTTCTTTTCGCAGGCTGATGGGAGCTGTAGGAAGACAAGGGGTGGGAAGCGCTGGACTAAAAGCTTTGGCTCCTTCGGTTGGGCGCGGACGGGACTGCCCTGACCGTCACTAGCCAAGGAGGGATGTTAAATATGGGAGAGATGGACAAGTAGTGGAGAGAGGTTGGAGAAGGAACTGGAAACAAGGGCTTTTCGGGGAAGAAGGAAGTTTGTGATGTTGGGGTAAAGGCAGGCAGGGATGGGATCGGACGGGGGCCTGTTTGTGGCCCACGTTCCGTCTCGCTTTTTTCTCTTTTATTCTCGTCACGCAAGGAAAAGGCTTCGGGGTCTACGATGACGATGTGTATACTGTTCTCTGGAAGGGACTGGTTTATACGGAGGTGGCTGTACGAAGTAATCAATTATCCAATACATCAATACCATATTTTCTATTGTCGTTTGTGCTAGGTGCTGCGGTTAGCTCGTGATGGATACAGTCTGGCATCCATTGTATTCTCTCTATGTCCCTCTGGAGAAGGCGAATTCACTATTAGGTAACAATATGAATTTGTGCTTGGTCCTCTAGAGGTGGGGGAGTTACATCGCACCGGGAGTTCGGGAAACGCTCAAAATAAACGCGCAGTCGTAGTCACCACCCTCGAATCTAGCTTCGCAGCTAAAGGTGGGTGGACGGGATGAGAGCTAGCCATAGCCATGCATTGGGGAGAGCGAGGATGACTTGCCGTGGTGTCGTGTGGGGTTGAAGTGATGGGAAAAAGAAGAGGGAAAAGAGGGAAAAAGAAAAGAAGAGAAAAAAGAAGCAAAACAAAGAAAACAAAGAAAGCGGCAGGTACAGATGTTTTGTCTGGCTCTGGCAACTCGAGTGCGGGGCACTTGCATCGATTGATCAATCTCGACCTTGTCCTCACTTGAACCGGGCGAACTTGTCTTTTTCTTCTTTCCTTTCTACCCACCTCCTCTCAGTTAAAAAGCCCGAAGCTCGAAGCAGAGGAATAGTAACAATCAAACATTATCAAGCCAAAAAGGAGCATCTTGTCTCCCCTGCCTTTTTCGTGACATTGATCTTTCTACCGACGAGTGTAACCCCCACTCGACAGAGCTCTAAAGTTCTTAGCTCCGCCTTCCCCGCCACTGCCCCGCGACGAGGTTCCGACGTCGAAGCTTACAGGAGTAACGAGAAAAAAGAGTAGCTTGCGCTTCCCAAGGGCTTTTATCCATTGCCCTTTAACCCCCTCCATCGACTTTTCGAACGCTTCCAAGAATTGGCACGGTATCGATCGAAATCGCTCGCCGTCACACACCCCCGCCACGAGGCAAAACGAAGACGAGCAAGCAAGCAACAGCAGCTAGCTAGCAGTCATGGCTCCTCCGGCAATCATTGCGCCGTCGATTCTCTCGGCCGACTTTGCCAAGCTCGGAGAGGAGTGCTCGAGGACGATTGCGCAAGGCGCCGACTGGCTGCACGTCGACATCATGTAAGGGGGCCCGGAGTAGAGGCAGAAGAAGAAGGATAGTTCGAATAAGAAGAAGTAGAGGGAAGCTGACAGAGGCCGCTGGTGGTATTACAGGGACGGCCACTTTGTGCCCAATATCACGTTTGGCGCCCCCGTTGTCACTATGATCCGGCCGCACGTGGACGGGCCGGAGCAGCACTTTGGCAAGGGCACGTTTGACTGCCACATGATGATTGCAGAGGTTAGCTCCCCTTCTTAGTGCGAGCCGGAGCTCGGTTGATTTCTTCTCTCTCTCTTTCTCTTCTCTCTACTAACACCTCCCCTCCTGCCATAGCCTAAGAAATGGGTCAAGGAGTTCAAGGCCGCCGGCTGCAATCTCTACTGCTTCCATTACGAGGCCGCTACTTCCACCGCCGCCGAGAGCCCCGCCGAGACGTCGGCCTTCAAGACGAACCCCGCGACCTCATCCGCTACATTCACGAGCAGGGCATGCTGGCGGGGATTGCCATCAAGCCCTCCACAAAGGTGGACGTGTTGTGGGATGTCTTGGAGAGCCCCCACGAGAAGGAGAGGCCGGATGTGAGTCCTTTTCTTTTTTTCTTTTTCTTTTTTCTTATCCCTTATCTCTTCTCTTGAGGAAAGCTACCATGGAAGGCGGAAAGAAGAGAAAATGAACGGCATAGCTGATTTTTGTCTTGTTCGTGTAGATGGTACTCGTCATGACGGTCGAGCCCGGTTTCGGCGGCCAAAAGTTTATGGCTTCCGAACTCCCCAAGGTCGAGGAGCTCCGCAGGCGGTACCCGAACCTCAACATCGAGGTCGACGGTGGCCTCGGGCCCGGTACTATTGACCAGGCTGCGGATGCGGGCGCCAACGTCATCGTTGCCGGCAGCGCTGTGTTTGGGTCTGAGGATCCGGCCCAGGCTATCAAGCTGTTGAGGGAGGCGGTGGAGAAGAGGAGGTAAGTCGGAGTTGCGTGCTTGCCCCCTTGCTACGTACAGTTCGTTTTGTTCTCCGGGGCTTTCATGTCTCTCTTACTTTTATTTCCTTGTTTCTTCTTCTACGCCTTTTCCCCCTTTCTTCTTGAGTGGCGTGCTGTGCCGGCAAGTCTTGATGTATCTACTTGGGAAGGGAGGGGGACGGCCGGTTTTGGAATTTTTAAAATGTATGCAAGCCGGTATAACACCAGACATTCAATACTACTATGGGGAACGGAAAAAGGCGAGAGAAGGTGGGTGGGTGACAAGACGGAGAGGAGAGTCGCGAGAAAACGAGTAAAAGAACAGTACAAGATATGAAATTAGATTTTTAACTAGTCACGAGTATAGCATTTCTACGAAACAACGATTATAACCAATTCACGCATTCGATGTTGGCGCAGGCTGAGAGAGGACGGAATCAAGCACGGTAATGAGCCTCTCGACTTCCTCAACTGGAAAAGCACAAGACAAAATCGGTCAGCTAATGTTCCTTGCGGTCTTCTCTGTATGCCTTTCACGCTTTTTCCCCGTTGTAATATAGGACAAAAGAACAGAATACAAGATTGGGAGCTGGACTTACCCGAATTATAATGAGCAAAGCTCACCCGGATGATGCCGTCGAGCCCGTCTTCCAACCGGCCCAAGATCTCGCCCACCAGCCTCGGGGCGTAAAAGTGACCCCAGCGGATGCCAATGTTGCTAACCTTTTCCACCTCCTCGACCACGCGCCGAGAGCTCCACCCGGCGACGGAGAAGCTAACAACGGGGAGGCGGGCAGGGTGGAGGTCGGTGCCGCCGTAGACGGTAAACTTGTCGGGGCTAGCGGCGAGGTAGGCGAGGAAGGGCCGGAGGACGGCCGTCTGGTTCGCGTCGGCGGCGCGGCGATGGGGCCCGTCGGGGCCACCGAGGTAGTCGACGACGGCGGGGACGGCCTGGAGGAGTTCGTAGGAGGCGGCGGCGAGGCCGAGCTTGCCCTCGAGGGTGGCGGGGTCGTGAAAAAAGTGGCCGAGGGACCGGAGGCGGGGAAAAGGCGCGGGGAGGCGTAGAGGGTGGAGATGTGGGGGCCGTAGACCTTGTACCAGGAGAAGACGTAGAGGTCGGCGTCGAGGGCGGCGACGTCGACGGGGCGATAGGGGCGCAGGCGACGCCGTCGACGGCGAGGAGGGCGCCGTGGGCGTGGACGGCGTCGGCGATGCGGCGGATGGGGGTCTCGAGACCTAATACGTTGCTGCCGTGGGTTATGGCGACGAGGAGGGTGCGGGGAGACGAGGGCGGCGATGCCGGTGGCGGGGGCGGAAGGGTCGGCGAGGGTGGTGAGGAGGGAGGAGGAGGAGGAGGTGGTGGGGTTCCACCAGGTTACGCGGAGGTGGAGGCGGTGGGCGAGGGCGAGCCAGGGGGCAATGTTGGATTCGTGGTCGATGGCGGAGAGGATGATTTCGTCGCGCTTGGAGGAGGACGGCGCATCGTCGGCATCATCATTGGCGTCGTCAAAGTCGAGGGCGTGGGAGACGTTGCGCAGGAGCTGGGTGGTGGAGGGCCCAAAGACGATTTGGTCCGGGCGGCAGTTGAGGAAGCGGGCGGCGGCGGCGAAGGCGGCGTCGTAGTTGGCGCGGGCGCGGCGGGCGGCGGCGTAGGTGGGGCCGAGCTGGACGTTGGAGGCGAGGAAGTGGGTGGCGATGGCGTCGGCGACGGCGCCGAGGGCCTGGGAGCCGCCGGCGGAGTCGAAGAAGATTTGGTCTTGGGCGAGGGAGGAAGTGGGCGCGGATGGCGGCTACGTCGGGGGCGGGGGTGGTGTCGGTCATGGTTGTGTGCCTTTGTTTTCTTGGAGAATAACACGGCAGGAGAGGTGTAGATTTGAGTGGCTGGTGGCTGGTGGAGGGGAAAGAAGGAAAGAGATTTGGAACTTTGATCTTTAGGTTGTTTCTAATGAGTATAGACTGTCTATTCTAGATTGTTGGTTTTTGTTTTTTTAATCCCGACGACGCTCTGCTTCGCAAATAATCTCGTGTATGGCGTCAATGGGGTTATCTACAATGCAGAGGGGCCTGAAGCCGTGATGCGGGAAGTTGGACGAAGCGGCAATCTTAAGGCGGGGGCGGCCCGATGAGGAGATCCGTCCTCCCCGCTTGGCCCGGGGAGGGTTCGTCACGGCGTATATGATACATTGTTCTGTTTCTACAGAGAGAATGACGAGAGCTTGCCCATGGGTAGCTTAGAGTTCTCTTTTTCCCTTTCTTTTCTTCCTCCCTTTTGTGAGTGTGTCTATATACCCTGAGGATTGGTATAACTCCTCTTCTATATCTTATCATGGAACCTCCCGTAATCAAGCGCGCAAAAGGCGGCGTTGGGCGCGTAGATCTTTATGCGTTGCGTTAGGTATTGGCAGGCGAGGACGGAGGGGTGGGGAGAGGATGGAGGTTTGCTGGGATACCACGTGGGGAGGGACCTTTGCGTCTGATGTTGTGGGCTTTCACGCCATTTTGAACAGTGTTGGCCGATGTGAAGGGATGGAGGAGATAAATGTGCTTGTCGTAGAAAAACCTTTATCCCAGTATCATAAATGTTCTCTCAGGCATTACATAGGGGCCAAACACCAGTTGTGTCTTTTCCATCTTCGTCCTCTGTCTCCCAGGGTTGACTTATATAGGATCCATTCCATGTGCCCCTCGTCCAAAGTTCCCAGGGCTTGTTTCCAATCTTCTGATAAGCAAGCGCTGGAAATCTCGAAAATGTCCACGACCTTGCAAGTGCATCTACGCAGTTCTCTCCCACAGCCACACAAGACGAGCCAAGTGGCACGAATGGGGGACAAAAGAACAGTGTCTAGCGACTCCATGTACGCACAATATGCGCGGCCTACGTAGGGGAAAGAGACAAGAGTGTGCGCGGCGGGAAGCAGGAGGTGAAAACGATATATCAATCAGAGTCTGGCGCGGTTGATTGTTGGACGAGTAGGCGCCCATATGCATTGATGCGGCAGTGCCGCCTCTCCAGTTAGCCCACCCACAACGCATGCGACGATCCATAACTTGTATGCTATATGCCCCAGAGTCCAGAGTCCAATGTCTTGGTCAAGGCACGCTTGGGGAGCCCGCCTCTGGGGATGCGCAGGAGAAAAGCAAAACGCGTTCCTTTTGTTCAAGGATTGGTCTGGAGACGGCGCTCCGTCGTGCCACACGCGCTGGTTTCAAGGTGGAAGAGGGAAAGTGCTGCGGCCATGTGTCCTCCTGCAGTTAATGCAAAGCTTCTCTTCGTCTTCTCTCCCTTTTATCCTGTTTCTAGCTCCTGGTCCCCCATAAACAGTGGTTGGCTTCTTTGGGCAAGAGTTTGGGGAGGGGTTCCCGGGCGGTAAAGAGTTTATGCCGACGGCTTCAACGGTAAGCGCTTACCTGTCGGTGGATGTGGGCAAGGGATGAGGTTACGCAATGAATCACTTTAGAGATCGGTGATATGGAGGAAAGTAAAAATCAAGAGCATGAAGATCAAGATTTAGGATCTATCCTCGAGCCTGACCATTCTTAGGATTGGAGGCTAGTTCTAGGGCCATTATGTCAAGATTGATAGGCGAATGCCATTTTCTGAGCTGGGTCAGGTCGAGGCCACGGCTGTGGCCGTTCCAGGGCGGCCCATTGGGAAAGGGACCCTTGGGAAACAAGCTATTCTTAGCAAAACCCAATGGAGAGACGAATCTCGCCAAGGACATTCCAGAATGTTTCAGGGGCGGCTCTGTTTCGATGCTTCAGCTGCCAATCGTTCGTCCCGTCAGCGCGAAACCCAGAGCTGGCCGCTGCTTTGGTGCAGGATCCAACGGCGGCCACCTCTGCTGATATCAACTCGGACTGATGAGTGGTTGAATTGGCGTTCGTTTCAATGCTGCCCATGAAGATGAGCACTAGAAAGATTTGAACCCTGAACATTGAAGACTCTCAAGTCCAAATGCCCCGCACGAGCTCCCCTAAAACCGGACGTTGAGCTTTGTATTTGCTGGGTGGCTCCTTCCAGCTCTCAGGCCACCAAACGCTACATCAATTGATCAATTGATTCAGTCTTGATCGTTGTACCTTGTCCAGGGACGGACTCAGTTGTTCTTTCCCTTCCCCACCAATTGGACGTCCACACACGCACACACAAAACCCCACCAAGACTTTTTTTTTTTTTTTTTTGGCAGGTTCCCGTAAAAAAAAAAAAGAAACCAGAAAAATTTCCTTGACAGAAACCCTTGCACTTTGCTCTGATCAGCCCATCCCGCTGCGGAGCTCGGCGACTTGGAAACGGACCCGTCCTCACCAACAAAATACCCAATTCCCCTCCCTTCTCTCACCGCACCCTCGAACCTCCTCTTCCTCTTCTTCCTTATTCCCTCTCCTTGTCCTATCTCCTACTTCCCCTCTACAGCTTCCAGCACATCTCTCCACATACGATCCTGACACTGGGGATACCATCTCCCTCCGAAGCCGCACCATGAAGCGCAAGGCTGAATCCTCCGCCGCTGGTCGGCAACCCGTCAAGCGCCGGTCCAAGACGAGTACGTTGCGTGATAGTCCCTTTTGAAGAAAGGGAAAGTTTGTCTCTAGGCTTGCGCCTACGGATATGGGGGAATTTTCGCTAACATTCTTATCCGTTCTCCCCAGGTCTCGCCCCCGAAGCCGCCAAGCAGAGATTCCGCAAGGGCCTGTTCGACCGCGCCGTCCTCGACAGCTACACGACGCAATACGCCCAATCCGCCCCTACAAGCACGCCGTGATCCACAAGCTCGTCGACGACGCCCTGTTGCGCCGCGTGCGCACCGAGATCCGCGACAACGTCTCCTTCACCCCCAAGGAGACGGACATTTACAAGATCCACCAGTCGGGCGACCTCGCCAACCTCGACGGCCTCGACGATGACGCCCTGGCCAAGCTCCCCTCCCTGCTCGCCCTCCGCGACGCCGTCTACTCGGAGACCTTTCGCAACTACGTCTCCCACATCACCGGCTGCGGGCCCCTGAGCGGCCGCAAGACCGACATGGCCATCAACGTCTACACCCCGGGCTGCTTCCTCCTCTGCCACGACGACGTCATTGGCAGCCGCAAGGTCAGCTATATCCTCTACCTCACCGATCCGGACACGCCCTGGAAGCCCGAGTGGGGCGGCGCCCTGCGTCTCTTCCCCATCCAAGAGTCCACCAATCCCGACGGCGTCGTCGCCAAGACCCCGCTCCCCGACATCGCCAAGGTTATCCCCCGGCCTGGAACCAGCTCAGCTTCTTCGCCGTCCAGCCTGGCGAGAGCTTCCATGACGTCGAGGAGGTCTACCACCCCGACTCGCCCCAGCAGCTCGATGCCGACGGCGGCCGCATCCGCATGGCCATTAGCGGCTGGTTCCACATCCCCCAGATTGGCGAGGACGGCTATGTCGAGGGCGCCGAGGAGGAGCAGGTCAAGAACAGCGGCTTGATGCAGCTCCAGGAAACCCTGACCAATACGATCGGCCCCTCCCCGCACCGTCGCCGTCAAGCCCACCACCACTACCACTACCACTGCTGCTGCTGCTGCTGCTGCTGCTGCCGACTTTGACGAAACCGACCTCGAGTTCCTCCTCAAGTACATCTCCCCAGCTACCTCACCCCCGACACACTCGAGCAAATCTCGGATCACTTTGACGAGACCTCGAGCATCACCCTACCCAACATTCTCGCCCCAAGTTCGCCGCCCGCCTGCGCCAGTATGTCGAGGCCGAGGAGGCCCGGAAGCTCCCACCAAGGGCGCAGCTATTGAGAAGAAGACGCCATGGAAGGTCGCGCGCCCCCGCACAAGCACCGCTTCCTGTACCAGCAGCCTTCGGGTCCCGACGAGCTGCGCACATCCCAGGAGGAGTCCCCGTGACCGAGCTCCTCGACGTCTTCCTTCCCAGCCGCCAGTTCCGTCAGTGGCTGCAGCTCGCCACCCGCTGCACCGTCGAGGGCCACGACCTCCTCGCCCGCCGCTTCCGTCGCGGCCTCGACTACACCCTTGCCACCGGCCACGAGGGCAAGCCTCGCATCGAGCTCAATATTGGCTTCACGCCCACCACCGGCTGGGGCGCTGACGAGGATGAGGATGAAGAAGAGGAGGAAGAAGAGGAAGAAGAAGAAGAAGAGGAGCGCAACGGAAAGACCAACGGCAAGGGTAAAGGCAAGGGCAAAGATAAGTCCAACGGAAACGGAAAGGCAAACGGCAAGGGCAAGGGCAAGGGCAAGGAAGCCGCCAAGCCTCCGCCCCCACCGACATCCAAATCCGCCGGCGCCGCCGGCGCCGAGCGCGAAGTCGGCGGCCACGAGGTGTACATGGCCGGCGACGACGACGCCGAGGACCAAGACGCCGCCATCTACAAGACGGGCGACGACGACGACGACGACAACATCCTCTTCTTCCAGCCCCCGCGTGGAACACCCTCTCCCTCGTCTTCCGCGACAGCGGTGCCCTCCGCTTCGTCAAGTACGTCAGCCGCTCCGCCAACGGCGACCGCTGGGATATCGCGGGCACCTACGAGGTCGAGGAGCAGCCCGACGAGGCCCACGACGCGGCCAAGAAGAGGGCGGGCGGAGGCGGCGGCGACGGAGAAGGGGAGGACGAGGACGAGGAGTCGACGCAGGAACGGGGAGCCGCCCCTTGGCGAGTCGGAGGATGAGTTTAATGGATTTTCTGACTCGCACGATAGCGATTCAGATTAAGTTTTTTGTTTTCTTGTTCGATCTATAAAAAAGCTGGTAAAAGGTCGGGGTGGCTATTTTCTTTTTTTCTTTTTTCGTATTCCTTCTCCTCCGTACCGGGGAGAAAACAAACAGGCCCAGTGCGTTTCCGCGGCATCCACGACTTCAAAGAAATACAATAAATTCTTGAGATGTTTTTCCAAGTATGCTCCCCGCCATCGTGATGCTTCGCGGTTCAGTCATATCGTTCCGCGGCATCCCTTTCATGTTTCTTCGTTCTTTCTCCCCCAAGAGTGAGGTTTCCAGAGGCTCTTGAATCCCGGCAAACCCGGCACCCTGGTCGGGATCGCGTGCTGCGCGCGCGCCGACAGCATTGTGGGGAAGACAGAACGGGCCTTGCATCGACAAGACCCTATTCCCCAAAAAGAGCGAGCACGCAATCCCTCTATATCTTCGTGACGACTAGGGGGCAGCCAACAATCCACGGGGAAACGAAGACTGTCCTATTCCTACAAGCTCATAATACATCCATACATGGCCAGAGCAGGCACAGGTTAGTGGTTGATAGTTAATTTTTCCCCCAAAATAGACAAGACTAAACAAATGGGGATTTTCATCATTGGAAAAAAGGGTATAATAGTGTATTCTCTTTCCCTCGCCTCAAGCCCTCCACCTCTATCTAAATCTATGTCATGCGTGGTCGACAAGGAGAAGCGAAAAATGACCCCCGACCAACCAAGATGCGAATGGTATATCCTATCTCACCAAGTTGAACAAAAAGAAAGCGAACCAGAAAAGCAAGAAAGATCAAGCCATCTTCGTCTTTCAAAAGAAGAACCCCTCCCAAAAAAAAAAAAAAAAACGCCCCAACTCTCGCCTTGAGAGAGATAAGAACGCCCCTCATCCCAAAAAGAACGAGAAAAACAAGAAGCGAGAGAAACCCCGCTGCCACCGCCCGTACCGAACGTCCTATCCTTCCACCTTCTATCGAGAGAAACCGAGATAAGCGACGGGAGGGGCAGAGATAAGCCCCGAGAAAAGGCTGAACCCCTCCCCGGATACCCAAACATCTATATGCTAATGCTTCGACCCGCTCACCATCCAAAAACCCGAAATCGGCCAGGAAACCGAACAAGTAACACAATAATCTCACCATCGAGCAGATCATGCTTGAGAAAACCGGTGCTCACAAAGGTGCGTGCCATGTTTCCCTGTCTCTTTGGCCGTTGGCCGTTCTTCCAAGGAACAACGCCTTGCTGGGAGAATAGGTAGAAAAAAAGAAAGAAGAAGAAAAAAGGCAGCAAGCCATCACTTTGCCTCTAGAATGCAAGTGATGCGGGGTAATCATGAAAGATGCGGAAAGAAAAAAAGAAAGCAATCCAAAACAAGAGCAAAGGAAGAAAAGGGGAATCATGCAAGTCATTCATCGTCGGCCACGAGGCTATCCACGTCCTCCTCGAATCCCGTGCTCACAAAGGCATGCTTGACGAAACGGTTCCACGCCCGGTCCGATGCCCGCTTGCGACGCTTCTTGTCCTTTTAAGTGACGACCCGTCAAAGGTTTCGCACTCCACGGGAGGCAAGTCGTCTTCTTCCTCAACCTCGTCGTCCCCATGATCCTCATCATCTTCATCGTCGCCATCGCTGTCGTCGCTTTCATCGTCTCCAATCTCATCAATGTCATCATCCTCGTCGTTGTCGATGTCCTCCTCAGCGTCAAGATGGGCGTCGTCGTCGTCGTCGTCCTTGGTGCTCGGAGGGAGAGGGTGATCTGCGGCAGCTAACCCCATGCGCGAAGCCAGCCGGACATAGTTGCGTACCGTGAGGTCCGGCAACTTCAGGACCTTGTCGTTAAAGGTCGAGTATTCCACCTCAAACTTGAATTCCCGCGTCTTGGGCTTTGACGCGCTCTTGTCCTTGGGATCCCAGTCCGGTGGGATGTGGTTGATGTGCGTCAGGTTCGCAAAGTACTGCGTGTAGCCTGTAAAAGTGAGGGGCTGCATCGAATACGCCGGGCCAGGTAGCACGGCCTTTGTCGGCGGTTCCGGAACGACAAGACTAGGGTCTTTGGGCGTCTTATCTTTGCCCTTCTTCTTCTTCCCTTTCTTCTTCCCACCCTTTCTACCTTTGCCCTTGCCCCTGCCCTTCTTGATAGGGGCCTTGGCCGCTTGGATCGCCTTGGCGGCCTGGATTTCCTCGTCCAGGCCCAGGAGACCCAAGTCGTCGTCGCTGTACTGCTTGGCAGAGGGCCCCGCCGACGTCTCGGGGGCGCTCCAGAGAGGTAGGTCCTCGAGCCCGGTGATGTTGTACTCAACCACGCGGAGGGTGGGGAAGAAATTGGGAACGACGCTGGGACTCACGAGCGAAACGTGATAGCGCTCCGCCCATTTTCCACCCAGCTTCTTCAGGTGCTTCTTCCTCTCCTTCTTCCTCCTTCCCTTTTAGACCGGCCCGCCTGGCTCTCGAGGTCTTGAGAGACCGTCGTCTTTAGTGGTGGACACAAGACCTTGACGGGTGGAAGTCTCGACCAAAGTCCCCTTAGCTCGATAAGATACTTGGCTTTGTTGCCCTGGGCCGACGCAGAGCCTCTCCTTCTAAGCTCGTCATGGGGCCCGACACCTTGCGCTAGCCCCTCGACCTCTTCGTCTTCGTCTTCGTCTTCGTCTCCGTACTCTTCGTCGTCCTCCTCGTCGTCCCACTCGTCCCCGCCAAAATCAAGAGATTCGGCTTCGTCCGACGACTCCCTTCTGCCGCCGATAAAATCGATATTGATCTGCTTGGTATCGTGTATCACAAAGTGGTCGATATTCATGTGCCCGTACACGGTGCCCGTCACGACGTCCCGAAACTGCCGCATCCAGAGGCTATACTTTTGCCAGCAGCTCTCGTCCCACAGTTCCTTGCTATCCGTCTTGGCGGGCGGCACGTGGCCCATGAGAATGGCCTTCATACCCCTCGAGCGCAAGAGCTGGAGCTGGATGCGCAGCCATTCGAGCTGCTTGAACCCGGGCTCGACAGGATCCACGCAGTTGTCTATGGCGGCGTTTCGGTCAAAGAAGTACATGGTGTTGAGACTGAAGACGGCCAGGCGATTGGGGATGACCTCGACCGAGAACCAGCCGCCAAACTCGAACGCGTGACGTTGCTCTTCGGGGATGAAGGGGCGCCATATGTCTGCGTAGTGCGAGAGCCAGCGGTTGGGGCCCGGCATGAGCACGTTATGGGGAAGAAAGTCGTTGTTGCCGATATTGGGGATGATGGGGATCGCGAGGCGCTGGGGATATTTTTCGTCGGCAAAGGTGCTAAACATCTTGTTGGCCACGAATTGGTTCGACCGTAGCACCTCGGCCGAAGTTCGCGAGATCTCCTCATCGCTGTCGTGGCGCGCCGAATCGCCCGTCCATATCACGAAATCGACCTCGTCTTTGATGTTCGCAGCTACCCAGTCCAGTGTGGCGTTGACTAGGGACCTCGGGGAATCGCAACTCGAAAGCTCGGCGCCATAGGGGCCGGCAGTGCCCTTGCGCCGGTGGCAGACGACTTCGGGGTTCGTGTACGCTTTGTAGTACTCGTCCGGATGAAAGTCTGCGGAAATCGAGGTTCGTATTAGCTTCATTCCCCATTCACCGTAAATTACTACAAGGTAAGTTGGCCCTGTGGAGCTTGAGCGGAGCAATCGCACCTGTGATGTGAAGAAATCTCCCGCGTAGTCCCTTGGCCCTAGGCGTAGCCGGACCAGACCTATCTAGAGGATCGGGCCCCGATTGTTGTAAAGCATATTGCGGTTCTCCATTACTGGGCGCTGCTGCTACTAAGCCTAAGCCGAGAGTTGCGTAGAGGGCCGTGAGTATGAGTTGTGTCGTCGCCATCTTGGTTGAGCTTGGCCTGGAGTCAACACAAGGCTACGAGGCGGTCAGGCCGACACACAACCACAAGGGAACCAAGTCGGCTGTGGTTTGCCAAATAAAGGAAGAAAAAAAGGAGTAAATTTTTGAAACGAGATAGACAATATAAGTATTTGCCCACTACGCCCAAGTCGCGCGGTCTTGTGCTCGGGGGTTGCTGATAATTAGGGGAGGAAAATGGAGGTGTAAAAATGAATATTGAACCGGTAAAGTGGGCTGTATTTGTTGCGTCACACTGCTGTCGGACCGCGTCGAGAGGGTGTTGTGGAGTGGTCTGGCGGTGGGAGAAGGAGTCAAGCAAGCAAGGCTGAGTTGCATGGTTCTGGACCACCTTACAACCCCAGGCCTGTCATGCACGGGAGGATGCAGACGAACTGGTGGAAACCGATGCGCGGTATAATATATTTCCTCTAAAAAGAGAAAATAAAATCAAAAACACACACCAATATACCCCGGCAAGCAAGTCGGAAATCAAGGTGTGGCGATTTATGAAAAATGGAGAAGGGGAAGGAGCGGAGAAGAAAAAGAGGAACCAAAACAGGAAAGAAAAAGAGGGCGAGAAAAGGCGAGACAAAAGAGGTAGAACAAGGAGGTTGAAACGGAAAGGACGATCCACCTATTCTTATTCCTGGGGGTTTCTCGCCTCTGCTAGATGCAAGACAGCGCTTTTGATGACCTGGATGGCCCGACTACTTGACCACGACACATGAGCTGGGGAGCTGCAAACAACCCCGTCCTTTTTGGCGTAGATGGGGCCAACAACCATGCAAACCCCCTTCTTGCAAAAACCCATGGGGCGCATCGCCCCTCACTCGAGTCTCCATTTGTCTCCCTTTTCCTCCATCTACATGAAGCCTGCATTCGCTTCCATCGCCCTTTGCTCCGTCAAAGGAGCCAATGGAGGTCGGCAGCAGGACCACGAAAGCGTCAGCCAGCGCGCGGGAAGCCGGTGGTGCTGACCGGTCCAAGGGTCACCTGGGAGCCATGCGTGAGGGTATGGTGTGTGAGCTATCAGGGTGGAGGTGGATAGGCGTGGATGTCTTCAGAGCCCAACCAATCCGCAAAGATGCCACCTACACGTGGGTGCGCGAGCGAGAGAGGGCGAGCGACCAAGGTTTTCACGAACCCGCGAAGATTGGGAGTGGGGAGCAAGGAAATGGAAAACCTTGAAGGCTTGTTTTCGTCTTATTTCGTTTGAATGGGAAATTCGGTGGGTTTCTGCTCAAAGAGTAAAATGATCGTGTGCTCGTCAAAGTCGAAGGGTTCAAGATTCTACTAATACTGCGCGACCCCTCCAACCTCGATTAAAGCTGCATTGATGCGCACCATACAAGATGGCCCCCAAAACACGAATACCACCTGCTTCTACGGCGTGCTTCTACAGTTTCCGTCACTTCCACCCCGCCAGACTCCCGCCCGCGGGTGCGACACACCCTAGCCTCCCAAAAGAACCGGAAGTTAAAAGCAAAGGGAGAAACAGAGAGAAGCCTATTTTTCCAAAAGACCAACAAAAGGGTCTCGGTCGGCAGTTTGGCATGCCAAGCTCATGACCCATGTACCCATGACGTTTTCTGGGGACACCGGGAGGAGGAGCACTTGTCCACCAACACGCCGAGCGAACGCTAATAGTCACGAGCCCTAGAACTATATATTCCTTTGAAGCGAAGCGGGGAGGGGGAGACACGCAGAGGCGGGGTGCCTCAATCTTCGACCGGGCATTTTACAACCTCTCTCCTGCCTCTCGAGCGCCATCAATATTCACATATGACAAAAGAAACGGTTGGCTTTGTGTTGCGGGCTGCGCATCTGCGAACAGGTTGGACGGGATGAAGGTGGCCGATCGCTGATAGTGTAGTGGACAGGTCAGGGTAGGATTTTGCCGACGTGCCGATCCGATTCCTTGCACATGCGGCTCTGATGCCATTTTGACCGCACGGCAGGGGAAAAGAGCTACAGAGCTATAGGCTTCCATCACTGGTCGAGACTCCACGCCGCACCAACTGAGCAACGTCTGCTAGAATCAAGCCCAAACTTGGAAGATCTGCCCTCTTGCATCCCCAGCAAGGCTGCGACCACACCCATAAGCACGCAGACTACATTGGATAAGTCCGCCGTGATTCGGTGGGCGCGCCCTCGCACCTTTTCAAATCTTACAAAGGGTAGGCAGTGACTACTGACAGTGCTTAGCTCTCTCCAGGGGGAAGGAAGAAGAAAATAGAAAAAAGAAAAGAAGATACAGGACCGGAAAAAGAAAAACAAAAGAGAAAAGAGGCTGTTGGTTCCTTGCCTCGATGCAAAACAGTGAGGTGCTCGCACAGTCCAGTCAGCACTCAGCGACAGGCAACCAAAAAGCTCCGAGCTCTGTGGCCAATGGTGACTAATGCAATTGTGGCGGCCCAAGATTTTTCTCTCTTTCGGCCTGTGCCAAGCCATTTGGCACCACAACGCACACCCGCACGCAAATGGCCCATTCCTCTTTCCGCCCCAAAGGGTCCCCCAAGGCGTGCACCTATTTTTCTCATCTCTCCCTCTCTCTCCCTCTCCCTTCCTCGCACAAAATTCGCCCTTCACTCCTGACGACCTCCCCTTTTGGAAAACTGTCCGGTTTCTCATGCCTGTGCGTTTTCGCCGCCTTTGGAAAATTTTGTAAAAATTTCCTCCGATTTTCTCTCTATATTGCGTTGCCTCGGATTCCTCCCTCTCTCTCTCCACGTGCTTCGTTACCATTCCAACCCCGTCACAAAACGTCACCCGTAATCGCGCGCACGTTACTTGTAGTCCACCACAGGCCAATTTTTTTCTTCTGGGGGTGGGAGTCACTGCCTAGGGTAAAATCACACCCTGGAAATCTAGCTCGCCGCCCTTTCTTATCAAACGCCAACCGCCGGGGGCAACAACCAAGCGAACCTCCTCCCAATGGCTTGGGCTTGATATCTCATCGCTCTTTCTTCTTTCTCTCCTTTCCCTCCTATTTCCCCCTCATCTTAGCACGCCGTTGTTCCTTGGCTCGTCTATCTCGCGAACGCCTACCTGGTCAGAGGGTGGTGAATATTATCCCGAACAACCAGCTAGATATTGCCCACCATGGTGGTAAGTTTTATCTTTCTTTCTTTTTATTCTTTTTGTTTCCCTTGTCTTCTTTTGTTTGTGCTCTCTTTGGCATACCGCTCCTTGGATTCCGCACACGCCTCCACACCGAACGCATCATAAGCTAATCGTCTCTCCCGCGAAACGCATGTAGGCTGGTATTGGTAGCCTGCTCGCCGAAATCACGGGCGAGAAGCCCTCCACGGGCCAGTCGAAGCCCGTTCCCCGTGCCATCCCCGTACCCAAACGGAAGCCAGAGGACGAACTTCGAAGGGACCCCGTCAAGTCTCTCAAGACAGGACAGGGTGAAGCCCCCAATCGCGCCCTCCCGCGCGACCCAGCCCCCGCCGCGCTCATCCGGCGCTCCTCCCGCGAATCGTCCCCGACCGAATGAGAGGCCCGTGTCGCGAACCCCGAACCGCCCCGATGCCCCGACCTCGCGATATAATGGCTCCGCTGCTGCCTCTCGACCCTCATCGGCTCCTGCCAAGCCAGCAGCGGCTCCTCGGCCCCGACGGCCCCGACGAGGCCTCCCAAGAAGGGATCGTTTGCCGAGATCATGGCCCGCGCCCAGCGAGCCCAGCAGACCATGGGCCAAGTCGGCAAGATCCAGCACAAAAGGTCGAGAAGCGGAGCGTGAAGAAAGAAAAGGAGGAGCCGTCGAAGCCCGACCCCCGATCTGCCGGGCCCACCGGCCGCAAAGCGATACCGTCGCGCAACGGAACGAATCCCTCGCGTCCCAATAACACGGCCCCCGACGTCGTCGAAAGATGCAAGAAGTGGTCCTCCGAGCACCACTGCCAAGAGGAAACCCGTTCCAGAACCCGAAGCCGCGAAAAAGGCTCGCCAGCCTCCTACGACGGGCTACGCCGGCACCGCCCGTCCTCGCCCCGGTGCTCCGTCGGGCAAGGACAGGAAAAAGCAGGGCGCCGGTGGCGTCATACTGAATCCGTCCATGTCCCGCTACGGCGCCGACAAGCGCCGCTCGTCCCGTTACGAGGAGGACGACGAGGAGATGAGCGACTTCATCGACTACGACGACGAAGAGGACGAGGGCGTCCCATCTCGCCACTATTACTCGGACGAAGGATCCTCCGACATGGAGGCCGGCCTGGACGAGATTGACGACGAAGAGGAGCAGGCCGAGTACCTTGCCAAACAGGACGACTGGCGCGAGCAACAGCTCGAGAAGAAGCTCAAGCTCGAGAAGGAACGAAGAAAACAAGAGGCCCTCGCATCCGTTCGCCGTCGTTGAACACCTTTTTCCTCGTGCTTTGCGAGCGCTAGAATTTTCCGTCGTCTTTTTTTCTTTTCTTCTACCGCTCCTCACGAAATCATCATTAGCCATTAGCCATCAAGCTGTTTCCTTTTTCCTTTTCCCGCTTCCCACAGCGACCGAGTTGATTATGCTTTCCATTCTTTATACACATAACCCCAAAGAGCCATCTTTTTTTTTTTTTTTTCGTTGTCTATTCCCGCACTCCACAAAGTCATCAGCGGCGGCGTTTTTCTCACCCTCTCCCAAATCTTACCCTCTTCGCTCTCGTCTGTCTAGCATCTTCCCTCAGCTGGAGGCGGAACCGCTCGCTTCTTCTCGGCCTGCTCCCACGAGCACCATGGAAAGCACCCCCACATCACTAATCGAAAGCATACAATGCATGCCAGACATTTTTCTATTGGCCGTGCTTACCCTTTCATTCTCTTCTTGGCATCTTCCAAGCTTCTTTTACACGGTAGACTACTAGCCAGATGCGAATCCGCGCTAGGACATCTGGGCCACAGTCGTTGGTCTGTTTGCAGCTCACCCATCCCAGCCTTGTTTCGTTTTCTTTCTTTTTTTCTCTCTACTTATCAGGTTTCGGTCAGGTGGACATGGGGATGGATGGATACAGGACGGGGAAGGATAGGAGGATTTTATTCAGCACTGAGGGTAGTTGGCGATCGGTTTCTTTATGTTTTCCCGTGCCACTCACTGTTCCAGGACCCCATCACCTCAGTTCCGTCTTCACCATATTGTATCTTGCATTGTAGGAGTCGTTTGATTGCTTTTTTCTACTTCTATTTTCTCCAGTTTGTAGATACTTTGAGCAGTGACTTTATTTACCTTTTCTTTTCTCACTAAAGATCCATGCTGCATCAAGAGTGACGCCTTCGAGGAACTCGACGAGACTTGGCTTTGTCTAAAAGCAAGTCACACACTCGTAGTGGTGAGCCCCACCATATACCCGGACTCTCTGCTTCTTGTTCCTCTCCCAAGGTCACATCTACGGAAACGAAACCCGCTGGGGAGGCTCACGGGCGATGAACATCATGCCCAGGCTGGCTTGCTTGCTCTTATGAGGTACTCGTGGACTGCCTGAGGAGGACCCTATCCGAGAGAGGATTAAGCCCAGTCGGAATACATCCGGATAACGTGAAAGGGGGATTAGACACGATAACGATGGCAAAGAAGTAGGCGCGTGCAGGGAATGCTTCAGTAAAGAACGGGACCATGGGTCCATCAAGTTAGAGTATGGGGTCTCGACTGGCTACAGCTTGTGACATCGAGAAGCGAAATTTTAGGAATAGGAAACTCGAGACCAGGGATGGGAAAATATAGATGCAATGTGCCTTTGTCTTCCTGACACCATCCACTGACTAAACATGGCAAGAGCCTTGGCTTGGCCTTTGATGTTGTCACCTCCGTCGTGATATCCCAGAGACAACGTGCTACTCGGACCTCGCCAAGTTCACGAGGAAAAGAAAAACTATACGAAAAGAGCAGGACAGAAAAAGAGGGGAATAAAAAGACCAGGGGTCCGCCCCAACGCCTCTCCAAGATGCTAGAATGGAACAAAGGACAGGGAGAAGGAAAAACAGTACTGCTTATCAAGGGGCTGATTGAGACGCTATGCGAGGGGCGTTTTATGACAGAGATGATGCCAACCCTCCACAAAAGAAGAGGACGAAGAGAGAACCAGGGAACTCAAAGTTCCTGAGTAGACAAATGAGCTCAAGGGGTAAAAAGAAATTCAAAAAATCAAGGTAGATCCTCCTGATTAATGCCTGTGCCGCCGTAGCCACCCAGGTTCCAACCAGCATAGGGGTAGTGGAGTTAGACGCGGGCTTGCCCGACTGAGCACTGCCGTTCTCGCGACGGTTAGGTGGGGCAGGGAGTGAGGGGAGGAGCCGGGAGGGTCGAAGTGGTAGGCCCGGCAGGTTTCTGTGACTTGGATGGCTTGTTTGGCGAAGTCTGCGCCGAAGAGGGACTCTCGAGCTTGACTGCCGGGGTCGTCTTGACCAAACCTTTCTCTCTAAGGTATTGGATGGACTCGAGGACAGCGAGGTCTTCTTGCTCTTTATCGTTCAATATCAGACGTTGCTTGATCGTCAACTGACCATTGTTCGCCTCCTTCTCTCGAATGGCAGCCTCCCTTACTGCAGGATCATGAACGAATCGGCACTTGCCCTTCTTACCGCAGCTGCCTCCCGTCGAATAATACTTGCAATGTCGGGAAATATCTGCTTTTCGTCCCCCTTGAGAGGCCGCCGCCGGTGCCCGGAAACTGTCGCCTTCTCTGGACCTCGACTTGACTGAACTTCAGGCTTGTCATTGTCCGACCCCTCTTCGGGAGTCGGATCTCTCATCTCGTCTCCTTCATCTTGCTGTTCACGCTTGCGCTTGATTGAAGACTCCACCTTCTTCAGCTGCCGGCGAAGCTTGTCAGCCTCGCGCTCTAACCGTGACGTCTCTTCATCTGCCTGTTGGGTTTCAGATGCTTCCGTTGCCTTCTTAGCCTCGACTCGAGCCTTGGTGGGATATCGCTTTCGTCGTTCGGCAATGTAGGCGGCCATATCGGGTATCCTACAAAGGGGAGGGGGCGATTCGTTAGTCAATCGTATACGGCAACGTTTATCGTGGGGGCACTGAGAGAACTCACTCAATGACTTCATTACCCATCAGGTCGCTCAACTTCTTTTCCTCACCGTCGTCATCGTCTTCCTCGGATCCCGAAACATCTCCTGGTGTAAGCCCAAGCGTGTTCACCTTGCGCTTCTTCTTCTTTCCATGGGCTGGCTGGTCTGCTTGCGGCTTCGAAGCATTGCTTTGCTGTGGCTGTTGCTGTTGAGTATTGGCACTAGCAGTGGCAGGGGCATTTGGCTTCTTGGGATGTCGAGGCTTGTCTCCGCCGCCGTGGAAGCGTCCGCCCCTATTGCCCTCTCTGAAGGACCCCCACGACCACCCCGTCGGTTATGATTGCTCTGGCCGTGGCCGTGACCGTGACCATGGCTATGACCAAAGTAGGGATCGTGGCGTCCGGCCGAGCCTGCGGAGGCTGCTACGGCGGCGGGCGGTGGAGGGGGGCGCGTAGTGGTATGCTTGGGGAGCGGGCTGAGCGTAAGGAACTGGTGCGTGGGGATCTGGGTAGGGAGCGCCGGAAGCAGGATAACTAGCAGCCGCGCCAGCGGCGGCTGCGCGGGCAGCATCGTCTCGATAGCCGCCTGGCCTCCCGGACGAGCCCGAGCGAGAACCCCTCGGTCGTTCTGCCACCCTCCTCGATGGCGGCCGCCCTGGTATCCTCCTTGCTGCTGCTGCTGCTGTTGGGCATGGTTCGGCTGCGCGGGCCACTGGGATGACGCAGGTGGGGTTGCCCCATAAGGAGCAGCGTATGGAGGCTGCGCCGGGGGGATAACCTGGATGAGAAGCGTACTGGGGCTGGGGATAGCCAGCTTGGGCGTAGTTTGGGTGATAATTCGCCGACGAAATGGGGGCAGGGGCGTGACTCTGAGCATGTGGTGCTGGGCCATGCTCGCCCTGCCACTGCGCGGACTGGTAACTACCGTCCGACGGGTATGATGCAGAGGAGTCTGGGGGAATAAGAGGCATACTGAAATGGAGGTTGTCCAGGCGGCTGGGCGAAATCCGGACGGGGAGCATTGTAATTGTACGCACCTCCTCCACCACGTCCTCGCGAGTGCGATCCCCCACCCCTAATAGGAAGGCTTTGGGGATACCCTCCTGCGGGGTGGCCATACGACTGGTGGCCGGCCTGCGAGGCAGGCGGTGGGGGTGGGGAGGCCCGTAACTGTAGTTAGACATGGTAGGGGCGAACGGGGACGAAACGATTGGCACTCAAAGGCGAAGCCTTGATGTCTTGCGAAGCGCGCAGGTGGAAAGAGAGAGAGAGAGAGCCGAAGATAGTCCCTGAAGAGGGGAGAGAGGGCAGCACAGCGTGAGTTTAGTCTGTGTCCCGAACGAGAGAGAGCGGAGAAGACAAAAAGAAGCAACCGAAGAGGGCTAAATGCGAATGGCGGGTGATGAAAACATGAGCGACTTCTCAAATTGTGGTGGTAGTGAGCCGCAGAAATGTGGCACGCACGCGGGCTGCCGCGCTTGATAAAACGGCCAAGCAAGCAATGAGAGGAACAAGAAAAAAATCAAGGCTACGAGTCAGACGCGAAGCTCGGAATGGCAATCCTGATGAACTAGTTTGGCGTTGGCGATGACCTAGGGAGAGATTGAAAGGAGAACCAGTCAGATCAGAAATGTGATGAAAGGAATGCGCTTGGAGGGAGAGAAATGATGGGGGAAGAAGATAAAGGGAGAAATTGGGGGCTAGATGAGAGGGAGATGAGGATCCGAGATCACGATGGTCTGTGATGAGAAAGTGCAGGGGGTGGATGCCGGATCGCGAGAATTCTGGAACAAGAGAAATAAGGCTAGCAGCGCCTTCTTCAGCAAGGACCAGGGGGTTGGGTTTGCGGAAAGAAGTATTTCAAGGTACAGAAGGCCTGCGCCAGGGCGTATGTTTGAGTCACTCGGCACCGCTTGCCCTTGATTAGTCACCAGTTGTGACTTCGGAGAGAGCGATGGATGTTTGGGGCGCGAGGCAACTGCGAGGGTGCCACAATGGCCGATGTATGGATCAATTGACGTTGATATCTTTTTCAAGGCAAGACTTGGTCTGAGCGTCCTGGACAGAGAAGGAAGGTGAGTTGGATGCAGCGAAAAGGCAGCACATTCTCGAAACGCAGTGTTATGTAGGTGATGCTGGTCACCCCACATTCCAGTCCTTCTCAGCGCCACGATCATTTGAAGCTAGTATTAGCACCTTCTCAAAATGGGGGTTTGGACCAAGGCATGAACAGATGACAAAATACGGCAACAAGTCCGTTTCACGGCTCTAAATTCCATTGCCTGAGATTCACTGATATCCCAGAAACCTAGAGGGCTTTGAGAATTGCTTGGAGTAGTAGTAAGACGCCGCCCAAAGCCGGTTGTCAATCCATCAGAAAACCAACCAAAGACTGCTAGCGCGGGCCAGCGCGGCCGTGAAAGCTGCAACATGTGGCGCTCGCCCACCGACCAGTTCTCAACCGCGAGAGGAAAGCGGTGAGGGTCCTTTTTCACCATTCTGCCGCGCTTGTTCGTCAAGACCCCACCAAAAAGAGCAGGACGAGGGTGGTTGATCATATCACTAAACATCAAGGCCTCGTCATATCTCCACGCCGTAATACCACTCCCTTGACGCCCAGCCTGTGTTTTTGGAGCCCATATCAATTCTTTAGAATAGCCTTGATGTTCATTCTTGTAAGGGGACCCCGGCTCTTCCATCTCTCTCCAGCACCCTCCTTCACGTTTGACTCCGGTTGGAATCTTGTACTTGAGACCTAGCCTTCTCGCTAACCTCACCCTCTCCTCTAGACCAAGATAGCCGATCTAGTTCAGATCGCGCCCGAGGACTTTTCAAAGTTGAGCGCGGTCGCCATAGAAGACAACATCAATTCCAAGTATTCTAATAAGGCATGGCTCGCCATTCACCCCACCTTCGTTACCGCCTTCTAGCTAACGTAGCTTGTGTTGCCAGGTGATACAAAACATTGGTCTCTGCATCTGCCTCTATGACCTTCTCTGGGCCTCGGAGGGCCTTATAGGCCATGGAACTGGCCTGGTCAATGTCAATGGTAACCCGAGTTTCCCGCCTCCATTATTCTATGTGGTTTGTCGTCTTACATCCTCGTAGTCGAATTCCGCATGGTCGTTTTTCGCCCCTTCAAGGATGAGGTGCTTCTCGCTCGGATACGGAGTTCGACACCTCAAGGCATTCACCGTGAGTTATATCATTGACCAGCTCCTTTGAGGAATCATATAGAGATCTAATTGTGCTAATGTTGGATACTCCCCCAACTAGTAAGAACGGACTTTTTGATGATATATTTGTCCCTTACGAAGAACTTCCAGAGGGTTGCGAATAGTATGTCCTAAAAGCCACCACCAATACATACCACCCTGACCCCTTCTTTTCCCTCTCTGCGCGTGTCGAAGGATTCTAACTCGTCCCTCGCAGCAACCACTCCGAGCAACTCTGGATTTGGAATGTGGAAGACGACAGGCTATACTTTGACAACCACGAAATGGTAAGGGTCCAGGTCGTTGATGAGGAATGGCACGATCAAGCGCCGCTGGGCCCTCTCCAAAATCCCGAAGACAACCCGCCGAAACCGCCATACAAGATCACGGGAAGCATGCGCAAAGAGGGACTAGGCGCCTGCATCTGGTGGGACGGGAACTGATGAATATACCCAAAAGCTCATGACCATTTCTATTTGAGAGAGAAAAAAAGAAAAAGGATGATGTAAGGATATGATGATGTCTACTCGTCTCCTCCATGCTCGGGTGCGAGGGGACGAGGAAATAGATGCGGGGCAACGCGAAAATGCCCCGGAGGGTTGGGAGGGGATGAAGATGTAGTGTACATATAGATAAAACCGTTGTTGTTAGAACTATACCTATACCCCGACAGACGCTAGAAGCCTGTCCTCAATATCATCGAGGACGGAGTAGTGGTCAATGACCGCCAAGTTTTCCGCTTCGGCCTGGAACTGCTTATCCGGATCCTGACCAGGTCCGAACATTTGTGCTTGAGGGCCCATTTGACCCATCTGGGCAGCGACCTGGTTGGCGGCTACAGGGGAAGTTAGTCAGGATGCCGCGAAACGAAAACGAGAACTTTCTACATGAGACGGGAAAGGATGGATTGGGGGAAGACGCTTGGGCTTACCATTGTCACTACCGAGCAAGAAGTTGAAGACGGACTGAAGACCAAAGATGCAAAGGAAATACCAAGAGATGCTAGACATCCACCGGGGGTCCATGTCCTTGGTCGCGACACCAGCCTGTAGCATGCTCTTGAACTTGATTGTAAGAGGGAAAGGTAGTTTCACTGCAGATGACACAAGTCAGCAACGAGTCGCACTTAACGCGCTCCAAAAGGAACGGGGATAGGGGCAGAACCGGGCCTGGGGCCGGAGAGAGAGAGACCGGGGCGACACATACAAATGACGTAACCGCTAAAGAAGGCATTGATCCAGCTCATGATGAGCGTATTGGGGATAATCATGGCCATGTTGTTCTTCATCATGCCCATCATGCCGTCCATGGCACTCGGGTCAGTGAGGGGTTGGGGGCAGGCTGGCCCTTCCTGTCCGGGTCCTTGAGGAAAGCGCCCGACTCGAAGGCGGGGATGAGGTAGTCGCGGCGGGCCTCGAAGGAGCGGCGCGAGAGGACGTGGAAGTTATTCTTGACGCTGATGCCGTGGAGGAGGGCGCGCTGCTCGCGCATCGCGGGCTTCTCGAGCTTCTTGGGGGCGGTGGCGAGGAAAACGGCAGCGTAATGGCGGAGAACACCGGTCAAGATCTAAAGGGGGCGGCGGCACACATGGCACTGTTAGAAAAAAAAGCGGCGAACGAAAAACGAAAACGTGAAAACCCCTAGCCCATTGCCTCTAGGCACGGAGATGGGTGTAAAGGAGAGAGATTACGAACCATGACAATCGTGATGGGGAACAGGATCCAGTATCTACGGAAAGCTTCCGGTTAGCTCGGCGTCGACCAGGAGGTCCAAAGGCGTGCATACAGCAACTGGGGGTCCCGGTGGAGGGTTTGAACGGGAACTTGAACCATGGTGACGGTTATTTGAGGACCCCGGATTTGCGCCAAGTCGCTGTTTTTTGTTGCTGGTCGCAAGAGGGGGTGGTGAAGAGAGGGGATGACGGGTGGACTCGAGAGCTTCACCTGGTGGCCGTTTTTAGCTCGCAAATCATCGCGACGTCAAAAGCTATGTTCTGATACACAAAAGGCTGCGCAGAGCAATCTGTCGGCTAAATATCGGGAGAGCGAACAGTGCCAAAAGGCCACCCGCTCTAAATCCACCAAGGGTGGTGTGAGGTGCACTGTGTAAAGTACTGTACGACGTGGAGCTCTGTCTTGCAACGAAGTAAGCTTCACGAGCAGGACGACGACAACGGCGACGAGAATCATTGCATGCGAATTCTTGAGCGAAGGCTAGATACCCGACATCGATTCTAAATCAGCGCTCTCACTCCGATCTTCAATCCAACAATATCTTGTCCTCCTTTCTAGATCGCCCAGTCTCATTCCGTTCCGTATCTCGAAAACTCTCGAACGTCGCGCACCTAGAGCTTCCCGAACAAAGGCCACCCATCCATCCCAAGACACACAATTCACACATCAAAGATGGCCGCCGAAAGGATATCGGTCTACAACCTTGCAGGTAAACATATATACCCCCTCCCCCAATCTCCCAAAGCCCACACCAAACGAACCTCGCACGCATACAGAGCTCCTCTGTCAAACTGTTGAAGCAAGCAGACTAACGCTTGGAAAAACGACACAGACCTCAAAAACACCACCGACGATGCCATCCCCAACTACCTCAACTCCCTCAAGATCAAGCAGGTCCACACCCTAGCCGACGTCCGCCTCGCCCTCGGTTACTCGGCCTTCTTCATCGCCGCCGCCTGCTTCGGCTGGGACTACAAGTTTGGCTTTGAGAGCACAAAGTACCTGACGGCCGCCGCCGTCGCCGTCTACTCCATCCTCAACGGCGCCATGACGTTCTGGATGTGGTACGTGGAGAAGGGCGTGGTGTATGAGGGCGTGGCCCCTTCGGGAGACAAGGTACGGTAAATCCCTTGTGTTAATTCCCCCAATAGCCGCCGTGCGCTAACATGGTCAAAATCTCCCAGATCCGAATCGCCTCCTCCACGAAACCCTACGACCCCACCTACAACCTCACCATCACCCTCACCCCCAAGTCGCCCAAGTCCCCTCCCCAGACTCTAACCGTCTCGCGACCCTTCTCCCAATGGTTCGACGAGCAGGGTCGCTTCGTCACCGTCCCCTTCCAGCGCATGATTGCCACCTCGGTGCCCCTCGTCGCCGTCCTCGATCCCAAGCGCGCCTCCAAGGAGGACCCCGCCCCCAGTCCGGCGACCTCCCCTCCGTCACCCTCGAGAACGCCTCCCCGAGGTCCTCAGCGCCCTCCTAGCTGCTTCTGCTGCTGGAACCTCTTCCGCTGCTGAGCCGGCCGGCACGCCCAAGTCTTCGAGGAGGAGGAAGGCCTAAGCGGGGTGTTTTGGATGGTTATGCGTCAGCTAGGACGGTGCGCTGTGGAAGAGAAGAAAGGCATGCGAAGAGGGTAAAGAATGAGGATTATGGGAAGAGGGAAGAGGGGCACCATGTACGCCTCTCGTAGACCTGCTCCTCGTGGCATGAGAAGCGAAAAAGGGAATGAGGCAGAAATTATCAGCCCCGCTAGGAAGGCTGAGCATGCATAGTTGTTTCTTGTCAAAGTGTCAAGTTTTTAGGTTTTCGTCTCGCGACTCGTGCGCTGTATTATTCAAAATCAAGAAAGTTCAACCGGAGGTTTGGTCTTGGCGTCGTGCATGTCTGATCCATCCCGTGCAAGAAAACAAGAGTCTCTTCGAGATCGATAAGGAGATCACCAAACTAAGAAGATTACATGTGGTGAATACCTTCCTCTGGACCTGCGTGATGCCATTGAATTGAATCTAGATGTTTCTATCTCTGCTCAAGAATCAAAATATTTCTCTATCCATGAGAACTAGGAACGATATAAAAGAAGAAAGAAGTACCACCACTTCACTCAATCTTGGCCCACGCCAACCTCGCCGCCAACGCCGTCTTCCTCACCTCCCTCACCCGATCCCCACACGCCACGGACAGCAGTCTCTCCATCCTCGGCGCCGACGCAAGGAGGCGCCTATTATCGAACCGGCCAGGGAGATAACCCAGCAAACGAACAGCGAGGTTCCGGCACCGCGCCGCGGTGGCGAGAGCCTCGCTAGAGGTAGAAGAAGAAAACGACGAGGAGGAATAGCCCTCGGGCATCCAGGGCAGGTCAGCAGCGCGGGGCCCAGAGCCAGCAACGACGGCGGTGCACGCGTCGAGCAAACTCTTGAGGAAAGGCTCGAGCGTAGTAGGAGAGGATTCCCGCACGACGGTCTCGAGCGCGCGAAGGGCCGTCTCGACGTCGGCGGAGCCGTCGGGCAGGGAGCGGAGAGCGCAGAGGATCAGGCGAATAAGCGGGGCAGCGTCGTCCTGGTAGACGGAGAAGTCGAGGTGGCGCACGGCGGAGAGCACGGCGATGCTGTAGTTGGCGCAGATGAGCTCGGAGCTGGAGCTGGAGCTAGGGCTGCCGGAGCCAACGGCGGCGGCAGCGCCGGGATTCTTCCGGGGCCACGCGCGGGGCAAGAGGGGTTTCACGAGCTGGTAGTAGGCCTTTTGCGACCACAGGGGCTTCACGACGGCGTGGAACTCCTTGGCGAGGCTCGGATGGGGCCGGAAGAGGGCGTCGAATTCGCGGGCGACGAACTGGCCGAGCTCCTCGTTGGCCGGGCCCTCGAGCAGGTGGGGAAAGACGCTCTTAAGCGAGGTACCCGTGTATCGACGCAGGATGCCCGCGACGACGGCGTATGCGTCCTTGACCAGCTTGACTCGGGCGGGGGTAGCGGTGGACGTTGAGTCTGATGATCCCAGCAGGGGGCCTCCGCTGGCGATGGCGGCGAGCTGGTGCTCGAGGAGGGCGAGGACCTTGGGGATACCTTCGACCTTGTGCTTGTTGGCGAGGATGAGAAGCAAGTGGCCGAGGTACGGGTCGTGGACTGGGGAGGAGGAGGCGAGGAGTTTTGACGTGAGGAACTCGTGGCCAAAGCCGCGCTCAAACTAGATACCACACAAGTTAGACGTCAAGGCAAAGAGGAGAGGTAGCGTCATGTAGATAGACGAAGGCAAACAAACAAAAAGAGGGATAACTCACGAGCAATTCAGCAACCTTGGGATAAAGCGGCTGAAGAATACCAGGCGACAGCGCAAGCGGAAACCTCTGTTCCCTCGCGCTCTGGGGCGGGAGGTTCTCGACATCTCCCTGCGCGTACACGGCAACATCCTGCACCGGTACAAGCGCGACGTCCCTATACTCGGTCCCCTCCGCGCCGCCCACGCGGTCCCGTCCCCGAAACAGGGTAACGGCGTCCTCGTGCAGGCGGAGGCGAGACTGCTGCGCCTCGGACATTTGACCAATCGTTAGCGTAGCAATAGAAGAAACCAAGTAGAGGTACTGCGCGCGCCCGACGGCCCCCTTCTTCGTCAACTTCTCCTCCAGCACGAGCCTTACCCCAGGCCCTCCTTCCTCCGCGTCGACAAGTCGTGTGGATTGGCGGTACAGTCTGCGCGCGAGCTGCAAGGAGATCAGGAAGAAGCGGTTATACAGCTCCTCGGGCGCGGCGGCGGCAGCGGCACCGCCTGCCTCCTCAAAGTCCTGCTCGGCCCAGCCGTCGGCGGTAACGGAGGCGTCGAACTCGAGGGCCGCGACGTCGACATCGAGCCTAGCGTCCAGGGCCTCGCGAAAGTAGCGCATGGCGGACTGCAGCGCAGCCGGGTACACGGACCAGGTGCGCGAGACGGTGTCGGAGGCGGCGACGGCGTCGTCGAGGCAGCTCAGCAGGTGGGAGGCGAGCTTGGAAAAGTAGACAAAGGCGGACTCGGGCTTCTTGGGAAGCTCGGAGCAGGCGATGAAGGCGAGGCGCGAGGTGAGTTGCACGAGGTAGTCGACGGAATCGTCGTCGTCGTGGTTGTCGTCGATGGTAGTAGTAGTGGCACCGTCGCCGAGAGACTTGGTCACCTCGACGACCCGGCGAAGGATGGCGTCCAAGACTTCTGGTCGCACCATGACAATCTTTTGCAGTGCGAGGACGACCTCGTCCGCGACGTCGCTGACGCGGTCGGTCAAAAGATCCACGAGGGTCGAAGCTATGGCGTCGCCAGCCTCCTCGCTCAAGAGAGGCGCGTCCGGGAGAGAGGAAACGACGGAGGACTGGCTAGCCAAGAGGCCCATGCCCTCGACGGCCTTTTTCGACACGACCGCATCCGCGTGCAGGTTCGGCTTATACGCATCATCGTACAGGGAGTGGAGGATGGGCTCGGTCGCCTTCATCGCCTCCCGATCCTCGGGGGTGAGCTCCATCGCGCCGCCGACCATGAGCGAGCGCACCTCGAGCACGGCATTGAGGAGGGCGAGCAAGTCGCGCTTGTGGTCCCTGGCCCGGGCGTGGCGCAGGTCCTCGACGGCGTGCTTGACGGTCGGGGCGAGGATGAGGACAAAGGCGCCGGGGCTGGCGCTGGCCGCGCACACGAGGAGCTTGCCGGCGTTCTCGGCAAAGGTCGGGTTGGACAGGTCGTCGGTGCACTCGCGGAGAACGGTGAGGGCAAAGTCGCGCAGGGGTCGCCGGCCAGCTTGCCGGCGACGGCGCGGATGACCTCGAGAGTGGTGTTGATGGACTCGGTGACCTCGCCGTTGCGCACCTCGTACTTGAGACAGTTCCAAATCTTGGCCACGTAGGGTTCCACGGAGGCGGCGGGGTCCTTGCAGCGCACCACGCACTCCTTGACGGTGCGCAGGATGTCGAGCTTGACGTCCACGGTCACGCCGTCGCCCTGGTTCAGCTTCTGGATGAGGTAGGGTATGGAATGCGGAACCACGCGGTCGTGGGCGGCGAAGCAGGCGCGGAGGGCGACCTTGAGGTCGGCGGGGGTGATGCCGGACGGGTGGCGCGAGGTGCGGAGGGAAATGGGGAAGTAGGCGGAGAAGGCGGCAAAGATCTTTTCCGTCAGCTCGGGGAGGGCTCGTAGTCGGATAGGATGGTCTCGAGGATGGCGAACCAGGTCATCAGGTTCTTGGGGTCCCTCTCGAGGGCGAAGAGGTCCAGCATGTCGACGACGAAGTCGCAGTCGCCGTGGCGCTGCTTCAGGTCGCGCGTGACCCTGGGATCCGAGACGAGGCGCTGGAAGAGGGAAAAGATGGCGAGTCGGGTCTCGGCGACTTGCTTGGTGAAGTCGGCGCCCATGGCGCAGACCTTTGATGATGTCGTGGCCGCTGGAGGCGGGAAGAGCTTCATGGAGGAAATGGTGGTGAGGGACTTGGCCGAGGCGAGGATGCCGGCTTTATGGTCGACGCTGAACATGGCGCCGAAGAAGGCGATCAGCGACCTGACTATGGCTGGGCATTAGCAGGATAGACTGAGAAGAATGGGAGATGAAGGAGATGCGCAGAAGCCCAGCTCGACGGTCAATGACCCTTTGGCGAAAATGGCAGCTCAAACTTACTCTGTGTGGCAACCAATGCGTCTTTGGCTAGCCTTTCCAAAGTAGAAGAAAGGAACTCGAGCGCTGTCGGAGAAAACGGTCAGCATGAGATCAATACAAAAGTTAGCTCCGATCCATTCCGGTTACCTCTAGCTCGAGCGATAATGTCGCCCTTGGAGCCTTCGCCGTCTCCCATCTCCGAGTCCTCCTGGCCCGGCATCCACGGGCGTATAGACTCTACCCATCTTACAACGGGGTGGGTATTGGTTGGTGAAGTCTTTATTACTGCAGCAAGCGAGTCAGCTTTAGGACGAGGCCGAACGAGGTCTTTTCGTGGCTCTCATAGACCAGAAATGTGGTGGTGACGGTACCGGGCAGCGCTTACAAGTTGCCGCCTTGTCGGCGATCTGGGCGTGGGCATCTTTATCATCCGTAAGGACGAACTGGAGGGCGAGCTGGTGGAAGTCGCCCATGGTGAGAGTGAGCGGTTGTGAGACAGGGGATATGAGAAAGAAAGAAAAGGGCCACTGTAGAGTCAAGCGGCGGTAGGTTTAACGATCAGCCAGCAAAAGCGGTGGCGGGCATAGATGTCTTGTTACGGGGAGAGCGAGAGGACCGAGGTGTGAGGTCATACACCAAGTGAGTCGGGTAGAGTCAAAGTCGAGGAGTTGAGCATGATCCAGACGTTAGACAGGACAAGAGGTGCGCGGGGTGGAGAAGAAAACTCGAATATAAAATCCCCTTTAGTATTCTCCGACAAGTGAGGAATAAGACCCTCTTTCTTTTCTTTACGCCTGTCTACCAGCAGTCTAGAATGGGATGGTGGTGCCCGAAGCCTCGACTTCGACTTTGACGATTCTTAGTAATAGCGGAAATTCCTTATCGGTGGGCGATGATGTTATCGATTGAACCTTTGACATTGACATTGGCTGAAGTGTGGCTTGTCTGCGCTTGTAGTTAGCAGCTAGAAAGCCCACAGCAGTAGGAGTTGATGGCAGTGAGTTGACCTCAATTCACCAGAACAACTACCCCGCACACTCCAGTAGATACACCCAAGCAGCGCAACGCTGTTCCCACCAGCCTCGCTAGCTGCCCCTCCTTTTGTGGCGGTGCGTCCGTCCCTCTCTTCCGCAGGGACTGCACGATACAGCGCAAAGGAACGACTTCGGAGGGCAAGATTATTAACTTTGCGCTACCGATTGGACGGTTCTCGACATTGACTGGCTGCGCGGCCTAGACGACACCGGACGTGCAGTCGCATAACCCCTCCATGACGATTTCGGAGCGCCGGTTGGAGAGGACTTTCTTTCTTTTTTTTTTTTTCGTCCTGGTACCTTTCTTTTGGGAGGGACCAAAATTTTCTTTTCTGGGTCCCTCCCCACCTCCTTGCCGTTATCCTGAACAGACGCGGGACGGCAGTTCGAACAAGCTCCCAAGGCCTATAATGCCATGACTGTCTTCGAGACTTACACGCTGTTCCGGGCCGGAAGCGAAAGGGGAGCACGAGGACGGGTTGAGGGGTTAAAGAGGAAAAAAAAAAAAAAAGTAACAGAACAAAAAGGCCTCTCTTGAGACTCGCACTCGCTCCAAGACAAACCAATTGAGTATGGAAGCGAGACTTGATGTACATATATATTCCGCATTGATTAGACAAAACGTTTCCATTTTAAAAAAGAGGCCGTAATTTTATCTGCAAAATCCCCTCAAGTCTTGCCTTCTGTCCTGATTGACCTTGACATCTCTTCACCACACTCCTCTTCCTAGATCTCGTCTCAGTATCGTCCCGCCCCTCCCCGTCTTAGCCGTACTCTAGTAGTCGCAAAAAGAAACAAGAAAACGAATCCTGGCGCCTCCAGTACTTGGTGACAAGCTTGCCCGAGGCGTTAGCGCGAGTGCGTCCCACTTTTTATTTATATTTTCATCGTTGCGCCCTGGCTCAAGTCAGTCTCAACTGCCCCTCGCTGCCGGAAGGAAAACCCCACCAACTCGATCAAACACTGCATCAACCCTTCTCCTCCCCGACCCGCGTCGAGTCATCCTCCGCCTTCCCCTTCCCACCGCTGCGCACCCAGCAGCACAAGACCACGGCGAGACCAGAGACCGGACCTCAGCAACGACATCTCGCGCCGCAGCAACAACCCATCGCCAACCCCGCCAACCCGTCTTCCTTTCCCCTTTACCCTCCTGTTTGCGCCGCCGTCGCTTCTCGCCCGATCTCGCTCTCCCCTGCTCGAGCTCGTAGCTCCCTATAATTCCCGGCACTCCCGCAACCCGCCGCCCACGCCCGCGCATTCTCGCAAAGCCGCCACCGTCCTCGCTCGCCCTCCGACGACTGGGAAGCTATCATCGCCATGGCCGACAGCACCACCCCCGTCCCCAAGACCTGCAAGGTCATCCTGGCCGAGACCATCGCCAAGAACCTCCTCGCCGAGGTCAAGGAGAGCCTCGACTCCATGCAGTCCAAGGGCACCCAGCAGCCCCAGCTCGCCGCCTTCCTTGCCAACGACGACCCGGCTGCCGTCAAGTACGCCGAGTGGTCCAAGAAGACTTGCGAGGAGAAGTGAGTGTTGAAGAGTGCCTCCCACATACCTTTCTTCTTCCCACCTACGTAACCAAAAAAAAAAAAAAAAAAAAGACCAAACACACTGACCTCTTTTGCAAAGTGGCTTCAAGTTCGACCTCCGCGTCGTCAACAAGGACCTCCTCGAAGACGAAATCATGAGCGCCAACCACGACCCCGCCGTCGACGGCATCATCGTCTACTACCCCATCTTCCCCAACAACCCCACCCACGACAAGTACATCCAGGAAACCGTCGCCCTGTCCAAGGACGTCGAGGGCCTCTGCCACACCCACCTGCAAAACATGTACTACAACGTCCGCTTCCTCGACCCCCGCCCACCTCAAAAGTCCCTGCTCCCCTGCACCCCGCTCGCCATCGTGAAGATCCTCGAGTACCTGCAAATCTACAACTCCATCCTCCCCTACGGCAACCGCCTCTTCGGCAAGACCATCACCGTCATCAACCGCTCCGAGGTCAACGGCCGGCCCCTCGCCGCCCTGCTCGCCAACGACGGCGCCACCGTCTACTCGGTCGACATTACGGGCGTGCAAATCTTTACCCGCGGCCAGGGCATCAAGCAGCCCCGCCACCAGGTCCTCGACAAGGAGGGCTGGCGCGTCGAGGACTGCCTGCCCCTCAGCGACGTCGTCATCGGTGGCGTCCCTAGCGACGGCTACAAGGTCAACACCGACCTCCTCCGCGACGGCGCCGTCTGCATCAACTTTTCCTCGTTCCGCAACTTTGACGGCCCTGCTGTCAAGGAAAAGGCCTCCATCTACGTGCCCTCGGTCGGCAAGGTCACCATTGCTGTTTTGTTGAGGAACCTCTTGGTAAGCAACTTCCCGTGCTCTTCTACTCAAGCCTGCGCTCTCCTTTTTCCGTCTTTCTCCTCCATACCCTATTTCATGCCCTCCTTCTTAGGGCCTTTTCACTAACCAACTTTCTCTCTCTAGCGTCTCATCGACAACAGGCAACCCAACGAAGCCCCCAAGTCCGAGTCTTAACACATAGGCATAGATTGATTTGAAAATGGAGAAAGTCTTCACAAGCGAACGAGGGAGTTAGGTGAGGGTCAGGAGAGGAGAGTCTCGTAGAGAGAAAGGAGTTCAAAATATCAACATTGGGTAGGAAAGCGTTTGCATTGTAGAAACAGGACCTTTTACAGGGAAAAGGAAAGTAAAAAGATACACCCAAAAAATCTAAGAACGGAGGGATCATACAGCGAAAAGGGACGGCATACAGCCAAAGAGGAAGCAGATAGAGATACCAAAGAAGAGAAAGTCCCTAAAAAAGAGTTATTTCACGTTTCTCAAGGTGCGGCAACTGTCTAGTTGTCCGCTACGGCTTCGTTTCTTCGTAAGTAGTGATATTATTTTATACATGTAATATGAAAATGAGCTTGGTGGTCCAAGATCCTTCTAACCATCTGGATGGATGAAGACGCTCGACGATACTAGACACCTAAACTCCTCCCAACAAAACGCCCGAAATCTAATGAGCCTATCTAGATATATACCGAAAAATGCTAAACTGATGAAGAAAAGAACAGAGACTAGAGACCAGGGAAAGAGGTATTCGTGATGCCACCCCGACAAAAGAAAAGCTCTGGTTATTCACTTCTTCCCAATCAACCTCGCATTCATGCCCACCACGCACCGGATCAAATCCCAATCCCCGTGCGCACCCACCCAGTCCGTGACGACGATGCCGGTCCCGCCGTGCCCGACGGAAAGGCCCCTCTCGCCCGCGCCGTCGATGGCGTGCCTCGCGCACAGGTACTCGACGATCCGGGGATTCACCTTGGCGGCGATCCTCTCGGGCCAGCACGTGGCGTTGAAAAAGTTGCTCGCCGTCAAAAAGTTGACAAACAGCGGCGGCACGGCGGCTGCCACCACCGCCTGTACCTCTGCTGCTGCCACTGCTGCTGCTGCTTCCACCGCACCGTTCGCTGCTGCCCCATTCGCAGTCCCATTCGCGGTCCCATTCTGCTCGTGCTCGTGAGCCATGGAAGCAGCGCGCTCAAGCTGCGCGCAGCTATACGAAATCTTCTTCTCAACCGTCGTCCCCAACCCCACGCCATAAAAGTCCTGCACACGCACAAGCCCGCTGCTCACGGCCCCATCCTCGCAATTATCCGGCCACGACTGGCCATCAATACCAAACTCACCGCCCGCGGCCCGACGCACGTCCTCGTCGACGGCAAAACGCCGCACGAGGATGATTTTCCCCGCGCCTCGCCGAGGGTGGGGATACGATCGGCGACGATCCAGCGCGCGGGATCCCGGTCGACGAAGCGCGCGTGCAGGTGGCGGGCCATTTGCTGGTCCGAGGCGCGGCCGGTACCCTCGCGCTTCACCGACACGAGGAGGGCCTCGCGCGGGTGGGCGTCGAGAAAGGCGTAGCACTCGGTTAGTAGGTCGGCGAGGTAGCGGGCGCCGGTGAGGCTGACGGGGAACGCGCTGTGCACGAGCGTCATGTTGTCGTCGTCGCGGCCGGCGGAGACGCGCACGTCGAGGAAGCGCACGCCGTTGTCGAGCTGCTCGCGCACGCTGACGGCCTGGCACCGCACCGAGGGTAGCGCGACGCGGTAGGTCGGGCTGTTGTGCGTGCCGGGGATGGAGAGCACCGAGAGGGGTAGCGCGTCGTGGAGCTCGGCCATCCAGGTGGCGAGCTTGGTCGAGGAGAAGATGGCGAGCAGGCCGCGCTGGGCGACGTAGACGGTGGTGAAGCTCTCCGGGGCGTCGCCGAGGCGTGTCATGGTTTGGGAGTGGCGGAGGGGCCCCGGGGCATCGGCGCGGTAGGCGTGGCCTAGGCCGGCGCCGTCGCCAAAAGTTAGGCGCAGGATCTCGCGCCGGGGGCGGGTGCGGGTAGGCCGGTGTCGTGGACGGTAAAGGGCGCGAGGTGGTGGGATACGGCGTGGACCTCGCGCGCCTCGCCTTTGGGCTTGAGCTCCGTGGTGGGGAACTCGGTGGCGTTGATGAGGCCGGTGACGACGCCCTTGACGTTGGTCAGGGTGCCGGCGCCGCGGCTGATGGCTTCGGCGGCGAAGCGCTCGACTTTTGAAGCTCGAGTGGGGTGGTGGTGTGGTTGCGGATCTTGAGGGTCAGGGGCGGGATGGGCGCCATCTTGGACTTTTGTTTCTGAAGTACAAAGATCAAGGGGCGAGACACAACGAGAAAAAAAAAAGAGACAGCAAGGATACGACAAGAAGGAGAGGCTCAAGATTAAAGTGTGAGGGCTAAAGGGAACGCAAAAAACAACAAAAAAAGAAAAAGAAGAAGGGGGATTCGGAGACGCGGTGTTGAAGATGGAAGGAACTGACGTTGGGATCAATTTGGTGATGTGGGACCGCGGGAAGCTTTGGGTGCCAGCCACGTTTAGCGTGGCTTTCTCCTGGCGATGGTCCAATTCGATCAACAGGGCTGGGCCAACGTGTCGGGCCCGACGTCATGCAACGGGCCGGTTCAGCTCAACCAATTGAGCCCTTGGGTTTCGATTTGGAGTTCTCGAATCGCCGTTGAAGGGAGCTGCCCGAATGTGAACGATGCCAACAAGAAGGCGTCGGGTTTCCACCGCCCAAGGAACATTGGAAACTGTCTTGAATGGTAGAGAGACACTTGAAGCACAATGTACTCCCGAAAAACTGGTCGTTGATGGCGCTTTGTCTTTATATCTGTCCCTTTGCAATCAATGGATCTTATTCAAGATTTGTGTGCCTTTGCTCTTGCTTCCTCTCCCTATCCCTCTCAGCCAGTCCGACGCCGGCCTTGCCCTCGAGGAACACCAAGTTAGTTTTGGTGACGCACGTCGCAGGATTCGATGGCTGGAATGCGCCATGTAAGGCGAAGCAAAGTAGAAACAGCGGGCACCTTAAGCATCTAATCTTTTGCCATTCTAGAGTAGGTTCGCACATGCCACTTGGCTCCTATACGTCTGGTTTAGCGTAGCTTGACAAACACGATAACCTCACATAGCTATACTCCCAAACACCAGCAGAAGAACCCCACGAGACCAACCCACCCATTCATTCAAACCATGAATCCATTCATTAACCATCATTCACGTAAATACACCTCTTCCCTTTCCCGTTTAGAAGATAAAAAGCCTCACCGGCTCTCTACACCAACAACACATCCACCAACCTCTCCGGCCCCAACCCTTCCACCCCTTCCCCTCCATAATCCCCTGCACATACCCGTCCCCCACGAGCCGGAATCCCGCCTCCACCCGCCTAACCACGTACGGCACCGTCGCGCCCCAAAACACCACCACCTCGTCCCCGGCCGCGCGATCCGCGGCACTAGCGCCACGTACCCGCCCCGCGTGATCGCGAAGCTCCGGTCCTGGCACGCCGTCATCGCCTGCATCTGAAACGTCTCCTCCGCGTCCATCCGCCGGCCCCCGCCCAGCGGCGTCTTGCTGCCCCGGCCCCACCGCTCCAGCGCCGACCGGTACGTCGCCACCGGGTCGTGGATCGGGCTGCTGTGCGCAATCGCGTTGCCCCCGTGTACGTGTCGTCCATGAGCAGCAGCCGCGCAAACGCCTCCTCCACCGCCCGATCCCCGCGGTTGTGTTTGCATCCACCTCCCCAGCCGCAGTTGCCGCCGCCGCCGCCGCCGCCGTTGTCGTGGTTGTTCGCTTGGCCGCCGCCGCATTGACATAATTCGCCCCTCCCCCGCGCCCGCCACGCATCCAACGCCCCCTCGCCCGCGCATGCCCCTCCATAAACACCCGATTCCCCACCGCGCCGCCCCCGCCATCGCCGCCGCCATCTCCATCACCTCGTGCACCTCCTCCAGCACGTCCACGAGGTACCCCCGCATCGACAACCCCGCGATCCCCGTCTCGTCCCCGCCAGCGCCACCTCGGCAATCGTCGGGCCCCCGCCGCGTACCGAATCGGCCGCAGCGTCGAAATCACCTTGGGCGACGGCGACTGCGCCGTCCAGTCCGGCACCCACGACGGCAGGTACTCGTGGATCCGCCGCCTCTGGATCCCCGCGCTGTCCAGCATCGACACCGCCCGCCCATACCGCACGTGCAGCGCCGCGAACCGCCGAAACAGCGTCGCCAGCGGCTGCGAGTAAGGGCCCATGGCCCCCTGGTCGTACTCGGGCATCAGCGCCATGAGCCCGTAAATCTTGTCCTTGGCCTCGGTCGCGGCGAAATCCCGCGTGAGCTGCACCATCTTGAGCGAATCGTTTTGCTGCTGCTGGTACAGCTGCCGAATCTCCTGCATCTTGCCGTAGTTGAGGAACCCCGCACCGTGTCCTGGCTCGACAGGAGCTCCTGCATCCGCTCCGGGTGCTCGGACAGCGTTCGCCGGTCCAGCACCGCGTCCAGGTCGTCCCGCTCAAACACGTTGCCCTCGAACATGAAGCGCGCCCGCTTCGCCAGCGTCACCTCCTGAATGATCCACGTGCGCGAGAACCACGGCTGCGTCAGCGCCAGGTACGCCGTCTTGTAGTACAGCGGGTGCTTTTTCGAGTCCGCCTCCGTCAGCAGGTCCCGCTGGCCCATGCCGCCTCCGCCGCCCCACGTCATCGTCACGCCCCCAAAGTTGAGGGACCGGCCCTTGATGTCCCCCAGGTCCACGTACACCGTCTGCGCCCGCGAGTAAATGTACCGCATCAGCATGATCTGGTGCGACTTTTCCTCCTCGTTGCCCTGGTCGATGCAGATGGCGTCCGCCCAAATGTACTCTTCGCGCGTCCCCGCCGCGAACCCCGCCCGCAGCCGCTTCAGCGCCTTTTCCAAGCTCGAGCGCGCCATGAAGAGCGACCCGTTGCACAGCACCTTGCGATCCGCCGCGCCCTGGCCCCAGCAGTACGACAGCGCCCGTACGCCGGCGCGTCGTTGATGTTGATGGGTACGAGTTCCAGGTCGAGCGGGTCCGCTCGCGCGTACGCCGGTTTGATTTTGAGAAGGCGAATCTCCGCCTTGGGGTTCTCGATCGGCGTGTAGGTGAAGAGGGGTGTCGAGGGCGTAATCGTCGCAGGCTGGTGCAGCTCTGCAGCAGGTCCCTCGGCGACAGGGGGCGCACTCGCCGTCGTATTAGTCGCTGCCGCCGCCGCCGCTGCAGCTGCATTTGCCGTGGCCGCTTGCAGACGCAGGTCAGTCTCGTCGACTCGCTCGCCCGACGGGAGCACGCGGTACTGGCTGACGCCGATGCGGCCGCTGCACGAGCTGTCGCACTGTTCGTGGATGGGACACGAGTTTTGCGCCGTCACGATGGAGGCCACGATCTGGCTGAGTATCATGCTCGCGGCATCGTTGCTCGAGGTACCTTGCGGTATCGTCACGCGCGCTGTCACGGTCGGGGTCTGCGGGGAAACCGCAGAGGGGGAGAGTGGGGACACCTGGGATGCCGCCTGGGGTGTCGAGGGGCTCACAATCGCCTGCTGCGCTGCAACCGCAGCAGCGGTGGCGGCGGCATTAGCGGCCGCGGCCGCGGGGTGGTGCGGGAGTTGGGTCGTGGTCTGGACGGGTTTCCTCTGGGTAACCAGGCCCGGGTTCGTGGGGGTACTGCATGGGCGATGGTTGCCCCTGTGGGTGTGCTTGGGTCGGGACCGAGCCTGCGGGAGGGCTCTGGGGTGCGTAGGTCGGTGTCTGATGCTGCTGGGGATGCATCGCTTGCTGCATATACGTGCCTCCTGACTGCGTTGGTTGCACGTGCTGAAAGTAACCCGTCTGCTGCTGATGATACTGGGGAGAAGGTAGAGGAGATTGCTGCTGTTGAGTTGGATGCATCTGCTGTCCATAAGTAGGTTGCTGGGGATCATAGCCATACCCTACCACGGGGCCTTGCCCTTGTCCTTGCCCTTGCCCGGGCAGGGTATAGAACCCAACCTGTCCGTACCCTGACGCCATCATCTGATAATTGGCCTGGGCGTGGGCGTTGGTGTTGGCGCCGGGCATCGCGCCCGTGCCCGTGCCTACGCTCGTGCCTATCGCGTGCTCATAGCTCTGATGTTGCTGCTGCTGTTGCTGCTGCTGTTGTTGTAGCCGGAGAGGCAGTTGGTGCGGCTGCTGCTGGAATATTAGTTGCTGCTGCTGCTGCTGCTGATGCTGATGCTGATGCTGCTGATGGTGGTGTTGGGCTCGACCCCCAGCGTTCGCACCATCGGCCCCCACACTCACCTGCGAAGCTGACGCCGGGGGCGCCGGTTCACGTCCTGGCCGTCCCCCGGCTGATCCCGGGGCCCCTTCTCCTTGCCCTTGACTTTGTCCAAGAAGTTCTTGACCAGCCTCGGGGCCATGGTTTATCCGGCTGCCACCTCTTTGGGGGAGGCTCTTTGCCGAAATATGCGAAATCCTCAGGAGGGGAATCAAAAATGTACGGGAAATCGGGGTGTGGGGAAAATAGAGGGGGTGTGGGCGGCCACACAATAGGAGAGAGAATGATTTAAACCCAGGAGCTCCCCCTTTCAAGGAATCAAACGATGGAGGAATCAATGGAATAGGATTAGGGATATGGAGTTGGGAGCCAAAGCCCGAGGAATCAAAGCAGCAAAAAGAGGCCTGGGTTTTGGTACCTCTTGGCGCGCAGAGGTTAATTGTGGACGCGGAGAAAGAAAGACCAAAAAAAAAAAAGAAAGAAGACGACGGCCGGCGTTTGCGACTGTGACTGCGACTGCGACCAAGAGATTACGAGCAGACCATTCGGGGGAAAACTTGTTCCCCTTGGCTGAGCCTAGAGGGATTTGGTATATACGTCTAGGTCGAGTCGATTCCTTGCGCCCCAAAAGGCAGCTGCTTTTGCCTCTTTTTAAGAAGAGGCGGGGGAGGGAAGGGTCCCTCATTCTGCACCGCCATCTTCCGTCTTCCTCTCCTCCGCCCAGAGTGTAACGCATCCAATTTCCCATGGAAGAGGCAAGGAGTGCGCAAAAAGGACAACATTGAACGAAAAATGGCCATAATGACCAGGAAAACGGAATACCAAGGTATAAAGAGGGGGCAAATTCCCCATACGAGAACACGAGGGCGTAAGAGGAGAGGGAAAAGAAAAAGAAATAAAAAGAAAAAAGCCCTCGAACAACGCACGCAGAGAGCAACGGCCTCAGAGCAAAGATCCCCTGCAGAAATCATGCCCAAAAGCCAAGAGGAACACTGCCCGGAGCGGCAACCCTCGTAGGGCTGAGTCTCTGTGGATATCCATCTGCCATCTTCCGGCGGGGACGGAGACGAATAAAAGAGAGATATGGACGACGATGGTGGATTCGGCTCTCGAGGCAGCAGAATCATCGGCCTCTCTCCAAAGGCAGCAGCTGCTGCTGCCCCCTGCTAGGGGCCAAGCCATTGAAAATAGCTTGTACCTGAGTATCAATAAAGTGGAGAGGATGGGCTGTCGATTTGGGGGCCAAAGGGCGATGTGGTGTGGTGTGGTAGGCGGCAGCGAGCGGGAGGCTTGAAGGATCAAACGGGAAATAGGCGTCAGACGGGCATCCATTGCTCCGCCACTGACTTCATCTACCTGGACCTTGCAGCAGGCCAGGCCATTGACAGTGACTGGATGCACTGCATCTTTGAACGCCACCGCCAACCACGAGCAGCCTTTGTAGGTTGGGGTCGTACTCAATCGCATCCACCGTCGACGACCATGACACGACATGGAGAGCTTGCACCTCATTCGTCTCGTGAAAAGAGAGGGAAAGTCTTGAGGAGCCAATGGTGAATAGCAGACACAGAAAGACACACACCTGAATGAAGGCGAAGCATTTTCGGGGATATGCAACAAGTCTTGCAGAGCAGAGGGGACGCCTCAGTGAACTATCACTCACAAACAGAGACAACGGGATGGAGACGTGATGCCAACTTGGCTTCGGGATTCCGACCATGCATGTGTGCAGAGGATGGCAAGGGCTAGATGGGAAGGATTGGGAGAAGCACATGCGTGAGAACAAACAGCAGAGACGTGGAACACTTTCCGCGATGCAAAGAAACACGAGACACAGGAAGAAGAGACGGAAAAGGACGCTATGGGGTGAAACTGTCATTATCGGCTACCGTTGCTGGTGGACACTATCAACCTGCTCAAACCTCTTTTCACCCAAACCTTTTCCATACCATAGCGAGTCATTTGGCCACTTGGCCATCCTGTCCCCTTCCCATGCCAAAGAGCAGAGAGGAAAAGACGAAAGAAAGACTAAAAGTACAAGCACCAAAATCCGCGGTCCGAAACTCATTCCATCCGCGGAGAACCCCATTCCCTTTAGCCCTCGTGGCTCTCAGCTTCCTCGGCGCGAACAAGAGTCAAGTCGTCGCCCTCATTGCCATGCTTGGCGCCCTCGACCGCATCCTCATCTCCGCCATCCTGCTGCTGATCCTCAGCCTCCTCCGCGGCAACGGCGGCCTCGGTTTCGTCCTCCGGCTGCTGCTCGGCAAGATCTAGGATCTTGGCAACGGCCAGGATGGCCTTGGGGTGGCCAATATAGTTGCCGGAACCACGGACGTCGATGCTGGCGTCGAGGTTCATGCGAATATCGCGAAGCATGCCGTCCGCGTTCGTCGAGGACTGCCCACCCTCGATGCCGGCAACTCTGGCACCCGCGGCCATGAGCACACGGTTAGTCTCATCGGGTGTGCGGTAGAGGCACACCAGGTTGCCATCGCCGCGCACCTTGAGGCTGGCCTTGATGACCAGCTTGAAGGGCCTGGCAGGGGGCGCCTGGGTTTCAACGGGCTTGGGGGCTAATCGCGAGGGAAAAAGAAAACGTTTTGTGCGTCAGTCTAAAAATGTTCCAAGCTCGTGAACCGAGAGAAAAAGGACAGAGGCTGGGGATCGGGGATTGGGGATTGGGGATCTCAAAGCTGAAAAAGAACGACTTACCAGGACTCCCGGCGCGAGGGGTTTCATCCCCATCCAAATCATCATGGTCGTTGCCGCGCTGCTTCTTGTGGCCTTTGCCACCAACAGGACCAGCACCGTCGTCCTCCTCTCCATCGTTGGCAACCCGCTTGGGCCCAAAACGACCCTCAATCGGTCCAGCCCCGTACTCAAGAGGCTCACCAGCTCGGGCAGCCCTCTTGGCGGCAGGGGAGCTCGACAATGGGAGCAGGGCGCTCGAAGAGGCCACGACGGGAGCGGGCGAGGTCGAGGGCATCGACCCACCGCGGTGGCTGGAGCCAAGGCCATATTTCTTGCCCGCAAACTGTCTCTTGCGCAATTCCTCGGGCCTTGCGGCCTTGCGTGAGGCATCGCGCTGCTGGCCAGACATCGGATGCTTGGCAACCGCGGTGGCGGGGCCACCTTGGCCCTCTCCGGCATTGGGGGCGTAGGCGGGAGCAAGGGGCGAGAGGGTGGTCCCGCTAGTGCTTCCCAGTTCGGGCTCTTCGTCGGCCCATCGCGAGCGAGCGAGGCCCCTGAGGGGTTGTGCTCGATATCCCGCTCGGCGGTCGACGAGAAGGAGGGGGACAAACCCGAGCTGCTGGGCCCGTTGAGCCCGTTGAGGACCGCGTTCTGCACGCTAGGTGACGATGCGTTCTCACTTGGCTGGGAAGATTTCATTTTGTCGAAGGACGATGAAAGAATAATCAAAGAAAACTATCGAGGAGTGTCGTGTCATGGTTGTCAGTAACCTGAACCAAGTGTTAGGGGGCATAAGGATCATGGAGCTTACCTTGGTAAAGATGAAGGAATGGATGATGAAGGGGTTCTGTCTTGGAAAAAGATGTGAACTCTCAAGAGCGATGATCAAGAGATGTGAAGAGGAAAAGGATCCCAAGGGGGACACATCGAGAGTCTTTATAGTTAGGTCAGGGCGGCCAAGGGCAGGTCCCAATCACCTACAACTCGTGCTCCAGTACCTGCAAAAGGTACTTTCTGTTTTAATATTATCAACATTTTACATACCAATGAAAAAGTTCGGTGCCCGTGGTAATTCATGAACGTTGTTGCTCCAGTGCTCCAGTGCTCCAGTGCTCGTGAGTGAGGAAGGTATGGAAGGTGCGCCCCAAGAGGGTAGAGACGAGATGAGGTGACTGGTTGTGGAGTTGGTAGCAATCAAAGACCATCTAGGAATATCAAGGTGCTTACTCACACCAGAGAGTATGGGGTCTGAAAACCTCAAGGTCTGAACTTCCAAAGGTTAGATAGCTTAGATGGATGAATAGAGACTGTGAGGGTCGCTTTGGCTGCTCTGATGAAGTCAAGCTAACGACATAGTCGTCGACGCCGTTTCTTGCGCTCTCGCCTTGAGCCTCAGTCCAAGAGACATTTGGGAGTTGCCGTACGGAGTCACGGCTCTTCGCCTCGGGTTCTGTGTTTATGTGTTTACAATGTGCTACATCACTCTCTTTTGGTTGCATGTCGAGTCCATAATCCATTCCAAGTTTATATTTGCAAAGCTATCAAAGCTGTGGGTATCTCGTAAAGTTTGTTGAAAATTCCGACATCCCGTCTTCTTTATATGGTGGTTTCCCATGACCTGTCTTTTGCTCGCCCGCCGTCCTGGTGGCAGCGCACGATAGGAAAACGAAGAAGACTGAACAAAACGCCGTCCGAAGAAAGGGGAAAAGCAAAGGCAGAAGAAGGGAGAAGAGGTAAGACAACCTCGAGCATCCTTGTTGAAAGACGCCGACTCCGCTCCAAAACTCTGGCAAAAAGACCGAGACGGCAGTAGCCATCCCGCTTTGGTTGCCAAGGGGAGCTGGTGTAATAGGTGAGCAGGTGGGAAAACAACAGTCACGAAAGAAAGACAAAGGGATCCTCATCCGAAGACTCCGGGTATGCATCAAGATACGACGCCGGCAACTCTCCCCCACCCTGAAAAGAGCAAAAACATCTTCTCGAAAAGCACGTCACAAGAGAAAAGTGAACACACGTTGCACTCCAGATTGCAAGGCATAAGCGGATTGCAAGGAAGAGGGCGCGGTGAGGGAAACATGGCGACGCAAAGACAGTGTATCAGAGACCCAAAGACCCAGAGAGCCAGAGAAAGAGGGGAGAAGAAAGGAGAGTGGAGAGAGAGAGAGAGAGAGAGAGAGAGAGAAAATGATGGACAAAATTGATTGCCATGAAAAAATGTCGAAGCGTTTCATAAAAAGAAAAGAGAAAAAGAATACCAACTATGCGACCTGATATGATAGCGCTAAACCAAGGTTTTCGTTGAGAGACCCGTACGCCTTTGATAAAATCATTCCACTGAATCTGTCCTGTCCCGTGAACTCGTGTATACTCTAGGGGGTATAATCTAAATTCCCTAGTACAAAGTGAGGAGGAATTCCCGGCCCGCTTGCGGAGACTGTTGAAGCAAGTCCTTAAAGAAGCGAGGCACAGGCGCCTTATTATGATGTAATTTTTGTTATGTTCAATTTTTGTTGTCGGCCCTCTGGCCGACTTCTCTGGTTCCCCTTTGTCCTCTTTGGTCTCCATCGCGTGTAGAGACCAAAAGTGGCCTTCAAAAGTTCGCTTAGAACTTGAGGGCCTTGGGCTTCTCCCAGGAGAAGCTCTGGTTGGTACCGAAGTGACCGTTCTTGGCGGTCTGGAGGTAGATGGGCTGGTCGAGGTTAAGCTCGCGGACAATGACACCGGGCCTCATGTCGAAGTTGTTGCGGATGACCTGGACGAGCTCCTCCGAGGTCTTCTCCGAGGTGCCGTAGGTATCGACGTAGATGGAGAGAGGCTCGGCGACACCGATGGCGTACGAGAGCTGGACGAGGGCACGGCGGGCGAGCTTGGCGTTGACGAGAGACTTGGCAATCCATCGAGCGAGGTAAGCGGCGGAGCGATCGACCTTGGAGAAGTCCTTGCCGGAGAAGGCACCACCACCGTGGGCACCCCAGCCACCGTAGGTGTCGACAATGATCTTACGGCCAGTGAGACCGGCATCACCCTGGGGACCACCAATGACGAAGTAGCCGGAGGGTTGAATCTGTTGAGACCGCCATGTTAGATTTCTTTTTCTTCGTTTCCTTGTTGAGGCCGCCAACTGTGACGATAGCCTCTATTGTGAAGCTATGATTTAGAAAATGGGACAACTTACGTGGTAGACGGTCTTGTCATCGAGGTACTTGGCGGGGATGGTGGCCTTGATGATCTTCTCCTTGATCTCCTCTCGGAGCTTCTCGGTGGTGATATCGGGGCTGTGCTGGGCAGAAACGACGACGGTGTCTACGCGGACGGGGATGACGGCACCGTTATCGTGCTTGTACTCAATGGTGACCTGGGTCTTGGTGTCGGGTCGGAGCCAGGGAGGGAGCCGTCGCGGCGGGCGGCGGACATGGCAGCGTTGAGCTTGTGGGCAAAGAGGAGGGTGAGGGGAAGAGCTCGGGGGTCTCGTCGGTGGCATAGCCGAACATGATACCCTGGTCACCAGCGCCGAGCTTCTCGAGGGCCTCGTCGTAGTGGAGACCCTGGGCGATATCGGGGGACTGCTGCTCAATGGCGACGAGGAGGTTGAGGGTCTTGTGGTCGAAACCCTTGGAGGAGTCGTCGTAGCCAATGTCCTTGATGGTCTCACGGACAACCTTCTGGTAGTCGAGCTTGGCGTTGGTGGTGATCTCACCGAAGACCATGATCATACCAGTCTTGGTGGCGGTCTCGCAAGCAACCTTGGAGAGGGGGTCCTCGCGCAAGCAGGCATCAAGAATGGCGTCGGAGACCTGATCGGCAATCTTATCGGGGTGACCCTCACCGACGGACTCGGACTGCATGTGGCTTGGTTAGCTTCTATCTCTTGTTCTTTTGTGTTCTCTTCTCTTCCCCACAAAGGCCGCCCCCGCCAGAAAACCGCCGCTTCGGTCTCGACAGTGAAGCTCTCGCTGGGCCGCCGCCCATTCGCATGTGACGAAGACGGGTACAAAGAGTCAACTTACGGTGAAGAGGAAGGTGCCCTGGTTGTAGTGTTGCCAGGAGCTGAGCTCGGCGTGAACGCCGTTGCTGCCGTTGGTAGCGGTCATTGTGATGAGAGGTGTGGTGGAAAGTGGGGAGAGAAACGAGTTCAAGGGACAGGAAACAGAAAAAGATGCAAAGTTCTGGGAGCACGCGTCAAGTATGTCTCCGAGGATCTAGTTGAGAAAGAATTGGTTAGGAGCGATTCCAGTTGGGGAGGAGGAGGAAGGAGCAGAAAAAGGTTGAGGTGGGATGAGCAAGGAGGGACGAGGAAGGAGCTGGGGTAAGCTCGTATAAAACTAGTTGGGGACCGGGGGAGGTCTTACCTGGGGTAGAAGTCAAAAGCAATGAGGTTGGGATAGAGAGGAAAGAACAGAAAAAGAGAGAAAAGGGAGAGAGAGAAGGGGAAAGAAATATCTTGAGGGAATAAAGAAAGATTTAGGTTGTATTGATGTAGTGCGGGAGATTTTTTTTTTTTTGTTTCCCTCCGTCTAGTCCCCTCTTTCCAAAAGAAAAAAATCAGAATTAGCTTGTGAGTCTAGGGGAAGGCGGGGGGCGTGGAGGGGGAGCGGCAGTGGGAAAAGCGGTCTCAGCATGGAACTGAGGAAAGGCGGTCGAGGTAAGCAAAAGTAGTCTTCGTTAAAGGGCTACCCCGGTTCACTACGGAACTCTTACTGAACTCTTTGTACTAAGGTAACGATTACTTCCGGGTTAGCGCTCGCCCCCTCGACCGGAGACTTTCTTTTTCTTTTCTAATCTTTTTCCTGGCCCTTGGCTTGGCCGGTCCCTGAATCAACGGAAGCGATTGCGCAATTGTCGGAGGTGGGTCGGTAATGGATAGGCACAATGCCTCATCGACACAATCGCACGGGGTTTTCTTTTTTCTTTTTGTTCTTTTTTCCCAGGCTGTCCGGGTACTTTGGCCGGGAGTAGCCTCTCCCCAACCTCCTGCGCAAAAGGCGACATGGCTCATCCTGTACTTGCGATTGATCAATTGATGCCGTATCTGGAGCCTTTAATTCCGTTTGGCCCGTCGCGGCGAGTACGAAATCAATGCAGACTATGTCGAGACCGAGACGGCCGGTGTAACCAGCAATCCCATGGCTTTTGTCGTCATTCCCCTTCTTCCCATATCCGTCGTACTCGTACAATGTACTCTTGTCTTTTCACGTTCCTTTTTCTTGGTTCTAAAGTTCGGTGTACTTTTTTCCCCTTCCATCCCTTTCCCTTTTTTGTTTTCCCGGGCACTGGCACTGCATGCACCAACGCCGAGATCCCAGCTCCCAGCTCCTATACACTCAACGTTTTTTCCCCTTCCCCCTTCCCTGCCATCACCAATTCCTCCAGCCCTTTGGCTTTGGGTGTTCGTTTCCCGTGCCCAGGGGCTGCAGAGCGGTCTCTGCGCCGAATCCGGAGTGCGGGGTTCCTGCTTACCCCTCCAACCAACCCCACCATTTAATCCCACCCAGACTGCTCAAGCAAATTTGCGTGGGAGGATTCTGGCTCGCTCATGGTTCCATGGAATGACTTTAAATAGGCACCCATAGATTCGTATCTGGAGGGATCCATCCAGGGGGCGGCCGCTGAGCTTTGGGCTTCCTTCATGTCTCAAAGCTCTATCAAGAGTTGATCCCCTACATCACACTAGCTAGTGGCAATGATGGCCTTGAAAGTTTTGGAGGATGAGGCTGAGGCATCCATAAGGACTGAAAAGGATGAAAGGAAGGGAGAAAAAGATGAATGAGCGCTGACACGTTCCAGCGCGATCGGTACACCAACCATGGACCGATGACACGTTTTTCATTTTGGGGGCTGCGTTCGAGTACCGGGCGATACAAAGGGAGCCGAGTAATCAATGTCCTGTGGTCAGATTGTGGATTGTGTTCTGGCCTGCGGCCGACACTGGATCCTGCGGTGACCGTGACACATACCCATCCACAACGTGGACCAAAAGGAAAAAGGATAAAGGACAGCATGGCGTCCGAAAGCCTAAAACGAGCGAAGGGGGAAGACCATGGATCAATTGATGACAAGACGACGGGCTCACGCGAGGTCTGACACAGCGCGTTTGCTTTTGCAGTATTCTCGTGCATGGCGCAACTCAACAATTTGGTTGGCTCAGGAAGGAAAGCGTCTGATCATTTTTCCTGACAGGTGCCAGTGTGAATCAGGGGAGGCGGGGGTTAGGGAAATTGGACATCAATCCAAGTGGAACAAGAACTGGGCCCACTGCTGGTGTGTGTCTTATCGAGAATGGCCTCTTCGGCAAATGCAGCTTTAGAAAACCTCTAGGCGTCGGGACTACTAACCTAACTATGGAGCTTGCCCAGCAACAGCTCTGTTTTTGACGGGAGGCGCGGGTGGCTCAAACTTAGGCGGTGACGTAAAATGTGGCTCGTTCTGCCCCTCATCGTGTGGCGCGAGATTTCTGCCGGTTGGAGGTGGGGATCAAAGAAGGAACGACGATCATGGGTGAAAGCTCGAAATTTCTGTCTCTAGAAGCGCATCCCAGCTAGTCGTCTTCGTTTTGAACGTAGAGTGCGCTCCCCTTAGATCCGGAAACCCAACCCAACTCTCAATTCTGCCTTTTATAGAGAGCTTGTGAATCTCTGTCGCCAATATGAGCAAGTTTGGAGTCATGGTCATGGGGCCGGCCGGCGCTGGCAAGGTATGATGAATCCCGCCGCCATCATACTCTTTGGGGGGCTTTCCCCTTTCTCTTGAGGGATGGAGTTCAGGGCTTGTTTTATTTCGAGGTCTAACACCACCTTCTCGTTCTAGTCCACGTTTTGCGGAAACCTCATCACACATCTTCACCTCAACCGCCGCTCAACATTCTACATCAACCTCGACCCCGCGGCCGAGAGCTTCGAGCACCAGCCCGACCTCGACATCAAGGAGCTCATCACGCTCGAGGACGCCATGGAGATTGGATACGGCCCCAACGGCGGCCTCGTCTACTGCTTCGAGTTCCTCCTCGAGAACCTCGACTTCATCTCCGAGGCCCTCGACTCGCTCACCGAAGAGTACCTCATCATCATCGACATGCCCGGCCAGATCGAGCTCTACACGCACATCCCCATCATCCCCACCCTCGTGCGCTTCCTCACGCGGCCGGGCGCCCTCGACGTCCGCCTCTGCGCCGCCTACCTCATCGAGTCCACCTTCGTCCTCGACAGGGCCAAGTTCTTCGCCGGCACCCTGAGCGCCATGAGCGCCATGCTCATGCTCGAGGTGCCCCACCTCAACGTCCTGTCCAAGATGGACCTCGTCAAGGGCCAGATCAAGAAGCGCGACCTCGACGAGTTTCTCACGCCCAACGCCGACCTCATCAACTCCGACCCCATCGAGCACGCGAGGATACTCCAGGCCGGTCCTCAGGCCGAGGAGGAGGAGCTCGATCTCGAGTCGCGGCCCCAGGAGAAGCAGGCCGTGATGAGGGGCGCGAGTTTTAGGAGGCTGAACAAGGCGGTCGCGGGGCTCATTGAAGGGTTTAGCATGGTCAACTTCTTGACCCTCGACCTCACCGATGAAGACAGCGTGAGCGGGATTCTCAGCCACATCGACGACGTTATCCAGTACCACGAAGCTCAAGAGCCCAGGGAGCCAAACGATGAGATTGAAGTTGATGAGGAATAGAGACAAGCATGTTTACAGCGCTAGCACGTCCCCAACGCTCGCGGTGGCGGCTTGTATCTTGTCCTTTTTTCGTCTTCTTCTTTCGTTTTGGGTCCTTTTCTGGGTTGGGAAAACGACGAACGTTCTGGGTTCGGCGCATAGAAAGGATATCCTTGGGTGGAAGGGTGGGTTTCATAAAACAGCATTGGTGTTTTCTTTTTTGGTTTTGTTCCTCTGCATGGCGTCGGCGTACGAAAGAAAGAAAAGATTGTCCTAAAAATACAAACTTGATTCCGGAACACCGTCTATTCACATACCCAATAAAGTCGCCGGTCTTCCCCAAAGACCACCAGCGAACCAACTAGCACCTAGTGCGTGATTCCTTCGGTCAAGGTGTCGAGAGTGATTTGATCTTGTAGAGCCATGATAGCCCCTCCCAAGTCCAAACGAGGTGCCCTTGTCGACTAGCGCCGTGCCAAGGGGACGAACTCCAATCTCCTTTGGTGAGATGGGGGTGTCCATGTCCACTCGTCAGTAGATGCGTTGCCCAGATACGCACTTGCGCTGGCAAAACAGCTTTTCAGCAGGGAGAACCAGTCCACGGGCACAGGGCAAACGGTGTCCTTCCCAAGAAAAACCAGCCCTCAACTCCCACACCACTCCCCATCAAATCTTCCCTCCTCTCCTCTTTTTCACCGCAACTCTTACCCACTCTCAATTCCCCTCCCCCTTCTTCTTCGCCTCCGTATCGTACCTCTCCCACTCCCTCCAAAAGAACTTGGCCGCCTCGGTCGCGAACCGCGCCAGTCCCAGCGCCTGCACGTACACCATCTGCAGCGCCTTCTCGGGCCCCATATCGTAGACGGCACGCGCGAGGTACGCGACCGCCACCGCCATGAGGATGTTGATGGCGAACGACCACAGGTAGTTGATGATGCGCCGCACGTACGACGCCACCACGAGGCACGCGACCACGGTGAGCACCGTCAACGCCGTGGGCGGTAACGAGGCGATGTACGGCATCACCGTCGCGGTGAACTTGGAGGCGTACCGGAAGATGGTCTGGGGGACGTTTTCCGCCATGATTGGGACTCTTGGGTAGGCTCTGCCTTTTTATTTTATTTCTTTGTGAAAAGTGTGTGATTTTTGTCTTTTGCGTGCTTTCCGCGGCGAGCGAATGTTGCGGTTGTCTAGTGTGCTCGTAAAGGGGCGAGGGGCAGGCGGAATTGCGCGCGGCGCGTATCTGCAAGTTCTCGGGTGACGATTCGTGTCGCTACGTTGCTATGTAAGCAAAAAGGCAGGGCGAGTTAGCTTCAAGTTCTCAATAGCGAGGGCGAGGCGGATCATGATGGCGCTCTTACCAAAGTCGTGCAGTCGGACAACGGGTTTTAGAAATAGCTGATGCCCCAGTCTTAAGTAACGTGAAGAGAAAGACGAAAAAAATCCCCTTCCTATCCGGAAAACGATAATTTCCTCTAGATTCGTCTGGTGCCGTCCTCGCTGGTCGCTTGACCGAGAAACAAGAAATAAAGAAGAAAAAAGCAAAAAAGGGCACCAGAATGTTCCAACCAGAGGGGGAAAAGGCAGCGACGCGACGCAAAACAAATCCAGATGCTTCCTACCGCTAAACGACCGAGAGAAAACTAGGACAGGGGAGAGAGAAGAAGGATAGAAGGGGAAAGAGAAGCGTAGAAAAAAATATATAAAGGCCGGGAAAATGCCAGAGAGAGGGGGAGAGATTGGAAGCTGTATAAAGTACTGGGTGAGAGAGCTACTCGCAATAACGTGTCTTGAGCATGAGAGGATGCGAATGGAATGGAAAAAAACTGACTGGTGATTGGGTGATTGTGCGAGGTCAGTTCGACATGGAAGGACCCGGTGCCTCCTAGCGTCAGCGCCGGAGCCTGGGGCCACTACGACAAAGGCCAAAGAGCAAAGAGCTTGAAAATTGACACATTGATCCACGGATCTCCAGAGAGAGCTAGCATCCACGAACATGTCATACATCTGGTATTTGACTTTCTTGGAATGTCGCCAACAAGGCCGATTATTCGAAGCATTCCAGTCACTAATTATATGTTGTGCAAAAAGACGACATTGAGCGAGAACCAGCTAGCCTTCATCAAAGAATCCAAGTAGATCAATTGATGGCTTTCCCCGAATGCGGCGTGTGATCATAGCAACGTTTGCTGAGGAAGCGCAAGTTGGTGAAGTCTAGAGATCTCTCGACAGCGGTATATCCCCAGCTCCTACAGCTCCCGCAGGCACACCAATCTTATCTCCAAGCCCACTCTCCAATGAATTGATCCTCTCCTCGTTGCACAGAGATGATGACGACCCTAAGCAACAGCGGAATAGATTCTCAAAAAACATGTCACAAAGATGCCAAATTTTGAACAAGAAAGCGGTCAATATTACTGCTACCTACGCGCCACCCAACCCCATATCGCGTCTTAGACCCGCTTCCCCGAGGATATACATCAATTGGACCGAAGCGACAGAACGGGAACCGCAAATTCCCAAGCCATCCTCATCATCGACCAAACTCGCGCCCTCACAGCAACACTACGTGCTCGTCTTTTCTCCTCCATCTTTGAAACAAGTACACCCCCGACTCCGCCTTGTGAATCGCAATCCCCCGCTCGAGGGGAGGATTGTCGCCTCTTCCTCGCCTGGATAGCAGAATTTGGCACAGAATAGCAAGGCCATATCCTTGGACCACCTCCAATTAACATACAACGTGACAAACCGCTGATGGTATCACAAAACATGGGGTGAGAATGAACAAGGAATAGACAACAATGAAGAAGAAGAAAAAAAAAACAAAGAGAAAAAAAAGCTTCGCGGGACGGAGAAATAGGGAACAGCGAATGCAACCGGCCAGCAACCCAGAGCTGGCCTTCTAGATATACAGAAAGAAGCAATGAAGAAAGAGGGATGCGAACATCAAACGCCGGGACATAAAGGAAAAGGGTGATTAAGGAGAGTCAAGAAGAAAATAGACACACAGGAAGAGTGAGAGAGAGTTAGAGAGTGTCGGTCAAGTGAGGCTTTAAGCCTGCAAGAGAGAGAGAGAGAGGGAGGAAACAGGATTGAAAATGGCACTTGACTGCAGAGCGCAGCCACCTGTTAATATAGCCAGTTGCCGGAAGCCTTCTCCCTGCGAAGCGGCTGCGCGGCAACGGTAAAACCGGGTCTAGCCCGGCAAAGGTCTGTGACGGTACAATCGTCAACAAAGGGACTGGGGACTCTTGGAATCTCCCAGGTCGGAATGAAGATGTAGTAACGCTAGTGTGGAAGAGAGCGATACGAGTGTCGAGAGAGAAAGAGTCGTGAAAGAACATGGCAATCCAAGCGGGTGTACCGGGGGTCGCGAGTAAGCAAGCCAAGCCTTCTAAATGAGCGATTCACCACGCTTGTCATGGCGGAAAAAACTCCTCATCTCCATGCAAATAAATGATCAAGGAGTCAAGGAAACGTGAGGGCGGGCGTAGTGGTATATATGGTGGCCAGCCATCGCTTCACCGCAAGCAAGGTATTCAAAGGCCGTGATTCGTCATATGAATCATGTGTCGAGAGAACATCATCATTAGGATAGTATCCCTTGGTGCTTTAGCCGCGGCGGTACTCCCTAGGTTCAACCAGCTCATGTCCGATGCTGTGTTCGACATGGCAAGCGGAGTCGACTGCGCGCTGCTGCCGCCCCGGTTAGCTGTCGAGCTGGGGTCGAGGGACGACTGGAAACGACCATGCGAGTCGTCGCCATACGCCGAGCTAGGCGCACGATCCGCGCCCCAGGGCTTCTTTACCGCGGGGTCCCAAATCGACGGCACGCTGTCAGGAATGCCACTCGAGTACCCAGACGATGCGTCCGAGACTGGTCGCTCAATCTTTCCAGACATGCCCTCCCTCATCGGGATACGAGGCGGGTAGTGGGCGACAGTGGGGCTTCCCGAGTTGACGCGGTTCAATTCGGCTCGACCCTCAATGTGCAGAGGGGGAACTGTGGCCGAGTCCTGCGTAATGCGATTCTTGTTGTCCGAATACCGGGAACTTTGATCAGATGATACAGTGCCTCGCTTCCCGTTTCCAAAGCCTAAGATGCCGAGAGCGCTGCCGCCAGACCAGTACCTATTCCAGCCCGAGCTTCGACGCGCGGGCTCGAGGCTGTCGTTCATCAGGGCCGAGTCACCACGAGGTGGCCTTGGAGGTGCCGCCTTCGCAGTGAGGCTAGGGCCAAAGACGGTAACGCGGTCGCCGGGCTCGGGAGACGCGCGCACCTGCGGGGCATAGAGTTGCGATTCGTGAGGAATGGGCTTGCTAATCGTGCTCTTGAACTCCTTGTTGTAGATGCTGCTAACAGAGGATCGGACGGTGCCATTGCTGGGCTTGCGGCTGATGTTCTTATTCTGTTGGTTGACCTTACCCATAAGAATCGCCATCGACGAATAAGATCCGGCCGAGTCCTGGGGCTGGTGACCCCTGAAGTAGCCACCACCGCCCTGCTTGCCAGTGGGAGCAAGGTCTGCTTCAAAATCAAAGCCGCCCTTCTCCATGTTGGATGAGCCCTGGTCGCTCTCGGGTGCGTTGGCTCGCGACTTGTTCTTCTTCCGCCTAATCAGGAAGAGGACGAGACCGAGAAGGAGCATGATGCCAACGATGGATCCGAGAACGATGCCGAGAATGGCATTAGAACCGAGAGGATAGTCATCCTCGCCAGTGCTGCTCTCGGGGGTGACAGACGCGGCGTTCACGGCGGAAGTGGACGTGGACGCGACGGTGGGCGAAGCGGTGGCAATCGAGGAGGAGGAGCTACTTGACACCGAGGAGCCGAGTACCTGTTGGTCGGTAAAAACCTCGGCGGCATTCACCCAGGCATTTTCCCGGGCATCGAAGATGCAGAGGGCGTGGTCCGAGTTGCCACCAGCAAAGTAGACAGTGCCGGTGGAATCGGTTGCAGCAGCGTAGTTAACTCGCGTATCTTCGGGAACCAGAGTATCGTTGTAAGTTGGCCACTTGTCATAGGTGAGGGCGGCGTCCTGCTTCGCTTGTCGGTTCTCGAGGTTGCGGGCAATGATCGTAGGGGCATTGCTGATTGCTGCACCAGCTCCGTCGATAAGCGGGATACGTCGGACGAGGTTGGGAGACTGGGTCATGTCGAAGGTGTAGAGACTCCGGCTGCCATCATCTCCAGTCATGATTAGACCCTTGATTTCGGCGGCCCCCTTGGGAATCGGGTCGGCCATAGTGGCACCCGAATCCCTCCAGCCTCCGGCTTCCTTGCTAAACAGCATCACTCTTCGGTTCTCGATGCCACCACCAACCATGACGGCTTCAGAGTCGGACCATGGAAGGACAAGAGGTGAAAGCACAGTCGGCGCGTTGGAGTCGAACGACGTGACATCGAACGGTGCCTGTGCTCCAATGGTAAATGTTTGTGAAGAGATGGCCTCTGCCTCGTTCTGGGTTCCAGCATAGACGAGAATGGAGTCAGAGCTCTTCAAGTAAGTGGCGCCATGCCATCGGCGGTTCTTAATATCAGTTGTGACGGGAGCTAGGGTTTCCCATTTGCCAGTGGAATAGGTGAACTTCTGAAGGCCATTGTAGCCGTCATCGGGACCTACACCACCGACAATGTAAAGCCCGTCGCGGGCGGCATTACCAGCGCTCGCTCCCACGCACACGCCGCCATTCACAGCCACTCCAGCAGCTAGCTCTTCCCATTCCGCGCCGGGTTTTAAGCTGAGCCGAAGAAAGGCTGAGGACGAGTAGACGTAAAGCGCATTGTCATAAATAACACCGCACACATTTTCCAGGGTCACTGGAGGGTCAGGTACGGCAGACATCTTCAAGACGGTTCGTCGATCGTATCGGCCAATGCGTACTGGGGATCGATCGGGGTCGAAGTGAACCAGGCACTCGAAGAGGAACAAAGGAGATTGAAAAAAGACGGGGTGGCTGCCTTAAAATCCGAACCGGTCTATTTAAAACTGCATCGCGCGTCGATGTTTGCCTTCAGAGTTCGGGGGAATTCAGAGAGAATAGATCGAGGAACGGCAATCGTGTAAGCGTTGGCTTTCGTCTCGATATCGTCAGCGGCCAATCGAGGGCGATTTTGAAAGGAGAGAATCGAAAGATGTCAGGAATTGGCAGGCCAAAGCTGCGGTCGCGGCGTCGCAAGATGCTTGTGAGGGGGAAAGAGAACGAGGGAGGAAAGAACGTCGTGGATCGAGATGTCAATCGTTCGGATCCTGGGTCGTTCAATTCGTTAGAAGATCTACAGAACAAAAAGAGTGGCCCCGAGCTCTCTGGGCAGGTTTCGAGGGCTGGTTTGCGGTTCGTGAGGAAAACAAGCGAGGACGAGGGGGTTGAGGAGGAAACGGGCGAACAAGCTATATTCTGAGGGGCGTTGTGTCGCAGATCTCGGGGATATTGAGATGGGGTGGGTGGAAAGGGGGTTCAGAGAGACGGCAGGAAACCAGATCCAAAGGGCGTGGATAAACTCATACCGGTTGTGCCACCTGAGGGCGTCAGTTGCGAAACACCAAGAATTATCGACCGGAGTGCGAAGGGAGAAGAGGAAGAGATCCGGGGCGAATACACGGTATTCTTGGGGAGAAAAGATCCCTCTCACGATGGTCCGCGTGTGGGTTGGAAAGGGGGGATGAAGAGAAGGGAAAGGGAATGATCGGTGAAGAGGAGAGTCAGAAAGGAAGGATTGACGGTCCTTGGTGGAAACAACTGGGTACAGAACTGTGGTCGGTGCTTGCTTTTGCTTGTACCCACAGACCGTTTCCCGATTGAGTGGAAAGAACACACACGAGAGCACGAGAGGAGAGAGAGCAAAGGAGGGAGGGCTGGTTTGCGAAGAGAAAGGGAAAGGGGGGAGCGAGCAACACACGACTAGTGACTCTGGTTGCCCTGTGCTTTACGATGTCGAGGAGCGGACAAGTGGGCTGGGCAGGCCAGGAAATTCGTGTTCGGGGTACCCTTGTAGGGACAACCTTGAGTGATGCTACTTCGTACCTCTAGAACCTGAAAACGAAGGCGATTGAGGAAGGAGAGAGCAAGGGAATGTGGGAGGGAAGTCCGGCCCCCAGCAAGAAGACCATGTTAGGAGGGAGCATGTTGGTTGGCCAGAGGCATCGTGAGGTTGCAATGGGCAATTATCGAATTTGAGGGAGACATGGAGGCGGCGCCTTCCCTCCCACCAAGGACAACCCACACACGACGGCACTAGCGGGCTTGCCCCTACATTAGCAGTGGATTGGTGGCCAGGGGACCTGGGGAAAGACGAAGAAGGACGAGGGAAACGAGCAGGAGAGGGCGGCCGGGCGAGAGGGCTTAGACGCGATGTGAGCCAATGAGAATGCGCATTCAAGGCCGGGAAGGGGGTCCGAGCAGGCAAGGTACGAAGCACGACGTACCTCGAGCCACCGGGATGCTCGTGCCTGGCCACCTGAGAAACAAAAAGATAGGCTGTTTATGCAGTGGTGTGTACCTGACGCGAGTCCAAGTACTCTGTCCTGGCGCGAAAGAACATTGGTCTGAAGCTACATAGTGGTTCTCTCTCGAGTACATATGAGGATCCACAATGTACCTTTTCCCAGCAGCTGAATCTGTCGAGGACATTGAAGTCTTGTCCTGCCAATGGGCCAACATCCTCCGGCGCCCCTTTTTTCAATTCATCAACGTGCAAAGAAAAATGGGCTCGGGGCGAATCAAAAGTGGAGAATGGTCTCGTCTTCACGGAACCCTTGACTTGAAAGCTCTCAAGTTTTGCGATGGTCGTTCGTCCGCTTTCCCTCGCTGTCATCAATTGATCCATTGGACAGCGATGTCAAGTCTAGCGGAGAGAAATGAGGAACAGCAGTGACACAAAACTGAACCTGACGTTCTTGATGGGCTTTTCGCTCATGATCTGGTCTTCAAGATTTTCCTCCCTTCCAAAGAAGGAAGCTGAATATCTCGACATTGATGTACCAGCCAAGGCCTGGTCTAGCCTCCCTCGTTCGAGATTCTGGCTCTGAGCAATCTGGACGACACCGACAAATTGCTTTCTTTTTACAAGATTGAACCTTTAATCTTTTTCCAATGCATCCAGCCACTCCAAGTGGCTCTGGCTCTGGCACTGTCTGCACCGAAATGACATCAGGCGGGGGCGAGAAGAAGGAGGGAACTCAATTGAGATTATGGTAATAACAAGCGACTTCTTTTTTCTTTCTCTTTTTTCCTTTTTCCCCTTCTCGTCATTGGGTTTGTTTTTTCTTATACCTTTCTTCTTTTTTTTTCCTTTTTTCCTCCACGCTCCTTTGACGAACTCAACGCCACCAATCCTACGGGATGAGGGAGGTTGGACGAGGCCGAAGAAAAAGAGTACCTCTGCAGGATGAATGAGTGAACCTTGGACGCAAATCCTTTGCCGTGTGGTCATCAAATTCGTACCAATCTCTTTGGACAAGGACTTGGAGTTCGGAAGCGCACGCTCATTCTCATTTGAGCCCGGCAATGCTTCTCAATGCGAGGGATGGGGGGTTCATGAGCACAGAGGTTAATCTCGCTCGGGAAGCAAGGGAAATCATGTCGATCGTTCTCTCCAGCATCCCAACATGGAGATTGTTATGGAGCATCCACAGATCCTTGCATCCCCCTTCTTGCTCTTCCTTCAGAACACCGGCCTTTGATAATACGGGGCATCGCCCACACCAAAAGTCAAGTATACGAATTATTCAGTAATACACAAGAGCGAACCCAGGCTAGCCGACCCTTGAGAATCAATTTTAAAAGAATGCAGCGGCCAGGGCTCTCCTCAACGAGGTCAGAGCCAGGTCAGCAACCGTCCGTCCGTCGCCAGGCCAGGGTACAAAGGCATGACCCGCAGGTGCCTTTCTCCCTTTCCGTAGTGGTGTTCGTACTAGTGATATGCAAGACACGGCTGGCCATAGAAAGCAGAATCATTTTGATTTTTACTTGCAGAAGCAGCGAGGTTGGCCGCCGGTGTGGTCGACCGCGATTGTGTACTTGCAGCGCGACACCGAATGCCATGGTTCGATCCGAACTTCACGTCTTGAGTGAGACCATCGCTTGTCGTTGATGCGTCTGCAGCCTTGACTTGGTAAAGACATCAATGTCAAAAAACACAAAGACAACCCTGGTTCCAGAGCTGCGTGTCTCGATGTCAGTCTCGGTTGACAAGAGGCTGACAAGATGTCAGAAAGGCTACATGTGCTAATGCTTGTAAAAAGGAAGCGAAAGGACCACAGTGGAGAATGACGTTGAACGACCTTGATGAGCCATGCTCTCTCTCCCTACCCCCGAAGAAAGAAAAAGAAAAAAACATTGCAAGGTTGGGATTGAATCGACTTCCACCAACCAGCCAGGGCCAGCCCCTTAGTCATTCATTCCCCTCCGTAGTTCCCTTTTTCCTACCTCATGGCTATTTTCTCAAACATCTCTCCATCGTTGGCTGCAGAGGAAGCTGGCTCTGAAGCAATACTGGGGCTGCTATATTTGCTTCTCCGCATCCGCATCTGCATCTGCATCTGCGGCATCATGCGTTTGCTTCTCGATCCTCTTCCAGAGGAAACGGCGACGCTGACGAGAGAGACTTTTCATTGCTACAAAAACAAAGACTGGTGGAGAGCGGACATGGGATACGCCCAAGCCTTCAAGGTGAAACACGCTACCATGCTACCCTGCAGATGAGCAACCCCCACACCACCTTCCTTCTCCTTCCCAAGCCCACCTTGCCCACTTGCCCACCACACCACATCCACTTTTCCGGAAGAGGCGTTAGTCGCACGTTAGATGGCAAGTACTTTGTATCTTTGGGTCGCTGACTTTGCAAGTGAAGATGCTCAGATTATTATTATCTTCTCCGCTGCTATCGAACTAGTAGTCGTCCCCTCCACCATCTGGCGATTCCCATGTCAATGGGGCCCATGTTCCGGGGTTGGTGGCGCGATGGTCATCATCGAGAAGTTGATCGATCAGGAATCACTCACGACCCTCCGCACTTTTATCTCTCTATGAGAGCGCTGAGAAAGCCAAGGGATAACAAAAAATTGATATGCAAGGTTTCTCGATCCCATGCTTCCCGCAATCCGCCAACAGAGCCGGCCAGAGCAGGCGCCACTATGTTTTCACCCAGCCCAGTCTCTTTTGCCATCAATTGATCCCTCTTTTCGTTTCTTTTCCCCGTTCACCGCCTAACGGGTGCTGCAAGGAGCTTTGTTAGCTTCGTTCTTTTCTTTTTCTTCCTGCTCTGACATCGTCCCTCCAGCTCCCTTGCCATCGGGCCCCTTGCCGCGTCTTGATTGCGCGCGTTTCCACTTTACGGATTGATTGATTCTTTGGACTCCCAGCCTCTCTCTCCTAGGGAGCCATGATGGACTATTTGTCTTCGATCCTAATCAAGTCCCCAACCAACAAACTTAGTTTGGCCTTTGGGCCTTGGCCGCAAAAGCGGAGGCGCACGCAAGGCGGACGGTAAAAGCCACAAGAAAAATAGAAGAAAGAAAAAAGGCTCGAAGCGAGATAGACGACTCGGCACGAGTGCGGGGCCACCCGTGGGATTCAAAAAATGGATATGCACAATTTCGTAACCTCCATCCTTTGGGGCGGAAGATCGACCCCTTGGCCAAATGAGAGGACTGAAAGGATGGACAAGTAATATTCTCGAAAAAGAGTCGAAAACATACTCGCGGCCGACGCGCCCGTCTACGCACTCCAACCTTTGGCACGAGTCAACGGGTTGACTTTACTCAAGACGGGGCAGAATCAAGGTTGAGCACTTGAGAGTTCGCCCAACAGTATATGTTCTAATGCCCCATTTATTCATTTAGGG